AGGAAATCCCTTTCCGATCTGGATCCCTCCGTGCTCAGCGTTCAGGGCGCCACCTATGCATTGCGACCGCAGATATTTACAGTGTAATTGATCTTGTAACTGCACAAATGTTTGAATTGCTTCCAGTGACACAAGTCGAGGTCACGGCGGGGTAAGTTGAATAGGACATTGCCTTTCATCTCCTTACTGACTCTTACTGACTCGGCTAACAGTACGATTAAACCACATATCGTTGTCATATCTCCATCTGAGTTCCTTTTACTGAGCTGGACGGGCGGGAGCACACTTGGTCTGTTCGTCACGGGCGATGGTGATCCCGTACGTGGAACACTTGAGTGGCCAGCGTATCCGGTGTCTGTGTGTGAGTGATATCTTATGTGAATCTCTTTCGTGTTGCTAGCTCGAATTCGCTAATTCTCCACCACCTTTCGACTTTCTCAGTGGTGCATAAATTACTTTCATTTTATTTATCACTTCGCAATTTGTTTTCGAGTTCTAAGACTAATTACCGTGGATGAACCTGTCTAGGTCTCGACTATCCCTACCTAACAACACTTCTGCCAAATGGCACAATCGAAGTGCACAGCGTTGAAACTCAGACGATTACCCAAGTCATTCCAGCGCCCGATTTTGGTGAAGGAGGGAAGCCAGGCTTGGTCTCTTGTCTTGCTGGTTATGCAGCGCCCTCCTCTGAGTGTAGAGACAAGATGAGGAAAGTGAAAGTTGGGTTGGTGCGCAGTGGGGAAGTGGGGCTGAAGATGGACGACGATAAGGTCCATGAAAGCCAGAACGAAGAAGTAGAGGAAGAGAAAGATGCGGATTCTGTTCGAACTAAGAAGCGAACACGCATAGTGTTTGAAGACAACGATGATTCAACAGAGGTTCCTAGTGTGTCTATATGACCGACCTGATTGGTACGCGGGTCCCTTGACTGTCAGGATTTTGACTAGTCGGTACGGGTTGGGCTGCTCACAATTGTACACTAGTTGTGAAACGTGTTTCGCAGGCATTTGAGCTCTGTTTGGGCCAAAAGTAACATCAGAGCATCCACCTCATCTTAGATTGTCGGTTAAAGTACGATACTTCTCTACCTCTTCCTCGACAGACTAGCAAGTTGAATGGATGCGAGTTGGTGTTTCAAAACAGCAATCAACGTCTCGGCTTCTCGGACCTCCTATTTTTCCCTTGTCATTACTGCGAGGCATCACTCAACAATTACGATCATGATCACGTACCGGCAATTGCACTTGTTAGTTTCAACCTTTACAACAACGGTGTTCTCACCCAAGCGCTTCTTGTCCGCCTCCTGTGAATGTTTGTCTTCTGCTACTGCGCGGTTCGCATAGTTGGTAACCGCTCTGAGAAAACCAGATGCAGAGACTTCAGCCTAGTATAAATTAGAGCACATACATGATTGGCAGCACTCCAGAACGCGTCTGTCATGTGACCGTATTGACCCGCGCGTCTGTTGATGTCTATTTGCTACCGACGCGTTCCCGTAAATGAATGACATCGTACTTCTTCACTAGCCTAACTGCTAACATCACGCAACCGAAGGCTATCGTCACATCTGCTATTTTCCGCCATCCCTGCGCGTCTATTGTTATCATCATACCTAATTGCTACATAGTAATGCCTTATTTCACTGGCGTGCACGATGCCTCGGACCTTCTAGCGGACGCGAGACACGAACCATACACAGATATTCCTCTATCCTCGGAAGAGCCAGATGTTTTGATCTCTCCGCCACGCTCTCCTAGTAGACTTGACTTCTTTCATGAAGAAGGCGGCGCTGTCGGTTGCTCTGAATCAGATGCAGACGCAGAACTGCCGATTTCGAGGGTCAAGTGGGCACGCAACCTCTTCCGTAGCGGCCCGGCACTCGCGAAATTTAGGGAGGAGGAGGACGGCGGCGACGAGCCTCTCATGGGTCCACCAATCCTCCACGTGAATGACCACAGCACCAATTCCCAGACAAACTTCGAAGACGAGCTCCAATGCGTCCCATTCTCACCTTCACTTCAGACAGTCACCATGGAGCCATTGGCACCAGAGCCTGTTCGCCATGCGACGCTTCCACAAGAAACAAAGGTGCAAAATCCAACTCCTGTGTCACGTCCCTACTCGCAGCGTCTGAACTACCCCCACCGCGGATTTTCACGGAGTGCTTTGTTGCATCAAAAGTCTTTCTGGACAGCACGCCATGACGAATGGTTGGAATGGCAGGCCAAAGAAGTGAAACGGCGAATAGACCACACTATATGCGCACAAGACCCTGGAGGCGCATATACTGGCATCACGCTCATGGATGGTCAGGAAGTCTCTGGGCTGCCATCGCAAATCCGCGTGCCTCTATCTGGCTTGGAGCGTGACTTTGAGGGGTATGCATCGAGAGACTTTGTCCAGGACTCGAACGCGCCGATCTACCCTCGTGTGGGCGATATCTCTGCGCTTCGTGATCCGTACTCTGCCAATGTCGACCGGTGCTTCTTCAGGTTTCCGCTGTGGACCATTCACAAGACGCTCTACGTGTTCGACATGTATCAAAGGGCAACCAATATTTCCGACCAGATACAAGGTTCTGCATCTTCGGGAAGCTTGCAGTCGTCGACTGGTTCATCGACATGCGGTGATGGGGACATAACCCTTGTTGCTGACGATGAACCACCCTTCGAGAAACAAACGCTTGACAACGGGCCTCATCAAGAATGTCTATCGTCTAGAACTCCAAAAATATCTCCCGCGTGTACATGGGAGGCTATTCGCGCCTGGGAGCTGAACTGGTACGCTCGCTGGGAGCTACTCATTGGTCTCGTACAGCGCGACCAAGCCCTCCGGCAGGCAGCGCCGCTTTCGCCGTCGACACCCGGGTTCGTAGATGAAGACCTTTTACCGCCAAAAGAACTACTGGAACCCTTCACCCTGAAAGCTCCCACACCGATTTTCCTCTTTGCTGGCGAAGATGGAGAGGGGGATAGCGGAGACGAAGAAGACGATTATGGTACCTTGGTTGCAAACCCGGTTTACAACATTGACGAGACGTTCAAGGAGGGGTATCACCGTGCAGTAAATTTTTTCACCAAAGATCGAGAGTTGAAAAGAGAGCGCCGGCTTCGAACACTGTCTGGGTAGAAAGTCGAGGATGGTCGTCCGCATGGAAGTCAACGAGGTTGGGAATATTTTCACCTTATGTACAGCTCCCTAGTTTTGTCGATCCATGCTATATTCCGATGCCCCGATGAGTTCATACTCAAGACACCCTGAATGGTAAAACTTCATCTGGGTACCGGTGGAATACGATACATCTGTTGCCACTACTATATGAAGGCTGAGACCTTCACTACTGATAGTAATACTGGCCTACTATAGTCTCTTCTAATTAAACACGTTGGCATTGAATGTCCTGATAGAGTGAAGACAATAGATGAATGTGTATATATAAGGGGATTGATACCAGGGTGGCAAAGGAAATGTTCGTTACATAAGGACTGATGGGGGTGTATGTGATTGTCACTGATCTTGGGGTATGCTGTGAATGACGAGTGATGAAATTGGTTGACTCGGAGGGGTATATGTCTTGCTACAACAAGCTACTTCATGTATCCACGTCCCTCCCCCTCTGATTCAGAAGTGTTTGGGTACGAGCGCGAGGGGAATTGAGAGCGTCTGTGAGGCTTCCCGGGCCAGGACGGGCTATGGTTCATGTGCCATTCGCGTGATCTGCGCTGCCTGCGGCTCTGCACGATCTCTGGTGCTGCAGCTCGCAAGGCACTCAATTCCTCATTCGACAACTTTGATAGAGGCGATGATGCTAATAGCAGCAAGTCTGAAGGCGTGTAGATGAGCACTGTGACGTGGTCAGTATTAGGTATTCATAACTCGAGAAGATACTCACGACTATCATGAGGCAAGGGTGACAATGAGTGCGCTGGTGAGGAAGAGACGCTTGATGAGCTGGCTGAACTCGGTGAAGGTGCCCGTCGGTGTACAGGGATGTAGAGTCCTGAAGATGACGACATCACTGATATGGCAAGGGAAGCGGGAAGACTTGGTAGATGACTGGACGAGTGAGACTGTGCTGATCATGTCGGCTCAAACAAGGTCTTATATATACACAGGAACATCCTGAGGAAACTGCGCATGCATGGGCCCCTCGGCAGCTGGTTATTGTGTGTGGCGGATGTCGTGGCGGGAAACAGCAGTGGTGAGTCATCAACTTGGACCGCTGCGTCAGCTATTTGTGGCCTCCTGGAAGGTCGTGGAAGGTCGTACAAATGACGCGAAAATACGACGTTCGCCATCGGAGCCCTACGTTATGTATTCGTCAGTGATAGACGTGTTACCCGGGCCGAAGCTTGTGTGATTGTTAATGATCACCTGATCGAACTCGAGTGGCTTGACTTTCCGTATTTGTAGATCACTGTTTAGAGCCATGGGTAGCTTGGATGCAGCTTGGCATATGGGGACTAGATAAGGCCGGAAGCAACGTTGTCCCACAGGTACATGGCCTTCAATGCTGCGCTTTGAAAGAGGCCTTTAGTAATCCTGGCACCGCGGAGCCTATCAGCAGGATGGAGAGCCTTTTGTCAATTTAGAAGGCTCAATGCAACATTTGCTTTTGTAGTTCGACTGATGGAATATATGAACGTCCTAAATTCAAGTTGCGAGCGACATTCTTGTTCACCATCTGTATTTTTCCGAACTCCGAGTCATTGCAATTGTAGTCGGCAGTCAAATTTCTTCCGTCCGTAACCCGATCTATTCTGTAGCTTAATAGCGACACCGGTCTGAGGCAAATCCGCCAATACATCGATCATGAGTTAGTTTATCTGGTGAAGAATGTACTCACGCCCCAACAATCACAATCCCGACGACATCGGCTTGGCTTGGCTTTTGTCAAGGATCTCCTCGGCATCAGTAATAGAGCCGACAGCCTCAGCAGTATGGTTGTCTCCGGCAGCTTGTTTGACTGCCTGTGAAAACGGTGCCTACTAAGTTGGGTGGCTTTTAGGCGGGTAGCACCGCTGGAGAAGTCGGGAAAGTAAACTCTGTGCTCGACAAGAATACCAGCAAGTTCCTCGACACATCAGTCAGATCAAGCAAAGAACATGAAAATACTTCAGAAGTGGTATATTTTCAAGCATAGTCACCCACAACCTCGAAACTCAACGAATGTTCTCGAAGCTTCCGCCGTATTCGTCTGTGTGCGTGTTATTCATAGCACTCAAGAAAGAGAACAGCAGATAGCTGTGAGCATTGTGAGTTTCAATGACGTCAGTGCCAGCGATTGCCTCGATCTGCGTCTTCGATAGCTCCTTAGGCACCAGGGAGGCGTCATCGAAAGACGCTCCTATACATTCCCTGACTATAGTCTGGACGTGAGATGACCGTCGTCTGCAGAATATTAAACAGTGAAGATAGCTGCGTGACATTAGGGTCATTAGGAGAGCCTTCATCGTGTCAGTGATCAACATGATGACTCACGAAGATACGATTGTGTGTGAAATATCGCCCCCATAATCTTGATAGGCGGTGATAATATTAGTATAGGAGCTGAGAGTCAAAAGTTTGCTCGACCAAGGTAAGGTTGGCGAGTGCATGCTTGTTTGCTGGAGTCTACATGTCGAGAAGTAAATAATTGTGTGCGCGGAACGCCTTCCATGTCTTCCAGGCGATATATACAACTGGTGTCCACCCAATGTTGTGTCGGGTCGAGTTCACTGATTCAGCGTGATTCTTAATGAGATGCAATGGAAAGAACTTGAAGCTTTCTAGCGATTACGAAGGGCTTCAATAAAGAAACGTGGTGGCTACAAATACAAGAAAATAACACATTATCTTTGCCACGTAAAAGCGGGAGGTCAAACTAGAAAGAATATTGCATACCACATAGATTACTCCCATCCTTTCCACTACGTTCCTTTCAACCGGTTCGGACACAAGCATAAACCCTCGATTTCGGGAAGATGACACTCCACAAAGGAGTTCGAGAAACAAAAAATTGGAAATGGAACCAGCCCAAGAGTAGTCTGAATCGAGTTTCACGATCCACGAAGGATACGCGAGCCACGAAGTGAACTCAAGGACAAACCAGTGCCATCGTGTATATCCCTCATACGCAAGGAGAGTGAGTAGAACTAACATTGTAGCATTGGGTCATCTCCAGCCGCAAGATGTTCACGAAACTCGGCGTATGATATGCTTGCAGCGAGCGGAGACCCTCGTCGGTAGGGTAGGCACTGTAGGAAGATACCTCGACAGGAATGTACCGCAACAAAGCCCGGGGACTAAGCATCTAGCTCAGATTTCTCTACGTCCCTGAGCGCCCTTTTGACGGACGCACGCGCGATAGGACTGCTGCACGATGGAAAAAGTTTGCACAATCCCTGCAACGCTTTCAAAGCTTTCATTCTCGCCCTCCTCTGTTAGAACAGGATCTTGGGATATGAAAATGAAGCTGCTTTTCTGGTACGTCACGCAGCTGATTACAGCTGGGCTCTGCTAGAGCCGATCGAGAGGGATTAAAATACTCAGACCTTAGCCCGCTCAGAAATGTGGATGCATGAAGCAATCTGTACGTGATGAGCATTCGTGGCCTTTGAGCTGGTTGAGAAAGAAAGAGGAAATTTCAAGTCCCCTGGCTTATAAAGTCATATACTATTACTAATACATTCAAACTCAGCGTTTAAGGCAGAGTTTAAAATTTAAGACAGCATCAAAGGTTAAAGTGGGGGAGCTTTTGGAGACAGTGGTGGGCACTGGGAGGGACGCATGCCGATACGCTCTTCCTGAAGTACGTGCATAGCTACCCTCGGGAGATCACGGTTGCTGTTCACCTATGATACCTCCATCATAATTTCCACTCCAGAGTCCACGGAAGCATTGAAACCAAACGCCATCTTTGTGCACACTCATGGGGGACCACCCAAGATTGTGGTAGCATGCCAGCCAGCACCCGCCAACATCGTAACTCATACACAGCAACCCCCATCGGATATGCTGTTCGCTTTTACCTCCATTACTGCACTATTCACATTTAGACTGTCAAGCATCACATGCAGCCACTGTTTCTTGCCTCATGCCAGGTCCTCATATCACCACCCCCCGCTGCGCGCCCCTCATCTGGATTGTGGGAGGCTGCATGCGATGAAATGAGAACCGTTTCGATCGACAAAAGCGATGTAGAACGGACCGTATCACATGGACTGATGCCCGTCAACGTTGCATCAATTTACACAGCCAGGTAACGCGCCATTGTTGATTTTGAAGATCCGGATGTAGCACAAATGGTATCATTTGTCATACTTATCCAATTGATTCGCCACTCACCGATACCAAATATGATATCTTCAATGTGATTCTAGTCTCAAATGAGCCCAGTCGGTACCCGATAATCAAATTGGTATCGTGGTTACTATTTCTTCGGTTTGTGGCGAGCAGATGTTCCCCTGCCTCTATCTATATATGACTGCGGTGTCGTATCCTCTACTGTTGGTATACGATTGAGGTGAGCAAGGTAGTACTTACAGACTCTGGGCATAATTGATGTCCGTTTGGTATTCTCCAGCACTAGGGAGGCTCAAACCGTCACCAAAGCAGATTCTCACTATGAATGATTTCACAGCTGGACCTGGTCTAGGTGAGCGGGGTCCCACATCAGGAAGGATGTCACATTTGATTCAGGGCGGAGGCAGCGCTAACCTTTCAAGTTCATGACCATTCTATATATCAGCGTAAGTGGTCTATATCATGGGCACAGTTGACAAGGTTCACTCAACTTCAAAGATATATAGGTACACTATGTTGGAATTCTATCCTCTGTCTATGTTTTCAAGGTTAAGACATTGGCACTGTGCTAATAACCCATCTCTCACGATTAGCATCAGCATGCTGTGCAAGTGCCCCTGCTCGTTGACTTCTGACCGGCGGTATGCAGTAAGTTTTCCGGGAGTCTCGCTGACAAACTTTGTCACTGATCTGTGTTATCGCCTGCCATTTTCGTCCACATAATTGCACCACTCTAGAGGCGGAGTAAGGCCGTTGACGGGCTTGTTAGTTTGATCTAATGACTGAAACAGTTGTGAGTGGTGAGCCATTCAGTCACAGTACCCCAATGATACTGACTTTGACTGACATGTCATAGTCATCACGATTACTCGGCTATATGCCATGTATTGGCAATCAAGAAAGACTCTCACTTTTCTTGGTGCAACCTTGCTGGCTACCACGGTGTTAGTAAAATTTCATGTTTTACTTTGCAGTGCAAGATCGTAATATGGACGTGATTATCTTTGATGCCGATCTTCTATGCGTCCTGATTGTGCTATTCTTCTTGCTTTGCAACTCGGCTATCTCCAAATCTATTGGTACGCCGATCTGCCACCGAGTTATCTGCATCTGGTCATTCATTATTCTTATAGAGCTCATGTTCCTTGGGATTAGATACTTACAAGAAGTCTCGTTTGCGCAGATATTGTGCTGGGACCATACCTTATTCTTAGCGTTGGAGGATGCTACGCCAAGCGTGTGGCTAACTCCGACACGGTGATTACAATCATATTCCAAGAACAAACACGTGTATCAACTGCCAGTGGCGTGTAGCTCGGGAGAGGCTGGAACCTGTAGGAACATGATCATCTGTTTCGAATCCTGTTGTGGTAATAACAGTTTGATGTTACGAGGTAGGTTTGAAAGAGCAAAATCACGCAACTGCTCAACGCATTGTTCACTGCGAGCGCCTGATGAAAGTCTTTGCTAACAACTAGCTTATGCGTCCTTAGAGGAACGAAGGAAGCAGAGGGGGCGGTTAGATTGTGGTCATGAGCAGACCGCAACCACCCCCGAAACAATCCATGAATGACAAATGGGGTTCAAACTATTATACATCATGAGCATCGTGTTCGTGTCGTTATCCACCAGAGCGGTACGGGATTCCGCTCGAAAGTCGGGAGAGATCTAGGCACAAAAATATGTCGGCCAATATGTCAAAGTACTTTTAGGGGTGACCAACAAAGAGACATACTAAAAATATCGGGTCACTTTGGGGTGCACCGGTGAAGGCGCAAACACTGAATTATCATAATACGGTAGATCAAAGGTCACGCGTCACGGCTAGCCAAGGCTAACAGGGTCAGGCGCCTGGATGAATTATTTTCGCTGGAGAACGACTCACCTGACTTGCTTGTGATTCATCTATGAAATTGATAATTCAGATATGCCGAGAGAAGGACGTTAGCTAGCATCCCCATATAAACGCAGCGCCTCTTTGAAACACTGAGAGCGTGAATATCACGGCGGAGACAGGATCGGTTCCATATTCCAAGGGAAGCAACTGTGCCTGCTAAATTCAAAGGTTGCTCGGTGCTTTCTGAGTGACCGCAGACATCCATTATCTTGGTTGAGAATTCTCTGAGGCTAGATTGTCCTTGCAACAGAGATTAACCATCTGAAGTAGCATCCAGTCATCGAAAAGCCAAGAATGTTGAAGACCAATGGATAGCAACTAGACCTAAACTGCTCGCGAAGATAGAAATGTCGACCTAGAGCCTGTATTGCGGTCATTAGAAGGGGAGATTAAGTCCACATAAAGTCTAAGAACACCGAATGCCGAACTTAGATCATGATAAATAAATGTATTCACAAATCTTGCACAATGGGATTGTCTGATTGTGAACTATCGCACGTACAGGGTTCGCTACTAATCACGAATCGGGAACATTGAATATCAAAGCTTCCCCTTGTCTGGATGGTCTGGGCCAACTATAACACGTGGAAGATCGTGACGAATGCGGGATAAAGACCGACAGAACATCATCCATAGGAAGTCAACTTACGCGTTGTTGTTATCGTGCGGCGCCGGTCAAGGTTCGAAGAAGTGATGGGAGTATGGATTCGTGAAGCACCGAAGAGGATAATTTTTGATTCACCGAGGTCGGGACAATAAGTATTACCCGCACTTGTTGTCCTGAGAAGTAATGTCCTTGCTACTATTGAAAAACTGGACGTCATTAGAACGAAAAAAATTGAGTAATACTGCTTACCGGTAACAGTGGAAGAAGAGAGGGGAGTCAAAGGAAAGAGAAGGAACATTAGGATATTTTGAGAGCGCAACTCCTTTTGGGATGGCTATAAAGCGTTACAGCGCTGATTGACAAGGACGACACAAGAACACGATAAAAGACCTAAAAAGACTTGCATAGTTAGTCTTATAACGATAAGTGCAATGAACCAGAAATTATAAAGAGATTTAGACCACCGACTCGTATAGGAAAGCAGTGTGGGAGGTTGCAACGTTTGTAGCGGAGTCAACGATCTTTGGGTCGGAGAAAGAGACAGAATCATGCGTGCGCTGTCAAACTCAACTTTGATTGACAATTATGGCCCACGAATTCGCCGCTATCGCTCTTTTCATACGAAGGTCTGCTCATCGTAGAGCTCGACATCATGAAGTTTGGAGGATGAGAGGAACCAGGCGCACGGCATCACTTAAAAGTCACGTTTTCGCGTTTTATAACTTTTATTCAAGTCCCACGTTCACAGTTGTGCCTTCACTCCATCATTTATACTCAAAAACTACCCTTTTCCTCGTCATACTCTTCAAGACCTTTGCGATATCGAATTTGGTATCAAACCGATAGCGCCAGATCAAATAATTTGAAGCACCGGAGCGTAGGAAGCGTGTTCTGAGCGGCGACGATCGGAAAACTAAGCAATTTCGAGCGGAGTGAGCAACAACTTTCTTCCATTTCCTTCCATCCATCCATCTGTCTCCTCTACTGGAGCCTATTATCTGTCTGCTTCACAAAATACCGGCTCGATCAAACACTCAACATGGTTCCCGTTCTACAGGTCCGTGACTATTCGCTTACCCATAGAGAACAAATTTCTGTGAGGAGCGCTGGGCAAAGTTTTTGTCCCCAATGGCAAGCGATCAAGCCAAGAATGCTGGTGCTGTAACACAGGAACATCACATCCCACCATACCAAGCATACGGTGCCTACTCGCCACCTTTTCCGGTCTACTATGATCCGAGCCATCCTGAACCAAACGGTGGGCCACATCCAGCACCCCCGTACATCTATCATTACCCGCCTCCAGGGATGATGTACCCATTTCCTCCTCCTGGTAGGTCTAGTTTCGCGGCGTTGTTCTCTGTCGTTCTCTCTTGTTCTCTCTTACGTTAGACTCGTAGGATTTCCGCCTTACGCACCCCCTCCCCAAACCAACTTCCAGCGCGTTAAGCGTAAGCAGGTCAAGATGGCGGTAAGTTGACGTACATTTTTTGCGCCCATTTCCTAAATTAATTAACTTATTATGTCAGTGTACCAACTGCGCAAATGCCTGCAAGCGTTGTGACGAGCATCGTCCATGTGAACGATGTGTCAAATATGGTATCCCAGAAACGTGCGTTGATGGTGTGCGGAAGGAGCGACAGAAGGGAATTAAGCGGGGACCCTATAAGCGCAAGAACAAGTCAGGCGGCAGCGATACTGCTACCTCACCTACTCATAATCCCAGTTTCGAGAGTACGTTGCAATCATCAATCTGCATTTATTTTACTCATTGGTAGAATTGATAGCTTTCTCATCTACCCCAAATGAAGCAAACGGAGACCCAGCATGGCACCCGCCGAACGGTGTAGCACAGGGTTCTGCGACTGCAACTCCTGCACCCTCGTCAATGCCAACCTTTCCACCTCCGCCACCACCACCAGAGGGGGGATATTATCCGCCCCCATATTTCTATCCTCCCCCTCCTGGTTTTGTACCACCCTCTGAGGGTCAGGCGCCCGTGGAAGGGTCCCCAAATTCTGGCGTACCTCCTCCGATGATGCCTTACTATATGCCTCCTCCTGGATACTATGGACCGCCATATTATGGCCCTCCTGGCGTGCCCCCGCCCGCCATGGATCCAGCTCAGGCTGAGCTTCAAAGGACATCTGGCCCGCCTGTAGATCATGATCCTGATGTCGAAGAAATACCGCCGCCTGCTCCGAAGACCAATTCAAAGAAGAGATCTAGAGTGGGGAAAGATGGACAGCCGAAAGCGAAGAAGACTAAGGTCGCTGCTGTCGTGCAAGAATCTTCAACTTCTAGTGGAACGACGGGAGGGAGCGACCAGGCTTCAGAACCTGGACATGGCAGCCCAGCTGAGATTGGTGATGCATGAATATCACTGGATCTATTGCTGCATACAGTTCCCTGCTTTCGCGCTACTGTTTTCTCTTTTTTTTGCGATCTTTGCTTTCTCGTTGTTCAGTTTCAAATGCATGTTCGATGTGATTCTGTTTTGCCTCCTACGTACTTCTGAAAACTTTCAGAGACTCCGACGCTCTTTGACCACCAACAAGGTCTCGATGAGGATGATAATGTGTAGAGAGGGTGTAGATCGTGTGACGCGATCCTGTTTATGGTCAAAAAGCCGCCGGAGGCAAAGTATCTGTCATTCTCGAACCCCCGTACGTCGATGATTGGAATATTGGCTACCCACAGTCATTTTGAACGTTCCTGGATTTCTATTCTGCCGCCTTTTTTCTTCTTGGCCTTTGGAATTACGGTTTCTGCTCGTTGTATGTATATGACCTGTCTGTCATCCTATGCTTCCCGTCTTCCTGCTTTCACTTATGTATGATATGATTGGGTGATATTTATTATTGTAGGATATAAAGCAACATCGTGACTTACATAAATTGATTTTCAGAAGCGTTGATCGGTTATAATAGGCAGGGGAAGAGAGTTCGTCGACATAAAAATACCTTGCTTGCTGCGGCAAGGTTTTCATGCTTGTCTGAAATTCAAGGGTTCATCGCAACTTGAACGTGACTGCGGTCCGCTACAACACATAAGTTGACATTCACGGACTCGCGTTCCTCAGCTCGTCAGCTCGTCAGTCTGTGCAAATAGGTTGCGTAATAAGGCCTTAGAACGACAGAGTGAGCGCCAAATATGAGAGAAGCGGAAGGGCATCAAATAAAGAAAAGATGTAGGTCCCTGAACAACTTGTTACGTAAAGTTACCGGCTATATCCGGGCGTTTGTTTATTTCAAAAGGCGTTGCCAAACAATGCTCGAAATTTTGAGTGACTTCAAAACCCGAAAACCGGTTGTGTCTGTCTAAACTTCCTCTTCGCCATCTTTTGTACTTTTCCTTCCTCACGCAACATGTCTGTTCTCCGTGCCCTTCGTCAGGTTGCTGCATCTTCGTCACGGGCTGTTGCTCGTCCTGCGGCTCGCTCCGGCCCCTTGCGCCTTGCGACCGTACAGCTTGCTCCACGGGCTTCCATGACTGCTGCAAGAGCTTTCTCGGCATCTACGTGTCGTTTGTCGGAGGGTTCGAGTGAGCTTTGTTCTTTTTTCAATGAACCAGTCCTCACCCTTTTTTGGTGGCAATAGCTGACGTTGTCCTCTCACAAAAACTTGCCGAGGAACTTAAGTACGAGAAAGAGGCTGTTGCTGACGCGCCAGGAGAGCCTGAGTTCTTGAAGACATTCAAGGAGCAGGGTATCTGGGAGGTATGTGTTATGCCAAGTAAATGGTGGGCTTGTTCCTCAGACCTTGCACGCAGATACAGGACGTTACTGGTAACGACGAGGTCACTCTCGTACGGAAGTTTGGCAATGAGACGTGGGTAAAATTTTATACTGCTTGACGTATACTGATATGTTTTATAGTATTCGTATGATGTTCTCTATTGCCGACATTCAAAACGCTGAGGAAGAGCCGGAATACGAGCAGGAAGAAGGTGAAGGTGGAGAGGAACAACCTCCCCACTCGTACCCTATCCGTGCTTCGTTCTCCGTCACGAAGGTAGATAGCCTCACGTGAAAAATTCTTTGCGCTTGTGCTTATATTTGGATGTAGGCCAATGCCAAGGGGTCCATCAACATTGACACTATGTGCCAGGAGGGCGCGTTCATCATTGACAACATGTCCTACTATCCTGATGCACAACTTGGTACCGAGCTTACCGCCGAGGCTGACTGGAAACGCCGGGGCTTGTACATCGGCCCTCAGTTTGACACTCTCGACGTTTCTGTCCAGGAGGAAATTGAGAAGTGGTTACAGGAGCGGGGTATCAATGAAAACCTTGCCACGTTTGTTCCTGAATATTCAGAATTCAAAGAGCAGAAGGTTAGTGGTCGTTTACCTGTCCATTGTTTGCAGGACCTCATCGCTTTCCCCCATAGGAATACGTAAGGTGGTTGGACAACGTGAAGAACTTCGTGGATGCGTAGGCATGTAGTTCCCGCTCGCACGACCACTCAAAAGCCATCCCCGCTATCTGCATGACCTTGCACCTATCTTTACACGTACAACCATACATTTATTGGCTGTTATCTCCCCTCTCAATCTCACTAGCATTTAATGTCACTCAATGTTCATCACTATTGCTTTTAAAATTTTTTCGTGTCGACGTAGTGTCTTCAAGTTTCAGTGGTTTGTGTAAGCACGCTGGCTTACTAGAGTTCCCATAATCGACATAAACACTGTCTGCGATACTGAAACATAAGCTTTCAGTATCACTGCCTTTTGGTGTTACAGTTGGGCGGACGACAGTCTTGGCCAGTATTACTTTGCTAACTTATCAGAGTTACTGTGATTGACAAATAGGGGAAGTTGGCTAGAGTTGATCGTCACGTGCGACCGCATAGGCTGCCCAGAATGCGTCCACTATGAGCTGCCAAGACCATTTACATAAGGCAATGCAAACATGTTTCAGACCTTCTCATTGGCCTTCACAGATCATCTATGTGGCGGTCCAACTTGAAGTGGATGAGCCACCACCACTGCCGCTTCATGCCACGCTAACATACAATAACCAACTGACAATGGGTCTATGCATGCGCAGGTCCACAGGTTGCTCCTGTGAGTATATATAACACTTCGTTCAAGCCAGAACATGGTCAATTCATCTCTCGCGTCCTCATCTACCAAGTCCCCTCCAGTAACCCGCCTCCCTCGCCACCTCAGTAATGTCGTCATCTTCCGGACTCTACATCCCCGTACACCGACGGGAACCTCCACCGGGTTCGGCTAGCTCAACAAAGGTTTCGTTACCCGCACACTCGTTGTTACCCTTGCCTCATGATAGTAGTGAGTATTATCATCTAGCCTTCACCCATCGGGTGGCACATACCTCATGTTCGTCACGTCATACAGGACCTATCTACACACCTTCAGACATGCTACTATTAGCGTCATCGCCTCTGTCAAAGTTATCGCAGAACGAATTGAACACCCTGCGAGCCGTAGCACCAGAAATTGTCCAGAGCCAGAGGCAGCGCAAAACACACGAATGGAACATGAGTTTTGGCCCGTACTGGCCCGGGAACCCTCGCAGACGCCCTCAATTCCCGTTGGGGTCACATCTAAACACTTCTGAAATTGAAGGTGAAGGACAAGGATGGAGGAAGTGACGCGTAGTGATACACACACCCGTCCGAGTCGAGTCCTCCCTAGGCATATGCGAAGGCAGTCTTTATTATGCTACAGATCATGTTGTATGAATCCAATTTTTTGAGCCAACGCCTAAAGAGTCGTTTGAAAGCGTGTATCTGAGAAAGACGAGACCTTTGATTTCTTTACAGCAGAGATGGTCCAGGGTTACCGCAAGCTTGGACAGGGATGTATGAGGAATCTGTCTCCAAAATAGTGGCTGGCAAGCTGTAACCTTGCTTTAACAAGTAAAACGGATGGTTAATTTGATCCTCATGGACCTTATCAGATGAACGAGATTAATAGCAAGAGACGCCTGATAACTATCCATTACAAAATGAAGAAAGGGGAGAAAAAATGTGCATAGCGATGAGTAGCCCTTGCCAAACACAAACAGGCAGGAATAAATTAGAAAATAAGCCTATACCTTGATCAACCCCTTCAACCACCTCACCCACTCACCAACATCTGCAGTACGTGTGTAACCAACGCTGACAACTGCCAGACTGACCAACAAGAAGAGCAATTTGGTGTTGCGCCTCCGTTCGATCAACTGCTTAAAGGGCCTGTTCAATAAGCCAAGCTCCAAGTGCCAAATATTGTAACTACGTACATGGCCATTTGCCGAAATGGGACGGGGCGGAAGTTTTACGCGGAAACGTTTGAGTGACGCTAATTTCCCGGGCTGGAACTTATCGTGAGGGAAGTGTCAAGGAGTATAAATCATCAAAACTTACGCTGTAAGGGGGAAACCTTCCTCCTATAATATTGTCAATCCTGTAAGATGTCACAAAGTGAGCAGGCGGACGAAATTGTAACAAAAGGACGAACCATCCGGGCGAGTCAAGAGAGGCACGTAGGTGCGTGAACATGTCGAAGGAGAAAGTTCGTGTGTGATACCCGGCTAACGACATGTGATTAGTGATAACTTGATTGAGAGAAGGATGAACTGACATCCGCTGGGGCCAATACCCCCGAATGGCAATCCATCAGCTATAGCACTATCAGTGGGCTATCTTCATTGGAAACATCGTAAGACATACTAGCGCAGTGTATCAACACATCATTGGCAATGGCTGAGCCACTCTGAGTATTGTCAAACACTGACCAAGAATGTCAACGACGATGACTTGATAGACAATCGAAAGTAAAACACACCCTTGTTTTTGAAGGCTGCATCTGGCGAGAAACAGTACAAAGCGAGCGGATGATCGCTGGCAGAATTCAGTCTGATGTTAACATGTAAACAGAAGCACAACTCACTGAGCATTGATGTATGCAATTGCTGCATCGACATCATCCACAGGCATGATAGGCAGGATCGGCCCGAATAGCTCTCTTTGCAACCAGTCAAACGTTGCTTGAAAATACTCCGACAGACAGATATATACGCACTCGCTCATTAGTGAATCTTCATCTTTGATACCCTTGACCACGGTAGGGGCTATAAATTTTCGTGACTCGTCGGTTTGCCCGCCAAAGGCGACGGTGCCGGCAGTGCTGTCGAGCAATTTCTTAAGACGATGGAAGTGCGCAGGATTGATGATACGAGAGATATCCGGAGTGGTAGTAGCACCAGAAGGATAGAACTCATCGTGTCTGCGGGCGCAGTAGGATACATATTGAGCATGACGTATATAAGGGTGTGATGAGGTACGCACGCATCTTTGAGGGCCTTTACGAACGCGTCTTCTGAAGAGCGCGGGACAAGAACATAATCTGGTGCGACGCAGGTCTGACCCGCATTAGCGCACTTGCCCCACAGGATACGGCGTGCAGCAATCTTGAAGTCACATTTAGGGTCGATAACAACAGGGGACTTCCCTCCGAGCTAGGAAGATATTGGCGCCAGCACATCACACTGAAAGTATGGATTTACCTCGAGACTAATAGGGGAAAGAGTCTTCGCAGCAGCTACGCCTATAAGCTTTGCTACTCGCCCGCTCCCGGTGTACAGAACTAGTTGTCTCGCATCATAATTTCGACAACAAACACAGTAAATTGCACATACCGTGGCCCCATTGGTATTCCATGAGCTATATGACCTGATAAGTATGCAGTTCATATCTAACAGAAATGAATGACACACCTTGCTGGTCTCCGTGACAGCACCCAACACGACTCGAACGACATCATTGTCCAAATACTTTGGAATTAGTTCCGCGATGAGGCCACTTATGGCGGGGGACAGTTCAGACGGTTTGAGAACGACACAGTTACCGGCGGCAATTGCTCCAATCTTGGAAGGGAAACAATGAAATGGAAGTGAGCGCGAGAAAAGACGAAAATGAACATACGATAGGTCCGAGAGCAAGCCATACGGGGTAGTTGAATGGGCTAATGGACAACACGACTCCCTTTGGTTCCTTGCGAATAGCTGGACGGAAAGCAGCAAATTTGATATTGAAAGGTGCCTTTTCGGTTCGAGCCCACTTGTCCACCCGGTCATAAGCGATCTTACAGTCACTTATAGTTGAGTCAAGCTCGAGGCTGGGGTGCACTTAAGTGAGTTTCATGCACGGTAACTTGGCAAAACAATGCTTACAATGAAGATTCTAGCGGAGGTCTCCCAAGGTCGGCGGCCAAGGCCTCCCTGAAACGTTCAATGTTGTCCTGCAGAAGGTAACCTAGTTGCAGGATCTGGACCTTTCTGAATGCAATGGGTTTGGTTTTGCCTGACCGGAAGGTCTTGTTGAGAGTGGTGTAAATCTAGAGCGCGTTTCGTGAGCTACAAGACAGTAATTGTGGATTGCAAGCCTCGCACCTCGTCAATTTCTTCGAGCGTCGTGAATGTTAACTCAGGTGCCATATTTGACATGTTGGTTGTATGTACACCGAGTGAACACGTTCTATAACCACGTTGTCTTTAGCATATGCACAGTATAAAGTCCTCAACACAACTGCGTCCAAATTTGCAACCTATGGTACAAATGGATCGAGAACGAACACAAGTGTATCCACATATGATGCCATTTCCACCAGCCCGCCAATCATCGAAGGACTTACGGTCTCACACACAAATAATATCAAGTCTCCAAGGATCTACGGTTTTCAATTCTGCGGTTCGGATGGAAGGGTATCTGAGGCTATGGAAGGTGACTGCAGTAGGCAAAAACGAATGAAAAGAATCAACTGAGAATGCCCTGAGTTTAAAGTTAGTATGATGAGAAATTATAAGCCCGGCACAACCGGCTGGTTGCAAACATTTGAAAGATTTATCATTATGTCATTATGCTCATCTCTACCATAGGAACGTTCACACCGGTTATGTTCATCCGTGTTTATGCTTATAATCAAGTGCTGTCGAGCGTTCCTCTGTGGCAGGCTCTGCCAGTACTAGTGCATTATTGATCATCCGAGTCTGGTTAATGCCATGAGAAAGAAGTATCCACGCCCCCTCCCATTCCCGATGTCCACTACTAGTCCGTGAATATCATGATGACATAGACCTTGCGTCGAGAAAGACCAGAACAGTCTTGTTTTACTCGAGAAGCAGAACAAGAAGGAGGTAAGTACTATCCATCTTTAGATCCGCGTTCATTTTCTAACAATATCATGGAATATTTACATGTGTGATAAATGAATGTTATGTTCTTGCCGACGGTCTGAATTCGACGACCACTGCGGATGCTCAAAGTATCTGGGGTATGCTTTCTTTCATAGTGTTTTTCTAGTTTCGAATCGACTCCTCAAGTAGACGAGATTTCTAGAAATTCCCGTTCTTTCCCGTCCTTCACCGCATCCTCGTCTCGTCCAAATGTAACTCCCATTACCATCACCACGAATGTCGGTCTGCGCAACAAGAAGACTCGATGTAGATGAAGACTGCTAGCTTTCGGAACAGGTATTCATCCATGTTGATATCGGTAGCGTGCTTGTCGAATCACGATAATGCAGGTGTTAGCACGATCGAGGAGCACCCGGTTTGGGATATAGTTCTCAATTTGCTAGGGTATGGAGGAACCATGGTCAATATATATGTATGCAGATACTGCTCATGGAAATAATTGCGTGCCATATGCTTCGCTCGCAAGTTGCTAGTCCCCTTGTAACATGGTCAGACTGCCGCCACGCATAACCGTTACACCAAAAGGTGAAATACTGAAAGCTTAGCTTTCAGTATCAGCGACGGTATATGTACTGATTATGAGAACTCAGGTAAGCCAGCGTGCTTACATCCCCTTTGAATCCGCTAACTGACAACTGACACAACCATGGGGTTGTAGGCATAAACAATTATTGTTCTGGGTGTCGAAAACCTGCGATGATCGATCCATGGCCAGGTCCATTGAAGGAGGAGCAAGTTGAAGGAACGACTAGCTTCATTTGTCTGTCTACGCAGGGGACATGCCCCTAAGTATGTGTATACTATGTAACATGGTCAGACCGCCGCCACGCATAACCGTTACACCAAAAGGTGAAATACTGAAAGCTTAGCTTTCAGTATCAGCAACGGTATATGTACTGATTATGAGAACTCAGGTAAGCCAGCGTGCTTACATACTACTTGTTATTGTGCTAAGTTATGCGCTGCTCTGCCAGCTTGTCACAGACTCGACTTCAGGTTCCTATGGCTCCTAGGACCTAGGTGTCATTGGTATCACCTTAGTGACTACTGCTGATGTGATCAGTAGTCTCGCAGTGCCGGGCTGAATCCGTCTGGAGAAATTACATCCCCCTTCGTCGCAGTAATTATCAAAGCTCTCTGGGCGGACGGAGGTGACATTCTTATACGAGTATCTGCTGCTCCTGTACGAGAATATCGGTCGGCACGATCACAAGCTGCTCTAAACGCCTAAGACACGGCGAGGAAAGTTCCACGGACAGACGAATACATATCCCAAGACACATTTATGAATGTCGCGGTATTGATTTCAAATATGTCCCTGATTTGGCTGGGTGTCAGTTGTATAAGCCATCGACTTGAAAATCACATTTCGCAGATATTTGCAGCGATTCGACGCTCATCGTCAGCTTGAAGGTTTGGGTAACAATGTTGGCTGCAGCCAGGATGTAGGTAACAACTACCCAAAGATCCCATGGAGGTCGCAGACGCGATTGACGCATGAGTGTAGTCGATTAATCCAGGCAAGTATCTCTACCAGGAGTGATTGTCCGAAAGGACGACAAGAGAGGGGAAGTGTGCATGGAAATACAGCTTCAGCCGGACGTGCTGGATTAATCCAACGAGAATTGGGGAGGGTGAGAGTAAATAACTACCAGGTGCTGGTGACCCAACAGTTCTATTCACAGACATGATATCATCAAGCCTGTACAGTGCTCCAAAGGGGTGCTGCGAAAATGCAAGATTTGGCAGTAGCCATGCGCTGGAATCTTGCGAAAATTTGGACCCCTCGAAAGCTTTCGGGACGGAGATGTACCCTGAGTAGCTAATTGCTGTCGCATTAGAAGCATTCGACATCGGACATCTGTCACCATTGATAGACCAGCTGAATATTCACGGGTAGCACCGTAGCAGTCGTATTCGCCATCATGTCGACCAGATATTGAGTAAGATTGAATCCAGCGACAGTGTACGCCGGTAGCAATAGTATGCCTTCGTAGATAGATGAGCGAGAAAACCAAAAACCCTGGTTCTAAACGCACTTACATACCTGAGCTCCTGCATGCAAGCGCATGCAGCTTGATCGGCCATGTAAGGTAGATATCCTATATGAATTTAATCAATATACTGGAAACCAAGCCAGCATCATGACCCTTAATAGCGGCGATCGATGATGCAACCTCTCAACTATACATAGGAAGGTCACCGTCAAGGGTTATCTCTCCGTGACGGTGTGTCAAAACGTAATGTGCGTAGGGCATCCTGACATGAAAGAAATTAAGGCCCACCTCCTCGTGGCTATGAAGACATGGTTCATCAAAGATTCTCGTGTCTGTCAAGGTAAGCGCTGGCGGCGGGGCTCAAGTGGGCCTACATCGGCATTATCGGGCGCTTAGGGCTGTTGAAGACACTCAGCTTGAGGATTCAGGTCTAACAATACTTATTGTCTATTTAGGTTGCGTGAGGAACCAAAGGGTTCTGAGGTAATGCAACCCGAATACCCCGCATACTTGAGGCTAGTTAAGGCCGCCATCCTGCATGACTATAGCCAGGTACTAAGAATTATAATTAGCTTTCACTTGAAGCTAAAAGCGCTGAACATTACATACAGTTCTTAACTTCATCAGTTGGGATCTAATGAGAGGTTTCTTAGCAGCATCCGAATACCGGACTCGGACTCACTTGTAGTCTAGATATTTCCTCGTTTCCTCTCTTGGCGGTTGTGCATTATAAGCATTTGCATATTTGCGCCCGCGTGCTCGGTTTAGGGACCAACTCTAAAGGACGTGTAGCCACTGGCAAATGTCTACGTGCCCTAGGGCAGTGGAACCAGTACCGCTGCCAACCATAATGCGCCACCAGAGGGCCCGACTTCGGCCGATACCTAACAACTGGTATAACCGGCTCGACTAGGCCACCGTTACCCACTGGTAAGAGTTCCTAAGTGCTGGCACTCGGTACAGTGATTTCGCCGGAGTCTAGTACTTTGCGTCCCCGCGATAAAGCGGTGACGAAACTGTTTGACATTTTGCTCGCCAGTATCAACTTCAGCTAAGCACTACTAAACATGGAAGAACTTACATACTGCATCAATTTATGAAACCGGGTGTACTCAGACTGCGGACCGGTCCTCGCTGAGTCCATATATGGTCTTCTTGCACAGCCCTGAACCAAGGTTCGAACAGATCAAGGGAACTTGAAAGGGACTGCGCGTTTGATAGATGTCGTCACTTGTGTGATCAGATGCACAATTGTTTTGATGTGATCACGAGCTACAAAGCACAGGAAAAACCTTAGTCGTGTGACCATTTTTTCTGATGTGTCGACCCATATTATTACAGTTATGGTTGCAGGACGCTAGGCTAGTCCAGAAAAAAGACATCATAAGCGGGCAAGTGGTCAGCCCACGAACGTTCTGAACTCCTGTCAATCAATCGGGAGGAGTCACATACCTAGGAATTCGCGACATCTGATCGGACATTGCAAGCCAAACAGCGTTTTATTTTTGACCACTGGCCTACATTCAACTGGGTCCGGAAAGTTCCCTCCGTCACCGTCGCTGTCGTAGTATCTGATATGAAGCAGAGCATACTGATTGTGTTTGATGTATACCTGTGGGAGTGTTGGGGCGATGCAGTGAGAGCGGGGATAGAGAACTTACCGAGTGGTTGATGCTCGGGAGTGTATTTCCTACGCTTCATCGGCTACAGCACGAGTTTACACTATGTATTGGTATTTGGTTAGGGCATCCACGCTCGCCAAACTCATGTCCGAACGGCAGCAGAGTTGCAGACGGCTCCCCGGATGCCGGTGAATAATAAGAATAATAATATTGCCCCATATCATTATTAACGCCGAAGAACAGCTGCAGGGTCTAATCGCAGTCCTGTGTCGCAAATTCCTAATTTGGGTTTAAGTGCCTTGTCACGCATTTCAATATTCAAAGACCGAGCGTAGATTGAAAGTCCTTTCAATAATAGAGTCACGATTGCAATCACACTGTAACGACGGTTGCAATTACGATGGCAATTGCCGTTGCAACACGTGGCAATCAATCTTAGTCATTGTAATGAGTGATTTGGCTGGAAAGCCGCATGGCGTTGAAATCGATTGCAATGTCAAGTAGCAGCTTGTAATGCGAAATGAAGACCTGAAATCTTGGTTTTGATATTTTAATAGAGATCTTGAATTGTCATATTCTACCATAATTACAAGACAAGTATGAGCGGATACTCAATGGAAACCCTCTGAAGCCAAATCCCCCACTCCCTAATATACCCTGCATCTTTCCCTTGAATGAATGGGGCGCTTGTCCATCATTTCTGGATCCTTCTGTTGCTGCCGATACCTCTCACTAACCTTCTCCCTTCATCTAATAGGTCGCCATACATCATCCGGTCCAACCCTGCCCTTGTGCGGGAGATATTTGGTGACGAACAAGAGACCACCAAGCAAAGTGTGCTAGCCGCTGCCAAATGGCGATCGATGATGGGGCCTGACATGGGTAAAGGGCGCTTGGGTGGAACCGAGAGGTGGCATGCTGGTTGGGCGCTATGGGTATCCCGCAGGCATTTGGCAGTGGTCTAGGGAGTGGCGCCTTGCGTGTGGGTGGGGTGTGGCATGGGAAGGGTAACGGTTTGGTGGTTGCTGTGCGATGTGAGAAGACCTTGACAGTAATAAGCTTCAGCACACCAAATTAGATATTCTACATACCAGTAGTAGCGCGGACACCATTGGGAATTGGGCCACGACGGTGCAGTCTGGGTTGGCATTAAAACATTAGCGAAAAGTATCAAGTATCAATATAATAAAAAGACTGACCTGTAACTGCGATTATTCGTTGGACACACTGTCAATGGATGGTTCAGAATGTCTGTACCATTGACCAACGAAAGGCATAAGGTCACTAGACAATGAGAACTTTTCAATAATTGTCGCCCCAAAAAAAGACTGCACACCGTTTGCCATGTGCTCGACGTCAAATCACTGGTAACATTGACTTGTGTGGAGGTTATTAATGGAGGGGAAGAGGGATTCAGTCAAGAGAGGAATCGACGGAAAGTCCGAGCAGAGCGACGACAAGTCTAAGTCTAAGCGACGTTACAGTCACACTGACAATGTGGTTGTTGTAAGAGATGTAAACCGGTGTGAAAACTTTACAATGAATAATAAATGATTGTTATGTAAGCATCACTTACCCGCGATTCAGATCAAGCAGCTGTAGGATAATCTGTGACTCGGATTCCTCAATTTTATCCCCAAGAATGTCGGCGGACGACTCCCAGAAATCAAAATATGTATCTGGTTTAGTTGGTACGTTCAAACTTTACTCAGCTCCCCTCTCCTGGCTATATTACAATCTCTGATGATTCAGACACAACCATCTCCCATGCCCACCCCCCTGACGTTTGGTTCGAGCAATCAGCCCCCGCATTGCAACGTTATGCCCATGAAAGGGTTTGTTCACGAGGTTCTTCGTTGTTCTCGCACGTCAGGCAGCGTTCTACAGACAGCGCTCTGTTATCTGGATGCAATCTGCGCCAAGGTCCCAGAGTTGGTCTCACAGGAGAAGGGTCGCCTGGGTCCACTTGCGAAAAGGAATCAGCTGAACGTATTGTCCAGGGTGAGGTATCCACATCAATCCTATTGCACTTAAGGCTGACTCTATTTGTATCCATGCAGCAACCGCGAAATGGTTCATGGAGACTAGCCTTATTGTTTCACCAATATCTTGCACTGTCATGGCTCGCCTCTGGTGGCAAGGCCTCGTGTGTGTGTCAGGCGGCACGCCACACTACCCGCACAAACCTTCTATTGCGAAGACTCTTGTTTGGCGACAATTTTGTTTGCCATTGAGACTAGGAATGGTTAGCAGTCCGAACAGCTCCAAGATCAGTCCACCCGCTCTTTTGAGCTGCAGAATGACAAGATGTGTATTGACGCTGAGTGATTTGACAGAGAACAGCAAGGGTATTAGCTAGCTATCATGTATTATATCACTTAGACTTTACGAGAACGTCCACGACGAGTAGGACCCTGCGTCGCTACAACCTTCCTCCCCCTAGTATTCTTGGCCTTTGCTTGTCCTCCACCCGATTCCGTCCTATCATCATCAGCTTCATCTGCATTGTTAGCTACTGCATTGACACTTGTATTCGAATCATTAGCGCGAATGACAGCCCTAGATACTGATTCGTCTGGATGTGTGACTGGCTGAGTGACGAGATTTGAACCTTCAGGTCCAGGCGCCAATGAAGGAGCTGGTAAGGCTGATATTGCCGAGGGTAATACTGAGAGTGCCGACAAGACCGGTGGAGTCACTGGAGTGTCTTCTTCGCTATCAGTGTCCATGTCAAGTGCTAGCATGGCGCGGTTGATCTCCTCTGAAAAATCTTCGGCACCAGCAGGATCCATCGATGTAGACAACTTTGCAGCACCGAAAACGTAGCGATTGATGTTAGTCACGATGGTTTTGATACGTTTTGTCTCCCACTTCGTAATTAGCAACTTCTTGTATTGAAAGAAGAGGTCCTTGTAGTTGATAGTTGACGACTTGCCAACTCCCGAACCTGGAAACTCTGTGTCTGGCGAGAGCAGAAAAATGACCTGTGTTGCAGTAGTGTATGAGTAGTAGAACGATTCAATGTCATCAAAATGACTTACAATAACCGCAGCCCATGCAATGGACCCTGGTGTGACTTGTTGCAAACTCCACTTCCGAGCGTTAGTCTTCGATCCACCACAAGGCTCTTGATGAAGCGAGGTGACGCCATAGAGTGAGGCCCTCAGGATCTAGATATGCCAGTATCAGTAGAGTACTAGTGAGCAGCAGGACAATTATGAGAGAATGATAGCGCACCTTTGCAAAAAGTGTCCAGTTGCCGAAAACGGTCTTGAGGGTTGTGTCTTCTTGGAGACTTGGGAACAAGAGAGGCGGAAAAATCTTGTAAGTCTGAGTCTTGCCGGAAACTCCAAACATCTTCTGAATGTCGACAATCGCAGCTCTGTCATAACTGGCATTGGCAAAGTATTTTCCCGGAAGCTCGAATATGTCTCCAGCAACGCCACGCAATTTCTTGATTTCGTTAGAACGAGCATCGGCGATGCACTTATTTACCTGTAACAACCAAATACATTAGGTAGTGGCTAGAATGAAAAGCAAAATTGACATACGAGGTCTTTGAAGTACTCGCTACCCATTACCGTTTCATGGATGCGTTCAGGGAAATGTGCATAGAGTTCATCTAAGAAAGCAGACTCTTGAGTTGCCGACGTCTTGTAACGATCAGCACTATTAAAAGGTGTAGGTGAATCGGGGCGCTTCTTGATGAGAAGCTCGCTGTCTGGGAACATCTCCACTGTCATGCCATATTTGCGGGCATACAACGAGATAGTTTGCTCATGGGCGACGAGGGCATCCGGTGCTTCTACACGCCGTTTCCGTTTAGGCTTCTCGGAAACCAGAACCTTATTTTTCTCCTTAAGGGCACGATTGTCTGCACGCAGCTGCTGAACCTCAAGCTGCAGTGCTTTGAGTGCCTGTATTGAGGAGAGTGTACGTTAGACAGCGTTATGCGATGAAGACGGTGGCTACATACTTCCATTAACTCTCCCTTGGAGGCATTAGGCCCTGGGATGTTATTCGAGACCTGGTCCGTATTGCCTTCGTCCCAGTCGCTATCTGAATCATCATCTGACACCCGCGCTGAGAGATGAGACATGTTCTAGATGCTCGATGGTAAGGTGACGGAGAAAACAGTGTGAATGTCACCCTAATATATAGGATGAGATGTACTGCTTACCTCGTGTATACTAGACGTAACATTACTGCGAGTGACGACATTGATTCAGTCTTGCGCGTAATAATACCAGTGAACTAATGAGAGGCACGTAAACAAAAACACGACTGAAGGCCACATGTTGATGGAAGAGCGACCTACCCTAGTCATTCTCTCTCACACATCGGCACGTCAATGCCAAGGAACCTATTGGAGTTAAAGCAATTGCAGCATTCATGGCGGCGTTAGAGGTCTATGACAAGCAAGGTCAGATCAAGACGTAAAAAACATTATAACAGAGGTCACAAACAACGCGACATCTGAAACACGCTGTTCCAATGCTGCTGTCATAGATTGCACGAAGTCTGTATGAGGTGAGTTGGTAGATCAGATAGACTGGGATCGAATTGCCCGGTTTCATTTGTGGGGTATTCATAGGCATGGAGGGGAAGTTGGGTGGTATGATAGGAGGGTTGGACTGAGGGTCATGAAAAGACGGGGCAGAGGGAGGGACACGCTGGGTGGAGGTAAGACCGAATTGCTGCTGAATCTGTTGTGGTTGCCAACGCCCGGGGGATTCGAAGCCGGAGGTACTGAAGGTGTCCCGTTCGGAGCAGGAGACTGCATGATACTTGAGTTGATGGTATTGGGAGTCGGGTGGCCTGGAGCAGCAGGAGCGTTGTGAGGTGACCCTTCTGGTATACCTGAAGGGTTATTGATCATGATGGGTTTGACATCCTTCTGATCTTTCATGGGACCACCCATAGCTGGTGACGCAGGTGGCGCCATGCCGCCCATAGGTTTGGCTTGAGCCAAGTTCTGGCCGATTCGATTGTTCTGGGGACCAGCAAACTGTTGTTGACCTTGCACAGGATGGAAACCTTGCTCAGAAGCACCGGGAGCGGCTGCCGCTAATAGGTTCTTTGTCGTTGCGGTCATACTCTGTCGGTACTGCAAGGCCTTCAGAACAGTTGAGGGGCAGCCAAGGGCTGCAACAAAATCGACGACTTACTGCATGAAGATAGCCTAGTATAATTAGACCATTAGTGAGACAACGAGCGAAGAAAATGAGAGGCTTACCAGGCATAGAGAGAGGAAGCCGACTTGAAGGGATACAATCAAATGCGTATTGGATGCCCTGCTGCAAGATGTAGCTCCTTTACACGAATGAACATGTCAGAGTCGACAGTGTCGACGACAAGGTAATCGGTACTGCCATCCGGCACGAGGAGAGCTCCGCGAATGATTGACCTCACTGAGAAAAACTCGGCTTGCGCTCGGGGTCTTGCTCGAACACGATAGATATTGAGGTGTTTGTCCTTTCGGAGCCGTACACCAGTGGGAGCGTCAAAAGGATGGATTAGAGCTAGAGAGAGCGTGATATCCCCAACTATACATTCAAACAGAAAGAGAAGGCGACCAAATATCACTTTGGCTTCTGTCTGAATGAAAACACAATCAAAACGCGCAGCATTGAAAAACTTGGGACTGCATCTAAGGTAGTCGGTGTGTAGTCGCCAATCCACCAAGGACTCGTAGTTAACCTTCAAAAAACGGCACTCAGTGATCTGTTTAACGATATTAGTGTAGCGAAACATAGAGCCGAACTGAACATGACCAACCTTATCACTTGCTTTGAATTGTACCCGCTTTCCACCTGGTAAAGGGAGCCGAATAACTTGAAGAAAGTCAGTCAAGAAATTATTGAGCTTGACCCGAAAATTAGTGAACGCGGCATCCTCCTTATGAGCATCCTCGATCAACTCAAAGGTCTGCGCAGCTTGCCTCGACCCAAGTCTTACATGAGGCGCATTTGCATCCGGCGAGACCAGATCATCCACATCTCCTAAATCCTCCAGGTCACCCGAATCTTCGCTGCCTCCGGACTCATACTCGTCTAGGTCTGATATGTGGCGGCGAATGCTCTCCGCAACCACTTGCCAATGGTTTATGCGGAGTATCTGCAATGAAATTGGTATCAAAATGATAGTTAGAGTGAAAAGAACGTCACCTGAGGCGCCACATCCCTGAAATTAGTGCGCAATAAGTACGAGTCTTTCAGCGACCCATGCATCCTTTCATTCGGCTTTGTATTGTAGTTACGTGTCGCACCTTTTGCTTCGATATTGTCAAAAATGTGCACACTCATGTGCAGTTTGGGGAAGTTCCAGTTTTTGTCGCTCTCATCAGCGCTTTTCTCTATATATTGCTATCATAGGCTTAATCAGTGGATAATTGTCTGAGTGAACTGAGGTAGACACACCTGAAGATAAGTCGAGAATGCCTGCACTGCATGTCGGCCGGCACTGATAGTCTCAGTGGTGTGAACTTCAAGCGCCGCATATGCGTCAACTTCGAGAAAGTGCCGAATGCAACGGAGTAGGAGATAGCCGAGTGGACTGTCGTCCTCCGTCAAAATCGCGTGCGCAGCATATACCACCATCTGAAAGAGTGTCAATGGCAATGAAGTAATAGTTTAAATCAAAAACACACCTTTGATATGTCCTCGTAGACACTGCCATCAGCGAAAGAGATGCTCATAACGTGAGCTAAGTGCTTCAAGTTTCGCCAGCGCGGGAATGCTTCGTAGCTAGTAGTTAAATGGGTCAATTCAAAACAATGTTACAGCGCTTGAGTCACAAACTGACTTTTTGTCCATTTGTGCTACTTTCACTCGTCCCAAACCGACAACGATTTTCTGAAGTTCGGCCCAGAGGTGGTCACGATACAGACCACCATTGAAGTGGAGTCGGTCCCATGACAACGCATCATGTACATCAGTATGCATCATGGCCGCAAAGGCATTCTGTAGCTTTGATTAGTTAGAACGAACTTACAACAGAGAAAACATTACCATGATGTCACGAAGGCCATACTCTTTCAGTTTCTCCTCTTTCTCCTCAGCAGTCGCCTCAGCTCGTGCAGCCTTCACCACTTCCTGCGACTGGGTAGCCGTTCGAGGAGGATAACACTTTAATGTATTCAAAAGCTCGTCGTGGGGAACGAGACACACTGGACATGGCCAAAGGCATTTTATCCCTCGGATTAGCGACATAATACATCTTAAATAGTTAATGATATTCATTAGCGATTCAGATTAACATCGAAGTGTGATATTACTCACTGTTCCTCGTAGTCTGCAGATAAAATTAGGATAATAGGAAAGAACCACCGCGGAACGTTGTCAGGGCAATCAAACCACTGTCCAGTATGAGACTTTGATGCGAGCGAAGATAGGATCTTTGAGAATGATTCATGCCAAACGGCATTCTTGAAGTTGACCCAGCTGGGCTTGCCAGCTTGGTCTCTGTCCTCCTTCACCTGCGTCAGAGTATAAGTCCCAACCGCAGATATATCAATATTACTGTGTCATACAATCGGAAGCCATCCAACTACATAGCCGCTACCCACACCCTGTCCGTTACGAATGTTCGCGGGGAGATTTGCTAGACGTGCAACAACAGGATACCCTCTTGCGGTACCAAATGACGACAACCTTGTCTTGTCCGCATACAAAATGAAAGCTAAGGGCTTGCCGCCCGGTGGTAGCTGTGACTACAAAGCAAAGTAAGGCGATCAAAATTGACAGTGAGATTAAGTACCTACTTGAACATTCCAAAAGGTTTCGGCAGTGAAAGGTTCGTCTATGAAACGTACGAAGGTCTTGCCATCAAATTTCGAGAAGCGCTGCGCATCAAAAACCATGTGTGGGAACAAGCGAGGATCACGGAGAAGATCTGCCGCCCACTCCCAGAGATCCCGGTAGTATAGCTCGAATTGTCGAATTGAATCATCGTATGGTACAGATATTACATCATGAGTAAACTAAACTTAGTTGTTAGACAATGAATATCAGAATGAACGAAGGAAAAAAACCCCAGTAGTGCGATGGGAGACGGCTTCCCACCTTTCGCGGATGTCTTTGTGGTTCTTGAACGTAAATTTTTCCGATTGAGAAGCGCACCTGTTACACAACGTAATGAGACGATCAGTTTGATCATTGTTGAGACAGGCCTCCAGAGCAAGTTCGGCTATCTCGAACTCCAAGCGTGACTTAAATGGAGCCCAGGGACGTTTATGAGGTGGGGCAGAAGACGTTGGTGGACGGCGTTTGAAATCGTTGAAGCCGTGTACTTCTGGTGTGATCCCGCTGCTAGGATGGTGCTCGAGCTTGATGTCATCGACCTGGAACATGGGTTCCACGCGTTCAGGGACATCGGCATCGAGAAACGAGGGAAGATCTAGTAAAGTTTCGATAATGAATGTAAAAGCACATAATTTGAGCTCACCTTGGTATTCCGCACCATCCAGATCATTCCAAGTACCTGCAGGTGAGGTATTGCATTGCCCTGTTTCAACTTGAATGTATCAATTTAAAATCAGACTAACAGGCACTTACCTCCCTGTCTCGACACTGTATCAATGTGATCTCCCATCGTCCGTTGCAGATTCGAAGGACCCGCTAGCAAAATTAGACGTTGTAAACAACGAGAAATTGTGCGTACCTGTGTCTCTTCGAATAGAATCAACGAAATGTTGATTCTGCCGTTGTTTTTCGGCTTTCTTCTCGCAAGCCTTGCGGTGGGTGGTGTAGCCACGAGGTTTGATGTCCTGTTGACACAAGTCGCAATATCTTGTCCTCTCAGGGCCCATTTTGTGGATGGTTTGTGTGCTGGGAGAGATTTGGATGGAAAGAATAGGAGAGAACACTCAAAATGCTGCGAGGGGGGGAATTCGAGAATCGAGACAAATATCAATCATCTTGCATGCGTATTGCAACCGCTTGAAACCCCGCCATCAATCTTACAACATGGTTTGTAATCGTCATTGTAACACGATGTAAACGGTACCTGATTACAACCGACTTAGGAAATTTGCGACATGACCTCCTCAACATGGAAGTAAGCCTGATTAATGATAGGCTGTACTGCAGTCTAAAGAGTTATTAATAATTTGGGGGCCGCGGGTTTCATGCACGATCAACCTTTGAACTACTTACTGACGGCCGATACACGGCTAGGCTGAACGCCACACTGTGTGACTCTCTTTGCGCATGGTGGCTTTAATAAGGACAAGATCTAGGGAAAATGACTTACGGAAATGGATGTGAACGAGGTTACAATGTTGCGCACGGAAGTAAACATAGTTCAAACTTTCCGCTGAAACACTGAAACAAAGTAATATTGTACCACATAATGTGGATTACCACCATAACTATCATTTAGGATCCGCGACCCACAGCAAAAACCACTCAATATCGTCGGTCCGATCGGCATCGGAAAGACAAACAAGAGGTGAAAAAGCTTTATAATATCGTGTAACCTAGGTCCAACTATGTACTAGAGTTTGAGGGACATTCGGATAAGCAAGATAGTAACAAAGTACTGGCTGGAACACCCCTTTCGTACCTCGCAGTCGGCGCCCATCACGTTTGGCTGCGGAGTTACTGGTACCAATGCAACGCTAACGTCCAGCAAAAAGGACTCAGATTCTGAGGAGTCGGACCGATCGGCATTGGGGAGCTCTCATGTTTACATTCCGAAATGGGTTAATCAAGATTGCCGACTGGCGTGAACATTTTCTGTCGCGATCGATGATCGACGAGCGGTTGAGGCCAGGTGTAGTCCAAGGGCAAATTGCACACTTTTGGTTGAATAGTGCAACAAGTCCACTCGTCATTTCATTATGAAGTCGACCATGGATCAATCTCTTATGATTTGGTCGACATCACGATCATGTTCTGTTCTCGTCAAAAGAAGGCGTTGCGAGGGGTTGATGAGGTTAACTTAAATACGCACTAGGTAATCGATAATGAGCATCTCCTCCGACTCTGACTGTTGCTCTCAGATTGCGACCGTACTTATAGTGAACACGTTGCCTTATGCCACTGGGCCATTTGTTAGCAGCCAAGAGTCCAAGACTATTACACGTAGTGCGGAACTTGGCGCTTCGAAGTAGAACAGAATAATTTGTTGGCATCGTAAGAAGTTGGGCTTGGTCCACAAATTAACGTCATGCGATACGGCAAGGACGGAGCCAGAGTCTTGGCATGTTCAAAACGACTACTGTACGGTGATAGAACGCAGGCCTGCATGGTCTCTGTGAGGAGTTCAGGAGTTAGCTTGAAGCTTGAGCCCTCGATATCCACGGTTCGGGACAAGGAAGGATACGGAACGGCAGTGTTAGCCTGTGTCAGCATGACAGTTGCCGAGATTTGTGAATCTCAAAATAATCATTACGATTCTGACCAAATTAGGTTGGAACCTCCGTATTTGGTTTTATTTTGGTCGTTCGATCACTCTGATTTTTCCTCCCAAATATATAAAGTCCGTTCATCGACGGGGCTGACACTCTCCCACTCCTTCATCCTCGCCCTCCTTGACACACCCGTCAATTCTCGTTCCAAAAGTGCCCAAGACACTATAGATATCTTCTGTAGGGCTTTCCCCTCCTCCCCCCTCTCCATCGTTTCCCATGTCCGCGTCAAACGTGGCCAAGGAGCCCGGTCCACAAGGCGAAGAGTCGCCCGTTGTCCGCTCACCCTCTCCCGAAGAAAAGAAGAAAAGAGAGTACAAGGAATTCGGCCATGACGAAGAGAAACCAACTCGTAGGTTTTTACCCTCTGGCCGTGCTCCCTGATCTTACGTTAGCCCATTTCTACTCCTAGACGCAAATGTCGACATGTCTTTGGTGAGTAGTCGCCTGTGCCTGTAGTTAATCTTACTTTCTTACCTGGTCGTTAGATTGAGTTGAAAGCGGAAGACCTCTACGATAAAGAAAAGGTTGACCTCGAGACCATCGTTATTGAAGATGTCTTCAAGCTCCTTCAATGTAGCGAGGAAGGTCTCAATGATGAAGAGGCACAGCGTCGTATCGAACTCTTCGGTCCCAACAAGCTTGAGCAGGAAGAACAAAATGCGTTCTTACAGGCATGTTATGCTGCACACTTCTGCAGCGCTTCCATTTACCTCTCTTCCATAGTTCTTGAGTTTCATGTGGAATCCCTTATCCTGGGTCATGGAGGGAGCTGCACTAGTCGCCATTGTATTATCAAACGGTAATAATCAACCACCAGACTGGGAGGATTTCATCGGTATCGTCCTTCTCCTTTTCATCAACTCCGCCATCGGTTTCTATGAAGAGCGTAACGCTGGTAATGCCGTCAAGGCACTTATGGATTCCCTCGCTCCCAAAGCAAAAGTCAGACGTAACGGCTCCTGGTTGGAAATCGAATCTTCAGGACTTGTTCCCGGTGACATGATCTCGTTCAAGATCGGTGACATTGTTCCCGCAGACTGTCGTTTGACGGAAGCCATCAACGTCTCCATTGACCAGGCTGCCCTTACGGGCGAGTCTCTTCCTCAGAGCAAGAAGTTGGGTGATCAGTGCTTCTCGTACGTCATCTTTCGTTTACTGCAGTGCTTGGCATTAAAGTCTACAATCTACTCCCAGGGGTTCGACGTGTAAGCAGGGTGAGGCGGAAGGTGTCGTAATCTCCACTGGCGCCAACACTTTCTTCGGACGGGCTGCTTCTCTTGTGGGCCAAGACGATGACACTACGGGTCATTTGCAGAAGATTCTTGCCCAGATTGGTTCATTCTGCTTGGTATCGATCGGAATCTTTGTGCTCGCAGAGATTCTTGTGCTCTATGCGGGCTTCCGCTACAGCTACCGTCGTGGTCTCAACAATATCTTGGTGCTCTTGATCGGTGGTATCCCCATTGCCATGCCAACTGTCTTATCCGTCACTCTTGCCGTGGGTGCCCAACAATTGGCCAAGCACAAAGCCATTGTTACCCGTATCACCGCCATCGAAGAGTTGGCCGGTGTTACCATCCTTTGCTCCGACAAGACGGGTACGCTGACCACCAACAAACTTACCATCGATCGGGCCACCATTCGCACATACGGGCCCTTCTCTGCCGATGATGTCATGCTCCTTGCCGCCTACGCTTCTCGTACCGAGAATCAGGATGCTATTGATTCGGCTGTTGTTCAGGCTCTCGGTGACTGTTTCACGTGCATCGTGCTGGAATTAAACTCCTGGACTTCAAGCCCTTCAACCCCGTTGACAAACGCACGGAGATCACTTACCGTGAAGAGTCGTCCGGCATGTTGAAGCGCGTTACCAAGGGTATGACTGGTATCATCATCGAACTTTGCTCGCGCAACAAGACCGAGGAGCTTGAGAATAGACTTGAAGCTGATGTTGAGGAATTCGCTACGCGTGGTCTTCGTGCCCTCGCTGTTGCATACGAGGAGCTCGATGGCCAAGACCCAGAAGGTGAAGGTAACGGTCTCGAGCTTATTGGTCTTCTTGCCATCTTCGATCCCCCTCGTGAAGACACCAAGCAGACCATCGATGATGCTCTTGCTCTCGGCGTGAAGGTGAAGATGGTTACCGGTGACCAGCTTGCAATTGCGAAGGAGACTGGTCGTCGTCTTGGTCTCGGTGACCACATGTATCCCGCCAAGGTTCTCAAGGACGGCCCCGCTCCTGGTGGCAAACACTTGTCACTTGATGAGATGATTTTGGATGCCGATGGTTTCGCTGGTGTGTTCCCTGAGCACAAATATGAGATCGTCAAGCGTCTCCAGGGTCTTGGTCACCTGTGTGCCATGACTGGTGATGGTGCCAATGACGCTCCCGCTCTTTCCCGTGCCAATGTTGGTATTGCTGTTGAGGGTGCCACAGACGCTGCTCGTGGTGCTGCTGATATCGTGCTGACCGAGCCCGGTCTTTCCACCATCGTCCACGCTATTCGCGGTTCGCGTGTCATCTTCCAGCGTATGCGCAACTACTCCATATACGCTTGCGCTGTCACCATCCGTATTGTTGTATGCTTCGCGATCCTTGCCTTCGCGTTCAAGTTCGACTTCCCTCCCTTCATGGTCCTGATCATTGCCCTGCTGAATGACGGTACTATCATGACACTCTCAGTTGACCGTGTTCTGCCCTCAATGACACCTGACTCATGGGACCTCGCTGAGATCTTCGCGTATGCCGTCGCTTATGGTATCTATTTGACCGCGTCGACGTAAGTAATACTTTTTTTCACATCGGTGTCGAATTAAATCATATCCTGTAGTGTGGCTCTGGTCACTATCATCCTGGAGACTACGTTCTTCTATGACAAATTCGGTGTCACCTTCAATGGGAATCCGTCTCCTTCTGGTTCCAATGATTATCAACTCCACATGATCGTCTACCTCCAGGTTGCTATCATCTCGCAAGCGTTGATCTTCGTCACCCGTTCGCACGGTTTCTTCTTCATGGAGCGCCCTTCTGTTGCTCTCTTCGGAGCATTCTGCGTTGCGCAGCTTGTGTCTTCAATTATCGCCGCCTACGCCAATTTCGGCTTCACGCAGATCCAGGCGATATCAGGTGGATGGATTGGTATTGTGTGGGTTTGGGTACGTATATCTGTGGGGCCTTTTTCTGTACTTTTGCTCACTCATGAATCCCTAGAATATCGTTTGGTTTGCCCCTCTCGACTGGATCAAATTCGCCATGAAGGCCACTGTTATCAAGAAGCTTCGCCAACGTCACGAGGCAGCACAAGCAGCACAGGCCATCACTGGTGTCCCCATCACTCGCACCCAATCTCGCGCTGCTTCGATCCACGAATCGTTATACTCGAACCGTGTGTCATTTATCCGCCGTGCTGCTCGCAAAGTCGGCTTCGGATCCAAGATTACGATGAAGCCCGAGGAGCTTCAACGCTTCAGCAGTATTCAAGCACAACGTACGGGTGCGACACTCGCTCGCAATCCCAGTCGCACCGCTGCTGCATAGATTTTGTGAGTTGTAGAAAGGGAACGAGTGTTTCGAGATCACCCGCAGCAAAGCAAAACACATGGAACGATGTCACCTGTAATCTAATAGATATTATCAAGGCCCGCCGTCTCGCATGTGGTGTCATCCCTCTCTTTGCCTATTCCTACTCATTTCATGTCACCATCACACGTACATATATACGCATGGCATTGGATCTGGATACCTCGTGCCTGTTTCGTCGGTTGCTCTTGGTTTGATTTTCTGTGGTTCAGGCCATCTGACGTGTTTACTCTTTCCGACTTTCGACACCCACACTCTTTTTTGCCGCTCTTCTCTATAACTAATGATTGATCGCTCAAGCAGTAGTGGGCCATTTAATAAGTGCCACTCATGTATAGATTCCTGCGTTTGATGTTATGATCCAAGAAATGTCCACACAGTACATATGTATTTCGTAATTACAATTTAAAGACAGATGTCGTTTCATCGCACGCAATGGGCTGAGCAGAGCGATGCGATCCATCAATATCAAGGTCAATATATCAGAAACATGATCGAAAAATTGATGTGGATACGCTTTGCTGTCGGTTATGTGTCAGACGGGAGACCATCAAATCTGGCTGGCTCCTTCGGGTTTCAAGGCATCCGAGTCGGTTTCCGGTCGTACAGGAACCGAAACGTATCTTACTACTGATTCCTGTGTCAGATGATTGGAATCCCTAGGTGAGGAGAACGTTAACGTCCGTGCCGATGCGAGCGACGAACCCGGAATCAAACTTGAACGTAGACGCAATTTAATCTCGTCCCTGCCAGCTAACATCATGCAGGAAGATACGACACTGGCAGTGGAAAGAACACGCATGCATGTCACTGTCAACGGTCATACGCCACTCATTGGTGTGAGTACATGTTGCCGCGGTCATCCCTGGGGATACGGCAGGCCAACGAATAAGCATAGTCTGGGAATGCATTCGGATAGTTCGGTTGTCCGTTTTATTGTGGGCAGCCGCGACGAAAAGGCTAGAGGAACTATGATTCCGAATAGTACCCCGTGGTTGGCACGAGGACTCATATTTCGTGGGACTTGAAGCTTTTTGAAGTGTGCTGACAACGCAGGGTGCTCGATACTCGCTTCTGCTTGTCCATCCGGGGCTGACCGTGGTTGTTCGGTCGAACGTATGACAGATAGCGTCACGGATCCCCATGATTCAGATGGATAGCTCGGAACCCGGTACCGTACCAGTGGTTACGCAAATCGATTGTACTTCCTGGGACCTGGGACGGAACGGCAGTGTCGTGAGGCTCGGTCAAAGAGTCTTCTACATCATTTGTTTTAGTAGCGGGCACAAGGGTGTCCAATGCCACAGACTCCACTGCTCAGGCTCATCCTAGCGTTGATGAATCGTGGAAAAGAAGTTCTGGTGCCGGCGGTGCCGCAGGGTCCTGTCTTCCTAGGGCTGTCAGTGAAAGGCTTTGTCCATCATGATGCATGATGGGCCCATATTGACATGGACATCTAGGCCTTTCGTAGTTCAATCGGACGTGTGGGAGATACCAAACGTTGACTAGGACTTCTCATAGCTATCGCGATAGCGCATATCGTAGGTTCCGCGATTATTCACACATCTATTTTCAAATGTTTTTGACCATCAGCTGTATGTTTTTAGTCGGGACATGCTAAAAATTTGGAGTCGACACTGGAATCGATTACTTATTCTTCCGCCGTACACTATGGATTTCAAACCGGATAACAGCAACCGTGGACGAGGACGACCGTCAACCAGTCAGTGTCGGTGTCATCGCGAAGAGCCGATGCAAAATTATCTGAAGTTGCAACGACCAGCTTACCACTGGTCGGCTTGTGAAGAGTCGAGACCTGCCTGCGAAGGATTAGGTTACGAGCAACTGATATACGAATTCGAGAGGCTATCTTGAGACCTATTCGTCGACATTCGAACCCTTGATCTTTGTATCTGTGTCCAAGTCGCAAATTCCTTCTCAAACCAATCAAGCTCAGCTACGAATCCGATGGTGTGGTCACTCGCTAGATTCATGATAGCAGCTAGGCAACGCGCAGCTTGGGTTGTTATCGATGCCACTGAAATTAAAGCAGATTGCCGCTCTATTTCCGTTGTCTGAGGCAATTTTTTTGGCATCAGAGTGATCCTGTGATCTTATAACGAATGTCTTGTCATGAACTATACATTGGTCCTAATGGTGGCATCGTCACAAGCGCCATTACTGCATACGTGCAAGCCTGTGCATACCGTGTAGAAGGCTGGTCGAGATACCGCCATTGTGGATTATCTGGCTACCGTGCCCTCAGATATTTCCCCAGAGGAAAACTCATGGACCCAAAAGGAGTTGAAGCTCCTTGGTTTCGATATTGGCTGTGAAATGTGGGTTAGACTCCACTATTGATCAGAATATTGACCACAACACCCAGAAGCCCCGCCATGACCAACTTCAAGCCGGAGTTCACTATGGTCATGCTGCTGTTTGCAGTACAGTATTGTCTCCCCTGCTTGACGCACTTGCCTGTCGAATTCATTGCCTTGGCACCATGGATATGTTGGATAACCAAGACGTCGTTCATGCACTGGACGGACGGTGTCGGTATCCCCGCGAGTTACCTCCCACGAATTGCTACGCTGGGCGCTCGCGGCTTCGTCACGCAAGTTCTTATAGGAAACTTAAAAAGCCAAGTACTACAGTGTAAGAATGAGGTTTTCGACGCCTCGGCTAACGCCAACATGCAACGACTACTGCGCAATGGAAACTAACTTATTTCAACTGGAAGTAGCGTAGATCTGTTTTCAATCATACTTTAACGCTTGCTGGTCAGAATTTCAAGAAACAAAAATTTACAAAGTTTAAACATGGCCCTTGGAGCCCCCAGGACAACGCCCCATGACCGGAAATGACACTATGAGGCTATGGGGAGGCTGCTTGGCACCTTTGCAGCATTGCTGATGCATGCGAGGACTTCGGTGGTCACTCCGATCTATCGGTGGGACTCATACTTCTTCACAGCGAAGGCAGCTTGTCGGGCATCAAATCCTTTTCTAATTTCGATTCAATAGGGTCTGGAGAGCTGATATATCTTTGGCCAGGCTGCCAGTCTCAGGTTTAACCTCAATATCCAGGTCTGTCCATTCTTCTTCTTCACCACTTGAGTGATATATATAAATTGAATCATGTTCTTCATCAGCCTCGACTAAGGAACACTGCTGCACAAAGTGAGTGCTGCTGTGACGCTGAGCTTTTGCCTGGCTTGTTTTCTTGCTTGGTGGAGGCATGTCTCTGATGTCAAGAAGATTTGGGCAAACTGTGATATATAAGTTCAATTTGTTTTGTAAAAATTTGAAACATCCCCGCAAAAAACCTGAAAATGGTAAAACAGTGTATTTTGGGCATGTTCCTTCCTAAAAATGTCTAAGGAGTCACAGTAATGTATTTCTCAGACTCTGAGGTTGTATGGACTCTGGAGGCTTCTTAGTGACTATATACTTGTTGTAGACCCGGAGTACTGGTAATCAATTGAGCTATCACCTGTGACGCGGCATCCTCCCTTAACTTCATGTTTCGTCTTTAAGTACTTCGAACTGCTGCTATATCTCGGTCATCAACTAGCAATATCAAAGCTACTATGTCACGATCTCGGATCAGTCCTGGTGTGGCCTACCTTACTCGTGGTTTGCTTTCTGTCATTTTTCCGACCGCTTCTTCCGTCATTATTGTAGGACGTCTGGCTTGTCTGCAAGGTTTTCCAGTCTCCCCATGGCTTTTGTCGGCGATGGTTTTGGGTGCAGCGCCTCTGGGGCTGGCAGCTTATATTTTCGTGGATGAGTTATCGCAGCGACGAAAGGCCACTGGACTCGGTGCCAGACTCGTTCCTCGTATCCAGGGCAGATGGCCTGGAAATTTGGACACGTTAATGAACGTGATCCTGATGCTTGAGATCGAATACCTCGGTACAGTTTCTGTTCCATGTATTCATGTTCGTGCTTGACTTCTGTCTAGGACAATCTGTGCTGGACGAGATGAAGGAACTCGGGCCAACTTTGAATTATCGGTGCTTATGGGAGGACTACATTGTCACCACGGAGCCCCAGCACGTCAAGGTAAGCTCCGATTTATATCCAACGACGATACAACCAAGCTCCATACAGACAATTCTTGTAACCGATTTTCATAACTACGTGAAAGGTATGCCCATAAATCATAAATGCTGTTTATTTACATGTAATGACTTATGTCTCGCCGATGCAGGTGCAAAGTTCAGAGAAGCAGCTGATTCCATCCTTGGCACGGGGGTATTCAACTCGGATGGTAAGTGTGAGCCAGAGAGCCTTTTGTGCTGCAACTTATGCATCGATTGAGGTGAAACATGGAAGTAAGCCATACATTTGAAGATCGTTCCTGATAGGAAACCTCAGGCGCGCTTCTAGGCTTCACCGAACCATGACACGACCCTTCTTCACCCATGATCGGATAAGCCACTTTGAGATATTTGACCGTCATGCGAATCGTGCTATCGCCTTGGCGAAGGACCGTTTCAGGATGGACATGGCAATTGACTTCCAAGTAGGACTTCAAGTCGGCATTTTGAGATCTTTTGTTGAAAAGCTACCGCAGGATCTCATTTCGAGATTTACACTCGACTCTGCATCGGAGTTCCTGTTTGGACATTGCATCGATTCACTTTCCGTCGAACTTCCTTTCCCCGACAACACGTCAGAATCCACAAATACCAAGCCTGGTCCGGGAGACAGTGCTGCAGCCTTCACACATGCCTTCTCTCAAGCTCAGCATGCAATCAGTCGTCGTGTCATCACTGGGGCGGCCTGGCCGATGACTGAGATTCTTGCTGACAGCACCGCACAACATATGAAAGTGGTCGACAAATTCCTAGATCCGATCCTCGAAGCCGCTCTGCAGGAGGCATAGCACGGCTGCCAAATCAGATGCAGATGAAACTGCGGACGACCAAATTTTTTTGGATCATCTGGTGAAGCTGACATCGGGTAGGATGGCACGTTACCTGGGAATTTCTGTTGTTGAAATATTCTTTTCAGACTTCAAAGTCATTAAAGATGAGACATTGAATATATTGTTGGCAGGCAGAGATACAGTAAGCTTGCAATCACCTTTCGAGTTGTCTTGATTGGTGACCAGCAATATTAGACAGCCTCGACATTGACTTCGGCTATTTATTTACTTGCGATGCATCCAGAGATCCTCTCGCGGCTCAGAGAGGAAATCATATCCAAGGTTGGACCGACTCGCATGCCTACATATGGGGATATCAAAGAGATGAAGTACATCCAGGCCGTTCTCAATGGTGCATATCTTTGTTTCCTGTCGGACGTAGGGACGTCACTCATCTGTTTCAGAAACGATGCGCCTTTTCCCTGCTGTGTGAGTGATTGAATTTGATTTCAGACGTCGTCTTACCATAAATGCCTAGCCCCTTCAATGTGAGGTATGTTCTCGGGCTACTTCAAAGATGCTAGACTTGAGCTGCGACCTTTCAGGGAAACCGTACATGACACCACATGGACATCCCCCGAACCTGGGAAGAAGCCACTGTTTGTTCCAGCAGGAGTCATGTACGTGTTCTATTTGATCGTTTAGATTCTCGCATAACTGCTTGAATAATTTCAGGGTCGTCTATTCAGTGTTCCTTATGCATAGGAGAACAGATCTATGGGGACCAGATGGTAGGGTGCTTGAACTTCGTCTACATGTAAACTACTGATCTAATTGGACTCTGTTCCAGCGTTGGAGTTTGATCCGGATAGATGGCTCGACGAGCGCATGCAGAAATATGTGCTTCCTAATCCCTATATCTTCCTTCCATTTAACGCGGGACCGAGGATTTGCTTGGGGCAAAATGTATGTCGCTTGTGGAGTTATTCATTACCTCTACCCGTCTCATGCCCTGTTTCGCACCTCAGTTTGCGTACAACCAAATGTCGTTCATGCTCATTCGTTTGCTGCAAAACTTTTCTGCGATTGCATTATCTCCCGAGCCTGCAATGCGCCCACCTGCGTGGTGGGCTGACAAAGACGGCCGACAGGCCATTGAGCGATTCAAGCCGAGACACCATTTGACACTTTATGCCCAGGTGAGTCCCTCTGATATGATTTCCAGCCATCTAATTAGGTTCTCCTCACAGGGTGGTATGTGGGTCAAGATGGAAGCTGTAGATGACACCGAAGTCATACAGTGACTACATAGCTACATACAGGCACATCGGCATGTCCTATTACCAGTATTTTTTTTCTTGCAAGTTTGAAGAATGGCCTACAAGTGTAAAGCTTCCACATGAACAGATTTCTTATTAAACACAATCGATATATCAGCAACCTTGTAAAGAACGAGAAGTAATGATTTTGGGACACAGTTCAAAGAATGGCGCACTGTTCTAAACAGACCCTATAAGTAACACCCTATCATCCCAAACAATGAACGTGTCCATCGAATTCCGAGAATATAAATATTCGCTGTATGAGCGTCAGATTAATAAATGATTGTTTTAGTTGGAGGTCGCAGAGGTGGAGGAAGTGGTTGCGAAGCCGACACGGTGGTCAGTGGTGTCGAAGACAGAGTAGAAGCGTTGACTGTAAAGCAGGTGATCAGCTTTATACCAAACAAAGTCTTTAGATACATACAGGAATGAGTAACCGTTGATGAAGTCGAGGCCACTGCCAGAGTTAGTACCGATATCATTAACGACAAGGTAGATGCTATCGCTGCTACCACCGATGTCGGTGTTAAGGGAACGGGGCCAGATTTGGGCATTGGCGGTGAGGCCGTAGTTAACACCACCAATGTTGAAGTTCAGGGTTTGCAGGTTGGCATACTGCGCAGAGGTGATCATCAAGAGGCCGGTGTTGTTATCCACCGTAGCACCGGTAGCAGATTGGTACTTTTGGAATGCATCTAGTATTCTCCAGTCAGTTAGGACGACCTGTTTATAACTAACTTGACATACCAGTGGCGATGAGAATGAGGGTGGTGCCAGTGTCGACAATACCAGCAGTCGCGGACAAAATGGTGGAGCTACCGTAGGCGATCGATTGATCAATGCCCCAGTAACTGCTAGCAGGCGACGTGGTTGTGAGAGGGACGTAATTTATTGAGCTCGTCGTCTTTGAGCTGTCGGAGCCACCAAAGGTGAGCTCGCCAGCGCTGCCACCAGGAGCAAAGTAGACTCCGAGTGCTTCGGTGCCAATGGTGCCCTTGCTGTAAAGATTGTCGGTGACAGTAGGGACTGAATCAACATTGGAAACGGTGCCCTGCGTCAGGTCAGTCGGTCCGACACCAAGAATTCCATCGAAGTTAGTGAAGCCTGTTGAAGTCTTTGCGGCACCGATAGATTGTCCGGTTATAACTAAACCAGAACTGAGAGTAACTGTGTCCAAGTACTCCTCTCCTGAAAAGCTGCCGGAACCATAATTGACGGACTAAAGAGTTGTTGTAAGCAACTTTTTTTGTAGCAAAAGGCGTGAAAAGACGTACAACCGAGTTGCCAGTATCTACACTAGTGCTGGTGGTTTGGTACGGAGTATTTGCACCCACCCAGGTGTTGGAGCTGCCCGTGTCAATAAGGAGCGTGTCTGAAAAATCTTTTAGTCGAAGATATCTGAGGTCATCCAACGACGAGTCTTACATTGATTCGCAGGACTGCCGACACCAACTTGGGCAGTGTAAACAGTGGCAGCATTAGTGATGCTGAACGAGGAGCTGCCAGCGCGCTTGTTCGTGCTACCAAATTGCTGCATCGCCTGAGCACGAGCTCTGTCAGCGGCGGCGATATTGAGAGTATCAGCCCTAGCGTTCACCCTAGCGGTGAAGCCGAGGGTTGACGAAGATTCACGGCGCAGGGGAGACGCGTCCACAACGGACAGCGCAATGAGAACAGTAGAAAGGAGAGTCTTGGAAGGGAACATCTCGAAGATCTGAAGGTACTGGGTGAAGAATGAAATCAGCTGAAAGTGAGGCTTCAGTCATCAATGCAAAGACTTTATATATGTCGTGGCCTCCAACTGAACCATGCGATACCCATAGCATCGATGTAAGACTCGGAACTTGCTGTATTTTCGTCCCCATCCTAGGGGGTCACGAGATATCGATTAGAGCTTCCCTGCAAAAATCGCTCTTCCAAAATCAATATTGCTGCACGCTGTTGTCACAAGAAAATGATCCATTGCTATAGAAATTAGAGAGCCCAGAGTTCCATTTTGGCAACTGATCAGCAGTAGCCCATATGACTGACCGGACTGTGAGCACGGTGGTATTCCAGATCGCCATCACGATCAAGAACGTTGCCTACCACGTTCCATAATTAGTGCAAAGAACATAGTGTTTCGCCTATCAGACAGAGTTGATGGAGGACCCTGACTTTGTGCCCCGTTAACACGGTAAACTTTCCCGGAATGTGATGAGGGCTATACGTTTTCAGACTCGTTGTAATTAATAATAGCAGTGTAACTGAAAACACACCATGAAGAACCACACACATAGCCAGTACCGCCCCAGGAAACGAGTGCTATGATCTCAAGTATTGCGGCTTGAGACCTAACGTGACACGCACGTTATGTTTGGCATGTTACCAGGCCCGTACAGTAACGTCACTTATGCGATAATCGAAGGCTGCCCACGCACCGCGGGTCAGAATCTGTGGAGTCCTCAACGTTTTGAACGAGGCCGCCTGGCAACGCATTGTTACGAATGATTTTTGTTGGTGGTAAGAAACTTCATGAAACTCCTGTGGTGGCATCATCAAGCCCGTTGACAAGCCAAACTGGTGATGCTGAGTAAAATTTATGATGAACTGCTAAGGCTACTGAGTACTTACCGAGTACTGAATAGGTGAAAAGCAATGCATTTGAAAATTGTAACTCAGAAGCGCCCAACAATTGTCTCTGGATTATGGTTTGATTACAGTAGATACGATCATCGACTCAACACGACAACCATCATGCACGTGACGTTCGGGGTGCACAGGGAGAACTGAGCCCACTCCTCATCAATTTGACCACGATATGCATTGCAAAGCATCCTCATGACTTCTTCGTAATTAATACACTTTCCGTGTGGCGCAACTTTGCCGGGCACCTGGAGTCTTTTCATCTAGAACGCAATTCCAAAAATTCACCGACCTGCTCCGATCGCAAGCTTTGCATCCTTGTGCTCGAAATGATGCTTTTAATAGCGGACGGATCTACGAGGGGCCGTGAGCATCATCGGAAGATCTTCGAGTACAAGGTGGTTAGGCGATATGGGGTCAAAGCACTTGCTGTAGAAGTCCAGTGCACTCGGAATCTCTTTCTCACGCAGCTCTCTCCTGATTGGTACACGGTACGCTGGATTATTACATTGCAATATTTTCATACTACGACATCAGTTTTATCCCGTGCTGAATTCATACCAGCAGCAGATGAATAGGTTGAGCCGCTAAGTAAGGTTGTCGACACCCTGCTTGTGCGTCATTCGGAATCGCTAGTAGTGCCCACAGTGAGTCATTTGAGCCATCATCAATATTATCATCAAACCACCCCGGCTGCGCCTGTAAACGATGGAACAGCTTCGATTGCCGTCGTTACCAAGCGAGTTATGATAAGGAAGTCTGCGCTTTGGGAGGCAGTTCTCTGGAAGATCGCTCTCGGTCTCCCGAGCACTCGCCCCGGCGGCCTATCGTCGAAAATACACCATGTGCGTATCCGGTGTCAGTGCCTCAATCATGTGGCACCCTCTCTTGATATTCACGCTGTCCATATGAAGTCCCATCCATTTCAAAGCGCCATGATCTTGAATACCCCATTCGAATGTCGGTTATCATATAGATATCTCGCCGACTCATCAGCCCTGAGCGTCCGCATGTAGAGGGACTTCGTGCGACCATCGTATTGCCGCAATCAACAAGATGGTGGACTAAATTCATTTGGTTCTCCTTTGCCATATCGTGCCACTCCTGTTGTATTCGCGTTGCTGAGTTTGCGACCTCCATAGGGTGTTCAAAACATCAGATCCCTTCTTATTCGCAACCAATAAAGCTCGCTACGCGACTGTATGGCGACCTAGTAAAGACAAAGAAGACCATATGGAAGGGCCCAGTCTTCCTCAAACGTGTATCGCCATCTGTACCAGCAAGAAAGGATATCCAACCTGATAGTACGAATGTCCCTCAAGCAAGCCGACCTGTCATATCCAAGCTGATAAGTAGTCATGTGGGTGGCGAGCTGAAGGACTACCTTGACGAGGGTGTCAAGATTGTCGTTGATGTCGTAGTTGTTGGAAGGGATGACCTACCTACCGAGGTAAAATTGGTGGCCGCAAATAAATATGCATAGGACATAAAGCTGCAGCGGTCGTGCGGCCATGGCGAGCCCCGAATAATCGATTACTTGTAAGTTGTGACAGTCTTTTTGACAACTGTGGTGTTGGTTGTATTGAGACCGTCCTTGAAGTCAGGTCTGACTCCAATAAAACTGCAAAACTGCCTCCACTTGACTTCGAAGCGCCCGAGTTAAGCGCTGAGTTTGAACATTGACGTTATAAGCCAGGCGGACTTCAAACCAATTCTTTTCCTCAACCAGCTCGAAGGCCACGAATGCTCATCACGTACAGGTTGCTTCATGCATCCACATTTCTGAGCGGGCTAAGGTCTGAGTATTTTAATCCCCCTTGATCGGCTCTAGCAGAGCCCGGCTGTAATCAGCTGCGCGACGTACCAGAAAAGCAGCTTCGTTTTCACATCCCCAAGATCCTGTCACGGCAGAGGAGGGCGAGAATGAAAGGCCTTGAAAGCGTTGCGGGGATCGGGCAAACTTGTGTCCATCGTGTAGCAGTCCTATCGCGCGTGCGCCTGTCACAATGGCGCTCAGGGACGTAGAGAAATCTGACCTCGATACTCCAGTCCCCGGGCCTTTGCTGCGGTACATTCCTTACATCTAAATCACTAGATGTCATGTACATTCGTCGCCCTCAGGAATCAACCTGAGTTTTGGTGGTACATTCCTTACATCTAAATCACTAGATGTCATGTACATTCGTCGCCCTCAGGATCACCCTGTGTTTTGGTGGTACATGCAGACTGCAGTCGAGGTATCCTCCCACGATACCTACCCTACCGATGAGCGTCTCCGCTCGGCTTCGTGAATATCCGCTTACGGCTGAAGGTGACTACATTACCATGTCGTTACTCTCCTTGCGTATGAGGGATATATGTGATGACACCAGTTTGTCCTTGAGTTCACTTCGTGGCTCGCGTATCCTTCGTGGATCGTGAAACTCGATTCAGACTACTCTTGGACTGGTTTTTACAAATTTTTCAACTTCTTGAACTCCTTTGTGGAGTGTCATCCCGACGAGTCCATGGTCCCCATTTTACCTCTCAACTGGTCGAAAGGAGCGTAGGTGAAGGATGTATCCGGTATGCAGTATTCAATGTAATCTTTATATTCAAAGCAACCGTTTTGTCACCTATTTATATGCATGATCATTCTAATCCATCAGAGCTTACTGCACATCTCACTAAGCGCTGAATAATCCAATGAGATTGCGACATCCTGAGAGTCTGAGACAACTAGCTGAATCCCAGTTTGGTATATATAGAATGGAAGACACGGAAAGTGCTTCCTTACACACTCCCTCAATATGCAGCCTCCAGCAAACAAGCCTGCACCCGCCATCCCATACTTTACCCCTGCGCAGGTCCCTGCTGCAGGCACAGCATTTGACCCGCAGCCCGATGGAAATCCTATACCAAAATTGTTCCAGCCTATCAAGATCAGAGGGACGACATTCCACAACCGCATCTTCGTGGGTCGTCATTGATCGATGTGTTCCCCTGACGTCTTATGCCAGTCTCGTATAGCTATCTCCACTGTGTCAATATTCTGCAGACGATGGTCATCTCACGTCCTGGCATATGGCGCACCGTACGTCTATGAATCTCGAGCATGATCGAAATACTCATGGTATCCAGTGGGTGGCATCTTCACCCGAGGTCCTGGTCTTACTATAATCGAAGCCACAGCGGTCGTCCCAGAGGGTCGCATCACCCCCGACGACTCAGGACTCTGGAAGGATAGCCAAATCGAGCCCCTTCGCAAGATAGTCGAGTTTGCCCATTCCCAAAACCAAAAGGTTGGCATTCAGCTTGCCCACGCCGGCAGGAAAGCATCCACCGTTGTGCCGTGGTTGCATCCGGGTATGGCAGCGACTGAGAGCATAGGCGGATGGCCAGACGATGTATGGGGGCCCTCCACGGTTCCTTACAACGACACCTTCCCAGTGCCTAAGGAGCTATCCCAGGCGCAGATCAAGGCACTCGTCGTCGCATTTGTAGAAGCTGCAAAGAGAGCATTGAAAGCTGGCATTGATGTCATTGAAATTCACAACGCACACGGCTATTTGTTGTGCGCTTTCTTGAGCCCCACCAGCAATACGCGCACAGACGAATACGGCGGAAGCTTCGAGAACCGCATTCGTTTGACTCTCGAGATCGTGGATGCTGTCCGTGGCGTAATTCCCGAAGACATGCCTCTCTTCCTGAGGTATTTTCGAGTCCATATGATGTTCTTACTTGATCTGAATCATGACTCGTACTTAGGATTTCTGCGACTGAAGGGCTTGAAGAAGCGCTTCCGAACGTACCATCTTGGCGTCTCGAAGATACTGTCAAACTTGCCGGTATTCTTGCCGAGCATAACGTTGACTTCCTCGATGTCTCCAGCGGTGGTAACCACTCAAAAGCCATCATAAAAGGCGGCCCGGCGTACCAAGCACCTTCCGCACATGCAGTCAAACAAGCTGTGGGGGATAAGCTTGTCGTCGGGGTTGTCGGGTCGATTACCGATGGCAAGATCGCCCAAGGAGTACTTGATAAAGGTCAAGCCGATGTCGTCCTGGTTGGACGACAATTCCAAAAGAACCCGGCGACTGTTTGGGCGTGAGTGTATATTCATCGTGAACTAAGTTGTTAATACCTGATCTGATGATGCATTAATAGATTTGCGTCGGACGTTGGCGTCGCGATCAAGATTGCGAACCAGATTGAATGGGGCTTCGGAGGTCGAGGCGGAGGTCGGAAGAAGATCGACTGGTGATTGCTATGTATGTGATAAACCTTTCGCTTTCGAGTTTGGGTCACCGGATATGGTGTTCGTCCTCGTTTGCTCGTTTTGTATTTGTCTTCAGAGCACTAAATGATCAATTCTTCAGTATCCAAGTCTTTTTTGTTGTTGTTTGAGTCGCACCTCGATTTTGAGACGTCTGACCATTGCACCGACTCGAAGTTTTGATAGAATATACACGGGCTGAACAAGAATGTCGCGTATATCCACTCGCAATTAGGGAGACACGATAATAAGATAAATTGAAGCAAAGTCTATGTCCCACCACCCGAAGTGATGCAAAAGGTTCCATCGAACCTTGTGCACGCCGACGGAAAACTCCCAAGAGGGTCTGGAATTCGCTGTCGTGACTACCTGTGAAGAAGGAATAACGGTCTCACCGTTGGCACGGCTATGCCAATGCACGCACGATCGAGTATGGGTGGTAAATAAGTGCAACCATGTTGACGTCGTCGACGCAGGTGTGGCGGTTTGTCATGGTTTAATGAATCGCCGATATGCTAACGCGATTGTTCTCCAGAATGTTTTGCAATATGAAATATGTGAGATACTCAACGTTCAACCTCAACGAAACACGTGGGGCCCGTTCCCAATTGCTCGCTGTGATGGCGGCGTGTCATGCATGTCATGAATTGCCAGAGGGTCTTAATATGAATGTGAGTGCGCTCCGGGCCGTTCCTTGACATATGTCACCACGAACTAGTACTGGATACTCGGTTGAAATTCGGGTGGGAGGTTTTTCCTGATGGTATTTGCCAGATTCAAGCATGATTGCGACGAGGCAACTAGCATAGGGGGAGATTCGAAAGGAATTGGCCTCGTGGCAGAGGTCGGCGAAATGTATTGTGAACGTTTTCGGCATCTCTCTGACTCACTCCAGTCGATGCATGCGGCCACCGTCCAGAATATCCGATACGTCAATCAAACAGCCCTTAGGCTTTGGGGGCATGATGGTTGCCAACTTCATACCAAGATACATTCAAACATGATATTGTCGAATTTTTAGTAGAAACAAATACTGCCAACTTCAAGCGGTACTACCGGCAAATGCCGCTTGGTAATTCCCACTGGCTGCCTAATGTCTTCTGCCATTCTGCCAACAACGCTATTAAGGCAACGCATGGCTTGGATTGCCATTTCACTTCCTCTGTCCGAGACACATTTTTACATCAAAGTAATCCTTTGGGGCCGGTAGCCCTTGATAGATATGTCTTGTCATGACCCAAGCATCAATCCGAATGGCGACACCCTCGCGAGCGTAACGTGAATTACCGCGCACGCGCAAGCCTGTGCATGTCGTGTAGGTCCTAAGGCTGATTGAGATATCTGGTTACTGTGTCGGATATTTCCCTGGCAGAGGAAATTTCAAATTCCTCTCGATATGGCGCTGGCTAAATGTGGGTGTAGACTCTCCTATTGATTAGAATATTAACAGAAACCCTGCTTTGTCCGACTTCAAGCAAGTTCTGGTCAGATTACAATCGTCGTGTTTCGGCTTGCATGAGGTTTGCAGCACAGTACTGTCTCCCTCGCTCGACGCTCTTGCATGTCGAATGTATCGTCTTGGCACCACAGATGAGTCGAATGACCAAGAAGTCGTTTGTGCGTTGGACGGACGGCGTCGATGTCGCCACGAGTCACTTCCCACGAATTGCCACTGCTGAGCGCTTGCGGTTTTGCCACGCAAGCTCTTTATCTAGCTTTTAAGAAACCTACAAAACCGCAGTACTATACCCGTAGCAGACCCGGCGTTCTGGTAACTAAGCTATCACTTGTGACACGGCATCTTGGATTCAAGTACTTTGAACTGCCGCCACATCTCGGTCATCAACTAGCAATATCAAAGCTATGTCACGATCTTGGGTCAGTCCTGGCGTGGCCTACCTCACTCGTGGTTTGCTTTCTGTCATTTTTCCGACCGCTTCTGCCGTCATTATTGTAGGACGTCTGGCCTGTCTGCAAGGCTTTCCAGTCTCCCCATGGCTATTGTCGGTGGTGGTTTTGGGTGCAGCGCCTCTGGGGCTTGCAGCTCATATTTTCGTGGACGTGATATCGCAGCGACGAAAGGCCACTCGACTCGGTGCCAGACTCGTTCCTCGTATCCAGGGCAGATGGCCTGGAAATCTGGACAAGTTGGTGAACACGATCCAGAGGTTTAAGGTCGAATACCTTGGTATAGTTTCTGTTTGATGCATTCATGTTCGTGCTTGACTTTTGTCCAGGACAACCTGTGCTGGACGAGATGAAAGAACTTGGGCCGACTTTGAATTATCGGTGCTTATGGGAGGACTACATCGTGACCACGGAGCCCCAGCACGTCAAGGTAAGCTCCAAGTTATATATTCGAAGACGATGCAACCAAGCTCCACGCAGACAATTCTCGTAACCGATTTTCATAACTACGTGAAAGGTATGCCCATAAATATTGTTTATTTACATGTGATGAATCATGACTCGATGCAGGTGCAAAGTTCAGAGAAGCAGCTGACTCCGTCCTTGGAACGGGTGTGTTTAACTCGGATGGTAAAGTGTGAATTAGAAAGCCCTTTATGTTGCGACTGATGGATCGATTGGCTGTGCCACCAGGTGAAACATGGAAGTGAGCTGTGCATTTGAAGATTATTCCTAATAGGGAACCTTAGGCGTGCTTCTAGGCTTCACCGAACCATGACACGACCTTTCTTCACCCATGATCGGATAAGCCACTTTGAGATCTTTGATCGTCATGCGAGTCGTGCTATCGCCTTGGCGAAGGACCGTTCCAGAATGGACTTGGCAATTGACTTCCAAGTAGGACTTCAAGTCAGCATTTGACATCTTGTGTTGATGAAGTACTACAGGATCTCATCTTGAGATTTACACTCGACTCTGCATCGGAGTTCCTGTTTGGACATTGCACCGATTCACTTTCCGTCGAACTTCCTTTCCCCGATAACACGCTAGAATTCACAAATACCAAGGGCCGGGGAGACACTGCTACAGCCTTCGCAGATGCTGTCTCTCAAGCTGGGCATGCAATCAGTCGTCGTGTTATTATCGGGTCGGTCTGGCCAATGACTGAAATTTTTGCTGACAGCACCGGGCAATATATGAAAGTGGTCGACGAATTTTTAGACCCGATCCTCAAAGCTGCTCTGACGAGGCATAGCACGGCTGCCAAATTAGACGCAAATGAAACTGTGGAAGATCAAACCTTTTTGGATCATCTGATAAAGCTGACGTCGGGTGAGATGACACGTTACCTTGGAATTTCTGTTGTTGAAATATTCCTTTCAGACTTCAAAGTCATCAAAGATGAAACGTTGAACATATTACTGGCAGCAAGAGATACAGTGAGCTTGCAATTACTTTTTGAATCATCCATGTTGGTGACGAGCCATATTAGACAGCCTCGACATTGACTTCGGCTATTTATTTGCTTGCGATGCATCCAGAGATCCTCTCTCGACTTAGGGAGGAAATAATATCGAAGGTTGGGCTGACTCGCATGCCCACATATGGGGACATCAAGGAGATGAAGTACATCCAGGCCGTTCTCAACGGTGCATATTCCCGTTTCCTGTCGAACGTAGGCACGCCACTCATCTGTTTTAGAAACGATGCGCCTTTTCCCTGCCCTGTAAGTGATTGAATATGATTTCAGCCGAATTAGATCGTCTTACCATAATTCCTAGCCCCTTTGATGTGAGGTATGTTCCCGGGCTACTTCAAAGATGCTAGACTTGAGCTGCGAGCTTTCAGGGAAGCCGTACATGACACCACATGGACATCCCCCGAACCTGGGAAGAAGCCACTGTTTATTCCAGGGGGAGTCACGTACGTGTTTAATTTGATCGTTAAGATTCATCGCTTGACTGCTTGAACGATTTCAGGGTCATCTATTCAGTGTTCCTTATGCACAGGAGAACAGATCTATGGGGACCAGACGGTAAGGTGCTTGAACTCCGTCTACATATAAATTACTGATTCAATTGAACTTCGTGTTCCAGCGTTGGAGTTTGATCCGGATAGATGGCTCGACGAGCGCATGCAAAAATATCAACTTACTAATCCCTTTATTTTCCTCCCATTTAATGCGGGACCGAGGATCTGCTTAGGGCAAAATGTATGTCGCTTGTGGAGTTATTCATTACCTCCACGCATCTCACGCCCTGTTTCGTACCTTAGTTTGCTTACAACGAAATGTCGTTCATGCTTATCCGTTTGCTGCAAAATTTTTCCGCGATTGCATTATCCCCCGAGCCTGCAATGCGCCCACCTGCGTGGTGGGCTGAGAAAGACGGTCGACAGGCCATCGAGCGGTTCAAGCCAAAATTCCACGTGATGCTTTATGCCGAGGCAAGTCTCTCTCTGACATACTTTGCAGTCATCTAACTGGGTTCTTCCTCGCAGGGTGGTATGTGGGTCAAGATGGAAGCTGTAGATGACGTCGAAGTCATACAGTGACTAAATACGACTTTCTTGCTATATGCAGACACAAAGCTTCACCATACTATGACCATTGCAAGTTTCAAAAACGACCTAATGTAAAGTTTTCACGTGAACAAATTGTTTGTTCAAACAAGGTCGAGAAGACATTTCGATCTATGACGTGCTATTCTAAACAGATGCTCCGAGTCTCATGCATTCTGCTGAATATTACAACTACAACACTAATGGTCACCCTCGTACTTAATTAGACATATCTACCTCCAGCATGCGTCTGTGCTAAAGCTACTGATTGTCGACACGATCTCAGAGTAGTCGGGCTGGGCCGAACGTAGCTCGGAGTAGAATCTGAGTGAAGCTGCTGAGTGGGCGGGACAACTGGTCACGAATTCGATCTGTCAAACTTGTCAAAAGGGCGGTAATCCAATTTTATTGAACTAAAGATAGCTGTGAAAAGCATATGAAAGTGAACGCGATAAGAATCCAAATGTCTGAAACAGGATATCAGAGAAAAGGGAGAGTTGGGTGGGTGAAAAATAATGTGAATCCGGAGCAAGAATAAGTGTGAACGAGTTTGAGCTCGCCGTCGAAGAGCTGAAATGGAGGCAGGCGAAGAAGACAAAAAGGCACCGTGCTAGAGTAAATGAAGACTTGAAATAGTGTGCTCGCTTAGGCCCAATACTTACTGGACTTGCGCTCCTGCCGAGCTCACAAATCGGAGTTGTCGATATCATTGGATATCGATATCTTCCTAGGTGTGAAAACGTGGTCCTGGAAAACCTTCAACGGCGAACTGTGAGCTGAAGGAAATGTCATACCAGCCGCGATAACCCATCATCTCGCTTAATACTAACAAGATTGAGGCCTGAAAAACCTTTGGCGGAGAACTGTGAGCTGGAGGAAATGACATACTGCCGATTAGTGAGATTATACCGTTCATTGCATCTTCCACATCATTGAGTGGTGCGCACGACAGATCACCAGCGGCAAGTGCACAAGCGACCTGACGCGCGGAGCCAGCGTTATTGACAGCATCATCGACCAGCCGGCCAGAGCCAGCATTATAAGGGGCAGCGAAAGCAACGCCGCAGAGAATAGCGAGGGATGCGAGTGAAGCGCATTGTGATTAGGGGGAAGCTAAACAGTTGCAGTCGAGGGCAAAAAACGATTGAAGAACAGAGGCCTAAGTGACAGTTTTATACCTAGTATCGAGGTTGTGTATATTATCCAAATGGAGGAAATAACACTCGAGATCAACAAGGCAATAGCACAAAGAATTCCGACCCGGAGACTAATTATAAGCTGACTCCGCCCTGCGTGATTTTCGATTAGTATTCAAAACTTGAAGCTTGAGGTTTGCCATTGAGCTTCGGTCCACGATAAAGGTCATCCATGAGTTGTTCCAGCCGTCCTCTTTACGCGAACCGTGAGGCCTAGATCTTCCTTGGTTTGGCCACTACCGTGTCGGTTGAACTTTGACATGGAAGGCGTTCTATGTGACACTGGTATATTCATAGTCGGTTTAGAGGGTCACGAATAACGTACATAGCTGATCTTTTCCATCTGAAATGCACCGTTGGTGAATCTGCGAAGCCAAAGATAGTATGGTATGGTATGAAGAATCTCAAAGTGAAAGATCGAGTCAAATTCAGGAACGAGAGGCGCGCGGAATATGATGTGGCACAACGAGCATCACATCGAAGGAGGATAGTCTATGTGCATGATCCATGGGTCGAGTAATTGCTGATTCAAGTTGGGCAAGGCCACCATGAGGTACCCCGCATCGAATGCAAAGGATGTAGATTCTAGAGGTCGGAAAGAGGGTGGTGAGTTGCAGATAGACAGCGATGTGATAGGAGACTAGTGATGGATGCCGATGATCGATGAAGTATAGCTTGTTGAGTGATCGTTCGATAAACGAAGTACCACCCACCACGAGGTATTCCGCGAGAAACCCGGCCATAAAGAAGAGGGGATGAAGGTTCTATAAATAGCTCGTAGTGGATCGGGTGAAGGCACATAAAGAGAATGTGGAGCAGACGATGACGTGCAGGCGTGTAGCTGTAATCGTCATAGCGTTACAGGGGGGGTAAACGAGCCTAGATGACAAAATGTTGGTGGAAATCGACCATAGAGAGGGTAGACAGATGACGCGTGGTCCCTGGGAGACGCGCGTACTCGTTCCCGTGGACGACATGAGTCCATCCAATACCCGGCTAAATCCCGCTCTTGCCCTGATGAACGTTTGCATCGATCTTTTGACGTGCGATGTTCGACTTTGTTCGTAAACTCTGGCCATGATACGAAGAGATGCCGTTCGTGTCAAACGCGGGATTCCGATGAGGTTCAAGTTGAGCGTGAGAGATTCTGCAGGTGAAGGAAGACGATTGTGATGCATTGATGACCCGCTACATTGTGCATGGTAATATCTGTGAGGTGAGTGGCCAGGCCATGACGATCGTAGTACTATATAGGTGCCAGCATGAATTTGATGGAGTGAGTGACGGAATGAACCAAATTGAGCATGGATGCATGAAAAACCAGACGATCCGATTTACTTATCAATAGGCTATATAAACCTAGCTCATGGCATTACAGTCTCTCCATCATGGATACATTCGCAGAACCATACACACGCGCAGGAGACGACATTTCACTTGATTCAGTTAGAGACCATGTCAGAACTCTCGAAGCACGACACAAAGCCAACGGCGTTCAATTATCAGGCCGCATCATTCATGTCTGCCATTATCTTCCTGTAACTTGCACGATCACTTCAACTGCTACAAGAGATGGCATACTCAGTCCACCTCCTACACCTCCACGTATCCTTTCAGACGTACCACCAAGCCCATCCGATGAGATTCCCCAAATCTCTCTTCCCACTCAACCTGAGCGTTGGAAACTCGCTCCACGCTACGGACACAGCGCAATGACGAGCGGCATTCGTAGTCTCAGCCTCACACACGAACAACTCATTCTTGGATGGACAGGCGACATTCTATCACCTGCAGGTCCACCCGATGGCAATGATGGTCATTCACTCCACTTTCACTCGTCATCATAACACTAACCTCTCCATAGCTGACGTCAATCCCTCCACTGGTGAACGCATCCCTTCCGTTCGAGATCGTATTCCATCTTCTCGCATTTCTCAAGAGGACAAGGATGCACTCGACGTCGAGCTCGCTCATTATACCGACAAGAACGCACTCGAACCTGAAACCAGCAAACCCATCACTTATCTTCCGCTCTGGATGGAGGATAACGTCGCGCACGGTCATTACGATGGTTATTGTAAACAAAGTCAGTCCATATCAGGAATACCTCTTCTTGATCTACCTCCATCGTCTGCTTTTGGCCCTTCTCACTCGCTTTTCATACTTGATTCCTTCTTTGGTTCTTATCTTTCGTCTCTTCGGATGCACCGGCCTCGGAAATTTGATCGCATTTAATACTTACCCATCTCGTCCAATCTCTTTCATTTTCTTCTTCGACCTCCCATCTTGCTTCTTATTACTACCGGCCCGGAGAACCTCATTTACCGTTGCTAACACCCACCCAGCTCTATGGCCCCTCTTCCACTACCTCCTCTGGCAGGATGTAGCAACAGAGCATGCCAGCGCTGATGCTAACTATGAATATTATGAGCAGGTGCGTCCTGTTGGTTCATCTCATCTTCTCATCACATTCAACACTCCACCAAAAGGCCAACCAAGCATTCGCAAACCGCCTCGCCAGCGTCCTCAAACCAGGCGACCTTGTCTGGGTCCATGACTACCATCTCCTTCTAGTCCCTCGCATGCTCAGAAATGCAATGCATTCCGGCGCTGTGAGCGGCGTGGGTGGGGAGAATGGCGGAGACGTGTGCGTCTTTCCTTACAAACGAGGAGGGCACCACTACTGACACACACCACAGCATCATCGGTCTATTCGTACACACCCCTTTCCCTAGCTCAGAGGTGTTTAGGTGTTTACCACGTACGTCTCTCCTCTCCCCCTCTTCGAACAACTAACCAACTCTACCCAGGTCGCAAAGAAATTCTCGACGGAATGCTAGGTGCTAACCTCATCTGCTTCCAAACCTACAGCTACACCCGTCACTTCACCTCCACCTGCGTTCGCGTGTGCGGGTATGAAACTACTAGTAAAGGTGCTACGACTACGTCTACTAGTGCATCCCGGGGTGCGAGCGTTGTTCCGCGTAGTGCGACTGGAACTGGGGTTGGATCCACCCGTGGAGCCAGCCTCACGCGCCGTGGAACAAACGTGAAAGGCGGAGCAGGTGTTGAGAAATATGTCGGTATTGATGTACAGGGACATGTAGCTGCTGTCACGCATTGTCCGGTGGGGGTTGATGCAGAGAGGGTTGCGAGGGATACGTAAGTTTTTTGTTTAGGGTCTTTTTTATTCGGGGTACTGATGCGCACGCACGCATACACCCCAACATACATCGCCCAATTATAACGCATGCACGCAACCAGCCTCCGCCCAGGCGTCCAACCGAAACTCGAAGCCCTCCGCGCGCTCTACGCAGACAAGAAGATCATCGTAGGAAGAGACAAGTTGGACGTCGTCAAGGGGGTCTTGCAAAAGGTGATTAATCTATCTCACATGATTATATCGTCGCTCATTGATTGGTTGTTTCTTGTACCATTGTCCAAACGCATAACATCAGCTCCGCGCGTTTGAGAAGCTCTTGCATGATTACCCAGAGTGGCAGCGCAAGGTCGTACTTATTCAGGTGTGTCCTGTTATCCGAATGCAATACCCAGACATTAATGAATGGTAAACGCTGTTTACAGGTGACGTCCCCTGCATTAACAGACTCCCCAAAGCTTGAGCGTCAAGTCTCGGAGCTCGTCGCGCATATCAATGGGGAGTATGGGAGTTTGGACTTTATACCCGTACACCACTAGTGCGTGCACTTTTATCACGGCTTCACGTGTCTCATGTTTTCTATCGCATTTACTTTCGCCCTTCCCTTCCACACATCACCTCTGTGATGACTCCAACAGCCACCAAACCCTCAGAAAGGACGAATTCTACGCGTTGCTGAGCGCTGCAGACCTCGGAGTAATCACGCCCCTCAGGGACGGGATGAACACGACCTCGATGGAGTTCGTAATTGCACAAGAGCGCACGAAGCGCTCGCCTCTTGTGTTGAGCGAGTTTATGGGTATCAGCCAGCACATGGCTGATGCACTTCAGGTGAACCCTTGGGATCTTGGGGTGCGTAGTATCTGCCGTCTTTGTGTGATGTGATTGACGGATATGTGGTGAGTAGGATGTAGCAGCTGCGATGAACCGCGGGTTGGTCATGTCGGAGGATGAGAAAGCTTCGAGGCACGCGGCGTTACACTCGGTCGTAACGACTCACACCTCGCACACGTGGGCTGCAGTCCTTGCCAAAATGCTGCTCTCGCAGATCAACGGACAGAACACTGCACGTCAAACACCTTACATCCCTAGAGATAATCTTAAGGAGCTGTATGATAACGCCGGGAAGCGTTTGTTCTTGTTTGATTACGATGTGAGTGATGGATAGGGGATACGGGGCTCGTCGTTGACTTTTGACGGACAGGGCACGCTCACGCCGATCGTCAAGATGCCGTCGATGGCGCTTCCTTCTCCTGATGCGCTCACAGCCCTCGCGAAACTTTCATCCGACCCTAATAACATCGTATATATCGTATCCGGCCGTGACCAGGCGTTCCTCGAGGAACATCTTGGTCATCTCCCGCGTCTCGGGATGAGCGCAGAGCACGGCGGATTTATCCGTTCGCCTGACAGCGCCGTGTGGATGAATTTCACTGCCAGTCTGGATATGAGCTGGATGGAGGAAGTAGCGGAGATTTTCAGGTATTATACGGAGCGCACGACTGGGAGTCATATCGAGATGAAGAAGAGCTCGATTACATGGCACTATCGGTCGACTGATCCCGAGTGGGGGTGCGTGTGTTTGTGTTTTTTTTTGTTGAGTGAAACTGATGAGTGGTGGGTTATAGACAGTTCCAGTGCAGGCAATGCCAGGATTTATTGGAGAATAACGTTGTGCCCAAGAGGCCGATCGAAGTGCTCGTAGGTAAAAAGAATTTAGAAGTGAGGCCTATCGCCGTGAACAAGGTCTGTGCGCGTGGTCTTTGATATACGTACAGACTGACAGTTCATACAAGGGGGAGATCGTCAAGCGTATATTATACCAGAACCCTGAAGTCGAGTTCATCTTTTGTGCTGGTGACGACAAGGTCTGTTTCATCCCTCCCCATGTTCCTCACTCGCTCACCCTCCAGTAGACCGATGAAGACATGTTCCGCGCTTTACTCCTCTTCCCCCCTTCCTCCATCGGCAAAGCGACGATGGAGCCCCCGCTGTCTGTGATGCTCGTTGACAACACGAAGGAGCACAGCGACGTCGAGCTCGCAGTGTCTCCCGAAGGTGTGTTCACTACTGCCGTTGGACATAGCAGCAAGCGAACGCTTGCAAGTTGGCATGTGACGACGCCTGAGGAGGTGGTGGAGCATATGTTGTTTTTAGTTGGGGAGACGCCCCAGGGGGAGGACTTGAAGGGGTATCTGTGAGCATCAGTCACGCTGCGCTGCGCGGTATAGATTTTTTCGTCTCGAGATTTGTGCAATATGTTTGAGAACATTTGATGCGCTTGTGCCCTTAGAGTTTCTATAGACCAATGATGACTTTTTTGAAGTGTCGCCGGAGTCCATGTATCTCGGAGAAGCTCGCTGGCGAAACTGGCTTTGCCATTGCCTCGGCTTGCGTCAAGATTGAAATGCTTTCGAGTGAGAAGAAAGGATGGATGAATTTCGGTAGAGGATAAGATGGAAATGAAGCACTAATTCCTGTCTATCTCCGTGCATTCCGACCTTCCTTTCGTACGCTGACATTCTCCGATGTACATCTGTGAGCAGCAAAATGTTTTATTTGTCAATGTCAATCATCCTACGTAGGTAGAGTTTTGTACACCTTTCATAATGCCTGGCATTTGGATTCGCAGCGAGCATCGACCATGCATAACTTGAAGTGCTCGGCGAGTCTCTTGAGCGGTATTCTCCCTACGCAGTGTATGAAGAGCATACTTCGGATGCGTGAGTAATGAATAAACTTTGAAGTCGCAAAGACTCTTAGTATATGATGATACCGTACGTGTGATCGAGGACACAATGCGGTATCAAGCGAGTCTTACAACAGGGATAATTGACGGGATGAAAAGAGAATCAACGACTTGTACCAGATGAAGGTAAATACGAACTACACAATATGAAATCGACCAATGCCCTGCTCGAGCAGCGCCTTCTTCGTAGCGTGGTTGAGTACTGAGTGCCCGTGCCGCCTTCGTATAATCCATGACACCACCATCCTCGAACGTGTTCCCGTAAAAAGCTTCCACGAGGTGTTTTGCAACAGCGTCGTCGCCCACCCAATGACGCTCTTGAGCCCAGAAAACTGCAGGCCAGCTGCGAGGTGGATGACTTCGTCGGGCGTCTTCTCATCGCCGACAAGAAACGCGAACTCGGCGTCGGAATGTCTTTTTCTACGATATTAAGCAGCGTGAGAGGTGTCTCTCCTGGCGAAATGGAGATTGTAGATACGCTCATGGTCCTGTTTACTGTGACAAGCGAGGTGCACCCAACCCAGGCGTTCTACTGCAGAGCTTCTAGTGCACCTGGTCGTATGGCTGCGTCGCCATAAATGCGACCCTGTCCGATCGCCACGAAGGAAGGGGGCACATGCCTCTTCATCGCCTGCTGAGCTCTGATCAGAGCCGAAAGTGTCGAAGCGTAGGAGCAGATGAGTAGAGATCCTATAAGCAGTATTCTGGCACAGAGCAATCTGCATTCATCCGAAAAAGTCAGCTGCGTGGAGAGTGGGCGTGAAGTCTATAGTCGGGCACAATCATATCCGAGACTGGCGGCGCAATTTGAGCTCATGCTCAGGGACGTTGACGATGGGTAGCATGATCTCATCCCATACTATCCATAAGCGTTCTTCCTCGGCTACTCTGGGCGCATACTGGCCGATTGCTTAATTGCCATAGCGAAGTCGTCTTTGAGACGGAAAGTGAACGAGGTGGGGATCTCCTGATGTCGGGACAACAGGGGTGCTACATGAGTATTGACTCGCAATGAGGATGATGACTGGGCCACGACGCACTGATGCCTGCAAGTCTTCATACGAAGGTGAGAGCAGGAATCACGAGAAACCTCCAAGATGATAGATTTCAGCTACTAGTACCACCGCTCCCCGCTGCTTCGTAAAATTCCTATAGTATCAGTGTTTCTGCCTGGTCAACAGCAGCTCGTCCTTATTGAGATGGCTCATAACCCAAAGGTATGACGGTACCATTCTAATAGAAGAAACGAAGGTCTGGCTAGGGGTGTCTCTAGAGGGTACCATGGAGTGGCTGAGGATATGAATGGCACTGCTATTGATGACGGCATGCTAGTATTTCACCGACGAGGTTCGCATGTTCTGGCCGGCTTGGCCCTTTCGCCCAATCGATCAAGAAACCGACTTCCTTGTATATGGTCCGACTAAAGAACACTATCGTCCAAGGGTACTGCAAAAGCGATCAGGGATAACGTCAATGAAGCTTGACATATGCTGATGAATATTTGCAGTATTCTGGAACAACGCGGACACAGAATGTATCACGCATGGTCTCGGCCCTTGCTCAGCTTCATATTTACGAGCCTCAGCCTGATCCACCATCAACCCTTTGATGATGCCATTCCCCCTTTCCACTCGCGACAATCGCGCAACAGCCTGCGAGATCACATGTTCGATTCTTGCAGAGTCTTTGTCCCAGACATTCTACAAGTTCACCAGACGTTTCGAAGCAAGCAACACGGTATTATACTCCTGTCTTCTCTAAGTCTGGAAATTGGTAAACGGCGAGAAGACGGTTTCGTGTCATGAGGCACCCACACATTCATGGCCTGAAGCTTGAAGTTCTGAAAAGGACGCGTAGGTTGTGATAAGTTCGTCGGTTGAAAATGGCGTGCTCCGAGCAATTACTGCACAGCGGACTTTGAAAAATAAGGCTAATGGTAATATGACCAAACAATTGACATCCACCAACAATGTTACAATTCACCAACATTCTCAGCGTCCAACCAGTCCGATCTCGAAACCTCTTCTGGATGCACAGAATTGAGTACCAAGCTTTGCCATTGCTATTTGCGGCCTGATGTTAATTTTTTCACTTATGTAAAATTGATGCCATCTTCATCAGTGGATCGTGTGCGCAGCGGATGCCATCTGTTGTTGAACCGTTGGACTGGCATGGCTGGCAGTGTGCCTGCCTCTGGAAGCTGCTGTGGTTTCTACCTAATGATTATGCTACTTACCACAACGCCCGAAGACTCTATCCCTACTGACTAAGTTACGCAAATGGTGGCAAACACCCGGCTACACCACCCACCGCTGGATGGGAACCCACTCTACCGTCTAGCAAGCAGTTCATGCGTCACACGTTACTCCCGGTCCGCAGTACAGTACGTACATGATGAAATGATCGGTAGCACAGACTTCCATGTGCTTCTAGCACCGGCGGGGACTGCGCATTCAGGGACTCCATGGCCCTTTCCGCAGCTGGTCCCATGCTACACCGATTCGCAGCGCGTTATTTACCTATGGTGCGCGTCACTACTTTTGAACAAAGTCCTCGCCCCCTTGTAAAAAAAATCAGATTTTTTTACCGAGAGGACTTCAGTATGCACCCATCAATCTCTTTGCTCGCTTCGCTCGCTACCGTCATATCATATCAGGCGATCTCCACAACGCCGTGCTACTGTTTTTATTTTGTATCATTGATCATCGATCATTTGGCACAGCTTCATATCATATTCACAGATAATCCAATTGGTCGTCGATGATCATTGGATGGTGCAAGATTCCGAGGCTAACGGTGATTAAACAAAAGATTTGTATCTATCTTTTCGCAGGCTTCAAGAACACTGGAATAATATTATTAGCCACGTACTACGGTAACCGTCTCGACGTCTCTGTACTTGTTCCAAACTTCCCTCAGTTATCTTTTGTCATCAAGGATAGATAAAAGGATCAAAATTTAGTTTCATCGTGTGTGCAAGTCAACCGTTACATCAATGGCAGTCGAAACCAAACCTGAAACACTTGTTCCGGAACTCTGGAGTGCACAGGAGCACAAAGGGGGGTCAGAGGAGCTGGGAGTTGAATACTCACTCTCTAAGGACTCCGACCTGTCTTTGGTCTTGCAAGAGTTTCCAGAAGGTGGTCTTGCCGCTTGGTCCACTGCTTTTGGATCGTAAGGAGATATTTTTTTAGTGGTGCTGGCTCTTACTTGATTGACTTAGGTTTCTCATATTGTTCTGCAGTTGGGGGTGAGTGTTGCGCTTTATCATTGATGAAGGATGGCGCTCTGAAGCTTCCAAGTTACATCGCATCATTTGGTGTCTACCAAGGTATTGCTGCCCATGAAAGTGAGGAAACTTTGTTCAAGCGGCTTGCCTTCTAGACTTCTATACTGGAAATTATCTCGCAAATGAGACATCATTTGCTATTTCGTGAGTTCTATAGGCTTCTCTATTGTGAGTATCCTCATGGTCTCTTGCAGATTCATTGGGAGCTTCAATACATTTTTAGGCACCTCTGTGAGCCTTGTATCAGGCACACTATACGATCGAGGTTATTTGTGAGTGTGCATGCAAATGTCTCGGAGACAGTGCTCAGCAGGCCTACTACCTAGTTACCATCTTGTCAGTTACCGGGTCGCTGCTGCAGAGTTTCTCTCTCTTCATGCTGTCATTGGCGAAGCCCAATCAATACTATCAGGTGACATCCTCCGGCTTTCTGACCTTTTTGTTTCTAACATCATAATAGATATTCCTTACTCAAGGCTTAGGCTCAGGTATCGCGTTGGGGTTGCTGTACATCCCGAGCCTGGCCATCGTCTCGCATTATTTCAGACGGAAACGCACACTGGTGATGGCATTCGTTACTATGGGCTCATCGCTGGGTGCTATCGTCCATCCAATTATGCTTAATAATCTCCTGAATGGGCGCCTTGGTTTTGCCAACGGTGTACGTGCAAGTGCAGGGTTAGTTAGCGCGCTCCTTTTGATTGCATGCTTGTGTATGCGAACACGCCTTGATCCGCCGACGACACCAGTGAACTATATCGTGGCAGCTAGAAAGTGTCTTCGTGATATTCCGTTCTTTTTCGCGACAGTAGGGTAAGACCTGCAATACACCATCTTCCGAATTTTCGAAAATAATCACTTGTTATGCAGGGCGTTTCTTTTCCAGATTGGCGTTTACTACCCGACATTTTTTCTTCAACTCGATTCTACCCAACATGGTATCAGCATCACCTTTTCGTCTTACTCTGTGGGATCTAGCATTATACAAGTGGTCTTTTTGCTGATTCAATCACCAGCTTGTGATTTTAAACGCGTCCAGCTCTGTGGGACGAGTTTCAGCAGGATATATCGCAGGGTATATAGGAGTCCTCAACTTGACCGTGATTTCGGCAATCTCGTGCGGATTGATACTTTTGGGCACTATTGGATTGAGTAGCCTGGCCAGCGTCGTTATCATTGGTGTGCTTTTTGGCTATTTTCAAGGGGTGTGTAAGTATTCTTTCCGATTTACTTTATAGTTGAAGGTGTTAATCGGTCATGTAGACACTGCGTTATTGAGTCCACTTATGGCTACCCTAACACACAACCCCTCTGAGCTTGGGTGAGTGATAACTCGAGCTTCAGTATGTGCGAATGATCTTATCTGGTCACAGCGGGTGGATGGGTATCAGTTTCTTTCTTGGCGGTGAGTGCTAGGATTAGATTTACTTGTATATTATTTTGAACTCGCATGCGTTCATTCTGCAGGATTCGGAAGTTTGATTGGTAGGTGCATTTGTAGCACTTCTTGCTTCACCTTATCAATGTTTACCTAGGAACACCCATATCCGGTGCCCTACTTACATCAAATTATATTTGGTGGAGACCCGCTCTGTTCTCTGGGGTGAGTCGACTGCGATTGCCGCTTCTCTATACATTTTGATTCGTAAATCGCAGATCGCTGCACTGGCCGGTGCCGCAATGTACATTTTCATGCGGCTCGTTCACATTAGAGTGCAGAAGCAGAATGAATCATGAGTGAGCGGCCTACGAGTCCATTTATGAGGCAATATTAATGTAAAGTCCACAAGTGATTACCGCTGCACGGCTCCTTTCTGCTTGTCTCTATGGCGTATGTAATTTGATTATAGTAACAATTCGTTATACTGGGCCGGATTTTGCGTGACGCGGATGTGACGCGGCACTGACGATCCTTGACGCGGCCACTGACGCGCCATTCCTATATTCTATATCCAACTTCCAGATCAAGTTGGATGAGTTCACGACCATTCTTTTGTTATTTTATTTGCCTCAGAGCCATGTACAACTAGGTATACATAAGCCAATGACTATTTTCTTTTCCTCCCTCTCTGGACCCTTCGAGCCTGTGGAGCACATCGACGTTTAACGGGCGGACATTCTTCAACAGGCAGAGAAGGAACTACAGCTTCGGATAGCTCATCTGCAGACTCCAAAGATGTAACATCAGAGTTATCACTGAATAAGGGGCCGCGCTGTCAATCACATAAGCTAGTTAGATATCTATCGAACGGAGCAGGTAATGTCTTCCTCACTTCAAGTTCACTCTCGCTATAATCTCTTGCAGAAACCCATTCATCAGGAATTCCGAGATACACATTCCGTCGCCTGTGATGTTGGCCAGCATCCAAACCCCACTGCTGGTTGCCTGCAGGTCCTGCTTCTTCGGAATCCTCGAACATCCTTGCTTCTAGTGCGGTCAGACACTCGAGGTCGACATCAGCCACGAAGCTTTTGGTAGGATAGCTTATCATGAGATCAGCCCAAGCCATCTTCAACAGCATGTTATCGTTCCATTCTTCGTTTCGAGCTTCGATGCGTTTTTCGAAATCACTGGCCTTTCGATGAGCAACCACGAGAGTGAAAGCATGCACCAAAGGCATGCCACCAAGCCATTTTTTGACTTGACCGGAAGCACCAGGAACATTCTCCGAGAACCAACGTGCAATTTTGGCATACTCGTGAGATGAGATGTCACCACAAAACGGTATGCTGTATGCACCCACACCATCTGGCTTCTTCTTCGATCGCAAGATGTAGTCTATCACGGGGTATGCCTCCGCACCATATTGGTTCAAGTCTGGACTGTCGAGGAGCTTCTGAAGCGAAGCAATATGCGGTAGTAGAATGTCGTCCAGTTCTTTTGATACTTCCGCTGACATAAAGTTTTGAATCAAGTCTTCTTCGCGAGGGGTATCCCAAGAGTGGATCCATTCTCCGAGCTACACAATACTTCGTGTCAAAAGGACTGCGAGTATAACCAGTCACTGTCACTCACGCGAATCTCACGCCTCTTAGCTTGGTCCTGCCAAAGTTCATCCTCGAGATCTCCTTGCTCAACATCACCAGGAGGTGATCCCAAACTTAATGGGAATCTGCAACCGCGCCACCAGACCACCCGCCAGCGTACTCGGTTGCGTGCACTAGCAGGGAGACTAACAGTGTCATAGGACTGAATCAGCCGCACAGGATACCAATACTTCCCGAGACGAGCCAGAGCTCCTTTGCCAACACTATAAGTGAGTGATCAGCCATATCTCGATTCTCAGCTAGGGTTGGAGATCAAAAGACAAACATCAGACGTGTCTAAAGGTCCGAGTGGACTTGCCCCGTAGTGCTTGCAGCTCAGCCTTGACACGGTCCTGGTTGAGAAGCACTGTGGAGATTATTGCAACAGATTCACGGGTACCAGTAAGGCTATTGCGACCAGCAATTAATGCCGCAGGGCCAGCAGCAGGATTTTCGAAGACTATTTGTTCGAATCTTGTCCGCTCGTCAGGAGATAGATGCAAGATGTGAGTTTGTTTCGGATGGTGGTGAATGCCCTTGTGAATGTAGTAGACGCCTCCTTTGAATGAATACAACACTGATATGACACCGCAGTCGATGTGCTTGAGCTGACTACCACAAAGGCACGATCCATTGAGTTGTCCTATGATACCAGCCCGACGGGTCTGCGGACGTGTGACTACCTCACAGGTAGGTTCATCACAAGTGATGACATCCAGGTAAACACGTCTCGTCTTTTTACCTTGCGACCACACGAGTGCCGACTCTGACCCCCTCTTGCCTCCTCCTCCTGGCTGACAAGCCCAATGTTCACTAAGATTGTCAGTTCTTAATACCTCCTCCCATGTGAATACTTTCAAAGTCACCGTCCGGCCATGGGTCCCATAACTCATCTCCACCGCCAGATTTGGGACGTAGTGAATTGGATGATTGATCCGGACCACGGCGTTGATTTGTTCGGGCTGCAGAAGGACTAACACTTCGGGTACGCCGGCGTGGTATAGACTTCGTGTCTGTGCAGAGTTCAAATAACTCCTGTGAGTGGTGTTTCATGTGTTGAGGGAGGGGTGGTGGATTTGAGACGGAGTGTGCAGGGTCATGTGATGGCTGAGCGGTCTGCACGGAGGCCGGAAGATAAGCTATTACATTGCCTGTTCTATTTGTCAAATCTGAGTTCACAAGGAGAATATGTCGAATGACGCACCTGAACGGTCATAGCAGGGTATGAGGTCCCCAAAACTCAGCAGCGGACCCGGCCGATCTGGATAATTTTGATTCTCTTCTCGTTGGGATAGAAAAAGTTGAATATATGTTTGATTAATTCCTAAAAGATGGTTATAACAAGTTTACTCCGTATTTCAAAGCACTCACAAAGGCCATGATATGATTTGCGGGGGCGCGATAATAAGGGTTTCTTTTCGAGCCCAGAGGAGACAAAACGAAAGAATGCTTAGTAAAATAAATTTATTACTGCCTATGGACAATTACAGTGTACGACGTCTAATTCTGTCAGGATGAAAAGGAACACTGTTAGAATATCAATTATTATGACAGATGTAGAATAAAATATACCTAAGTTATACGGACAGGATGACAGTTGAGGTGGTGAGGCCTTGAGGTTTGACGCGGCATGTGGAGGTGGTGAGGTCTGACGCGGCATGAATGAAGTTTGACGCGGCATGGAGGAGGTTTGACGCGGCACTGACGCGCATGTGACGCGGCAACTGATGCGGTTTGTGCTATGTTTGACGTGGCACTGTAGTAGGCCTTGACGCGGCATAGAGTGTGGATGTTGATATTAGTACAGAGACTGCGAAGATATTTGGGAGAACTTGTCGTGGTGTGAGTAGTGCTTGACGCAGCCTAAACGAGGCTTCTGACATGCCATGGTAGTTTTCCCTGATGGACGTGGTTGGTACGGTTAGCAAGTGCGGGGATGTACAACCTTCCGGAAAAGAGAGCTTGAGGGTCAAGAGCTCCTTCCCTTGACCCATCTTCGGTTGAGCCTGTCCGATCGCCACGAAGGAAGGAGGCACATGCCTCTTCATCGCCTGCTGAGCTCTGATCGGAGCTGAAAGTGTCGAAGCATAGGAGCAGATGTAGAAATTTCTAGGCAGTATTCTGGCTAAGAGCAATCTGCCTTCATCCGAAAAGAGTTAGCTGCGTGGAGAGCGGACATGAAGTCTATAGTCGGATTCGAGACCGGCAGCACTGTGGCACAATTTGAGTTCACGCTCAAGGACGTTGACGACGGGTAGCATGATCTCATCCGACACTATCCGTAAGAGTTCTCACAAATCCTTCCTCGGCTCCTATGGGCGCTTGCTTAATCGCTTTAGCGAAGTCGTCCTTGAGTTTCTTCAGATCGATAAGAGCGAGACACGGAAAGTGAACGAGGTGAGGATCTCCTGATGTTGGGACAACAGGGACGCTCGTAAAATTCCTATGCTGTTGATCAACAGCAGCTCGTTCTGATGGGAATGGCTCCTAACCTAAATGTATAACTTCTAAATACGAAGGTTTGGGTAGGGTGTCTCTAAAGGGTAAGTACCATCGCTTGGCTGAATGATGAATATAGCACTGCATACTAATGTAGTATTTCACCGACGAGGTTTCCGGCCGGCTTGGCTCATTTGCCCAATCAGAACAACCGACTTCCTTCCATACAGTCAGCCCGACTAAGAAGACTATCGTCCAAGGGTGCTGCGAAGGCTAGCATCAATGAAGCTTGACATATGGCTGAGGAATGTTTGCAGTATTCTGGTACAACGCAGACACAGAATATTTGATGCCATCAGACATGTCACATGGCTCCGGCCCTTGCTGAGCGCTGAGGTTCGTATCACGATGATCCAACCCTTTGATGACGTCATCCTCCTTTTCCACTGGCGGCAATCGCGCAACTACATGTTTGATTCTGGCCCAGACATTCTACGAGTTCACCAGACGTTTCAAAGTCTAAAGCAACATGGTAACTCCTGTCTTGTCTAAGTCTGGCAATTGGTGAACGGCGAGAAGACGATTTCGTGTCATGAGGCTCCCACACATTCGTAACCTGAAGCTTGAAGGGACGCGTAGTAGAGTCACTGATGCTATGCTGACACAGCGGACTTTGGAAATAAGTTAGATGCCAATATGGCAATATGACCAAACAATTGACTCATCAACAATCCAACACTCGAGTCAGCGTCGGACGTCCGATCTCGAAACCTCTTATGGATGCACAGGATTGAGTACCAAGTTTTACCATTGTTATTTCCCGCCTGACGTTAATTTCTTCACCTATCTAAAATTGACGGCATCTTCATCGGCGGATCGTGTGCGCAGCGGATGCACCGTTCCTTGAACCGTTGGACTGGCACGGCTGGCAGTGTGCCTGCCTCTGGAAGCTGCTGTGGCCTCAACCTGATGATTATGCTACTTACCACAACGCCCAAAGGCTCTATCCCTACTGACTAAGTTACGCAAATGGTGGCAAACACCCGGCTGCACCACCCACCGCTGGATGGGAACCTACTCTACTGTCTGGCATGTAGGCATTTATGCGTCACACGTTACTCCCGGTCCGCAGTACGTACATGATGAAACGATCGGTGCCCAGGCCTCGTGCTCCTAGCACCGGCAGGGACTGCACATTCGGGGTCTCCATAGCACTTTCCACAGCTTAGTAAGTTCTACCATAAGTTCGGAGCTAGCATGGTCATCATTACAGTTTGTCTGCCTTGCTTTGGGTTAGGCAGCGGGCCTCATGCTCCACCCATTCGCAGTGCGTTATTTACCTATGGTGCGCGTCACTTAGCCATCACTACTTTTGAACCAAGTCCTCACCCCTTAAATTTACATTTTTATATCGAGGAGACTTTAGTGTGCACATCAATCTCTTTACCTCGCTATCATCATATCATATCAGGCGATCTCCACAATGCCGTCCCACTGTTTTTGCCACTGGATCATTGATCATCTGGCACAGCTTCATATTATATTCACAGATAATTCAATTGGTCGTCGATGATCATCGGATGGTGCAAGACTCCGAGGTTAACGGTGATTAAGCGGGTGATTGTATCCATCTTTTTGCAGGTTCAACAAGCTTCCTGAAATGAATTACTAGAAGGATATAAGCGACGGTCTCATGGCTATGAACGAAATGGAACACTGGCATAATATTATTAGCCGGGCACATGCTACGGTAACTGTCTCGACGCCTTTGTACTTGTTCCGGTGTATAACGTGAACTTCCCTCACTCATTTTTGTCATCAAGGATAGATAAAAGGATCAAAATTTAGTTTCATCGTGTGTGCAAGTCAACCGTTACATCAATGGCAGTCGAAACCAAACCCGACACACTTGTTGCGGAACCCTGGACTGCGCAAGAGCACAAAGGAGGGTCAGAGGAGCTGGGAGTTGAACGCCCAGTCTCCAAGGACTCCGACCTTCCTTTGCTCTTGCAAGAGTTTCCAGAAGGTGGTCTTGCCGCTTGGTCCACTGCTTTTGGAGCGTAAGGAGACACAATTTTAGTGGTGCTGGCTCTTATTTGATTGACCTAGGTTTCTCATATTGTTCTGCACTTGGGGGTGAGTGTTGCGCTTTATCATCGATGAAGGATGGCGTTCTGAAGCTTCAAAGTTACGTTACATCATTTGGTGTCTACCAAGGTATTGCTGCCCATGAAAGTGAGGAAACTTTGTTTAAACGGCTTGCCTTCCAGACTTCTATGCTCAAAATTATCTCACAAATGAGACATCAACTGCTATTTCGTGAGTTCTATAGGTTTCTCTATTGTGAGTATCCTCATGGTCTCTTGCAGATTCATTGGGAGCATCAATGCATTTTTAGGCACCTCTGTTAGCCTTGTAGCAGGCACACTATACGATCGAGGTTATTTGTGAGTGTGCATGCAAATGTCTTGGAGACGATGCTCAGCAGGCCTACCTAGTTACCATCTTGTCATTACCGGGTCGCTGCTGCAGAGCTTCTCTCTCTTCATGCTGTCATTGGCGAAGCCCAATCAGTACTATCAGGTGACGCCCTCCGGCTTTCTGACCTTTTGGTTTCTAACATCATAATAGGTATTCCTTACTCAAGGCTTAGGCTCAGGTATCGCGGTGGGGTTGCTGTACATCCCGAGCCTGGCCATCGTCTCGCATTATTTCAGACGGAAACGCACACTGGTGATGGCATTCGTTACCCTGGGCTCATCGCTGGGTGCTATCGTCCACCCGATTATGCTTAATAATCTCCTGAATGGGCGCCTTGGTTTTGCCAATGGCGTACGTGCAAGTGCAGGGTTACTTAGCGCACTCCTTCTGATTGCATGCTTGTGTATGCGACCACGCCTTGATCCGCCGACGACACCAGTGAACTATATCGTGGCAGCTAAAAAGTGTCTTCGTGATATTCCGTTCTTTTTCGCGGCAGTAGGGTAAGACCTGCAATACACCATCTCTCGAATTTTCGAAAATAATCACTCGTTATGCAGGGCGTTTCTTTTCCAGATTGGCTTTTACTACCCGTACTTTTTTCTTCAACTCGATTCTACCCAACACGGTATCAGCATCTCGTCTTACTCTGTGGGTTCTAGCATTATACAAGTGGTCTTTTTGCTGATTCAATCACCAGCTTGTGATTTTAAGCGCGTCCAGCTCTGTAGGGCGACTTTCAGCAGGGTATATCGCAGGGTATATAGGAGTCCCCAACTTGACCGTGATTTCGGCAATCTCGTGCGGATTGATAATTTTGGGCACTGTTGGATTGAGTAGCCCGGCCAGCGTCGTTATCATTGGTGTGCTTTATGGCTATTTTTCAGGGGTGTGTAAGTATTCTTTCCGTTTTATACATAGTCGAAGGTGTTGATCGGTCATGTAGATACTGCGATAGTGGGTCCACTTATGGCTACCCTAACACACGACCCCTCTGAGCTTGGGTGAGTGATAACTCGAGCTTCAGTATGTGCGAATGATCTTATCTGGTCACAGCGGGTGGATGGGTATCGGTTTCTTTATTGGCGGTGAGTGCTAGAATCAGATTTACTTGTATATTATTTTGAACTCGCACGCGTTCATTCTGCAGGATTCGGAAGTTTGATTGGTAGGTGCATTTGTAGCGCTTCTTGCTTCACCTTATAAATGTTTACCTAGGAACACCCATCTCCGGTGCCCTGCTTACATCGGATTACATTTGGTGGAAACCCGCTCTGTTCTCTGGGGTAAGTCGACTGCGATTGCCGCTTCTCTATCCACATACACTTTGATTAATAAATCACAGATCGCTGCACTGGCTGGTGCCGCAATGTACATTTTCATGCGGTTCGTTTTCATTAGAGTGCAGAAGAAGAATGAATCCTAAGTGAGCGGCTTACGAGTCCATTTGCGAGGCAATATTAATGCATAGTCCACAAGTGATTACCGCTGCGCGGCTCCTCTCGTGATCATGATTATATTCTGCTTATATATATGGCGTATATAATTTGATTATAGTAACCATTGGTTATACTGGGCCGGATTTGCGAGTGAAGGTGATAGATACCGAGATCATTCTGAGGAATTCTGACGACATCTCACATGCGATTTTCTGGAGCCGACTCACAGAAGTATACATTAAACAGCGAATCATCTGTGAAAAAAACGTCGAGCATTAACGCGGCACAACCATGTGCATAAGGCTCGAAAAAGGAACGTCATCGAGAGCGGTGATGACGAACGAATTGGCACCAAGAGAATTAAGACAAGTAGCACGTCTTTCGACGTGCTCGACGAGCAATACCAATTCGTCATGCTCAGCCGGCATTGCGAGTGTGAAGGTGATCGAGCACGCAACGCGTCTTTTGACGTGCTCGACCGACGACAAGCAATAACAATTCGTCATGCTCAGCCGGAATTGCGAATGTGAAGTGATAGACAGAAATCGAGTAAGCAACACGTCTTTCGACGTGCTCGACAATATCTACGACAGGACTGATCCGTGTGCAAGTGGCACGGGGATAATGAACTTATTGTATGGCAACCATTAGAAAGCAACAGTGGAAGCGGAAGCATACATGCATGGCAGTAAAGTTTGGTGTAGAAGGGATGACGGAAGCGTTCAACGGTGGAAAGCAACGGAGGGGTGAGAAAAGAGGGTTTCCACGGATCATAGCAAGTCTGTGCGGTCGCTCTCGTCGTCTCCAAGCAGGTGAAAATGATGATATGACGTAAGTTGTTTGAACTCTGGCACATTGTCATCTCAGCACGACGGCTGGAGTCAGCGCAGTCCTGGGAATGCTGTACCTGAAACGACAACGATGAACAGCGAGACGAGCCCCCCGCTGATGCGCAGGGCATCGATATTACTTCATGTGTTCCTTCCGGTGGATCTCTTCGAAGTTCGAAGAAATCTGAAAAGGACCATGACGGTGACACTATGGAGTCGTCATTGAGCCGAAACACCGGCCCCATGACCGTACGCATGACCTTGAGAGGTGGATACATGCAGGCAGGCGGCAACATGGTATTCCACGATATCTGCAGTAGTCGTGGTATCGCTTCGTATTCAGAGCAGTGATGATCAATGATTGTTTGATTGGGCTTGCTAGTTAGCAGAGTTTGGGCATCAACGTTACTTGTTGGCATTGGGCTATCTGCTACCTTGCTGCCGAACGAGAAAGTTTGCTCTGATCAAATTGGTAACTTGAAGCAAAATGGGTCATGGGTCCCCGGCCTCTGCCGAGATCGTTCTACCCCTTGCCGTAACGCAGCTGCCCGAACTTCAGAACGTTCAAGCTTACGCCTCATCTTCAACGGCTCATCAGGAGTATTCCTAGCTAACTTGTGTCACTTTCTCGCAGTCTCATGGACCAGCTACTTTCTTGCATAGGGAGCATCACGCTGAAGTCCTACATCATGTCGGAATTATATCTTTGTACACCAGGGCAGTCTCAGGCTACTGCCTGAAAAACATGGGATCGGAGCGCTTGAACAAGATTGATACTCTTGTCAAAGTTTGCCCATCTATGATAGTATGAGTTAGGATTTCTTAGAAGCACGGTGCGGTACCATTTTTGGTCTATGCGAAGTTGTAAACTGTGCTCTACTGCTTTTAAGGGAAGTTCTTTCAGACGCCTTATCACACATTTCTTTCTCATACAAGTCGGCTGGTTTATGAGACTAGCCTAGACTCGTTTTACCGATTCTGCCGGTTGTAACCGGCAGAACTGACCCCAACTATAGTTCTGTCCCCTCCACTATCCTCTTGGCAGCAGGTGCGTACTCATCAAGACCCAACCCGAGTTCGAGCTTCTCACTTGCTGCAAAAGGGTTGATCTGCAAACGAATATCTGACAGATAAGTGTATCCTACCTCCAGAAATGCTGCTTGAACCGTCTGTGATGTAGTCAATATATTCTATGAGGTTGGTCCCAAGCTCCTCGCGCTTTCCACTTGCTGCAAATGGGTTGATCAATAAATGAATAAACGGCAGATAAGTGCATCCTACCTCCAGAAATGCTGCTTGAACCGTCTGTGATGTAGTCAATATATTCTATGAGGTTGGTCCCAAGCTCCTCGCGCTTTCCACTTGCTGCAAATGGGTTGATCAATAAATGAATAAACGGCAGATAAGTGCATCCTACCTCCAGAAACGCTGCTTGAACCGTCTGTGATGTAGTCAAGATATTCTATGAGGTTGGTCCCAAGCTCCTCGCGCTTTCCACTTGCTGCAACTGGGTTGATCAATAAATGAATAAACGGCAGATAAGTGCATCCTACCTCCAGAAATGCTGCTTGAACCGTCTGTGATGTATTCAATATATTCTATGAGGTCGGTCCCAAGCTCCTCGCGCTTCTTACTTTTTTCTAGGAGATCGCGTTGAAAGTCGTTGCCAGGGTTCTCTCGCTTGGCTGAGTAATACATCTGAGCGAATATGATACTGCTGATGATCATGCACACTCACAGGGACGCTTCGAGAAGGCCTCTGGGGTAGGTGACGCTGCAGCAAGGATCACAAAAGATATAAGTGCACTAAAGAGCACAGAGAGCTGCATGTTCAGGGATAGTAAAAAGGAACTTCGTCGATATACTACACTGAAATCCAAGAGGGCTTTTATACATTTTAGCAGGTCCACTCGGGTTTAGACCGATTGAATGCCAATGAGTCCTCTACAGAAGCTTCATCGTCGTGATTCACGTGACGGTGATGACCAGCGTTCGGTAGCACTTCCAAGCATGAATTCAAATTCAAATATCACCAACATTCACGTGGAGTCCCGTCACAAAGAATGCTCCTTTCTTTTGCCCTTCTTTTCGGACGACCAGATCATTAAAAAGTTTCTGGTAGCAAGCGAAATTGTGAAGGGCTTCCTGCTTCAGAGCGGAACAAGTTAGAGCGAGTGGCCTTTACGAGAAACCTGTCCATCTGCTCGTAGTACACCGACATTTTGCGGAGCTGAGCAGGATTCTGTGATCAATAGTAATTACATACATCAAGAAGGCCTAATATATTCTGCCTGAGCAACACATCACCTCAAAGCAGACCTATCGGCTATACGTACTATACTTACATCCCATACCCACTAGAATATCCCCCAACAGAGCTCATAGGGCACCGCGTCTTGGTATTTCCTTTATTTGTAGCGGTATACAAATATCCTTTCTCTGCTTGAGCGTCAAGATGCATAAACAGTATGCAAAGGTTAGAAAACTCACTTTCAAGTTGTTTTTTCCCCATAGAGGACCAGCGTTTCATTTCTGCCTAAGAATCATCGCACGTTGATGTGAGAATCTGCTTTGGTGTCACCGAATGCGAAATTATCTTGTCATAGCCGCCGCTGAATATAGAGCGTCCGTGAGCCAAGAGAGCTGCATTTTCATCACCGACAGTGGTGACAAGCGAACTTGGCATCAGAACGTCTTTCTCCAAGCAGGGAATGTTCAATTATCATGACGTGTAAGGCTGTGTAGAATCCTGCTTGCCGTGACAGGCAAGGTGCGCCTGTTCTCTTGCAAGGCTTCGAGTGAGTACTGCTGCGTGGTATTGTCGGCAATTTCCGGGTAAAGCTTTCGGACAAGCCCAAGAGGGCCGTCAACAGCCAAGAGCCCCGGTTAACTTTATCCGATTGACACCAAAGGCGGACTGTGTCAACACGCCTTTTCATCATCTGTCTAGATCCGATCAAAGCCGAAAGTGTGTGTGTGTGTGAGAGAGAGAGAGAGAGCACATACAGAGATCCTCCAGACATGGCTCCTGCATGGAGAGGAATAAGTAGACGTAAAAGCTGCAATTGGACACAGCTGGATTGAATTGACTTATAGAAGATGCTGCAGGACATTGACGACAGGTAGCATGATCTCGCCCATGTTGTCCGCAAGAGGACTATTAGATCATTTCGCGCTGCTTTGGGCCCATCATAGATACGTGTCGTGTTGCTCCGGCGAAGCGATCCTTGAGATTCTCCAGATCTGTGAGAGTGATAGATGGAAAAGGGATATCACGGGGTTTTCCTGAGATCGTGACAACGATAGCGCCGCACGAGGATCTATTCGCGATGAGAATGATGACTAGGCTATGACGTGCTGCCGCTTGCAAGTCTTCATACGAAGGTGGGGGCAGAGATCGCGAGAAACCTTCAATATTACAGATTCCAGCTGCTGCCAATCCCTACTTCTCCTTCTGTGCGATCAACAGCAGCTCGGTCTATACCGACAGTGGGTCCTTGAGCATCGGATAGACAGTTCTTAACTCCGAGGACTTGTGAGCTAGGTTGAAATTTGTCGCATTTCTGTCCACAGCCCTACTCCATGACTCGGGCTGCGTGTCGTGGATTGCCGCTGCAGAAGACATGATGCTTCATTTACAAGCAATGATCTGGTACCACTGAAGGCAGTCGCAGCTTCGTCCCATGAAATTGTCGATGATCGTGTTACCAAATGTCCGTCAAGAAGGTCGAAACATGTGTTGTAGGCCTCCAATGCAGACGTATATCTGCTAAAGTTACCAGCTACAGACTGTTTCAATGCAACTTTGAAAGCCCTGTGTGGGCTGTCCGATGCCAATCTGGAGTGCTCCACAGCGAGTGATTGACCAGCGTACTTGCTGTACACTGGGTAATGAGACATGTAGGCTTCCTGCAACCACATATGGCTGGTGAATCTACTCGGGGGTAGAGAAGGCAACGAGTGTGAGCAGAGTCGGATGACCTCCTTGACATCTTCATTCATCTGGGTTTGCGTAAACCGAGAGCAGAGTGCTGAACTTGAACTTGAATTATGAAGAGATGTATGGCGACGAGATCGTCCAGACAGTAGCCTACAAAGCGGGGTTGCTGAGGGTCGCTGCGTGATCAGGATGCCTGACCGGACACTGGGCAAGAACTGACTGAGAATGCTGTACAGCATCGCTGAAGCGAGAAATTGTCTTGCTTGTTATGCATTTGACAAATTGTGCGTGACCTGCATCTGTTTCTCAAGGGATTGCGCAGTCTATTGTGGACTACGATTGACGTTCCATAGGCAAAATCCAACAGCATAGCTGATGCCACCGATGTCAAGCAGTGCGTTATTCTGATTGTCGCATGAATGTACCCTTCAGTGTGAGCGAAAGACTGATGCCAAGAACGGGAGGGAAGGAGAGGTCTGCCAGATGTGAATAAATGAGAAGTTGGTCACCCATTGAAAGACTCATCCCACGTCGTTTCGAGTTCGCCGATAAGTTTTCCATTGCCCAGCACTCGATCAAGCTCGAAGGATGCCCTGATGTCCAGTGAGAATACAGGTGACACACCTAATGGTCTACAAACAGAAGGCCAGTCTTCGAGTAGTGTGCGAAAGTCTCCATGAACTTTACAAGATCGCAGCATCGCCTCCGGGCCACGCTACATATTTTTCGGATAATGAGACTTTGATGGCTGATTTCCGGCGTCTTCTCGAGTTGACATTGATGGAGACATAAATGCCAGCAGGAATGCACTCATAAGGCACTTGGAGATTGTTTTCGTCGACGACTGTAGGCAGATATAGCGTGAGGATCACGAAATAGAAGGTGATGCTATGGGGCCTTCGTGCGATGAAGTATGATGGGCTGAGTGGTGGGAGAAGAGATATCGGGACTGTGAATGAAGTTCAGTGGGGAAATTGATGGTTCAGGCCATGTTTCACATGTATTTCCATGTTATGACAGTTGTTGTACACACGGGTCGCTCCGCGTGTCGAGGTTCCTGTTTTCGCAAAGGATAAATGCCTGATATCAGATCAGCAGTAGACGTTGCTTATCGATGATCTACAAGATTCAACCTGGAGATCCATGTGAGTATTAATACAGGTCGAGATAGTGTATTTACTGCAATCCACGCTGGATACACGGAGTACCGCCGTAAGTACCTGATCTAGATTGACCATACGCAGTGCACATCACACTGTCTACTATCCAATTGCGAAAAAGACTTCAGTTATAGGCAGTACAGGATCAATTTTTATCTTACTATCATCTCCGAGGTTCAGATGGGCTCGTGGCCGCCGTTCGTACATTGAAAGTCGAGTAGTAATTTTGCTGAGTGAATTGGGCCGCCTTTGAATAGTTCAATGGCATATGCCATGCTTACGGTACAGCCATGAATCGGAAGTCCGAAGGTTCAATGGTGTGATTTGAAGAAAGAAGCACAGCCACCACCTGAGGCTGTTGGACCTGCAACGACAGTCCAGTCTGTGACTGTCTGCCCTCATCGTGTCCGACGGTGAACTCATCATTTTAGCGTGGGTGAATGGCCAACCGCATTTCAATTCTGACCGCGAGCGAGCCCAATTCAGCACTGGACCGACAATCGAGCTTGGTCTCGTCCTCAGCTACATCATTTGTAACAGCGCCTTCGCCGACGACGACTATTCGCCAAGACATGGACCACACTCACACTCAAATCCACATAGTAGAAGTAACAAGGGACACAGTTCACCTTCACCCACCAAAGCCATTGCCTAGCATCCCCCGTGAGGATACAATCGGTCCACCTCCACCTTCTCCTCCAGCCAGCGTAGACGAGTCGCCTGACAATCTATCAGCCTTATTCCCAGTCAGACTCTCAAAGTCAGACCCACTCCCGAAAGGCATCGAGACAGACATCGATGTAGAGTTGGATTCAGCCACCATAAACAGTCACCGCACACACGACCGCCTTCACCGTGCTTCCACAGAGACAAAATTATCTGCCAGAATCCCTAGAGTCTCACAGACGAGCAGTTATGCCCAATCTACTAGCACATCCAAGACACCACAACCAGATGGTCTCCTCCACCCACCCACTCGTCCTGTACGCCGCAACACGACAGGCTCCGCACGCCGTCCCCATCCACCTCCATCCACATATGTCGCAACCGGAGAACTGGAGGATGACATCCAAATACAGGCAGAGCAGATTCGCCGTGAAAGAAAGCGAAAGCAGGCTGCCGAAGTCGCAGCAGCAGCCGTCGTCGAAGTGGCTCAGAAAGAGGACGAGCGTCCCTTGGTAGGCAATCTAATAGGAGAGGACCACGCAAACTACGTCCTTATGTATAACATGCTCACGGGCATCAGGATAGCTGTGCGTCCCCAATCTCTATATGTGCGCAGCCTCTAATTCCACCTAGGTCTCACGTTGCCAGGCAAAGATAAAACGACCACTCACCGAACAGGATTTTACCGCAAGACATAAATACTCTTTCGATATGTACGTATTGTCCATCCGTTCCACATTCCGAACTCACATTTCTCCAGCGTCGGGAACGAACTCACTCCGTCCGCGAGATACGACTTCAAATTCAAAGACTATGCCCCATGGGTCTTCCGCGAACTCCGCGAAGACCACTTCTCTCTAGACCCCGCAGACTACCTCCTCTCCCTTACATCCAAATACATCCTCTCCGAACTCACCTCCCCAGGCAAAAGTGGCTCTTTCTTCTATTTCTCCCGCGATTACCGCTTCATCATAAAGACCATTCGGCACGCAGAACACAAGTTCCTCCTTCGCGTTCTTCCGCAGTACTGGGAACACGTCAAAGCGAACCCTCACACTTTATTGAGCCGGTTTTATGGCCTTCATCGTGTAAAGCTTCCCAGGGGACAAAAGATTCACTTCGTGATTATGAATAATTTGTTCCCGCCTCACAAAGACATTCACGAGTCTTACGATCTCAAAGGGAGCACTGTCGGGCGTATTGTACCACCTGCGAAACTGGAGCAGAATCCTCGCGCGGTGCAGAAGGATTTGAACTGGATCGATAGTAATAGGGTTCTGGAGCTTGGCCCAGAGAAGAGGGCCCTCTTAACGGAGCAGTTGAGGAGGGATAGTGAGATGTTGAGGGATCTTGGGGTTATGGATTATAGTTTGCTCGTTGGGCTTCATTGGGGGAATAGGGGGAATAGGGAGAATGTGAGAGGGAGTACGCTGAGGGTGTTCGAGGTTCGTCCAGCATTTATTTTTTTATTCATGATCCTTACTCTTGCTGACTCGCATGCAGCCCTCAGTCCCACCCATCCGACGCAAAACCACGCAAACGAAAGACGGGCGGTCGCCTGAAGCGATTGCTATGCGCCGAATCATGCGCGCATCTGATCCGCACCATCTAGGGACGACGCTTGATCTCCCGGATTCGCCTCCTTCTTCGATGCAAACCGTCGCGCCGTCTACGCCCACCTACTCCCAGCGCACGCGTCCGCGTTCTGGTTCCAAGGGTACGAGCAACGCAAATGTGGGTGGGAATGGGAATGGGAATGGGATCACGCAACAAGCCCACCTGACATTCCAAACCCCACCACATCCATCTCATCCTCTCCCCCAACCTCAGCCTCCTCAACCTCCCTACCCGCAGCATCAAACCCCTTCCAACGCACCCTCGCAGCAACCCCACCCCACTCAAGACCGCGATCACTTTCTCTTCTACCAAGACGAAGGAGGCCTCCAAGCGACAAATGAAAGCAACGAAGAGATGGACGTCATTTATTATTTGGGAATTATTGATATTTTGACGCCGTATGGGGGTTTGAAGAAGTGTGAGCATTTTTGGAAGGGGTTGAGCGCGGATCGGGTGCGTTTTTTTCTCGTCCTTTCATTCCCTCGTTCGCTAACTCACCTTTCAACAGCACAAAATCAGCCCAGTCCCGCCTTCTGAATACGCAGACCGATTCTTTGGGTTTATGAAAGCTGTCATGCGTGGAGGAGAGGGTGGGTCGCGGTTTAAGGCTGAGTGATGTTTTTTGTGCGTGTGGTGTGTGGTGTATGGTGGGCGATAGCTGATTTTTGCACGTAGGCAACGGCTGAGTCCCGCGTTAGTATGAACATACTGCCCCCTTGTAGTCATGGACTCAGCGGGGTGGACGACAGCATCACGCATCATCCTTCGTTTTCCTGCTTTTATAGTTGCTTCATCTGGAGAATCCGCGGACATTTGCGATGCATCGGAAATTGTACAGTCTTTCTCTCCCTTCTTGCTCAGTGGCAGCACGTTTTACAATTTTTTTCGACCCCATCCACAATCCCTCATGTTCCCTTGCTCATGCCCTCTTTATTTTCTGCATGCTTTCTCTCATCCCACGACCGTTGCATCTCACTACATATTCTATTTTTAATGGTTTTTCATGTTAATCTCTTCTCCACTTTTCTTATTCCTTCATTCTTTCCCCCCTCGTTCGTGCACTATTTCCTTTTCCTCGTCGACGCCACTTTAACTTCAATATCGCCGTATGCTTAATCTAGCGCTCTGTCCATCCTACCTCTGCCGCGTATCATTTTTTTGTTTTCACTTAGAGGATGAGGGAGGGCACGACGTACTTTTGCTATTGCTGCACGAGCACGAGGCCAAGCCATTGCACGCTCCTTCGCGCATCTCAACGTTTACGCTCGTTTTTCTTCGGCAGTTTCTTTCGTATACATATACGCTCTCGTTCGGACACGCATCCACTCGTTCATATAGCACACGCTTCGTCTCGTCCTCGTACATACCCGCATTCGCTCGTTTCATTTTTGTTGTCTCTTGGGCCATGCTGCTAGCATTATTTATGATAAGTTTAGGTATAATTTATCATCGTATGCGCATGGCGTTCTGCAAGCCTGTCTTGAACAGGAAAATTGAGGGTCTATTCGAGTTTGCGACCGAATAGACAGGCCTGCCAGTGGCAAGCTGTGCAGGGACATCGTTTCGGCGGGCATGCGTATGTACATGTACAGGCCATTTTAAAACACAGCGACAAATACACCTATTGATTCCACCTCGCAACTTTGTTGTACAACAACTTACAAGACATCACGGCAGGTCATGCTACAGTACTTAATAGCGGCATACACAGCGCACGCCGCGACCCAACTCGAACTGCTTCTACTCATCGTTGATGTAGTAAACCCCCGTAGGCTTCACGATCAAAGTCAACGCCTTGGGATTAGATGGCTCGACCGAGTGCTTCAACACGAAGGCCACTTGCCAGTGGCTTCGGTTCCACAAATCGTACTTCCCCGGCTCGATATCTGAGAATCCAGCAGACCCCGTGTCACCGTTGTCATTGGTGATGCGGGCAGAGATCGTGTGCTTGGTGTTGTTGTAAATCCCAATCTGGGTCTCTGTGGCTGCCGGTGCGCCCAGAATGATTATTAGGAACTGGCTGCGAGCATCCGAACGCACCTGTGACAGACATTGTGCAGTAGTAAAGATATTTGAAAAAATTGGTCGATGCAGTGACAAAGATCCCTGGGGAATGAATCAGAATCAGAAAGGAGGACAAATGAAACTAGGCCTTGGACTCACTCAGAGTAATCAAAGGAGCGATGGGGACCTGCCTTCGAGACCGACCGCATATTTATACGCGTGAACCCGGTTGAATTCTCTCGGAGCTCGCATTCAAAGCAGCTCACATAGTAATTCCCCAGGCTATGATTGTCCGGCGGGGTTTGGAGGATCTTCTGAAGGTTATGGTTCAGACAATCAGAATTCAATGAAGCACTGGCAGCTGACCTTGTCAAAAAGAGGGGTACCTTGTGGTGAAGCTGCGGCGAAACGAGTAGCATTACTAACCGGCGACTCGTCATCATTCTTGCTGTATGTAACATGGCTTTGGAGCAGCATCCGAATCATGGGGCCCATCAAGGGTTCCCAGCGTGAAATGTGGCAAGTTCGAGTCGGATCCGACCATGGTGAATGGAAGCCTGACGGGGATTACGTCTCAAGCGTTGCTGGTAGTGGCACTCACACAAATTTGAGAGAGCTGAATAGTGTTACGAGCACATTTCGGGGTTGAAACATCGACTCGGAAATAAAACTTGAAGGACTGGTATGATAGCTATGAGTGGAATGATGATCTGCTCATTGACAAAGTTGCAACTTGCAATTGACCCCGGATCTGCAATATCACTATGTACTGACTTATGTAAGTTGGTTGATCAACTGATCACCTTGCCATATATTCACATAATATCGCTCCTCTCAGTTCAAGTCGAGTACCTTACAGTACTAGTTACGTGGTTGTCAAACATTGATCAGTGATATTGCAGATCCGGGGTCAATTGCAAGTTGCAACTTTGTCAATGAGCAGATCATCATTCCACTCATAGCTATCATACCAGTCCTTCAAGTTTTATTTCCGAGTCGATGTTTCAACCCCGAAATGTGCTCGTAACACTATTCAGCTCTCTCAAATTTGTGTGAGTGCCACTACCAGCAACGCTTGAGACGTAATCCCCGTCAGGCTTCCATTCACCATGGTCGGATCCGACTCGAACTTGCCACATTTCACGCTGGGAACCCTTGATGGGCCCCATGATTCGGATGCTGCTCCAAAGCCATGTTACATACAGCAAGAATGATGACGAGTCGCCGGTTAGTAATGCTACTCGTTTCGCCGCAGCTTCACCACAAGGTACCCCTCTTTTTGACAAGGTCAGCTGCCAGTGCTTCATTGAATTCTGATTGTCTGAACCATAACCTTCAGAAGATCCTCCAAACCCCGCCGGACAATCATAGCCTGGGGAATTACTATGTGAGCTGCTTTGAATGCGAGCTCCGAGAGAATTCAACCGGGTTCACGCGTATAAATATGCGGTCGGTCTCGAAGGCAGGTCCCCATCGCTCCTTTGATTACTCTGAGTGAGTCCAAGGCCTAGTTTCATTTGTCCTCCTTTCTGATTCTGATTCATTCCCCAGGGATCTTTGTCACTGCATCGACCAATTTTTTCAAATATCTTTACTACTGCACAATGTCTGTCACAGGTGCGTTCGGATGCTCGCAGCCAGTTCCTAATAATCATTCTGGGCGCACCGGCAGCCACAGAGACCCAGATTGGGATTTACAACAACACCAAGCACACGATCTCTGCCCGCATCACCAATGACAACGGTGACACGGGGTCTGCTGGATTCTCAGATATCGAGCCGGGGAAGTACGATTTGTGGAACCGAAGCCACTGGCAAGTGGCCTTCGTGTTGAAGCACTCGGTCGAGCCATCTAATCCCAAGGCGTTGACTTTGATCGTGAAGCCTACGGGGGTTTACTACATCAACGATGAGTAGAAGCAGTTCGAGTTGGGTCGCGGCGTGCGCTGTGTATGCCGCTATTAAGTACTGTAGCATGACCTGCCGTGATGTCTTGTAAGTTGTTGTACAACAAAGTTGCGAGGTGGAATCAATAGGTGTATTTGTCGCTGTGTTTTAAAATGGCCTGTACATGTACATACGCATGCCCGCCGAAACGATGTCCCTGGGATAATCTGCGAACATGAAGTTAGTTTATTCGCAACCCAGAGAGTGAGTGCAACTCGCCATGGTGGTGGTTTGAGAGACCAAGGATGCTTACGTGATAAACACGAAGCACGTGCTCACTAGAGAAACCGTGTTGGCGTGCTTTACCTTTCAACAGATATCAGTCAAGGGCCATGAGCGTATCGTTCGAGCTTCAAGATGAGCTACAGGCACTTCAGGACATCGCAAACTACGAAATCCCAAATGACCAGGATCCCCACAGTAACGATCCCGGCCCCTTATTGCAACGTACGCTAGCCTTGGGTGTTGGCATTTGATTCTTACTGACCACGAGCTTAGAGGCTGTCGGAGCGATTGCTCATTCATCCGAAGAAATAACTGATCCAGAGGTATTTGATATATTCCGAAGTCTTCTCAAGCATTCCGATGCAGTCGCTGGTGCTTATATGAGCAAAATGCTCGACGCTCTACTCTCTGCATTTGGAGCTCAAATTGATGCTGCAATACGCGACTCCAAGGAAGAAGATCAACAGATTGTTATGGCTCATAAGCTGCCTTTGGAAATGTATGCCTTCTTAGTTAATTGGTTTGTAGGTGCCGCTGAGAAGGTGAAGGCCATGGGTGAAGAGGACGCTCCACCAGCACCTGTAAAGTCGCGTCGTGGGAGGGGCGGAAAGTCTGGTACCTCGAGGGCGGCTGCGAAGAAGGCGGAACAATGGACATGGATCGATCAGATCCCTGGCACTCTGGAACTCATTTGCAAGGCGTTGAAACTGAAGACGCACCGCATCTGGGTGACTAGCCCGGAGAGAGATGCGTTCATAACGTGCGTACGGATTGCTCTATATCACATGATTTGGCGGGGGACATACGCCAATTCGGTTGTTTAGACATTTGTTGACCCTACTTTAGATGCCTTACCCGCCCCGCGTACCATGTTGCCGAGTCTGAACAATATATGAAGACTCAAAACGTCCGCATGCATGTCTACAAAGTCATTTGCCTTGCTGTAAAGCATCATGGTCACACGCTCGCTGCGCAAATCAACATCATGCAATCCTTGCAGTACTATGAACACCTCTCTGAACCCATGGCAGAGTGCCTTTCTATCCTGGCAAAGGAATTTGATCACGCCCAACTTGGCGACGAGATACTTCGCGAAATCGCTGGAAAATCGTTCAGTGCGCAGGACACCAAGGGTCCGAGAGCGTTCTCCCGATTCTTGGTTAGGTTCAGCGAGGAGTCGCCGCGATCCGTTCTCAAGCAAATCAGTCTCTTGATTGACCATCTCGACTCAGAGGTGCGCTCCCCGGAAACAGTTTTTCTTACCCATCTGACAAGCATGTAGTCTTATCCTATGCGCATGGCAATTGTTGAAGTTATCGGTTCACTCATTCGTGAACTCGCTACGTCTGAGGACATGACAAATCGTACGAATGGCTCTAACCAAGCGAGCAAGCAGCTTGATGGGCTGTTTGAACTCCTACTTTCGCGAACGCTTGATCTATCCTCTTACGTACGCTCTAAGGTCTTTGCAACACTCTCGAAGATGCTTGATCTGCCTTTACGTCTTCCAGAGCAGCGGCTCCGGATCACACGCGCTGCCGTTGACACGTTGGAGGATAAGGCGAGCACAGTACGCAAGGCCGCTATTTCGATACTTGTGAAGCTCATTCTGACCCATCCATATGGGGATATGTATGGAGGTGACTTGAGCTTGGAAAAGTGGGAGGAACGGTATAAGACTTGGAAGGACAAGTTGGAGGAGATGGAAGGGGGTATCGGGAAAGCAGTTGAGAGGGATCAAAATGACAAAGAAGAGGTAGAGTCTAATGTCGAAGAGGAAGATGCTGATGAGGACGAAGACACGGAAATGGAGGACACAGATGCAAACGACGACGGCGACGCATCATCAGAAAAACCGAAGCCTAAAAAGAAAAAGGCAAGCCGGAAATCTACCGTCGATGTCACAGCCATTGTCTCGGAACAAGAAGCACTTGCTGCCCTGGAGACTAATGAAATTCTTGCCATGAGTTTGCGCAAGAAGTACTGTACGGAGGCACTGGATTTCATCCGTACCCTAGAAGGCGGGATGGTGTGGCTCACGCAGCTTTTGGGGAGCACGAGCAAGGCAGAAGTATTAGAGAGTATGGAGTTTTTCAGAGTCGCATTTGAGTACCAGCTTGCCAGTGCCGAGGTGATACATATGATTATTCCGTGTTACGGCCATCTAACCTCATTACCAGAAGGGCATCAAACGTATGCTACATCTCATATGGCACAAGGATAACAGCTCAACGTCGGAGGACGGGAAGGAGCTGAAAGGGGTGCGGTCGAGGCTCCTTGAATGCTACCGTATGCTGTACTTTGACCCCCTACCCGACATGGAACCTAAGCAGCAAGTGAACCGTATCGCCAAAAATATGATTGAGTGGGTCCAGCTCTCTTTCTCAGATTTAAAGCTCCTTGAACATTTATCAAAGATTGACATACGAAGCAACGCTTGCAGAGCTTACCAGTTTAGAAGAGATGATGCGTATCATGATGGAAGATGGCCGGATCCATCATGATGTGATCAATAAGTTGTGGCAAGTTTACAGTGAGGGGCGTTCCGTTGCAGCCGCAACACATTGGTTCATGTTCATTTTTAGGCGCTCCTCAAGCTTTACCCCGCTCTCAACGTCGTGGTGCAATCATCATACTTGGAATGTTGGCACTTTCGAAACGCACCATTATTTCTGAGAAGGTGGACACATTGCTGAAGATCGGTCTTGGACCATTCGGCAAGGTGAGTGTGAGTAAATACCCCATCAATACCAAGCATTCACCCTACGGCAGACCGACCTCACACTTGCAAGGTACACGTGTCTTGCCCTGCAACGCTTGAACGGCAGTGCAAAGAAAGTCAAAGGTACGAACGGAACCGTATCCCATCAATCATTTTCTCATACAGGCAACAGGATCTCTTCTCGATAAATCCCTTCGGATGGAGATGGAAAACCCCATCTTCCGTAAGTTGCAAAACACGATAGAGCACCCCTGTCGATCGAAAGACTGGTTCGGCATGGCCGAACAAGCAATCAATACTATCTACGCCCTAGGAGAGCATCCCGACGAGCTTTGTAACAACCTTGTGAAGAACCTTACCCGGAGGGCATTTGCCAAGCAGCAAAATCCGGAGGAGCCTTCATCCGAGCCGGACATAGAGACGATGGAGGTGGATCAAGAGATGGAACCCCCGGAGCCAGCCTCGCACGCGCCCTCTAGTACACACTTGTCAACCCAGCAGTCGAGTACAAGCGAGAAAGATCTTGGAGATGTCTTCCATCTCAGTCAGCTGCTTTTTGTCGTAGGACATGTGGCCATCAAGCACATCGTCTTTTTGGAGCTGGTGGAAAGGGAATGGAAGCGGCAAAAAGATGAGAAACAGTTAGGTATGTTCACTTTAAACGCACTCAAACTATCAAATGACGTTTTACGTAGCGGAAAAGCTTGCAGCTGGAGGCTCACCCAATAGAGCCAATAAGGAGACCGAAGAGCTTGATCAAGTTGCTGGCAATGCAGAGGATGAGATTGGTGAACGGATAGCTGCCGTTCGCGAAACTGAGCTGCTCTATGGAGAGCAGTCGTTGCTGAAGTTGTACGGCCCATTGCTAGTCCATGTGTGCGGTAGTCCACATAAATTCAAGGCAAGTGACGAGTCATTTTCTCTGCATTACTACTGACACATACAACAGAATCGCACACTTCGTGCTGCTGCAACTCTCTCGTTCAGCAAGTTCCTCTGTGTCAGCTCACAATTTTGCGATCAGCACCACCATCTCCTCTTCAAGATCCTTGAGACCTCAAGAGATCCAAATATCCGTAGTAACATTGTCATTGCTCTCGGCGATGTGGCAGTCTCGTTCAGTAACATCATCGACGAGAACAGCAATGAATTATATAAAGGCCTTTCTGACGGAGATCTTGTCGTGAAGAAGAACACGCTGATGGTGCTCACGCACTTGATCCTCAACGGGATGATCAAAGTGAAAGGTCAGCTAGGCGAGATGGCTAAGTGTCTAGAGGACGAGGAGCTACGGATATCCGACCTTGCGAAGCTGTTTTTCAAGGAGCTGTCGACGAAGGACAATGCGATCTACAACAACCTACCTGATGGTATGCCTCAGTTCACTCTTAATATCAACGTTCTTCATATCATTATTCTAGTTATCAGTCACTTGTCCACAGGTGACCACGCCGTCGAGGAGGAAACTTTCAAAAGCACCATGCGCTACATCTTTTCTTTCATTGAAAAGGCCGGTCCTCGTCTCTTTCCATCGTCATAGTTCCGATTCATTAAACTTCTAACAGGAAAAGCAAGCCGAAAATATTGTGGAGAAGCTTTGCCAGCGTTTTAGACTCTCTGAGGATCCCCGTCAATGGCGCGACATCGCATTCTGCTTGTCTCTCCTCCCATTCAAGTCAGAGCGATCGGTCAAAAAACTCATCGAAGGCTTGCAATTCTACCGCGATAAGCTGCACGAGGAGGGCGTGTTCGAGAGGTTTAGTGAGATACTTACAAAGGCGCGCTCCAATAAATCGGCGAACAAGCCAGACACGGAGCTGAATGAGTTTGAATCGGTACGGCCGTTTTGACCAGGATTCCTGTAACATGAGTCTCAAAGTCTTCCAGATACTTAGCGAACATCGACGCCAAGGCGAAGAGGACCAAGCCTTTGAAAAGCGCGTTGAAGGCAAGAAAGCAGCTGCGAAACGGAAAGCTACACGACGATGTGAGTTCTATGTATACTCCTTGATTTCTTACTCACATATTTTGCAGCCGTGCGCAAGAAAGTTGTTGAAGCCGAGCCTGAGCCAATATCGCACGCCCCGGCCACACGGGATGATGACGATATGTATGTGTAAACCGGACCTACATCTAGGACCTCTTGAATGCAACTATGCATCCAGCACGTAAATTAGTATTTCCGCAGGTGTACCAACATTATAATTTGGTTAGAATTGAGTATTTGAATGTCTTGCAATTCATGATGCATGAGTACTGTGCATGGCTAGAAGGCCTTCGTTTCGGCGGCATGTATCCAAAACACGGGCCGATCATAATATACATTGATTCCACATTGCAACTTTGTTGTACAACAAGACGTCACGGTAGGTCATATGCCTACAATACTAACAGTATGCACAACCCACACCATGATCCAACTTGAAGAGCTTCTGATTATCAATGATGTGATAAACCTCCGTAGGCTTCATAACCATAACCAAAGTCTCCGCCCTGTTATCGGGTGGGTTGGCCGACTTCTTCAACACGCTACTTACCAGTGGCTTCTGGTCCACAAATCGCAGTGCATCCCCTGTGTCACCGTTGTCAGCGGTGATGCGGACAGAGATACCAGTCAACACCAGTAGAACTGGTGCCAGATTGTTGAACGATAAGTATGAGTTTTTCAAAAGTTCATCGCCGTAGCTCACCACTTGAAGACTTCCTCAGCACAGACCCGTCGGGATCTGAGAAAATGTTGTGGTTAACGCAGCAGACAGCGCTTTGCAAATAGTACTGAGTCAGTGTTTGCACGCGGTGCTCGATGCCGACTCCACTTCACACCTTCAGCATCGACAAACATCACCTATGGAAGCCTGACGCTATGAAAAGAATATACAACAACATACAAATCCCTCACCACATGGATCGATGCCTAAGATGCTTTCGGCGTGCTAGTCGCCATTCTTGGACCTCTGCGATAAATGATTTTGTGCCACTATGATTCTGGCGTAGTCTTTCGAGTCATAACTAACTCCTCAGGCCTCAGGGTGTACGGACTCCGCTCGCGACTAAATCTCAATGACCTCGAGCTCGGCTATACCATCCTGGACAAAGATTAGCATATAGGGCTTCGTTGGAAACGCAAGAACTTACACTATCTGACTCCTCCGTATTCAACTTGGGCAAATAAATCCTGTCCTTATCAACCCATATGTCCATCACCTGGTCGACACCAAATATTCTATCCGACACGACCTCCACGTAAGGCAGGGAGGTCGTCAATGTCTCCTCCAATTCGGGAATTTCTATCGTAGATGGCTCTCTCACCACTATTCCTAATCCCTGCCGGCGCTCAACAGCTAATGGGCTGAAGTCCATCATATGCAACAGATAATTCGGGTATTCTTCCACTAATGTCATGTCCATTGTAGGAAATGCCTGCAACACTCGATTCCCGCTAACACCGACTCTGCACCGCCAGTTGTGCACGAAAATACGAGCATTTAGAGGACCCCAATGTTCCCATGGAATTCCTGCCATTCTATCGGAGACCCCAGCTTGGGGGTCAAAGAAAATCCTAGTAGAAATAATGAAGGCCAATGAGTTTGTGGCATCCCGAGTGCGTGTGATAAGGGCTAATATTCGATTTTTAGGGTCTGAGGTCCACATCGTTCGCTGGGCTTGCATCTGCAGTTGTGAACTATGTGCAATGTCGTCCATCGGAAGGAGGCACTGTATGCCCGTCACTGATACAGGCATCAGGAAGCAGGCCAATAGTTGAGGTGCCTGTGACAGATCCTCGATCGAATAGAGCTTCAAGTCCTTGCTGACAATCAACAGTCTATCGTTTCCAAGGAAACAAAAATCAAGTGACTCCCCAACCTCTGGGTTTATTATTGTGTCACTGAGCACGCACTAATAAAACGAGTGTCAATTGTAAATCATTGACTGCTTCTGACCAACGCTCACACTGGACGTTGTTGAGTGTTGCCAGTCCCAAATTTGCATAAACCATATCTCCTCGCCGAATTTATAGCCGCCTTCATGAACCAGCAGAGAGCGCCGGAAGGCGATATGCCTCCCTAAACCCTCGAGTTTCCAATTTTCTATTGTATAGAGGCCGTCCTCGCATCTTGGAAGCCCTGAAAGAAACAGTGTCTTTCCGGCAGCTTCGGGATGGACGCCACCATCTCCATCCAGGGTTCCAAGGTCGATGTACAACCTCTCGTCATCCATCTCGAGAGTTTCATCGGCAATCATACACGCGATGGCAATCAAGTTTTGCGCCGGGTCCATAAACACCTCGATGCTATCTGCATTTGGAATTGAACACAGTGATCCTGAAGGCCAATCACGCTCAATCCTTTGTTGTGAGGGTTTTGGCAGTATTGGAAAGATCTTGGCCGATTGTTCATCTTCGTTGAATAAACAGAGATGTCTGTCGGCGAGAGATGTTTTCGCGTCGTGGTATTGTTCTGGTATAGACACATTTTCGAAAGAGTGGATATCAAATTTGAACCATGCGTGAGCTTTGTCCCGCAGAAGTTGTAGACGCTTGGAAATGGAAGTGTGGTTGTCGAGATCTGTGTCGGAGACGGGGAGCAATTGCTGACCACCGAGTTCAGTGATATACTGAAGCTCGGATGAGGACAAGTACGTCTGGCGAAGCGTCCTGCATACCTGTAAGATGAATCACTGAGATTAAAGGATCGATGATTAATCCGATCAATCAACACTCACAGTTGTACAACGTAGAATATCTCGGTAAGGAAGGAGGCTCAGAATATAAGATTGGAGTTCTTCAGCGAGAGCTAAGAAACCTGTAGATCTGGACTTCATCTCCTTTTCAGCTTGGTTCACTACCGTGATATGAGATGGTATAAATTGAAGCCAGTGTTCTACGTTCAGTTGTTTACTTTGAACAACAACATCCGCCGTATATAGACAGCCCCTGAGTACAGCGGCACTCAGATCAGCTGTAGTGAAACAGGCGTACGCAAACAGCTTTCAGTACTGGTTTCCAACGTCTCATTCACCGAGACGAGGTGATGTATTGTGATTCAGCCGTTCTACTCTCTACAACTCATCGTAACGTTCGGATTTTCCGATACTCCTCGTACAAAACAGACAGAAACAAAATGCGCGCAATTACCATCTTCCAAGCTCACTCAGGCCGTGACGCGCTTCAGCAAATTCCTGCAATATATCATCACCCACATCGGGGATGCTTGAATATACTTTGAGACAGCCTCTGAGACAAAGATTGCATCCCTGATGGCCAGGTTCATACCCTGGTCATCTGCGGGTGAATGAATATGGGCTGCGTCACCCACTAGGAAAAGTGCAGCGCCAAGTGATGGCACTGACTTGATTGTTCTCAAGTTCTCAACAACGCTTTAGCTCGGGAACCACTTTCAACGCGTGATGCTCATACAGAATTGTGGAAAATTTTTGATATCGACAAATTGACAATGAGAGCGACAAGCTGTCCATGTCAGAGTAGAAAATAATCAAGCGGCACATATGCCTGTGGTGCTTTACGAAAGCTAAAAGAAAACTCATAACATGGTACTGATGCCTACGAGAGCGAAAACTTGCTTGATATGTTATAATGAGCAGACACAGAATGCGAAAAAAGGAAATGAAAACAAACTACGGAGGCCTAACACCACCGACAGCTTATGCAAGTATAAACGCGCTTCATTCATCACACGCATCACCGCAACGATGCCTTAGACGTCTTCGTGCTGACTAACCCTCCCCCCATCCCCGCGTCGTCATCAGTTGCGGCTTGGTTGGCGCTCGCATTACGGATGGACGTAAGTACCTCCTTGCAGTACTTGAGTTTGTCTACGAGTCGCTGGTTGAACTTGGCCTGCTCGGGATCTGCAGCAGGAGCTTGTAAAGATAGTGCCATAATTTCGCTGAGCGTGAATCGTGCGATCTTGTAGTTCTTGTCAATATGCGTCACCAGTAAACCATGAGACGAGAGGATGACTTTTGAGTGATCGTAAAAGTTGAACTACATACACAGCATCAATTATCAAACACATAAGAAGGGGTGAAATGAATGACCTGAAGGACGTCATGACTCATCTTGAACACAATAACGTGTTTCATGCGCAAATACTTCTGTACGAAATCCATTCCCTTGGTACGGTCATGGTCCTCGAAAGTGTACTCGTAGTCGCCGTACAGGCGGTCCATGATGTAGCGCTCGAAATGCTTGAGAAGGTATACCTTATTTTTGAGGTCCTCCGGAAATTCGGTCACAGAAAAGTTCTTCCTAACGTAGACAGTTCCGTGGCGTCGAGAGGAGATGTAGTCAAAGTGACTAGGAGATGTGTTGGGTCATGTCAAGATCAGAAATAGATAAGAACTCACTGCTTATCCGCTGAGAGTATGAGGGTCGTACTATCATTAAAGTGTACACCAACAGACCCATCCGTCAGGGCATAACCCATTCCATATTTATTGCAGTAATCCACCCAAGACACGATGAAAACGCGCTCATCAGGGATGGTAGTATCATCACGAGGATCCCGGAACAGCTTGCCGGCAGCCTTCGCGTCAAATGCTTGGGTCAAAGTCTGTGCAGCAGCATCAAATCCATTAAGCTTTGCTTGTGGGGGTTCCATGTGCGCGTCCTGCACTAGAGTTTCCTTGCGCTCTCCGCGCATCGGCTCCTTGCCCTTCAGATCCTTAAGGGTAGGAGGTAGATTCTCCTGGTCCTCCTCGAGGCGGGGTGCGCCCAGACCAGCCACCGGAGCCATCTGGGCTACAATTCTCGCCTTCTGCGATTCGAGCTCCTTCTGTCTCTGCTGATCGTGGTTTTTCTCCCTAGTTCCTCGAGGTGCATCGTTCTCTTCTTCTATATCTTGCAACCCACGTGCAGTGCGCACGTTCCGTAGAGGTGATTTCGTGTCCTTCGCTGCTTGCAGTTTTCTGAACAGAGGGGACTCCTTGATCCCATTTGTCGACATGACCAACGGTTGCCTAGCAGAACTAAGCAGGGCAGAGATAGGACTGCCAGGCTGAACAGCCTTCTGGAACTCCTTCTCTTGCTGAGCGATGGTGGACGTAATCGGATTTTTCGCCTTGTCTTCTGGAGCCGACGGAACCGCTATAGTCGAAATGTGATCGTCATCCAACCACACAGCTTTCTTGAGCTTCATGAGGTTGACCACGGACATTGGGCGCGTAAGGTATCGGAAGTCGGGGGGCGCGTCATGTGCAGAGACGGGGATAAATGGTGGGACAATACCGAGGTCGATGAAGGGTGACTTAAGGATTTCAAGGAGAGTAGGACGTTTTGAGGGGTCAGGTGTTAAAATAGCCGTGATGCAGTCCTTAGTATCTGGTGTAATGCGGCGTTCAGGCGGGAACTCGTAGACGTTATCGCGGATCCGTCTGCACGAATGGTTAATTAAAAATCAGGGTGCATGAACGGTATGCCTTACGTATAAATCTCCTTAACGTCCTTGGTCTGGAAGGGAGGACGACCGATAACAAGTGTGTATAAGATGACGCCGATAGACCAAGTGTCAACCTCGAAGCTGTGCCCATTCGCAGTGTCAAACAACACCTCGGGGGCAATATAGTTTGGCGTGCCACAGATAGTTTTCTTTCGTTCACCGGGGTTCTCGATCAAGGCAGCAAGACCGAAGTCGCCGACCTTGATGTTCATGTTCGAGTCAAGGAATAAATTCCCGAGCTTAAGGTCACGGTGGATGACCTGGTGGGTATGCATGTAGTGGCATGCACCGATGAGCTGTACAAGAAAGAATCGGGCCTCGCACTCGCTAAAGCGACGACGACGACGGAGCATGTCCATCAATGATCCGCTAGTGCAAAGCTCAAGTGTCATGTAGACGTTATCGTCATCTTCGAAACATTCCTGGAAGCGCACAATGTTAGGATGAGCAAGCGAACGGTGTATCTTGATTTCTGCATAGAGCTTAGCAAACAAAAGTGTCAAGATGCAAGTGAATAACCAGATGTGGTGTAAACTTGCCTTGGTTTTGGCCTTCTTCGTCTTCAGAGACGATTTGGTAACGACCTTGCAAGCAAGGTGTTGTGCGGCACTGTGACGACCATCTGCCACCTCATAGACACGTGCAAATCCTCCCTGTTCGAGACATGAATGATGAGTGTGTACAAGGCGACAATCGAGGCAAATCCTACTTCTCCGAGAAATCCTACACGGTAGTACTGAACTTGTCGATTCTGGTCGACGATTACTCTGGGGGTGAGGGAGGGGTAGTCTTGCTATTCTGCCTGGGCAGAGGTGGGTCGGCTGGAGTTGCCTTGGGTTTCTCTTGTGGCTTTACAGGAGATGTCAGGCGAGGCTGATTGAGAACATTGGCATTTGTGAAGGGATGACGACGATGAACAGACTGCTGCTGATCGGAGGGGGCGGGCATACGGGCATGAGTGTAAGTAGACATTTCAATGGCCTAACACCTTGAAAGTCTGACGGTTGTGTTGAAAAGAGAAGAGAAGAAGTGCTCAGAAAATGAACAGAGCCACAACAAAACCAACTTTGGCTGCTTTTTGGCTGACAACAATTCAAGGCGTGGCTACCGCGTGTTTCGCGTGTATATTATGTAATCCATCACGTGTAAAGCCAACATGCTCGTGACCGGTCAAAAAACCCTAACCTTAGTCTGGGGTTCCATGATCCACTACCAGCATGATGGTTTAAGCGACGGTCAAAACTTGGTCAAAACACATCCGGTCTAAGCCACTTTATTGTTTAGAACAGCGGGAGCGGTCAGGGCATGCTGCATATAAAAGAGCCTGTGGCGGCGTCCATGTTCCTCCTCATCCCCCACTAGCAAAACGTGATAACGGCCACAACATCCGAGACAATACTAATTATCCACAGTACCGACTTTCTTTTACCGTGGACGTGAACTGTGTGGTGTTTTATCATCTACCCATTGATAATCTTGACACTAAAAATGCCCATAGGACCCATATCTCTAGGGAATCATGTTGTACTCCTTTAATCCTAAAAACCTACCTTTCGTGGGCAAGGGAAGACAGAAAGCCATGAGTTTGACCAAGGCTAGGTACGCTACTACTTATAGTTATGACCTTCACTTTACAGAAGATCTTCCTATAGGAAAAAAGAACGATATTTGATGGAGGAAATCGATCCCGCGGCTCTAGGAATCGATGAGTTGAATAGCGATAAGCAGTCCATGGACTCGGATGATACATGTATGAACAGTCAACCGGCTACATCTGACTCCGACTCTGCCGATTGCACCTTCATTGACACAGCTTTAGATGGCAAATCGTTACCAAGTCACTCCTTCACTGGTTCTATGACGATTTCGAAAGGCTACGCCAACATCAAGCGAACACTCAAAGCTGTTCCTCGAAAACCGCAAAGAATGCACTCCCGGAAGATGCAGCACCACTTCTCTCAGGCTTATGGCTCCACTAATACTTCCACAAAGCTCTCATCTGCTTCGACGACGCTAAATGATTTTACGGGTCCCGTGTGTTATGTAGGACCTTCTATTGATCATGATCTATCGACGAAGGTCAAGACTCATCTCCACATCACCGAGGATGATATTCTAGCTGCAGTGTCAGAACCGTCTGGTCACCACACAAAATGCAGGGTACATGCACCAGATGTCGATGACGGTAATCCCGTCCCATGCAAGATTTTCCGGTGTCCGCGGTGTTGTACTGGTAACCATTCCGTGGGCGACAATGGACTGAACCTGAATACGACTGCTCTGGAAACACGGAAGACCCAGAATGGTCAAATTATGGATTCTACGGGAGAGGAAGAATTTTATTCTCACAAAATCTGTTACTTTCCTTGCGACTCTACGTCCGCTCCTTCTAGCAACAACAAGACATCCTCTGTTTTCAATGGAGAACCCAAACACACAGATGCGCGATTGAAGAATGATGTTGAGGAAGGCACTGGTATTCGTAAGGCCTACCGTCCCACTCAGACCCTAGTGGGCGTTAGCTCTAGTGAGGCCAAAGTATCGCCAAACACAGCCTCATTTCCACTCCTTGCTGTAGTCGATGTCGTGCCGATCGAGCATCTGGGACCATCGACAGAAAGAGTTGCATCTAACAGCGACTTTGCCGCATGCCAGGTTGATGAGAGACACGTGGCATTGCTGTCTAGTCTTATTCTACCCTCAACCGCGCTGCATGATTGTCACTCAGCAAAAGATGGACCCAACTTACTTGCAAACAACGGCATCTCGTCCCTCACATCGACACTTCCAGTTCCTTTTATGAATTGCTCATCGTACGAGGCAGCCTTCAATCCTTATTCTCTGGCTTTTCCCAACCTACCTGAACAAGTGCCTTTTGCCGAGCAGCCAGTTTCCACGTTTTCAGGACCCTCGCTCAGTGCCACTACGTACGACAGGTCTACTGCGGGGTCATTTTGCTCTGGACCTTTCATTTCCAACTCGCTTGACATCTCTTCTGATCACGCATCTTTTGTCAATAACGGCGATGTCCGCGCTAATGAAGGTCCCCTTCCGCAACCACAATGGGTTGACTATTCTGATCGCACTGACGTAGAAATGATAGATGCTGTCATTAAACCCACGAGGTCAGTGCTGGAGCGATGCTTCGCGAAAAATTCTGCGGAACTAAATGTGCCTAGGCCCTTCCTTAACTTCCCTCCTCTTGATGTCACTGCGATGCACTATGCTTGTACCTATGAACCTCCAGCTGCAATTACCGTATCTGGCGGAGCCTCAACGTATGTGTCTGCAGTCGGCCCTAGCTCCGAAGAATTTTCTACGAACGTCGAAGCTAGCTATTCTCAGCCTGTATTGGATTCTACCGCACGTCATTCTCCTATAGATATCGGACCTTCAGCTATTCAGTCTGAGCTTAGCCATATTTCGCATTGGTCATCTAGCATTCTTGGAGCACACTCGGCTGTATTTTCAGCGCCCACACGAGAACAACCTACCGACTTCCCTGGTTCTAGATACCCCTGTTCTGGCCTTTCTGAGATATCATCAGAGGAGCAAAATGTTTACGGGATTACCGCTCGGGAACAAGATATACCAAGGACCGCCGGAAAAGCCAATACACTTAACAGCACTCTCGAGAACGAGGAGTACGCTCGTAAGCGCATTGTTTATTCGCAAGACTGTGGACTTATGGAAATTATATTTTGAAGAACATGCAAGTTCTGCAGACCTCAATGTCGACGTTCACGAACACGCTGCATCCCAGTCCATTCCTGCCTCAAACACAGTGATCCATGCAAAGACCGTTGTGCAGCCACCTGGACACTTTGACGATACCATTACCTCGGTCCGTCGCCAACCACAGTACATCACCCCGCCGGCACTGAGCATCACTGGGAGATGCTCTGATGGAAAAGAAACTCAGACAGACATTGATGCGACGCCCGAACCAGACGACGATACCAAGACTGAGCCAGACGACGACGCTAAGACTGAGCCAGATGATGGGATCAATGAGAAGAATGTGAACGCCGAAGTACTTGCTCACGCTATACTCGACATTCCGCTTCCACCAGCGATAGTCGCAAGCGTTCAACTCCTCGGCCAACGGAAACGGAGGAACTCGTGTTGCCGTAAAGGCATCAACCGCATGCGTGCAAAGAGAAGGCAGATGACCACTGGAGAGAACGAGGAAGGCGGTAATGGCGAGATTCGTGCGCACCGGACGCGGTTGAATCATTTATCGAGACCGTCACCTTATGCCTCGGTGCCGTGGCGGCGTAAAGGACATTCAAAGAGACTTCGGAGATGATGGTATTGTTCGAGTGACCTTCACTCCCAGGCCAACGTACCGTCTGATGAGATCTCTCAGACGTCAGCAGTTGTGTCAGGCAACAATTCCTTGTCGTGTTCTCCGTTCATTCTCTCTATCCGTGATTCATCTAAATTACATGGACTAGAGTCCATTCCAGCTCAAGGAGTCCAGCGTCATACCTCTGTCCCCACATCTTCACGAGGTCGGTCGCGAGATAAAGATTCTCATCATAATACCTCTAGCGAACTTCGTAACAAGGAGAGACCCTTGAAACAGACCCGAGTCGAAGGTGGTGTCGGGCAAACGAAAGACTTTACGCAACCCCCGGCAAATCCAATACCAGACAAAAAGAGACCCCCAGCCCTGCGTCGGGCTACTGGGTACGGAAGTGCGGGTAGTCGGCATCGGGCTCATCATTCCACCAACGGCGGTGTGCAAGTGCGTATAGACAAACTAGATGTCATGCGGCGTGCTCGCTTGATTACAATTAGTCCAACTTCGAGACATGCTCACACGCTGGAACCATCGCGCGTTGTATCTTAGAAACCCAGGACAAGGATCTGGTTTCACATCTGCAGCAGCGTTTTAGAATTGCGCAAGGACCGTAACCATCGCTGGCCGCCTGGAGTTGAACGTTGATCTAGTATTTACTATTCCAGTCCCCCTCGGGCGGTTGCACATCGATTCATAATAATAGACGTCTGTATACTACGTTAGCCATTGTCTCTTCCTCTCCTAGGCCCTTCCGACTGTCAGTATGTCTCGTCATTGTCCGTGTGATTCCATGCTCACCGTAATATCCTGACGATGCATCGTTGAATTCGTCTAAAAGGTGTGGCATTTTGAATGCCAACGAAATTTGGAGTGCGAAAGGAGCATGCGGAGACCGAAATGAAAAGGAGCCTCAAGATGTTGGAGCGCCAGTGGAGCTCAAGTGGCGCGCGCACATGGTAGTCACACTATATTGGAAATCGCTTCGTCCTATGTAGAATATATATTCATGCATTTAGCTATCATACACCTCAGATCAACGACATGGGGCCTCAAAAATATCCGCAAGAAGTGGTTCACACGACAGTCTTGGTTCGAGATAGGATGGGAATGCGTAGTTCAAGTTATGAACCTCGCGTACCATATATAACATGGAGGTGAGAGGACTTTATGAGTATGGCAGTGGTCCCACGGTAATTACACTGTCCGGTGAAAAAGCACGGCAATGAATTGCTGAGGATTAAGGCTACATATTGGTAACAAGCAGTACATAGCCTGACTGCATCATGGAACATAATCGGGTGTTGACTACAGTACATGAGTAACGTTAAACGAAGTACAGCGTGGGACAAGAGTATGAATTCAAAGGAAGGTTAGAAGAGATTTGGCCAGCAAAACTCCGAGAGAAAAAGTTCGACATAATCGGTCTACGAAAAATGGAAGGATTCAGTTCTGAACGTCCAAATGTTCCCTGCACAACGGACAGGTCTGGTTCCTGGCCAGCCATGGAATAAGACATCTCTTGTGGAACCTTGCAGAACAATGTAAGCTGGCAGCCACTATAAGAACAAGAACAACGTACGCATGGCGACACTTTGCTCCCAACACGCCATGGTCCCCACTTTTAAACCGAGATAAGCAGATAGTGCACTTCTGTACATTCACACCCAACAGCGACAATTTAAGCTTCACACGTCCATCATTTGTCACCCTTCGCCTCTCTAGTTCTACCAGTCCAACAAGGCAGTTATCTAAACTGTCAGGATTGCGATGCAATGTGGCAGGACCGATAAAATCGGCGATGAGGAGGAGGGCCTGCGCATGTGGGTGACTTCAAGTACGGGCCCGAGAACTGTGCATCCCGAATACTCACGTCATAATTTGAGCCGTCATCGCGAGGGTGATCATCTCCTAGGCTGCCAACGAGGCCAGTAATGTATTCGGATGCAGGTGTTGTGACTGTGAACGAAGATGGCAACGTGGTTGATGTTGGCGTGAGTGGCCCACGAGGGCTGGAACTACCCACAGTGACGCTGTCACTGTCAATATCGTCCTCTAGGTAGTCGATGGGGAGAGGCGGTGGAGTGCGCGCAGGCGGAGTACGATCAGGTATCATGGGTCTGCTGTCCGGCAGAGGGGGAGTGCGATTTGGTAATGGGGGTGTATGAGTAGGGAGGGGAGGGGTATAACTGGAGCTGGAAGGGCTAATTGGATCCAAGCTGTCGTCGTCTAAATCGATCAACAGGCCCTCGGGTACATGCAGATTTTTGGGAATAGCCCTGGGGTGGTGCAAGACTGGAACAGTGGGAGTCTTCTCATCCGGCGTCCGGCCTACAATCCATGTAAGAGAGGGCGATGTGGATGGGGTCTGTGGTAGAGGACGGCCTGCATAGTGGCGCCGAGGTGATGCAGGGGCGGGGCTATACGGAGGGGTATGTGACTCTGGGGGTGGGGTAGGTGGTCCCGAGGGGAAGATCGCACTATACGCAGGTGCACTTCGCATTTCCAACTCACGTGACAAGGACCGTCCACGATGAATGAGGATCTCCTCGCGGCGGGCGGGAGTCCGACGACGCGTGACTCGCTCTGTTGCAGACCTAGTAGGCAACGAGTTATTGGGCGCTGGAATGGGTGTAGCAGGCGCCACATTATAGTCAATGTAGGTCACTTCTGAAGCCGATGTCGGAGAAGCTCTGGCATGTGTGCGGGCAGTCTTTGGAAGCTCCGGCTGAACAACAGCACGAGGCGTCGAATGTGAGCGAACATGTTCATGCTGAACTTGATGAGTTCCCAAGTTCATCTGCGAGAAGGAAGTAAGTGCCCTTCCCACTGACGGTTGGGATAAGGACAGGGACGACAGGGTTGGCGAGTCTCTCAACGTTATCCCACGGGTAGGGTGACGAGATCTCTCCAATTCATCGCAAACGCCAAGATCCTGTTGAGAGAAGGATGGAAGCGTCCTTCCGACTGTGGCCAACGACAAGCTCGAGGAGCTAAAGAGGGAAGCGGAAGACGAAGATATTGGGGATACTGGGGCGCTCGATGCGCATGTATGATCGCTACGCAAGCTGGAATTCGTGCGCCTCCGAACATGCCGATTTACAAATGGAGGAGAAGCCGGACGTTGAGGACGATCTTCAGCAGGAAGTATAGTCCGAATGCTAGAACAGTATGGGTGTCGATTTGTATTTGAGTTGCGGGTATCTTCTGTAAAAACATCGGGATAAGACCACGTCTCCGCAAAGCCTCCTGAGCGTAGTGCAGGAGCCGGGCTTGGGGGGCTAGGGTGAGCGGGGGAGTCTTCCAGAGAGGAGTGAGAGGAGTCAGTGCGATCCAAGACTTCCCAGTCCTCCAAGGATTCAGCTGCGCGCTCTTTCTGCTTCCGATGAAAGAGCTTTCGAGAAAAGTGGTGATCTCCGTGACCGTGAAGTGCGGAAGGCGAAGATAGATTGAGGAGTGAAGGTGTGCTCTTGAAGAATGGATTGGGGTTACGCAACAGTGAGATAACGGAGGATGAGGGTTGTGGTGACTGAGACCTATGGAATATCCTCGATGGAGAAAGGGAAAGGCTTGGCAGAGGTAGCTTGTGTTTAGGCGTAACTGGAGAAGATGCATCGGATGCTGCCTGCACGCTGCGGTCGTCAGGATATGGATCTTGATCCTCGGGAATCCTGAGTGACAATCGAGAGTTCGCGAAACGAGACTGAGAAGTAGGGCTTCGTTTTGGAGCCTGACTAAACAATCGGGTCCGCTGCGGCACGGCTGGAACATGTGATTCCACCGACCGTTGATGGTGCCTCGTCACCCTTTCCTCGAGAGGAACTCCACGTTGTCGATCCATTTCCCATCTCTGAGGTGGATCTACGTCCACGAGCTCTATGCTTGACTCGTCGTCATCAAGTAGTGCCTTCTGATGTACTGGCACCGGGAAGGCGCAAGACCCTGATGAAAGATTGAGCGTATGTGCAAGCGTGGGACTCGGCACATGCAAGGGCATCATCAAAGGCGATAACGCAGGTGTGGGTATTGACATCGATAAAGGAGTCGCCGTGATTGCGGATATCGGTGAATCTGTGTGCATAATGATGTTATCATGCGTAGCTGCGGGCTGTGTAGAGCCCGAAGAGGACGTGCGATTTGAGACAGGTAAATGTTCTGGGTGTATATGAACCCCAGCCACGAATGTAGATGAAGCGAGCGCAGATGAGGCAAGACTGGACAAGGTTGGACTGGTCGCTACCTCGTAAGTTGGAGGCGGTGGATAGTCCGAAGTATCTGGCCGATCAGTTGAGACATTCAATTCTACCACCTCCAGACATTTGATTTAATCTCACCACCATCTTCTCGCACTCTTGCTTGTCTGCGACGGGCGCTGGCGCCACTGCGGGTATCTCTAAAAGAGTAGCCAAGGTTAAACCGTATTTCTTCGCGTTGGCGTTCGTCTCTGTCTGCTTTCTTGGGCTCTTTCGCTTTACCACGGATCTTACCAGTCGTAGCTTGTCGACTGGGCTGAGCGGTATTCAGAGCCTGATACGGGTCGACCTGGGCGGGTTTTGTGGCCCGTTTGCTTGAGGTCATTGTGAAGCACTGAGGGAGGATGGAACAGCCTGAGATGGCGGACAAGGGCGAAGATGGGCAACACGCCTTCACCTGCAGGCGACCTGACTCGCTCTGGTATAATAGGTGTTTATATTTCTTTGGCGGTTTACCAAAGAGGCATAGCGCCCTATCCTTGCGGCACGGGTGCCATGATTCTTACGCGGAACAGGGACGAACACGAGCCAATTCATATCGCCTGCTGAGAGAATACGACAGAAGCCCTTGAAACGTTGCAGAGAAACGTTTCGGTATAGAAACTACACAAGCCATAATTAGTGGCTGACATAAGCATCACACCTGGCATTTGCCGACGGACCATTGACGGACCACATTGATAGGAAATCCTTTGCAAGTCTCTCAAACCACCACCATGGCGAGTTTCACTCACTCTCTGGGTTGTGAATTAACTAACTTCATGTGCGTAGATCATCCCAGTGAGATGCTTCTCGTGTGGAAAAGTCATCGGGGACAAATGGAACGCATACCTCGAGTTACTAGCTAACGATATGAGCGAAGGGTAGGTAACAATCTGGGAGCTTGCCGACTTATCACCTGACAATATTCCAGTGACGCTCTCGATGAATTGCAGCTGAAGCGATATTGCTGTCGGCGAATGGTGCTCACGCACGTTGATCTCATCGAAAAACTTCTGCATTACAATCGTAAGTAAGTTTCTGCATGTGATAAATGATGGCTCATGATGGCTTCAGCAATGGAGCGCTCGAAGGACAAGAACTTTTGATACCTTCTGTGCAGAGTGTGTTCCATACAACTCGAACTGTTGCAGTCCTACAACAACTCGTAAATCCTACTATGATCTTAGTTTGATTGCATTTATCTATCAGTCGCGTCCACAGCTCAGTTGAACTGAAGCTCGACCGCATTGATGATTATAGCATGGTCCATGAGTCGACTTCCCGTGACTACTACTACAAATCTCCAAGTTGTCCCTTCGACTTCCTCGCGTTCCTCGGAGAACCTGGCGTTCACCCAATGCTTAGTGCCCGAAGCCGATACAGCAGTATTGAACTATTGCCATGAGGCTTGCGGTCAAGGGTATTGCTGTGTATCTAAATGGCACGAGGCCCCACCCTTTCTTCGACTTCTTGTTGCATTCAGGTTCTACTTCGCACAGACTGATAATCAAACTTAACTATTCACCATGAACGACGGCAACAAATTGGGGGACTCAAAGTCAAAGCGGAAGAGATAAATCCTATATGAAAAACAAGCAACATTCATTTCAATCCAGCCTACGCACCGAACGCGGCAATAACCCCATATCCTCACCCATCCAGATTCCACTAGTATGGTGTGTATCAATATCATGGCTACGCAGCCGCCAATTATGTAGCCTAAGCGCTTCGATAGACGTCCACCCAACTCGTGAAGCCGCTTGCTGTGTGTGTCGCGAGGAGTCTCAGGTGAGTTGCTAGTCTGGGTAGGGCCCGCGTGGTTCTCGTTCTCAATACTGCCTTGATGGTTATTTCTGACGCGATTAGTCGTGGGTGTCGATGAGTTCCCCAAGAGGATAGTAAATAAATGAGTGCCCAAGACACAAAGAACGCACATACCGGCCAAAGATTATCGCTATACGAAGAAGTTCAGCAGGTGAATCAACGGCGATGCTCAAGTCCATTGATATCAGTGTGATTCAATGTTATAACTCAATATAATCTTAGAGCCCTCTGGATCATGCCAGCGGGTATGTTACGCGTTCTGGAACATAGCTGTGATCATATCATAAAAATCGATTCGGTATATTGGTATGTATTCTAGGCGCTGCTATAGATACTAGTCACAGTCGTTACATGTGTACAGTGGTTATATATACGTTGGACAGTTTTGGTGATGCTGAAAGGTAAAGCACGCCAACATAGTGAGCACGTGCTTCGTGTTTATCACACAAGCATCAGAATTGAAAAATTGGTCATGGGAAGGGGGGGCTCGCCGAAGGCGAGCCGAGAAGCTTTGAAGGGGTTGGCCTTCGGAAGTCGGAAAATCATCCCAGGGGAACCCTCAGAAACTTCGAGACTCCGTCCGCTGCGGTGACTGTTGCTCGAACAATCAATCAAACGGGTGAGAACAAGAGAACTCTGCATTTGACGTTGAATTCAGGTCTCAGCGCTGGATATTACTGGCACAGTTAAATGCCCACCTCCAGCTTCAGTTCTGATCATGGTTAGTCTTTATTCAAGTGAATCACAGGCTCTTATATTGCCGTTTTGCTTGACGGATTGTCACGACTCACGACGGTACTTAAACTTTTAGTCCGTCTAATCTAACGGGTACTGGGTGAGAACACACTTCCATAAATTTTGTACTAATAACAATGTCCGAGCCTTTCATGGTACATTGGACCTACAGTCCATCACTCGATTATTCACTCCTTGTCCTCATCTATGCCCTCATCCTCTCCGCCATCCTCAGTACCATATAACATCACTCTTTTGATTTTGGCCACGGCGCACTTCACGGCGGCAGCACGCATGGACTCCGTTATATTCTCTGCCTGCTTGAAGGTTCGCGAGTGTTTGTACACAACTCGGATCACGTCCGGCTGAAAGCCCGAACGGTTTGCAAGCTCCCTCACTTTCTCTTCAAGCGCAAATTTTGCGAATGGTGCAATATCTGCGGTGTGGATTTGAGGATCCAGGTTAGTGATTCTGACAGCTTCAGCCTCCGAGCTACTGCCGGCGAAGGGACTATTGACGGTTTTCTCAGTGTTTGTGATCTCACTCCGAGTCGTTCGACCAGAGCCAGTTTGCCCCCCAGTAGTAGTAGACTTTGAGGCTGAGGATGTGTGCAAATGTGGGGCCATTGCCAAAATGCCGGACTGTGTAGTATACTAGTATAGTACTCGTTAGGTTGAGTTGTGAATGAATAAAGCTAGTGCACCCAGAAAGTAGTGCGACAAATTTAATGTTTTTTAACCCCACCAATCAGGGATGGAAGCGAAATTCTTCAACGGCGACTTGGTGCGGCAGTTAACACGAAATTGAATTAGTCTGGACAACTGGAACTAGCGTGGTGGCTCAAGTAGTCAAGGTGAAAGAGACGACCCCTAATACTAGTACTCGTCTTTCGCTCCTTCAACGCCACACAACCCGATCATCAATCAACACTATGTCAGTTTTTGAGCCCAAGACAATCCTTACTTTCCTCAAAACCTCGACGGCTGTCTCACCTCTCGAGAAGAATGTTTTTGAGAAGAATTGGAAGGCTAGTGTGAGTTTATCGTGCTCTTGTGCAGCTCGACATCGTGTGCCGTGGCAGTAGTACTTGATGTTCAACTAACCAACAAAAAAGGTCAAAAAACGTGTCAGCACTTGGAACGTGTCGCGCAGCCATATGAACAACCCACGTCCGCAGTTTCAGCTGCAGTGGGAGGCTGAAGTCGTAGAGTATGTCCAGTTTCTGTGGGACAAGACTCGGCCTTCTCGATCAAAGAAAACCGAGCCTAATAAGTTGGGCTTCAGTGTTCCTTTGCTTGGGCCACGGTTTGTACCTCCGTCTGACCTGCATGTCCAGAAGCGCTCTGGAGTGGGTGGAGCCATCGAGCCGACAACACAATACCTCAAACCACTCAACATCGTGCATCCGTTCTACTACCCACAGCTTGCACAGTGTCCGAGATGTGGGTCCAACCAGGATACGACTTGGGAGGGCTGGACCAGTAAAGGAGCTCGAGAACTCCATGGTCTGTTCTGTGAAGAGGCAGCTCTGGGGACACAGCTCCGATGCAACCACTGCAAGGAATTGTCGAAGGCAAAGACCACAAATGGTGCTGCCAGTGGTTTGGTGGCTGACACTGAGGGATATTGCTTTGCAACGACGAGTGCGATGTACTGGAAAGGCTGGGAGCATTGGAGAATCCCACGTGAGTCTCGCGCACAGCAGTCGTCAGTGATCTGACGTATTCGGCAGGTGGTTTACCTATATTTTTCTACCGCTGCGGATTGACGCAGGACCTCTTCGACCTGCTCGTTGAGTTACGACCATCGTCGACCTCTGCAGGTCTCGAAGAACATGTTAGGCGTGAGTATCGAGCTCCATCATGATGTACCCACATACCTGACTGATGCACTCACACAGAACTGCATCTCTTTGAGCACAAGCGCCGAATGTTGGAGTACCTTGAGGCTGTCAGAGCTCACGAATGCCAGAATGATTCGAAGAACACACTTGGAAACTACTTCAACAGCGCTAGCGTTACTTCGGGAAGACACCTTCAAGCATTCTCAGAACCCGATGACCCGCTTGGCTACGGTGACAAATCCATCTCTCGTGACACGATAACCGAGGTTTTCATTGACTTTTCGACTCGCACCAGGCAGAACGAGAGTGCAAATTACTTGAAGTCGCTATCAGGTAAGTCCAGTGGATATTCCCCCACTTAGGTACTAAGTTGTGTTTGTCAGCAATATGCGCTTCTCTGGACAACACATTCAAGGCCGCAAACAAGGCGACACTTACAAACAAGGACGGGCAAAAGATGAAGGAAATCAAGGGCGGAATACTCACTGTCCTGAACGAGGGCAACGAGATCATTTCTTGGGTAAGTATGGAGTCACTTCAGACACACGGTACCCACACTGATCCGAACTTTTCACCAGCGGTTCTGTCAGACACGTGCAAACGCAGAGATCACAGAGCTCCTGCTAGGCCTTAAGCATCGTCATAATGTCCTTGGCCTCCCGCAGCCAAAAATGATCATCGCTGACAACTGTTGTCACATACGTGGCGCAGTGGCATCCGCCATGCCTGAGACAGAGGCCAAGCTGGACGTGTGGCATTTCAGTGCCAGGTATGTAACTTCAGCATGAGCTATAGTACTCTGGCTAACGGACCTACAAAGATATGTTGCTGCAATATTGAACACGAGCAAAAGTCCGTTCCGCAGCGCCATCGCTGCTGATATCTCGGGTGCAATCCTCAAGAAGCACGCAGAACATGGACGTCCAGCAGAATATTGGGATCGCGGGGAACAAGAGCAACGCCTTGTCGTGGCGTTCGATAAATGGGCTGAAAAAGGTGTGTGGTCAGCAGCAGCACAGAAGGTAAGCCTGCCCACTTCAATTGTTCTAATATTGACTGTCGCATTACTATGTTCTTCTAGGTACACCAAGAACAACTTAAGCACGTCCGAAAAGGGTGTCTCGAGCGCTCTGATCAACACCTTAGGTCTGATGGCAGTCGCATTGAGGGCACCCACAAAGGTTGGAACTCGTTGCAGCGTGCTCAGCCGAGTGGCATCACGATGTTGTGCGCGCTTGGCCATGACTTTGTCCTCCGTCGAAATGTGAGGGTCGCTTACAGTAGGCGTGAAATGACACCCTTCGTGAAGTTCACGCACGGCTCCCACCACATCCACCTCTCTACCCACGTTGCAAAGCTTTACAATGGACTGCGGGAGAAGGATGGCTGCACACTGCTTCCTTTGCCCGAACTCCCTGACGTGGACTCTGGTGAAACCTTCGGATTGGTTATGTCGGATAACGCAGCCACATTTGGTGGTTTGCTCATCAAGGAAGAGACCGTGGACACTGACCTCGCACACGACTTTGAGATTTACACAGATAGTCTTACCGGCGGGACTGTAGATTTCGCATCCGAAGCCAGCCATAGTGTCATGGTCAATGACTGGCAAATTGATCCGGCACTTCTCGAACGACCTGCTGCACAGCCTACTCAGAACTGCTTTGCAGGTACATTGAGGCCTTCGACTGATGCCGTGGTGAGTGACGTTAAACGACGTTGCCTGTCGCTCGTTTTCTGACTTGCTTTTCAAGACTGTTTCTAGCGACATTCTCATTGTGCCTCCCTCTCCGACCAAACGCAAGGCCCCTTGCATCTCCTTGGACTCTGATGATGAGTCAGACAGTACCAATACCGTGAAACGACTGCGGACTCTGGTTTCTCAGCCCACAGGCAATGTGTTAGTACCACCAGGCAGCCAGCAGCCAGTGGCAGAGGTATTTTTGTCCTTCTTTTGCTCATAGTGATGTCAACTGATCCGCACTGTGGTGCTACCTACAGACGCTCGACAGCTACTTCTCCTCTAGGCGCATCACAGCACGAGATGCCAAGTCCTGCAACAAACCCAACAGTACTAGTAGCAGCGCTTCAGACCCTTTCTCCTCAGGCACTTCGACCACCGTCAGCACCAGCACAGCCCCCACTCGCATGATTCACGGCAGTGTTGCTGGTGTTGTCCGACGAGTTGAGTCGTCTGGCCAAACACGATCCCAGCAGCTGTTCTCCCTTGCCACCGGGATCGATTCCCGTTCATTGACACTTCAAGATTCTATTGAGTTCTACCTATTCATGGACATGCGTGCCGAATTCAAGTGGCTATCCTATCAAATGTCCTCGAAGCGCTGGGTCCTGGCTACCGAAGAGTACAACCATCGTCTCGCGCAGAAAAAGGGCAGTTCCGTTGTCGAGAAGAACCCGCAGGCACTCCTACGTGCGCTGGGTGACATCGAGCCGAAACTGATGAACCGGATCATCAAGAATGAATATACCTGTAAGTCATATCTGTCCTGTACATCTCTTCTCACAGTTTCTGACATCTGGGCCACAGCAAAGAGGAACGACGAATCATTTTGGCGCCGTCATTGTTCCGTTGTTTCCCTCGTCAAGGAAGACCGAGGGAAAAAAGTCAGTCCCTGCATCATTCAAAGTTCGCGCCAAGTTCACTGAACTCGTTTCATTAGCCCCGAAAGGCACAAACATGCTCGCGCTGCCAAACGATCATGTACCCTGGCCCCGAAAACTCGCCACTCAACCACAAGCAGGGCTACTGTGCCGATGGCGTCAAACAGGTGTCGAAGAACAGCGGCGAAGAACTCCCTCCCTGGCCTCAGCCTCAAGGTGTCTTCTCCGAAGGCCGCACATTCCACCCTCACACATTTTTATTAGCTGTTCAGCGTGTCTACGAGTATGTTTTCTTGCAGGGACCGGGAGAGATAGATTTGCTTGAAACGGAGGCCTTCGCGAAGCTGCTTGTCTCACGCACTGAGGTCCATGATGATGGCGCAGTGCTTTTCCGGCTGTTCACTGACTTCGTGGTTGACCCGTCCACCCCCCGTGACTGCATTATCATCCGCAACGACGAGCAGTGGCTGAGGATCAACTTCCTCCAGCAGCCATAGTTGAGATTAGTGTATGTCTTCATGCCCTCGTCTTCATTTACAGTTTTTTTTAGTCTACTCTGTCTAGTATAGTCATGTTTGCATTGAGCAATCATATCAAACTCTTCCTGCTTTGATGTCTGCATCTTCAACTCATCCTTGTTATATACCCTGGACCTTCTCACCTCGTTTCAGCCTGCAGGAACTCACATTCACGCTGTGTCATGCCTACGCTCGTGCGACACATTCCGTCTCTGAATCGATTCCAGCGCCCTCTGGAAATGTTTCACGCCAACAAACCAGAGGCTCTTTCCCGCGATCCCCCACCAATTCAACAAATGACAGGCCGTTTTTCAGCCCCTCCTTTTCTCGCAGAAATACACAGGCTCGAGCACAAGCTCAACAGGGATGCCCCCCTCCTCTCTCTATTCTATTGAGCTCGATTCTCGATTCATTCTCTCGCGCGGGGAAGGGACTTCGCCTTTGCAAACTCGAACACGTCACGTGACCCAAAAACTCACGTGCCTCCAAACGGTCTGAACGGTCGGTCGGTCTTTGAAAAAACGGTCGACCGTTTGTCAGCCCCCCCTTCCCATGGCGCAGCTGCCGTCTGAACGGTCGGTCGGTCTTTGAAAAAACGGTCGACCGTTTGTCAGCCCCCCCTTCCCATGGCGCAGCTGCCTCAGAATTTTGCATCACGACGCACGTGACCTTAAACGCGTCCAACTTGCAGGTTGTGGATCTTGCAACTTTGTACACCATGCCAGGGCGCGTATCTTCCGTCGAGGAAACCCTCACCGCCAGCGTGCCCAAGATTTTTGACCAAGTTCAGAATTCAACTGCAAATCACCAGAAAAATATCGTTGCACTTCACAAACTCCATCTGGATGCTGCCGGTTTTACCGAACCCGTACACAATGGCAGAAGCATCAAGCTGACCGGTGAGCGTATGTTCGAGGAGAGATTCAAAGACATGCTATGCAGAGCTGTCGCCGTGAAGAAAGGAACATCGCAGGGCGACCGAATAGTCAAGTTTGTTGGAGCGTATACAAAATATATCAATGAGAGAGGTACGATGTCTGCTCGTTTCACTGATGTTATACCTCATCTTATTACAGCCGCTGAGGTAAAGAAGGAGGATGACGATGAAGACGATGATACCACAGCCTCTCGATTCGTTGAGAAAGTGCTTACCTTCCTCCTAAATGGCTTTGAAGCCAAGGATAAAGTCGCACGCTACCGCTGCGTCCACTTTTTGGCGGAGATGGTCGCGCATTTGGGTGAAATTAGGTTAGTAACCTATTTTGTGCAATAAACCTGGCTGACCAGGCACAGCGAAACGTTGTACACTGAGCTCCGCGCAGCTCTCTTCGAGCGTGTGCACGATAAAGAAACATTTGTTCGAGTCCAGGCTGTCATTGCACTCTCGAAGCTATGTGGCTCGGAAGATCCATCTGATGTGGAAGAAGGAGAACCCACTGCTCTCGAGGTCCTGCTGGAGACTCTTAGTTGCGATCCTGCCGCGTTTGTTCATTTGTCATCAATCGTCCAACAGTATGCTAATCACTTGTCTGCTTGTCTTATAGAGACGTCCGTAGAGCCGCATTGCTCAATATTCCTCTATCTTCAGCTACCCTAGACGCCGTCCTTGGTCGAACCCGTGACACTGACACGATCATGCGCAAGCTGGTTTATTCCGCTATCCTAATCCAACATTGCTTCGCTTCTGATGGCTCTGCGATGGGGCTCGTTCATCCTCGCGTGCTTACCATTTCTCAGAGAGAGTTCATCATTCGCAATGGTTTAGGTGATCGAGAGCCAGCGGTTCGCCAGGCTGCAGCTGTATTACTCAGCAAATGGGTGGACGTTGCCCGCGAAGATGTCAAGAACGAAGAAAGCAAGACCGTCGAAGATAATGTTCTCGCACTTTTAAGTCTCTTTGATCTTACGGAGAGCACGGTTGCAGAGGACGCACTGCTGAGTGTTTTGGACAGACGCGCTGATATTTCCGACCACGTCGAGTTTAATGGTATGTTCCGTTGCAGAATCTCGGTCGGATGAGCTAATTGGAACATCCACAGATGCCTATTGGGCCAACCTGACCCCAGAGCGAGCTTTTTTCGCTCGCGTCTTTGTCGACCATTGCATTGCCATTAGCAATGCGGAAAAACTAGATGCTTCTCTCCCGGTTGTCACTGCCCTTGCCTACCGCATCCAAGCTGCCTACAATGCATACCAAGAAGACTTGGAGGTTGCCGAGCAAGAGAGAGTCATTCGCGGCGAACCAACTGAGGAAGAAGAGGAGGCTCGCATTGACAAGGAATTTGTCATAGGCGAGATGCTCAAAGTTGCTGTGAATCTAGACTACGCTGATGAGATTGGGCGCCGGAAAATGTTCCAGCTTGTGAGAGACATGATCTCTCAGGAAGCACTACCCGAATCACTTGTCGCTAGATGTTTGGACGTATTACGGATACTATCACCAAACGAGAGGGATCTTATTCGAGTTGTTGTGGAAGTAGTCCACGAGCTTAGGGATGTCAGTGATGAAGAAGAGGCTCTAGTAAGTTGGACACCTCATTGTTCGCATTTCATTCCCGTGACGACGTTATCTTTGCTAGAAGGAGCCTGCAGATGACGGAGAGACCAATTTTGGCGAAACACCCATGCCAACTCGTACAGCACCCAAAGGACCAAAGCCATCAGAAGATATGTCTTCCGAGGAACGAGCTCGTATGGACGCGATTGATTTGCGTTGTCTGTCACTTTGTATAGGGATGCTGGAGCGTGTTAACGGAGTGCGTTATAGCTTATGTTCAATTTCCTAATCACTCACTGTTGCTCAGACATTCGAAGAAAATTCGACGCTCGAAGGCATCCTTGGCGAGTTGATCATTCCTGCCGTCAAGCGTAAGGAATTGGTACTTCGTGAAAAGGGTCTCATCTGTTTAGGTCTTTGCTGTCTTATTGCCCGAGTATGCTCGTGTTGCCCACCATGTAGTTTTGAAACTAATTGATTTCATAGCGCATGGCTCTCAACTCTTTCCAGCTTTTTTTGGGTCAAATTCAGACTGCCCCAGAAGTCTTGAGGATCCGTGTGCTGCAGATTGTCTTCGACATTCTTATGGTGCACGAAAATGACTTCTTGAAGAAAGAGGGTAGTACAGTGGGTAACAACAGCTTCAACCTTATTTCAATGCTCACGTTTCTACAGAGAGAGCGTATCATCGAATTCTTCTTGCAAGTCCTGGAAACCGAGGAATCGGACAAGGTGCAAGCCCTCATGTGTATCGGCCTTTCAAAGCTTGTCCTTTCCGGGATGATCTCCGAAGACAAGGTTGGTGCCGATAAATTGTTGCACGATATCAGGAGGTAACACCTCTTCAGGTCCTGCAAAGCCTGGTTGCTGCATATCTTGCCCCGGACACGATCGACAACCAAGAAGTCCGCCAGTGCCTTGCGTATTTCTTCCCCGTGTACTGCTACTCCTCTGCAGTCAACCAGCGACGAATGCAACGGCTGTTTATTGGATTATTCGAGCAACTTGCCCCAGAAACACGAAATGTTGACGAAACCCAGGATATGGTCAGTCCTGCTCAAATAGCAGCTATGTTCGTGGATTGGACCGATCCACAGAAAGCTATGTGAGGCAATGTTATTTGTTTTGAGAGTGCCAGTTAAAATGATGCAGCGATGTGCAAGATCAACTAACGGACGAGACAATTCATATCGACCTAGCAAGCGATATCGCAAGAGCACTGTTCGACGACAAGATGATAAGTATGTCAATAACTTTCTGGGGCGAACCATTAACCAATGCTGAAATTGCAGAGGAGGACAAGAAGGTTTTGTATCAAGTTCTTGGGCGGCTATACTTGCCGGACAAGGTTGATGACGATAAAATCCGCACGCTCAAATTACTACTTCACAACCTCAATTCTGTGAGTTCATCTGAACATTTGTGTCACCCAAAAACTCATGCGCATACAGCGTCGACCAATTCGTGACGCAGCAGCCAAGAATGCGCTCGCGAAATTTGATGCTGCGATCTCAAAAAAATATGCTGAGCAGCTAGAGAGCTTCAACGAGGAAGATTACAGGCAACTGGAGTACCTGAAGGACTTGTTCGAATTTCTTGATGATATCATTCCCTTGGACGACGGCGAGGAGGTTGACATACCTCGCACTCGTGCTCGGAAAAGGTGTGATTTCTGTTACGCTACCATCCATACGCGTTGAGACTGATTGTGTGACATAGGCGCTCGGAAAGCATTGTTACCGATACCACGGACAGCATCATACCAGATGAAAGTGTGGCTTCTGCTGCTTCTCCGTCACACCCAAAGGGCAAGGGTAGAGGGAAGCAAAGCAAGTAAGTGGTCATTCATTCGTTATTAACTCCAGTCGACCTATTGTTATCCAGGCGGAGACGTGTTTCTGGTTCCGATGACTCAGACGATGATGTCCTATCGCACGACCATGTTACCCCAGCACCCACACGAACCCTGCCAAAGCGGGCTGCGTACGTTAACATGTTATGGATTTTCCCGTTTAATGTGGTCTTAACTTTTGCTCACAGGTCGGTAAAGAAACCTCAGGTAGTGCAGTTAATTGAAGATGACGATGACAAAGAGGAAGAAGAGGAAGTTTCATCCCCTCCTGCCTCTCACAACGAACGAAGGCCCAGGCTGTAAGTCGCTCGGATAAGTTGGACAGCACATACTCATTTGATCGTATGCAGTGCAAGCAAAGCGAGGGATGACATTCAGCCTGCCTCTGCAGGGAATCATACCATCGATTCCATCATTGATAGCGAAGAAGACGAAGAAGAGGAAGACGAAGTTGCTAATGATATATTGGCTTCGGACGAGTGAAATTTCCATCATCTATAACAAGAGTACAGTATCTATTATGATTTATATTTGTACCCTTATCACTGTACTTTTACTGGCAGGACCGCTGCTTTCACGATTTGGGGTGATTGGATGATAATCGGTAACGGTCGGCCGCCGTAGATCTGCCATGACTCGCCTATCATGTCAATTGTGTCTTCGACGAGAGAATCACGGGTAGAATTGAAAATCGATAAGAATCGTTGAATTCGGAAGAGCCGCTTCAAAATATGCATTCAAAACATATCACACTGTCCCCTGCGTTGACACCATGCGTAATTCAGAGGCGGAGACGTCGTTGCGAGTAGAATCTTTCCGATGGGGATGTTCACTCGAGTTAAACGTTAAGCGTCGACAGCGCGTGAGAATCGACATGTCCTTTGATTCCCTCTATTATTATGACTTCGAAGTCGAAAGTGGGATTTCTGTCTCTTGCAGAGGAATTGCATTTTGACATTTTGAGCTTCCTCCCCTACAGAGACATTCTGCGTTGTACATCTGTGAGCCGCTTTCTCAGCTGTGATTAACGTCCTAGAACGCCACAGATGATTTTGTATTGACAGTCGTTTTGTAGGTATGTAAGGCTCTTCGCCAGACATTCATATCGTCCTCTGAGCTTCAGTACATCGTCGAACTCGCTGGTCAAGGGTTGCTACCTGTCCTCAATACGGAATTTCACAAGCATGTTCCTATTTCCAGACGCCTACAACTCCTGAAAGACAATGCATCTGCATGGTTCCAGTTCAACTTTCGCCTAGTATCTATCCGAGATCACCCTGCCATCACACCAGCATATTTACAACCTCAGAGTTCGGAAGTAAAAAGATTCTTTGTCGATGATCACCTCTACCTGTTCGATGAAACCGAGCAATTGGTTAAGATCTTTCCATTAGTGCCACAGTCCTCACCTCAAATACACCGTGAGTGGACCCCAGAATCGCTGCTTCCTGTTTCCGATGCTGTTATCGATCATGTATGGATCGACCCAGCACAAAACCTGATCGCCATCGCGTATCGTACTGATGATGACGATTATCTTGATTCTCTGAGCTGGCCCGATCGCCCGTTCTATATTGACCTCAAAGCTCTGGACGGAGATGGTGTCCACCCCCAAGCTGCTGGACAGACATTGTTTCTATCTGAACTTGATGATTGTCAAGACAGTAGTTTTAAGCTCCAGGGGCTCGGGAGGCATATTGCTATCCAATGTGGCTTTTGTGGCATGTGGTGGTTGCAGATCTGGGACTGGCAGCACTCAACAACATCCAACGTGAGCCTTGCTGAAAAAGACATGGTTGATAATAGACTTGAACAATTGACTCGCATCTAGAGTATCATCAGTTACACATCAAGCGATGACTCAGACGAAGACTTTTGTTTCCTCGGAAATGATAGATTCCTGACCATAAGCAACCTGAATTTTAATCTTTTTTTGATTGAGGATGTATCCCAAAAACCGACATTCCTGGCGAACTTCTTGCTGCCTATATCAGAGCTGATCTACATCGACTATGTTGGTCCTACAGACGATATTGCTCATGGCCCACAACTGCAGATGGAAGCACATCAAACACTATGGACCTCAGATCCTGAACATCGAATACTGTTCTTCGTCATGAACCTGCACAGTGTAGCCTTCGCCGTTTCCACCAAAGTTTTCTTTGATCTTGATCCATTTAAAGAGACATTGGAGGAGATACCTTGGGAACTGTGGGGCCCTCCAAACACCCGTGCGTTTAATCCAGAATCCAGCTTTGGCGTCGTCGGGAATCGAGTTTTTCAGGCTGCCCGTGTAGTTGGTGCAACAGCAGATGACGGCTCGGCTGCCACGGAGTATCGTTTATATATGATGGACTTCAGCCCCTTGGCTGTTCAGCGCCGGCAGGGCCAAGGACGAGTGGTGAAAGAGCCATCCACGATAGTAGTGGAGAATGAGTCGATAACGACGTCCCTGCCCTATGTCGAAGTGCTGTCGGATGGGAAATATAGTGCTGATGCACACGATGTAGTGAAGATATGGGTCGACCACTACGAACTATATGTGCCTGTAGGTCCCTCTCATGTTTCGAGGGAGTCCGCCGTACTTATTTTATTCATAGAGACTGGCGTCTCCATCAGCTATGAATTGATGTAGCAGGTTGAAGCAGAATCACGCAAAACAATCGAAGCCTACGTTGACATGCTGCAAGGTGTTCAGGTTAGCATCTTCGACAAAGGATAGGTTACAGGCATTACGCACATCATACTAGCGTGATACAAAGTCCCTCGTCAAGTAGCACAAACAAGACGAATCAGAATCATGAGAAGACGCGATTAATGGCGTGGTATCCGTTTGGAGAATAGATGTGCATATTCGTGCCAGCTACCAGACACGGAATACGTACCGCGGTCCGCACGCAGCCAACCGAACTGCGGCTTGCAAGAAGCTTGTACTAATGGTCGTAGACCAGCGATACAGGGCGCATGACCTCTATGAGATAATATGTACGTCCTACATATCCAGCGCGCCGGAATTCTGGTTCACGATGACTTGGCGGTGTAATCGCTGATCAGCTGTTTACTCGGATCGTCCCGAAGTGACAGATGTATTTCCTTTCAATTGATCATCCAATTGAGCGCGCCCCCCGGAAAATTCCCTTGCCGATTTATCCCGTTCGAGACCTAGAAGATCAGCGTTCACCCGCTGAGACGTACACCTGGAGCTACTCGCGTTGACTATGTGGAAGGACCTTGCACTTACGTGTATATAGAGTCCTTTGTTGATGTATCATGTAAAAGCTCAGTATATAGGTGGATCCATCGGGAAGCACTAGCGCTGCTCTGGGAACAGCTGGCTCAGCATGTATAAATACCAGAGAGTGACGGTAAAACTTTCCCAAAACACTGGTGTCCAGTATGAATAGTACCACAGCGACTCCGAGCGTTGCATGTAGTTACGAACCATGGCGTAATATCTGTCATGTTCTCACGTCACATTGATAGATTGAAAGCTAGGGTACACCCGCGTTTCCTGGTCAGACAAGGTGAACAAAACCGTATGGTTATTGTAATCGATGGTGACAGATACTGATACAACTTGGTGATTAGTTGAAAGCAAATATGAAAATAACAAAGCACTTCATTCGTTTGAGCAAATCTGAAACGCTGGATCCGGGACCTCCTCAGTAGCCTCTCTTCTGCCCCTCTGCATCCGTAAGGGGGACATACTGCCAACAAATCAGCGACGAATGAGATAAGCTTTGAAGAAGCCTACCATGACCCCCATCAAATTCTTCTTTGTGACTTTACCATTCTCGTCCTTGTCGACTTGTATAATTTGTTGAGTAAATGTTCCAACTGGTATGAACATCCGCCCAGGGCTCTTGAGCTGATCTACCAGCTGCTGTGGGATCGTGGGCGCAGCAGCACCGACATGAATTGCATCGTATTTGGCAAGGCTGCCATAACCTTGACGACCATCACCAGTGACCGCGACGATGTCGCCCCTGTCGAGAGCGAAGCCCAGTCCATCTTGTCTAAGATTACTCTTTGACCAATCAACCAGTTCAGGGATGTGATCGATGGCAACGACAATGCCGCCTGGGACAAGGTGGTGGAGTACGGCAGAAAGGTAACCGGACCCGCTACCTACATCCAGGACGCGCTTGCCCGGACCAAGGTAGTCGAGAAGGTGCTCGATTGCATGAGCGTGCTATAGAAAAGTATGTTAGGACAATGGCCTCAAATTCCAAGGACTTGCCATGTGTGGTGCAGATATAGTCGCGCCATGCCCGATAGATCTGTGCAGTAGAACTTTAGTAGCAAGGGTCGGGGAAGAGGGTCGATGCGCACTGAGGCGAGTCCTCATATGCCTCTGATTTACGTATGACATAATTAGCTCGGTCGACTTTCGTCATGGCCTGTTACAACTCAGGTTGATGGTGATTACTTGTAGTTTGGAATCAACTGACCTCGCCGACTCTATCTGTTGTGATAATTCGTGCTGTGCGCATGTTTGCGATGAGGTCCGCGTTTGTACGACCTGAACAACGCCAAGCCATTGTGGTATTGGTTGAATGTAACCGAGAAGTCGGCCTCCGTCGCCACAAGGATTGAAGATTGCGAAATGGAAGCCATCGTGCGAGTTCTAATCACCTCATTATTAAACTGCCAAAAAAGGAATGTCATTGTCCACACGTGTGCCACGCATGACGCAGCCAAGAATTTCGTTAGCACTGCGTGGCTATACTTATGGCGTGTTTCCAAATTTCACAAACTCCTGGGTTCACTATTTCCCCTTCTTCAAAGTAACTATTTAGCCTCCATCCTGTCATTTCCAAACTTTTTTTGGGACTCTTCATCCCGGGCCATGGACAGCACTCCCATCTGGCCGCTTCTCTTGACTGTATTTCAGGCATGTGTTCGGAATTCGACTAGCACCCTGCTGTCCATTGATTTTGCTGGCTTTTAGTCAATTCTAGAGGTATTTCTGTTATGTCTCGCAGGTTACATACTCGCCTGGCGCCGTATTATTGATAAGCCCACTCAACGCGTTTGTTTTACTCTCTACTTTGGTTTCATCTTGTTGATCTGGAATCCAGGTGATCAACCATATCAACATCTCCCTGTTCACCCCTGCCTTGTTGTTCTCCAAAGTCGCATTCTTCCTAAGTCCAGGTGCGTCCCATATCTCATCCATCAGCAGGACTCTAATCAGCCTCGTGTGTCCTACAGCAAAACTCAAGGAACTATGGGTTATTCCAATTTTCTTTATAGCGGTCACGGTTTTCTCTGCGCTCGTAGCCAGAGTCCTTTCGAGGATATTTGGATTGAAGAAATCTCATCGGTGTGTTTCTTCATTTATACTCCTCAACCTGTCCCTCCGTTTCCTTGTCTCTCGTGTTTACAATGACCAGAGCTAACCATCCATAACTATTTCTAGTAACTTCGCTATGGCTGCTTCGATGTTCATGAATTCGAACTCACTACCCATCGCTCTGATGCAGAGCCTCGTGATCACTGTAGATGGCCTTAAATGGACCCCAGACGACAACACGGACGCCATGTTGGGTCGTGCACTCACGTACCTCGTGCTGTATAGTACTCTCGGGATGATGGTGCGTTGCGTTAACTTGAATCGTGTTTCAATTGTCCTGGCTTTCAATATCTCAGTTGGATGTCTTGGTCTTTATGATTTTTATTTATTTTTGTTATTTATTTTCAAAACTGGCGTCTGTTCCTTTTTCGTCTTCCAACGAAACTCCCAAGCCAGTCATTTTGAACTCGTTCCGTATTCCGTCGTTTGTAACTCCTTTACTTACATTGCTTACAGCTTCGCTGGAGCTACGGCGTGCGTTTGCTTGCCTCTGCAGATACTCCGCCTACACCAACCTCTCCCCGTTCGCCTCTACTCGCGGCTGTGCCATATGATGCCGAAGGAGCCCAATACGCTGATAATTCATCCTTATCAGATGAGACGACGCTTAGCGAGCACCATCATTCATCCAGGTTCCAGCCCACGAGCCCTTCTCATCACTGGCAAACTCAGGTCCATCCCACAAGCCCTTCACATCACTGGCAAACCCAAGCTCGTAGCCAAGCCGTAGTCGTGACTTCGCCTCTCGATGACACAGATGACAATGATCAAGATACAGCGTGTGAGATTCCTACCTTCATCCCAGAGCCTTCAGGCCATATCCATGGACAGCTACGTCCGCACCCCTTGCCATCGCACCTTCACCTGTCGCCATCTCGCGTACCCCAACGGTCGTCTTCACTTTCGCATTCACGCTCCCCACACCCAGCACGGAATACGGCTATATATCACTCTTTCCCAAATTCACCTGTGCGGGAAGATGCACCTTTGGCCTCGGACAGTGTCACGCCCGCAGACTCAGAGGATGGAATAGAAGATGGGGCAGAAGTTACAAGTGAAAATTTCGGACATCGTCGACACCGCACTGGTCTCCGACACGTCTGGAAGTCCACCAAAAATGCATGGCGCCATATCAACGCGTTCATGACAATGCCCCTATGGGCTTCCGTCCTCAGTCTCATCGTCGCGTGTACTCCGCCGCTCCAGTCTGCGCTTGAACACATGGAATCAGTCAAAGGCGCGCTTGGTGCTGCAGGCAATTGCAGTATACCACTGACGCTTGTGGTGCTTGGGGCATACTTCTACTCCGAACCTCCCGAGGATGACATGCAAAATGGAGATCTGACGGACTACGAGACAGATGAGACAAGGCAGGACCTCGGGCAGAACAAGTCTCGTACCTCACTGCTCAGTACCCTTCAGGAGATGCTGGCACTCAAACGTGTACAGCAGCCGCAGCTCCAGACGCTTGGGGAAGGCAAGACGGTGTTCGTGGCGGTGCTTGCAAGGATGGTAATCGTCCCAGCTGTGATGCTTCCTGTGTTGGCGATTCTTGCTCAGCTTGATATCCATAATGTCTTTGCGGAGTCAGTGTCTTGAATTGTCTTACGGATAGTTGCTGATGTGCGGCTTTTTGATAGCCCTGTGTTCGTGGTGTCGAATGTACTCTTGATAGCAAGTCCACCGGCTCTGACGCTCGCGCAGGTGCGTTTTGTGGTGTTAGTAGTTTCTCTTGATCGCACTAATGTTCTTATGTTGAACAGATAACGCAAGCAGCTTCGAACGACTCGTTTGAGAGGCTAATATCACGGACAGTTTTCTGGTCGTATTGCGTTGTCACCCCACCAAGCACGATTTTAGTTGTAGTTCTGGGGTTATTAATCGCAAAGTTGTGAACTAAATGGTTGGTACGCTTTGCTGGGCTCATCATGATCGCTTGATAGCTGAATAACAGATGACAGATTTTGGATATCTTTTAATCATACTTACTGGGAAACCTGGATGTACATATTTTTGTTGAAGGGCGGGAGAGTTTGTATATATGCATATTGATCTTTTATGCGGTGTTTTATTATCTGTCTCCTGGGACTTTCTGGTATCGATATCCGCTGCAGCGATGGGCATGAGATCAAACGCGAGTTTCAGTGCAAGAGAACATCCTCGCTGTCATTGCACTTTGCCCAACTTCCGCGGGCGACATCTATTCCTTAAAAAGTATATAAACATTGTTCGGAAATGAAATATGAACCGAGGACTGATTGTCACAAAGGTCAGCGCCGATGTGGACTCAAGAGTACCAACAATTTGGTCATGACTGAGTTGCAAAAGGCTTAGCATATTTCACTAGCATTGATTCAGGAATCAGCGGGTGATGCTCGGGACCTGTGCTCGCACATGGACGTAAATGACAGATTCCAAACGCAATTCGCTCCTACTATTCGCTCCTATCTCCATGTATGTATATGATCCAGGGAATGAGACGAACTTGCAAAGTTGACACGCCTTCGTACTGGATAAAAGTTGAAAAACATCGCCATGCTATTCGATTCGTTGGCGATGACAATCAGGTAGGTGTAGTTAGACATCAGCGATGCGGCCGGTGATTGATGTACGATATCAATACGGCAGCCGTATTCATCGTGGTTCTTCATAAATAGGGTCCTGGCAGAGTACAAGAGAAGGTCCAGAATGAAGGCACCCTTGTTTAACAATCTAGGGTAGCAGTGATCGGTAAGTATGTGGAATCTACCAATCCAGATGATCATATTAGCCAAATCAGTAGCTTAGGACGGCATTGTGCTATCCCACTTGCGGTATTTTTGTGCCTAGGATCAAAATTTAGCCAACCTAGTCTAGAACGAAGGAATCACAAAGGACCAGGCCTTGATCGCAGATAGACTTTACATAAGGACGATTCCTGTCTGAGGATGCTAATGCCAAGTATGCATCAAGTACAGACTACGCCAGTCACGCGCAAAAAATCACCGTAAAAGATTGTGATTGATGGTTGTCAGGACCGGCCCCCAAGGAAGCAAGCTCAAGTTTAATAATACTTCGAGGGTACGGGGAACGGCATGGCAGAATGTTGGTGGCACGACTGTGCGAGAAGATGGGTGGGAAGCAGTGCGGGGGAGCGTTGAGAGAAGATGAGCACGATTTGCTATTAATGGCGCAAGACGACGAAAGAGCCGGTGCGTGAGATAAGAGAGTACAGAGAGCTTGAAGGCGTACGGAGAGTACTTGCAGAGTACGATTGAAAAGGCTTGGGTTCGAGCGAGCGCTTGGCAAAGTTGCAGCCCCGAGCGACCAGTACTAGTACCTGGGCGAGGATGGGTGGGTTCCTGAGTCTGCCAGGCGTAGCTAGATTTGCTGCATGCATCATCCATGCCAAGTCTACGCTCTAGCTCCCAGGGACATCGTTTACCCTCCGTTAAGCTGAAAATAGAGGAAGCTCACCGAGTATTAGCCGTCGCCCGAGGCAGTTCCACATCACCAAATTAATTACTTCGCAGGCTGCAGCAACTTGGAATCGAGTGCTAGTACAATTCAGTCTCTCCTAGACTAGACTAGTACTGACATTCCTTATACAAACTTGTTAGTCGCTTGCAATTGCTGTACCGTGAGCTAAGTCGACGCCCAGGCAAGGTAAACGAGCTAAGTCTGTTTAGCTGTGCGTGTTGTGCTGGAGGATGCCGACGTATGGTGCACATTTACCCGTGAATCTATAGGAGAGCAAGTATCTCACACACAACGTTCCTTTCCCTGCTCTCTTTAACAGAGTTTTCGTTCCTTACATTCACATCATTCAATATCTATTCCAGCCTCTAGTGGACCCGCAAAGTCCAACTTTCGTCGTTCGAGGGCCCGCCTGGCATGGTTGGATTCTATGAATTCCAACTTATTATCCTTGTCTCCCTGTGTTTCATCTTCCTCCTGGTTGAACGCCATGTCTCGCGACGGAAAGAGTTGAAGGAGAAAGACCTGCACACCGCCGAGCGCCTGGAAGACGGGGAACCGACGACATCAAGCAACTTTCTAGCTACATTGACGAGGCAGTATCTCATTGTCTATGCAATCGTAATGGGTATGCATGATATTCTGCTCACGGGATTTACGTGTTCATCAATTTATCCAGGTGCTGATTGGCTCCAGGGACCATATGTGTACTCATTATACCGAGAACAATATGGTCTTCCGGAACGGATGGTCGCAGTCCTTTTTGTCACAGGGTTCATGTCCGCAGGACTCACTGCACCCTTGGTGGGCGTCTGGGCGGATCAACAGTACGTCGTATATGCCCTCTTTACTGCTATAAAGTTGTTTGACTAGTACTGTAGTGGACGCAAAAAACTGTGTCTTGCCTTTTGCCTGACATATATATTCACCTGCTGTTGCATAACCATCCCGTACTTGCCCATTCTTCTTCTTGGACGTGTATGCGGAGGTATCTCAACATCAATCCTCTACTCTGCGTTTGAGTCCTGGCTGGTGAGCTCTGCTGGAGCCCTAGCCCTCCCATCAACGGATCTTTCCACAATATTCGGACGCGCCACGCTCGTGAATGGCTTTGTTGCAACAGGCGCAGGCGTTGCAAGCAATCAGCTAGTCACCTTGACGGGCTCATTCACATCTCCTTTCGTTGCCAGTGGAGTCTTGTTGCTATTAGCATACCTTGTGATCCGTGCAAGTTGGGGGGAGAACTTTGGTGGCGGCGGCGGAACAACTCCTGGCAAGGACTTATTTCAGCTGAAAAGACTGGGGCAGGCATGGCGCATTGTCAGAGATGGTGAGTCCGGCTCACTCCCCGTTTTTGTGATATCCAGGTCGTGAACGTGATTTTAGATCCTATGCTACTCGTCATTGGCCTGACCCAAACTTGCTTCGAGGGTTCTATGTACCTCTTTGTCTTCCTCTGGGTACCATCTCTTCAGGAAGCTTCGCCGACGTTTCCCACTATTGCACTACCGCTGGGCTACATCTTCTCCTCATTCATGATATCTATGATGCTCGGATCCCTCCTCTACAGTGTTGTTACCACTCAATCCGGCGGTCTGACGGTCCACGCCAAGCTCAGTAGCTTAGTTTGTGCATTTGCTGCCCTCGCACTAGCAACAAGCATAAGAAGCGACAGTGAGCGCGTCAGGTTCTGGGCGTTCTGCGCATTCGAAGCGTGCGTGGGGATGTATTATCCTGTGCAAGGGATGTTGAGGGGAACTTTAATTTCAAACGAGCACCGAGCAACAGTACGTCGCCTCTCCTTATCGTAAAAAGAAGGCGCTGACCCGAATGATGTAGCTGAGTTCCCTGTTCCGTGTCCCCTTGAACGTGTTTGTTGTCGTCTCCCTTATGACCGGGGTGTCGAGTGCTAGGGACGCCGTGTTGAGCGCATGCTCCTTGATGCTTGCGTTCTCTGCCCTTATGACTGCGTTTGTGGTCGTAACGAGAGCAGATGACCATGTGTCCTCCGAGGCAAGCTTGAGACCAGAGTGAGAAATATGGTCAGCCTCAGCTCTACAAACATTACGTGACAATCGTCATATCAAAGTGACAACACAAAATAGGCTCAACGAAAAAAACGATGTAATGTCCAAGTGTAGAAAATATCCTAATATTATATGATATCTGCAGAATGTGAAAAAGTAAAGTGCGCATCAGTTCTGCAGAATTTGCCTCCTAGTAGAGGTCAACATTAACAACGCTTGTTGACCGTGAACGCAAGGGGGGGTGTCGTAAAGCCAAGATCCTCACACAGGGCTCATGGTGACCTGAATATTTGCAGATGACTTAAAAGTTGCACCAAGTTCTGCGTGGCTTACCAAGCCATATTGTGGCTAAGTCGTTATTCGATCTCCGATTCATGGACCGCCGTGAGTCAGCTGATCGGCAACGACAAAATTATAACCTCCTCTTCATCTCCTTTTTTTACTTGGTTCCGTCTTTCCCCTTCCTCTTTTGTTTTCTCTCTTCCTTTCCTACTTCATCTCTGCTTTTCCTGACACCGCAAAAATGGACGTTGACATGAAAAATAAGGACGAGATCGACGACAAGCGTGACAGAGAGAGAGACCGCGAGTTCGACCGCGACAAGGACCGTGACAGGGAGCGCGACAGAGAACGTGAACGGGATCGTGATAGGAGGGACCGCGACAGGGACCGTGATCATATCAGGAGGGACACGGGTGTGTAGTATTACCTGGCGTCATGCAAAAATTCATTATTTTTCACATGTCGTCAGGTCGGGGCGGTAGGAGTCGGACTGACCACTGGGAACCAGATGACAGACGGAATGGAGATGTGAGTTGCCTGCTACCACTTGTTTTACAATCAATCCTGACATTTGGTTATTCTAGCGCCGGAAGCGTTCGCGCAGTAGAACACGTTCCCGGTCTCCGAGGCGTCGTTCAGCTTCGCCTCGTGACCGCAGGCATTCACGCCGTTCGCGCTCTCGCAGTCGTAGTCGGACGCCCTCGCACTCCCGTAGTCGTGACCGCGGTGACCGTAAGCCAGCTGATCCGTTCCCTCGTTCCCTTGGTGGGCCCATGAACGCAACTCATGAAGAAGCCGTTGAATTTGCCAAGATCAGCAAGAGAGAAAACCGAGTCTATGTCGGCAATCTCAGTTACGACGTCAAGTACCGTGACCTAATGGAATTCATGAGGGGAGGTGGGTTGGGGAATTTAGATTTTTCTTTGATTGGGGAGAGAGGCGGGGTGTGGCCACTTTGTAAACCCGTTCTGCTGAGGCTCAGAAGGCAGCTGGTGCTGGCGAGTGTGAGCTGATGAGGGAGAGTGGTGTGGTGCCCTGGCCGGTTTATTTCCTTGGCTTTTCGATTGATGGATGGTTGGATTGAGAGGATATTGATGGGAGTTTTCTTTTGGGGATTGATAGCTGGTGAGGTTCTATTCGCCGAAGTACTCGTCACGCCAACGGGAGTGTCCAAAGGCTGCGGGTAAGTGACTCACACGATATCCCCATAATCATAACTGACTTGTCACCAGCATTGTCGAATTTGCTTCGCCTGAGGATGCGCAACGCGCCATCCGCGAACTCTCCGAGGTGGCCATGCTTGGGCGCCCTGTATTCATTCGCGAGGTACGACTCCCTTGTCTGGTTGGTGCTATACTCACACTACAAGACAGGACCGAGAGAACGAGTCGCGCTTCGGCGCTACGCCTGTCCCAGGCAAGATTGGAATGGCGATGGCAGGACAAGGTTTGCATGCGCAGCCACCTCCACGTCCGCCCCATCATAATTATTTTGGAACTCACAACAACCCCGGTAATCAGCTGTATGTTGGCAATGTGGGTTTGTCCCTCTATCGTCTGTTATCCGTGCTGAATCATCCACAAAGTTACCGTATCAAGCTGGTTGGCAAGACCTGAAGGATCTATTCCGTTCGGCTGGTAATATTATTCGGGCTGATATTAACATTGGTGCGGACGGGCGTCCCAAGGGCTCCGGAACTGTAGTGTTTGAGACTGCAGCTGATGCTAAGCAAGCCATCGGTACGTGTATTCACATTGTTATAGACGCGACTCACTCGTCATGCAGGTATGTACCACGGCTTTGACTGGTATGGCCGCACACTGGAGGTTCGGGAGGTAAGTTGGAGGTGATGCTCTTTCTCCGATACAATGCTGATCATCTGTTAGGACCGCTATGCGGGTCTTTCTGGCCCAGGCTCGTTCCGTGGTAGCCCTTTCCGAGGTGGTGGTGGCGGCGGCGGCGGCTATGGTGGTCGTGGTCTGCGTGGTGGCCTCAGGGGTAGTTTCCGAGGCAGCTACCGCGGCGGGTTCGCGCCCTCTGGTCCTGCTCGTGATTTCTCGAATCAGGACCTGTACGCAGACTACTCTGGTCCTGACCAGCCTGCTGCTCACGGTGGCCTGAGAATGGATGGCTACAGTAGCGGCTACGGGAGCAGTGGCTATGGTGTGGCGGGTAGTGGTGGCGCTGGTGGAGGATATGATGCGGAGCCTAGCCAGCAAATCATGGTTCGCAATGTGAGTAATTTTGACATTCTTTTCTGTGGACAAGATTATTTATATGCATTTTAGCTCCCTTGGTCTACTGCAAATGAAGATCTCGTCGAGTTGTTCGAGACTACTGGGCAAGTTGAACTCGCTGAAATCCTTTTCGATGGCGCTAGATCCAAGGGATGCGGTGTAGTCCAGTTTGCTCAGGTTCAAGAGGCGGAGACGGCTATTTGTGAGCAACTTTTTTTTTTCTTTCTTCAGGGCACGCTAACGTCTCCTTGCAGCAAAATTCCAGCAGTACATGTATGGTGGACGTCCTCTCGACGTGCGGTTCAACGACAGATGGCATACATTTACACCCACTGCAGCCAAGGGCGGCCAGGTGATGCCCATGCAGGCGGAATGATCTATTTGTACTCTTGCCACCTTTCTGTTCTCTCGACATTTAAACTGTGACCGCGTTCAGGTCGATAAAAATATTGTGAATCATCGTTGAATCTTTTGTCTCTTCCAAGTTTGATTTGTCTTTAACTAATCATAAAGTCGAATGTGCGTATGCTTGCAATGAATCACTGTTTAACAAGACTGGCGAATTGTTTTTACCGCCCACCGCATCAGAATATAAATGGCACACAAGGCTTCAGCTGAGCGCTGAGCATCCACCATCAAAGGAGGGAATTTACAATGACTCGACCAACCAAATGTAACAACAGATGCTTAGTACTTGTGATGATAAGAATCAAGAAGGAAATTCAAAGACTAAAGGCAAAAAGGTGATGCCCGACATCTACCTTTCTTGCCCTGCTGACTCGGAGCGCTTCGACCGTTTGGTTCCAGTTATCCTACATCATTCATGGCCTGTGATAACATAACGACAAAAAGCACAATGCATTTTCTCCAGGTGCGTTTTAAGTTTGATAGGTTTTGATCTCGCTCCCCATATCAGCAGTGATTTTTTAATCGGACTCATGGTACTATCACACAATCATCACAGGTACCTGGGCACGCAACGCCTTACACCAACAGCGATGTTATCCCTCTTCCACCTTCTCGCCGAACATGGTCGAAGAAAGTGTTTGTGTTCTTTTGGTTCGCAACTGGTGTGCAAATTTTCTTCTTCAAAGGCATATTTCGAGCCTAACGTTGACTTCAGCGATTAACATCGCAGAGTGGTCAGGTGCATCCGCATCTCGTGAGTTGAATACAAATTCATTCTTTATCAAAAGTTGACTTCTTTGTTTTATTGAGTCGCCCTGGGCCTTACGGTTCAGCAAGCGATTATCGGTAAGACCTTCGAAGTGTGTAATCAAGTCACTCGAATTTACTCTTTGTTTTGCAGTAAACCTGACGAGCACGATCATGTAAGAACTGTTGATGCATGGCTCTCTGAGATACATCATAGTATCCGTTATTTTAGTATCACTGCTGCCCTCGTAATCAGTGGCTATGGAGGAGGCCAATGGCATGTTCCTTTTGTAAGTGATGCTCTGCTGTTTTCGATTTCCTCTTAGACTTCAAGTAGGCAGTTATCAATCGTGCACCTTGGGGACTGTAAGTTTCAGCCCTGCTTGTTATTCTCAGCATCGTCACTATGTGTATCTCAGGCGGGGCTCGTGGTTTCCACTCCTTAACCGCGTTCTGTTATCTTGTTGCTGGTATGGAGTTCAAGGATGGTTCGGTGGTCAGATGACAAAAGTGATGATTGGTGCGATATGGCGTAAGTCATGCGCCTCTCCACGATTTTTCGCGCGTTAACGAGCGCCTTAGCGAGTTTCTATGATATGCCGAACACATTTGGACCCGATGCTGCAATGGAAACCAACGACCTTGGTAAATACGACAATGTATGTCGCTCAACAACAATGACTGACGATTTTTGTGCCTTCAGTTGCCTTCGTTATATTTTGGCTTGCATGCCTCCCTTTATTGCTTTTAAAACCCGAGTCGTGCGTTCTCACCAACTTTTCCATGATGCCGGCTTTGAACCATGCGTCCGCCAATAGATATCGCATACCTGCAATTATATCTGCGGTCCTTGTATTGATAGCTGCTCTAGCTGTATTCCTTTGGGCTTTTGTCAAACAAGGAAACGGCGGCCCGCTTTTCTCAAATCCTGAGTGCGTTTGCACCACTATTGCTCTTGCAGTGTGTTAATATCTGTCCTTAAGAGCTGTGTATGGGATCGGCAACCTTCAAGGTTCTCAGCTAGCTTGGGTGATGGTAAGGTGTATCAATAGCGGCATTGGAGGCTGGGCTGGTGGTGTAAGTACTTTTAAAACCAATCACAATCTGTAATTAGCTAAGTCAAGCATTCTTAGATTTTGTATCAGAGTGGTGCGTGATCCCTCGCAAGGTACTGATCACTAACTAGACAAACTTCATTAGACTTTTCACGATACGCAGTCCACCCTGGAGACCAAGTGTATGGACAGATATTCAGCATACCTCTGTGTCTTCTCGGATCCAATATCCTTGGGATTGTGACGACGTCTTGTGCACGGGGCTTTTACCCAAATGAACCATTGTTGTGGTAAACTACCTCTCTGCAACATACAACAGGGAATAACTCATATGACGTAGGAAACTTTATGATTTGCTCCAGGCAATTCAACGCAATGAAGCTCCTGCCGCACGTGCCGCAGTATTTTTTGCTGCCTTTGCATTTTTCTTATCGCAACTAAGTGTAACTGTATGTTTCCGAAAGGCCAAGCATATCATGCGCCTGATAACTTTTGGTCAATGGTGCAGGTTGTCGCATGTGGTGTCGTAGGCGGAATGGATCTCGCAGCTTTGTGCCCTCGGTAAGTCTTCCGCATTTCTCTCTAGTTTCTATTTAGCTTGGAGTTCGACAGTTACATCGACATCCGTCGTGGCTCATTGATCATTGCTATCATTGGAATATGCATCAATCCTTGGAAAATCATGAACGTAGGTCCATTCAGTCTGCATCAGTAGCCATCGACATTGCAATCGGCTTGAATTGATTAGACTGCTAACTCTTTCATATCCGCAATTTCTGGATATGCAGTCTTCCTGGGACCTCTTACGGGGATTATGTTTGTAAGTCCACGTCTTTTTGTCCTAGAACCTTCATGCTTGAATGATGATTTTCACATTCAGGCAGATTATTACCTCTTAAGACATCGCCGTATCAAACTCTCGCATCTCTTCCTCCCACAGATCGGAAGCGACTATTGGTGCGGTGTCTTTTGCATGCCATAACGAGCAGTCTTTTACGATTGTTAGGTTCTGGCATGGTTTAAACTGGAGAGCTCCCATCACTTGGGTCCTGGTATGACCTCCACGACTCTACCTACTACATCTCACGTCAGATCTTAGGGTGTTTGGGCAAGCTTACCGGGGTTTTGTGCATCGGTGACACCAGCGAGCGTGATCGTTAGTGACACTTGGGTGTACGTTCTCTATAGTATTCAATCAAAGACCCTAGCTGAACACCGCAAAATCTAGGCATGTCTATTACCTTTCGTGGCCCTTGTCGGTGTGCATAAGCGCATTGGTATGGATGATACTCAATACCATCTCACCAGCCCCTGGTATAGGTGAGGTAGATGACGACGACGTCTTCGGAACATTTGAAGAACTCCAAAAGCCCAAGGACAGCAAAGAAGAGAAAGAGGGGCCAGATCATCTGAGCGATTCCCCGACATATATCACAAGCTTAGAACACGCTTAACATGACCACATAGGACTCATATATGTTGACTGTACAGACGTCACGGTGACCGTAATTTTCACAGATCACGGTACAATGTGATTGAAAGAGAATGTGATATAAAGAACAAAAGCAATACAGTCGAAACTACACACCGATATGAATAAAAATCACCCTCTGCTCGAGCGGCACTTCCCCCCTCACAGTGTGTAGCGCAATTGAGTGACGGGGGTAGGGATATGGGGACTGTCACAGTGTATGGAGTGTGGCTGAGAGGGAGATGATGAGGGTTCCAGTCATGCTGCACGTGTGACTGCGACTTGGGACATATGGCCACAATGAAATCTTTACGGTTGCTGGAACAAAACCTGGCAGAATTCCAGGGGCATCCGAGACTCGCGAAATATTATTGAGTTATATGATGCAGAGATGGTTTGAATTCGATAGAGAACAAAAATCGACTGTCGACTCCCTAAAGTAAGATGGTGCTGGCCGTTGGCCATGCAAGCAGACAGCCTTTCATGATGGAGAACCCTTGCAATCAATTCACCCATTCAAGGTCATGACCCTCGCATTTGCGGGGCATGCAGGCGAAGTAGAGCGCCCATTCTCAGATTTCGGCATAACACAATCTGCGCGACGGTGTGATCTATTAGTCGACACATTGGAAACACTCTGAAAAAATCGCGCAAACCTTCGATGCGTGCACAACGCTATGAAAACCTCGAAGGCTGGGAAGTCCACCCAGTGCCATCGACATGCATACTCACATGCACAATCGCGAAGAGATTGGCATTGCTGCTGAGATTGTACAGGACCCTGAAGCATCCTTCGCAGTATCATTGTCGACGAGGTTGCCGCTGAATTTGCAGCTCCCGAAGAGTCGGGGTTTACGATATTCGGCCCTCATAGTTCGCCCAACACAGCCACCGAGCCACCTAATATTGCACATGCTTTCGCCGACGTTTGGCCGACGTACATCTCCTTCTCCGACTTCGGCGTCGTAATTCACTCCTTCGTAAGACTTCTATGCATTACCCTACAACTACTGAGATTTGTGTAGCCCCTCGCCTTCAACCTTTTATCCAAATCATGCGGAATACGATGATTATAGAGACTCTGTCTCCAATCAGACACCTCAGACATTGGAGCATCAATTAGTCAATCAGTATCAGCAGGTGCGAATATGTCCTTATATATGTTTTCACTAGGCTTATATCTACTTTGGGTGGATTATGACGACCATGCCTCACCGGTCATCAATGAGTAATTCTATCAATCTCAACAGGCTACGTTTGTAGTAAGGCAACCTGTGAGCTTCTCCTGCCAATCTGCATGGAAGGATGTGTTACCTTTATTGTGTGTAGTTGGACTATCATCTCTACTCGCACCCTACTCCGGATGCCTTTCCATCGACGCATTTTGTCTCTGATGCAAATCGCGAGGAGCTGCAGACGCTCGGAAGCCTTACAACTTGTAACATGATAAACAGACGTGCGTGCTGATATAGGCTTCACAAGACTATATATGATCATATACGCTATGTGTGACGTCCCGAAGCAGTTCTACTTTACTTCTTAGATTCTACGAATTCTACGAATTCTTAGATTCTTAGAATTTCTGGTTATAAGTACCTTTGTGTTATCACGTCAAGTCGACTCCATTCCTGTCTCGCTATCTCATCTCTTAGAATGGCTTCAGAATCTAATCCAAATGGCACAGTTGCTGTTTTCTTGCCAAGTGGAGAAGGAAACATGGACACTAAGCCATCAGCATGGCCTTTGAACGCCAGTGGAACACTTACCCCACCACTGCCGGCGAGTTGTGACATGCACGATCGTCTGGATGGCATCTGCTCCAAAGACTTGAAAGACGATGACGACCGCACGCTTATTGATCCTGATATCATTCGCGATATGTAAGTAATTGTCTCGGTTTCATCATATTGGACAGAACATTGAGATGATTCGCAGTATCATCGGACTTTCAGACGGCTTAACAGCACCCTTTGCTCTAGCAGCAGGTCTGTCATCTTTGGGCAGCTCAAGATTAGTTGTCGTTGGCGGAATAGCTGAACTCATGGCCGGTGCTATTTCTATGGGCATTGGTGGCTTCTTAGCATCCTCGGCAGAGCGGGATCATTGCCATTACATGCGACGCCACATATCGGCTCGGGTGCAACGGAGCTGCGTTAGACAAATGGAAAGGGAAGTATGTGCTGTACTTGTCCCCGTAGGTGTCGACGAGCAGACGTGCCAGGCGGTCACCAGGTGTCTTAGAGATGCTGAATTTGACCCCGAAGTCAGTGCGAACGGTTCATTGTCAGACGAAGAAGCGCAGTTGCTGAGATGGAAGGACCAAGTCGGTCTGACACCGTTTTTACTCAAATTTGGAGAGGGAATGGGTGTGTATTTTTTTACTTTTGAATACCGCCCATATTCATTGTTTCATTTTTAGAGGACATCTCGATTCGTCGAGTATACTCTTCGGCGCTGATAATTGGCTTGGGGTTCTTGGTTGGCGGAATCATTCCCCTCATTCCATACTTTTTTATTCCGCAAGCGCATGTAGCGCTCGTATACTCTTGTATTATCACAGGCATCGTTCTGTTGATATTCGGAGCTGTGAAAGCTCGGGTTACGGGTGCTGGGCAGGGTGTTGGAGGCTACATATGGGGAGCAGTCAGCACTCTATTAGTTGGTGGTACCGCTGCTGCAGCAGCTTATGCTCTTGTTGCATGGCTGGATGATGCGTAGCCATTTGCCACTTACATCGTATGTAAAACTTGTACAAGTCGTTTTGTGTAATTGACATTTTTATAAGTTCCGCCGGAGATTGCTAGTTTTGCAAAATCTTCGGAATTCAACAATCCCATGCGGCAGCTGCCTTTGATCTTGATCATCACAAAGATCTAACTGCCAAGTCAAACGCTACTGTTCAAGCTATGGAGGCGTACGAAGCTTATCAGACTCCTTTTTCCAGGTATTTCACTCCTCACCTAGTCAATTTCCGTCTCGATTCGCCTCTCTCCATCTTTGCGTGAGACACCCCCAATTCTCCTCGAAGGTACACGCGGAGGTACACGCGGCTACGCCCTTATTCATTCCTTCCCTCTCCTTATCGATCAGTCCACCCTCGTCTGACTCTATTTGGTCACTCTCAAGCGCATCGACAAAGCCACCGGTCCACGATAATTCCCCAGCGCTTTCCACCCGGCTCACCCTCGATCTGTATTACTTGTTTTTTTTTTTCAATGCCTGTTTATTAGCAACTTGATGAGCCGATCTCGATGGTGGGCTACTCATCGTAGGGCTTACCATTCGTTTGCTGAAATTCTTTAGTTCCAAGTCATCAGTGCGAAAAAAAGTCCTCGGTTCCTTACACATCCTACAGGCCTCTACTCGCCCGTCAAAATCGAGTCGAAACGATACCGGCACAATCAGCCATTTAAGTCTAGATCTATAGTGTAGGGTGATACTGTGCGTTTACTTCACTCATAGTTCGTCTTTTTTTGACGTGTTTTACCGGGTTAAGCTCAACCATTGGAATCGGAGGTTGGGCTATCAGCAACATCTTGATTTGGAAGACAAAGAGACCAACGAGCACACGATACACGTCGTCACATTTCATCCCTACAGCCTGGTGATGGCGACTGATCATGGTCTGAACTAGTGTCCCACTAACGGTGACTAGTAACGTGTTTTCAGCCTGCTGTGCTGATATCGAGACCACGGTGGCGAAAATACATTGGGGTAGATGATGGCAGGGCACTCCTTCAGAGGGTCCAGGAATTCACAAGCACCCAGAGGTCCAACATTCGTCATCTACTTAGGTTGCCTTTGTCTCGCAAGTCCATCTATTCGACGTCTTTCGAAGTGCTCACAACATCACCTAGTTCAAAGGTAACGTGTATTCCATCCTGGTATGTTGCAAGCTTCAATAGATCGCAGAGTTTCTAGGTGACACCATTTCAACTGCGCATCGACAACACATCCTACGCCACCCCAACCTTTGACCCTTTAGAAGTGGGCGTTCATGATTCAAATATCAGTCTCTGGAACGCGATATTCTACAGGACCAAGGTGGGCGCGCTCACTGATGGCTCGAATGGTTTGATCTTGCCCGTTCGCCATTACAGCTAGCCTGAGCGCACTCATCTCTGCCGTAGATCTTACCTGGTAACGCACGATGATAATTTAATTTGCCATACATATATCAGCCTCTAGATTGACCCCTCTTCGATGAGTACGGTGACCGTGGTTGCAGCTCTGAATCTCATCCTGTGCGAATTGTGTCTATGCTTAGGGATAACTGACCATGAAAACCATGCGAATGTGGCAGGGTGCGACTTGAAGCAAGAGTCAGGATCAGCAAAGAGGCTAACCTAGACACATCAACCGTGAGGAGCTCCACACCCACACCGTGTGTCGTCATGTAGTACACTAGCATTTTTCTGATCCGGTTCAACGATCCTGGACGCGGACCGTCGGGATTTATGAAAGAAAGCGAAAAAAGCACACATTGTTAACCCTCGTTAGTACAGTAGACTGTCGAGGAACTCGTGTCCCATAAAACCTCACATGAAGTAAGGAACTCAACGGCCTCGTCCACCTGCATGATTTTGATGGTCATGTGCATGAATGCGTGACTGACAGTGTAAGTCACGTAACCCAGAGGAAATACTAAGCGGACTCTCAAAATCTTCCCTTGCTTCAACCAGCTCAAAAACCACGAATGCTCATCACACACAGGATTGCTCCACGCATCCAAATTCCTGAGCGAGCTAAGGTCTGAGCATTCTAATCCCCCTCGATCGGCTCCGGCAGAGCCCAGCTGTGATTGGCTGCGTGACGTACCAGAAAAGCAGCTTCGTTTCTCATCGTCCCGAAGATTCTATTCACCACGGAAGAGGGCGAGAACGAAGGCTTTGAAAATGTTGCGGGGATCGGGCAAACCTTTACCTGTTGTTTGGTTGTCGCTATCGCGCATGCGTCTGTGAAGAAGACGTTCTTGATTACTAGGTGTGCTGTGCGGCCAGAAAACTGTATGCGTGTTGGTGGACCAACCTTGCGGACTAGTTGCTAGTCCGACGAGTACAGGCGCTTGCCGCTGCCAGAGTCATCATGAAATAATGCTCTTAAAGTTAAGAGGATAATACCTCGGAGCATGAGACCAACCATCTCGTTGCGTACGAGGCGCGACTGCGGTGGGACTGGTTTGTCCTTGAGTTTACTTCGTGACTCACATCTTTTGTGGATTGTGAAACTCGATTCAGACTATTCTTGGACTGGTTGTTGTGAATTTTTTCCTTTCTCCTTCGGGAGTTTTTGCAAGCAATGTGTTTGTTGTCGGTTCAGTGGTGCACGTTACTCAAATGTAGGAATACAATTTGTATGGAACATGCCATAACTTTTGTTGTGCAACAGTACTATCGGTATTTTGGAAATACGGATTGAATCGAACAGCTGCTCAAAAGCTACGAATACTTGTTGACATCACGTCCAGGAATGTTCTATGTAGTTGAGTTCTTCGTCCTGTAGAAAATCAGCGGCCTTAAGGTCATTCAATTGTTCAAGAGTCAAAAAGAATCCGAAATTTTATGTACGTTATAGTCACTGGTGCTGAATTTGTGCAACTATAAATCAGAAGAATTGCACTTAGAGCTAGAACGTTAGAACACTGGCTTCGCTATATATCACGGTGGTGTATTACAATTCGTAAGGATGAACATAACCATGAATTCGAAACACGTACTATATACGAGCGTGACATCAGAGGCGTGACGAAACCTGATGACGTTGGTCAGGCGCGGCTCTTCAAATTTCTTCAAACTCTTGACCTACGCGACGCGCGTGCACACGCGAAATCTATTCTACGCGTCAAAATTTGATACTTTCTCGCATTTCATCTTGCCCAGATTAGCACATATGAAGAGTTTCGATGTAGAAAAGCACGAGACCTTCAGGAAGCCGTCACCACTCCGAGTCCCTGCAAAGAAGTATACAAGCACGGTGTTGACACTCTTATGTGCACTCAGGTTGCAATCATATCCTTCCCCTCATCTCATGCCCAAACCGGCACCGCACCACAAGGACTGTTTCAACGTAGGGAAGCGCGGGAATTTCTAGAAAGTGTCTGCCGCTCTTCGAAAGAGTCTTCGCGAAGAGAAGTATACAAACGCTAACGCTCAGTGCTCGTCAACGGGTACGACATTGGAAACATTCCAAAATCACTTTCTCGTACCTCCAGCTTATATCTACGGAGTGCTAATAAGCTAATCATAGCATATCTACAGTTGTTCCAAAGAGAATCGGATCGCAATGGATCTTCCCCACTCACGGGCTACCCAACCCAGTAGGATTCATCTCCACTAACGACATTGACGTTTAACTAGTACTCATTTGGCTTAAGTGTTGCGGACGTAACATCAAGTATCATACTGCACATAAACCGGGGGCATCTCTCGAACTCCCTCGAGCATCTCCCAGAACTCGCACAGTTAGCCTGCCAAGTTCCATATCTTGGAGGAATCACCTCTATTCTTCGAGGTGGACACCAGCTCTAGCTTTTGCATCTTGGCACTATCATGTCCACGGCTAGTATTCATTTCCTCGACGCTGTCGTTCCTACCAAGGGCGAAAGCGAAGATAAACGCCAGTCATCAATCAGTGTTCCGTCTTACTCTTCCGTCAAGCCCAAGCTACCTGTAAGATGGCAGGCAGCGATGATTGCATTAACATGCATGTGCACATGTAAGTGTTCACGTCTATGAAATTCGCTGGTAGCTCATGTGGTGCAAGTCGGACACCACTGGTCTAACGTAGGCATCATATTCTAATTTTTATGGATTATGCGCATTAATTGGATGTTCATAGGGTATCGTTACGACTCTGAAGACAACGATAGAACAAGAACTCAAGATCAATAATTCAGAATTTGCTACGCTAGTAAGAAATGCACTCAGTAGAAATATGGCGGGATTGACGTTTTTGTGTACCTCGCCTCCTTAGGCATCTGTGACGAATATGGTACGGTCAATTTTGTTTTGCTGGCGCAGGACAGATGTGCTTACTGTCCGACAGGTAAACACATTTCTCTGTATCGCCTTGGGTTTCATTATCGACAAATTTGGAGGCCCACTGCTGTCTGCCATACTCGCCGCATTTTGTCTTGCAGGTGCTGTAGTAGAGGCTGGCGCGACGACAGATGGACTCAATAGTTACCATATCCTCATGGTGGGCAAGATCATTGCTGCCATCGGGGGCGGATCCCTCGACAACGCACAGCACAAGATATTCACCACGTATTTTGCACCGGGGAGTGGTTTCGCAACGTCTATAGGTGAGTGCGGTACCTCGTCGAGTAGTAGTTGTCAGCGCTTGGTCTCATTTTTGTCCAATGTTTTTTTTTTCAAGGCTTCATATGGTAGGTTTTGTGATTACATTTTCACATCTCATGTATACGTCCACCTTCCAGGTCGATGGCAAATGTGGCTCAATATGTCGGACAGAGCACCGCAAACGTCATGTCTCAAAATCTTGGTTCATATTCCTGGCCACTGTGGACAGGCGCCATCATAGGCTTTTTCTCGTTTCTATGCGCTGTTTCCGTCTTCGTCCTCGACAAATACCTTCGTTTATCTTACGAGGTCGTCGATCGCTGCGAACAATCTGGCCAGCCAAGTGCGGCCAACGTCGAAGGTGGAATATTCAATTGGTCGATTGTGCGCCAAATGCCCCTTACGTTCTGGTTTGTGGTTCTTTTTGCAACTTTCCAAAACGCTGGTATGGCATCGTTCATAACGGTATCTACGTGAGTTATTGGCTTTGCAATCATATAATAAGTGTTGAATCTTGTGCAGGCAATTTGCACAGCAAAGGCTCCAGAAAGGAGCCGTAGTTGGCGGATGGGTGTCGAGTTTTTACTTGATCCTTCCTATTGGACTTAACCCTTTGTTGGGCATGTTCATTGATGCATACGGGCGTCGTGTAACGATTTGTGAGCATTATATCATTTGAGTAATGCAGGAGCTGATCACAAGGCCAGTGTTTCTTTCGGCATGTATGTTTCTCATCTCCATGCTCCTGTTAAGATTTTCGCAGACAGTACCGACATTCAGTGAGTCAGAATGATGCGGGCAGATGGCGTACTAAACTCGACCTAGTCTGTGGATATGTATTTTATGCGCTTGCTGGGGTGGGTGTATCGAGATGCCCTAGAAATATTTCAGGACTCTAACATTATCTTGCAGAGCATTACCTCGGCTCCGCAAGTAGAGATCATACGCAGCATCATACCTGATCCTCATTACTATGCGACAGCGTGAGTCGCTCGACAAATCTATCGTGCTTCTCTTTTTGACACAATTTTCAGCTTCGCAGTCAAGAGTATGCGTAGTTCTCCTTGAAATTGGAAGAATATTCACCTTTGTGTATTACAGAGTCGATTATTCAGGGCTCCGTAATCATCATTGTGACAGCAACGGGGAAGATCCAAGACCTATCCTCCACCGACTCCCTCGAGGGTGCTGTGACGGTCTGGCTTGCGTACGCGTTTGTGTCCGTGCTCATCTCAGGTGCGCTCCTGGGTGCCTGCTACACGTCGTTGGGAGAGCGCTATCTGCCTGCCGTGCGGCTCTCGCAGGTGCGCCCGAAATATGTAGAGAGGGAGGTAGAGAGGCTTTGGGAGCTACGTCATACTATTACAGAAGAAGGCCCGAGAGACGAGAACCTGACTCTGAGTCAGAAGGATGAAGCGTTGAAAAGACCCTTGTCAAGTTCTGTGTCATTGTATGCACGCAGGGTAGCGCTCGGGGCTGGGTTTACCATAGTCCTCATAGCGTGGGTAATATTTGGCTTTGGTATTGACTGGGGCGACCATGCGAGTGCCACTGGGGAATGAGGAGCACAGTAGAGCAACACATATCATGCTAATTTTCTTGTAGTTGCGTATGACATAGAGTTGAAATATAAAGTTTATATGCACGAGATTCCCGCTCATCCGAGTTATGATCACTCGTTGCATATTAATCGTTATTGACCGGTATATACCCGCGTCTTTTCTTCCTGTACCGATGTATCCTCAGAGCGTGCGCGTGATCTCCTGCTAGCGCGTATAACTCAGGTTGCCGTGGGCGCTAGCGCTCAATTGGAGGTGGTGTGATGATTGATCAGTCTGATGATTGTGCGTGTCAAAAATCACGCGTCGGTCACGTGCATGACGCGACCTACTCCGAAATTTAAAACATCTTTGTTTGCACTACATTATACGCGCTGCGGCTCATCACTAACATTGCTCAACGTTATGCCTCTAATGGCTTCCTCGCGCAAAGCAACGGTAGTCTCAAGAAGCTCGAAGCCTAAGACTGCTATCCCATCTTCCGATGAACTTGTTGAAAAGCCAGGTGACGAGCGAACAACCTTCAAAGCGAAAGGAAAACAGAAGGCGAAAGACGAGTCTCCGGAACAACGAAAGATTTCTGCAATGCTTGATGTAAATGCATCTTTGCAGACAATGTCATTAATGGCACAATCCGGCTGGAAGGCAAATTTGGAAGAGGGGAGAACGAAGTCGAGCGCACTCAGCAAGGTGTCAGCTGCTATCTCTCGTGCAAATGAAGCTTTGTCATGCCTTCGTGTTCTATGTCCGGATGACCTTGACGTAGAGCGTGCCGCATCCAGCATGATGAGCAAGCTGCTTGTTCTGGAGATGGTGCGTGGTACATGAATTCTCCTGCGAGTTCAACTCAAACGTGAAGTAGCACAATACTACCCTTCCTTTCCTTGGTGCCACGCATGCTCGTCTACTCGCTTTGCTTAGGGCGCCTGACTCCGAAGTATCAGCCCACTCTGTCCCTACTTCAAAGTTTCCGGTTCGCCTGCTTTCCCTCCCGCTGCCAACGATACCGCCCCAAGTAGACGTTGCGCTTCTCACGCTTATCTCAACGTATCTAATGCACGCAATCATCTCCTTTACACATATCGCAACGTCCTCATCGTCATCGACTACTACTACTCCGGACTTGTTCTCCACAGCTCTGGTAGAATCCGGCACGCTCTTGGCATGGATATCTTATTGTGTATCTTTACCCCGCAAGCACATAGACACTACGCTCATACGGGCATACACTGTGCTGACAAAATCATGCTCCTCGATGTCTGCAAACTCGCGTTCGACCTTCCTTATCCGCATGTACGCACTCAAGTGCCTTCTATGCACGAGCCCTGGAACTGTGCAGCCGAACACATTCTGGGATCAAATACAGAAGTCGTGCACAGCGTATGTCAGATCTTCTTCTCCGGTATCAGAAGCGCACGAACTTTCCGTCGCAACACTCGTGTCAGAGTCCCTTGGTGAGGTCGTACTGATCGCACAGTCCAAACCATCGTTTATGGAGGGAAAGTCATTTATTCTGCTCTGTGAGACATGGACAAGTTTGGCAAAGCGGGTGCGTCAGTTATTAAAATATCGATATAACATGCGCTGACCTGCTGAACAGAGCAACGACTTGTGCACCCTTGATCGCATAACAGATCTAATGGGTCCGGCGTCTTCGTCTTGCTCGATAGCCGAGGTCGATAGCCTAGCCAACAATCTCAATAAACTCGACCTCTCTGCTCCTTTGCTGAAAAACAAAGACACTGCCGTTCTCGAGTGCACAAAAGTTTTGACAATATTGACTAAAGTCACTGCATGCTTAGATGTAAACTCCGGTCAGTGTTTATTCTTATATATATATACAATACCTGACGAATTCATTTGCAGACGAAACAGATGACCTCTCCAGACGTGTTCACGAAGCGACCAAAGTTCTCCCTGGTTTTGGGGGCCTTTTATGCCTTCCGGCAGAACCGAATGACGAGCTGCAGCGTGTGCAAGGAAAGCTCCAACGTACCCTGGAGAGACTCAGACGAGCTTGCATCAAGGTCCTTGATGGAGAGGCGAAGGTCCAAAGTCATGTAATAATTTCCCTACTAATGGCAATTTCCACCGCCTTGGAAGATGCCTTCAAGCAGGTAAGCTTCTATCTAACCCATGTACGGATGAATTGAAAAGTGTCATCACAGAAGCCAAGTAAAGACATCTTGACCACATCCTTCGATTCATTATTTTCCCTCGCGCGCATACGGCTTAAATGCAATGATCCTGACACTTATACGCCCACTCTCGACCTCCTCAATCGTGCCATAATCCTTCTAGACTCTACCCCCGACCATGTGAATGCCATCCCGGCTTCCGCGCGTGCCAACTACGTCCGCTGCATCTCTGGAGCATATCACAATCTGGCTGGCACGCTGTATCAAAGCTCCAAGTACGGGGGCTCAGTGCGTTTTCTGAAGGAAGGATGTTCACTCGGGGCACGGGCACTTCACATGCGAGCGGGTCTTATACAGGACGACACGGAAGATGGTGAACGGGCCGAAGGGTGGAAACAACTCGAAGAACAGATGTATCGGAGGTGGGAGCTTCTTGCGGTGTGCTATTCTAAGATTGGGGACCGGAAGGTGATCATTTTGCATTGCTTACCTATCCGGTGTAGAACGCTAATATTCCAGGGTACTATCAGCTTGCGTGTGATGCGTTTGTGGAGAGCGTAAGAGCCTTTCCGTATGGTTCATCCGGCCTGGAGCACCTGGCCAGGTCAGCAACGTCGACGAATGTTTTCAGCGCGAATGCAAGCACAAAGCAGCTTGGTGGCATAATTGACAGACTAACGTACACAGTGACGTGCGAACTTTTTCTCCCTGCAAGCGAAGTCAGCCTCCATACTGCACTGAAACCAGGTGTAATTAGTGACGAGGTCCTAGGCCTGCTGCTCGAACGTCAGATTTCGACTCTCGAACCTTGCCTTCGGAAAGATAGTGTGCAGACTATTGTGCGCGGGCTATTGCAAGATGTTCTATTGGTGTACAAGGCTACCGTTCTTCCACTGCGCAGGACTAGAGTCCTCTTGAAATGCATGGAGCTCTTGTGGAAGGACGGGAATGCCAACGGTGGAGAAACTTCCTGGACCGCGGAGCACCTGGGTGAAGAAGTTTTAAACCTGCTCACTGTTGAGGTATTTCTTTGCCTCGGTTCTGCAACTGTATGTTATAAACTTTCCATTCCAGGACCTTGGGCACGACTCCGCCTTTGTGGTATTCCGCTCACAGTACACCGTAGCGGTTCATCTTTGGTTGAGCCTCTTCGCGTATCGTAGCGCAGGATCACCAATGACTTCGACCGTGTCATATCATGTAGAGGAAGCGTGCAACATCTTACGCGGTCTCATTCCTAACTCTTCAATTGAAACGGATCCCAAGATGACGCGATCACCTACTCATGCGAAGAAGCCGACAAGAGCTGCGAGCGTACGTACAACAAACAAGACAAGAGCGCGGAATCTCGTCACACCACGTCCGCGTAAAGGTTTGTTGTTCAGAATCACTTACCAGTTATATTACCTGACAAAGTTCCGCGAGTAGCTTTCGAGAATGTGTCAAATGTTATTCGAACCATGCCTCCAAAGGAGACTGGTGCCATGATTGGTGCTCAGAAGGCGGTGCTTGTGTTCGATCTGGAGATAATTGTTGGTCAACTTCGTAAGCTTGATCGGGATCCTTTACTGAGCGCTGTTGACCGATCAAACAGAAATGAACATCCATTTGCTTGGACTTCTGGGTCTAGCCTTACTGAAGATCAAGCTTCTGGAGGCTCTGAAGCGCATCTGCGAGCGCCAACCCGTTGTATCCACTGATCGTGAGTGTATCATGTCCTCTAGAAGTTGCTATTCTCAATTTTCTGAACAGTATACATCATTATATGCCTTGATCTCGCGTCGGAGTATGTTAAGTTGGGCAAAACGAAGCGCGCTAATTCCATTTTTGCGCGAAGTTCAGCGGTGCTGAAATCGAGTGATATTTCCGATGAAGTACGTATCAGTTATTTGCTAAGATATGCGGAAATTTTGGCTCTTGAAAACAACATTCTTGAAAGGTGACATCACTTCACGCTAAGGGTCTTCTATTGTGACTCGACATTTTGTTCTCTAGTGCTTCCTTCTACTGTGAAGCTATGGGTTTGTCTGAAGCTTCTCCGCCCGAAGACAAAGCTCTACCTACCGCTGAACGGATAAGGCTGCGTGTTGGACGGCTCGAGCGTGCGGCGATGGCTTGCAGAGTCTCCGCAGCTATCCAATACTCTAAGGTCTGTAGTTCGGTTGTTCATCACATGTTGTTTTCTCATTCGATTCCATCAGAACAACGCAGGCGGTGCTTTAGAGTACATGTTGCAATCATTGCGACTGTGGAATCGTGCCGTGGACACGCTTTCTCGATTAAGCCAGCCTTCCTCCAAATCCACCAAGGCAACTGATGATTCAAATCCATTCGAGGCTACCCCTCCAGAATCGTCACCCGCCAGCGATACTCGGTCCAACGACCACTCGAGATTATCTAGTCAGAAACGTCTCATGGACGGGATAGAGTGGCGAATGGTTGAAGGACTAATTTCAACCCTGTTGACTCTCACTCACGCCTACTTCACTCGTGGTTCTTCCCGCGAAGCCGAGTATTTTGCTAAGCAAACACAGGACCTCGCCGAGTCCATTAATGCCCCGACCATGGTTGCTCGTGCACTGATGCGCATGGGTGAGATCCAGTTATACCAGAGGCAGCTAGATGCAGGAAAGGACTGCTTGGTCAAGGCTGCGGAGTTGCTACAGGATCTGCCGGGTGTGGATGGAGCTGATATGAGGCGGCTGAATGGAGATTGGAATCGCTTGAATGAGCAAACCCAGGACGCAAGGGACCTTTATGAGGAGGCATGTACGATGCTTGGCGAACTTGAGGGAATGTTGGCGTCCTTTGACGGCAGGTGAGAGTCTTGGCTGGCGTTCAATGCACTTCCTCTAATCAAACTTTCTAGTCGCCGTAAATCCAGCGTAACGCTTTCACCACAAGTTACCTTAGCTGCCGCCGGACAGGGAGCAGTAGTCCCTACCTTGTTATCTGACATTCTCCGCCGCCATAGTAAGGAGCGTCGTTTTTAAACCTTAAACTTACTAATTCGTAAATTGCAGTCTGGTTACTGCGCGATGATGGAGATGCTACGATCAAGGATCTGATAGAGCGTCTTATAGCTTTGCCCGCTTCCCAAGACACAAAGGTGAGACTTTGTTATAGATGTCGGATTTATAGCTGAATCATTCACAGGGAGAAGAGCATGCACTTATGGGAAAACTTACCTTGCATAGCGTCTATGACCAATTCCGTTCGGATATGTTCCTGAGCTCTTTGGCTGAATCTAGTAGGTATAGTGTGCATACCAACCATCACGAACTTATTATTTGTGGACAGCGATCGCACTACCGATGGGCATGACAAGCGACCGAGCGTTATCGCTTACACCTTCGACTCAAGATATCTTGAGTACTCTAGACCAAGCAGAGAAACTCTTTTGGGCTGACCTTGCACTTACTGCGGATCGGGGGAACGTCCCCCACGTCCGCGAAGCGACTATAAACCTTGCGCTCATCAAAGCACTTCAGACATCCCTTGGAAAAGGGGAAAAGGATGGACCCATTATTGCTGCGCGTCTTCTTGGTAAGATTACAATTTACCTGATGGAGCCTATTTTGACGCTAGACTAGATGCGTCATCTGCAATTACTCTACGCCGTGAAATGCTAGAGGCTATCAAGTATAAATTCCCCAGCGTGCAATTCGACGATCTTGAATGGCCCCTTATGACGCCCAACGGTTCCCCGCTGCCTCAGAAGAGACCATCTAATCTTCGGCGGTTGAGAACTTCCAGCACTGAGGAAGCATCTGACGATGACGACGACTCGAGTGCAAGCATGAAGGCGTACTGGGATTCCATCCGCAAGACATATGCAGAGCAATCTTTAGACACTTCCTTGCTATCCAATACGGCCATGTCACAGTTCCCGCCTCATTGGACAGTCGTCCATGTCAGCCTCACACCTGACAAGAGTACCCTCTTTATCTCTCGGCAGAATATTTCTTCTGAGCCGTTGATGTTCTGTGTGCCTCTCAAAGGCCGACGCGAATCGGACGTGGACGAACACCTCACGTTTGACGATGCGGTAAAGGAGCTCGCTGAGATAATTCGCTTAAGCAACCAAGGGACACGCAATGCAGTCAACGTACGAAATGACGATCCGCAAGCAAGAGCTGCTTGGTGGGCGGAGCGTAATGTTCTGGATAAAAGGATGCAAGCGTTGCTAGAGAACATTGAATTCTGCTGGTTGGGTGCATTCAAAGTGAGTATTGTCTTTTGTCAAACACTCATCGACTGAACAATGTTCGCAGACCATCCTCAGTCCTGTCCTACCTATATCAGCCGTGCTCATCGCCGATCTCCGTGTCCGGTTTGAGAAGGTGTTCAAGCGCATTCTTCCTCCCCCAGACAAGAAACAGAAGCAACATCCTCACCTGTCTGATGTGCTCCTCGATTGCTTCTCATCCCTAAGTCCGAAATGTCGTGAAGAAGAACTTGAAGACTTACTATTCTTCATCCTTGACCTGTACACATTTCATGGCATCCCAGTCGCTATTGCAGATATAGATGTAGATCAGGTGATAGTGGATCTTCGCTGTGCATTGGAGGAGCATGCCGCCTTCGAGAACAAACGAGGAAAGGTGGAATCAACTCCGGTAGACGATCCCCACATCTTCCTCGTCCTGGACCACAATGTACAGGGCGTTCCTTGGGAATCGATTCCAGTCTTGAGGGGCCAGAGCGTGAGCCGCATCCCGAGCGTTTCGTTCTTACTTGATCGGGTTCGACTTGCGTCCGCTGAGAACCGATCAGGAGGTGTTGTTGATCGGACATCCGTGGATCCACGCAAGACGTTTTTCGTGCTTAACCCTAGCGGAGACTTGAAAGGAACTGAGGGGCGATTCAAACCATGGCTTGAGCAAATGCGGAGTGTAGGCTGGGAGGGAGTCATTGGACGGCCGCCAAGCGAACAGCAATTCTTAGATGCCCTCGCGCGGAAAGATCTAGTAGTGTGAGTGACCCTTGACTAATTGCTGCATCGAATCTTGACGATTTTCAGGTATTTCGGGCATGGTGGAGGAGAACAATACGTGCGGTCACACAAAATCCGTCATTTGCCGCGCTGTGCAGCGACGATGCTGTGGGGGTGCTCCAGCGGGTTACTGAAGGAGATGGGTGATTTTGACAGAGTAGGCACCCCGTTTAATTATATGCTTGCTGGATGGTAAGTCGCAAGTTCGTTTTGTCTACGCTCCCTGCTTAAAATCTATCGTGCACAGCCCCTTACTGGTGGCGAATCTTTGGGATGTAACTGACCGCGATATCGACAAGTTCTCACAAGCGGTTTTTGACTCCCTGAGATTGACTCCGACTCGTGGAGAAGAGCAGGGTATGTCGGCAGTTACCGCAATTGCACAAGCCCGAGAGGTATGCAAACTCAAGTATCTCACTGGGGCAGCACCAGTTGTATATGGGATTCCGTTCTACCTATAATAAACAATATGATGCACTTATACACTCCATGCTCAATTTATAGTTTTTTTTACAACGTCATTGACGATAGTGCAATATCAAGTTGGATATGCAACCGTCCGTCCCAGTGTGTATGACTAACTAGTTACAAAGATGCGTGACCACGGGGTTCAAATGGTAGTAAGAGAGCAATCAAACCAGTGACGATGAACATAGCTCCCGAAATCCAGATTGGCACAGATGTAGTGAGGTTCGCGTACAGAGCAATGATCGGGGCCTGTGCGGTAGATTGGAGAGTAGCAAGACACACAAGGTACCGTGAACGACAAATGGACCTACCATGATGCCAAATATCCTATTCGCAGTGGCTACGATCGCGTTACCAGTTCCACGATCTTTGGTAGGAAACAATTCAGGTGAAAGGGCATATAAGACGCCATACATGACGTTGCTCGTGTAGCTATAACCACAATTCCAGCCAAGGAGCGCATTGGATGTGCGTGCGGTGGTGGATGCCAGTATGAATACGCCTGTCAATACTTGATGACGGATTGAATCAGCTGAAGCGTACGACTTATGCTGAGGGTCTTACCGGTGAATATCGCCAAGGTGCCTCGCCTACCGAGATACGGAAGCTCGACGAAGTAACCTGCCATCAGCGCTCCAGGAATGCCTATCACGCTGAGTATAACTTGCTAGGTAGAACATGAGTTCAGTGAATGGCAGACAGTAAACCAGCGTACATTGCGATATGTGATATATGTGGAACCGTCGCCGAAATTTGCCCCTCGGGTGGCTAAGCTAGTGAAGAGTTGGTGGGGAACAAGTCATATTTTGAACTACTCACAAGTATGTTACGAAGCTGTTGTACCTGTGCAAGTCTGAGTAGAAGGTCACAAAACATCGAACAAACCTACAGAGGAAACGCGAGACCGATCAAAGCTGAAGGAACACGAAGACATTAATCGATACTCAAGAGGTCGGCTCGTAATGCGGACTTACCCCAAATAATGATCAAAATAGTAGTCGACCAAGCCATCTTCCGGGTGGCAAATAACGATCTAACATGGTTATTGCTAAACATTCCCATCTTCCTTTGCACGGCAGCCAAAGCAGATGTGTCCATACGAATGCCATCGTCGATCGTAGTCTCAGCCAGTTTTCCAGCCCTCTGGAGGTCTTCGAGGGTGAGGTTGCTCGTTTTTCCATTGTAGGCTGCGACTTTGTGGACGACCTCGACTGCTTGTTCATCACGACCTCGTCCCATGAGGTATTTTGGACTCTCGTATAGGTTGAAAAAGAAAAAGCGGATTACCCAGAGGAACATCATGAGCCCACCCATAGCGAACAAGAAATACCGCCATCCTTCGTTCGAGGATCTTGGACAAGGAGAAGGGGGGACAGTAGTGGGACAAGAGTAGTCGGAGATGAGGGGCCATGCAACCTGAAGCAAGTTAGTATGCACCGAAAGCAGTGACAAGGTCAATTTCCGACCAGACTACCCAACAGTTGCCCAAAGGCCCACCAAACGGAGAGCACCGTCAATAGATATTGGTGAGAAGCGGGGACAAATTCTACAATACGCATTAATATCATTGAGACTGAATGCAAAGTATCGTCTTTACCTAAGAAGACAGCAGAGTCGACAGGCAAATTGCCACCCACGCCTACTGACCACACCGCGGTCAGGGAACAGAGCGCAACGTAGTTCATAGATCCCCCAGCCGCGATGGCAAACATACCAGTCATACCAAGAGTGATGTTGAAGGCCCACCTACGAGTCACCCATCAAAACAACATGAGAAGAATGTGAAAGTAGATCATACCTCCGACCCCAAACATCTGAAGCAATGCTCCAAGACGCAGCTCCCACTAGCAAGCCGATATTTTGAGCGAGTTTTAGCCATGGACCTAGTACGTTAAACTCGTTCACTACTGGCGTTAATATCAAACCAGTGACAATCTATGAGGATAGTAGATAAATAAGTGCTCAAGACACAAAGAACGCACATACCGGCCAAAGGTTATCGCTATACGAAGAAGTTCAGTAGGTGCATCAACGGCCATACTCAAGTTCATTTGCCAACTCACGACAGCCAGCCAAATCCAGCTACCACGAACAAGTACCACTTCTCCCATATCAACAAACGAACGGGTCGACTACGAGTCACTCACCTGATACTTTCCCATTCCAATCTCTTGCAACGCATCATTAAGAATCCTAGCTTTGGCCTGATACACAGGGTCCAACGAATCATCGGTGAATATGTCCCGAGTCTCAGCCTGCGCACAGAAACTTTCGCTTTTCTTGTCGTTGTACATTTCAGCCTGCTCGAGCGACATCGCGAAGGGGAAGTAAGAGACGGCCACGGGCGCCCAGCTGAAGTCTCTAGGGATGGTAATTCCTCGATTTATATATGACATGAGATCCATCATCCGGCACCTAATCGACGCAACCCAATAAGTGGACACAGTTGCGTACTTCGGGCCCCAAATGATCTTCGCGCCAAAAGACGACATGACTGCATCATATATGCAACGTGCAAGAGGCCTGCGTACATGTGCATGAACAACGAAGACGCGCCGATACGCATGGGGAATCTAAGCTCGTGAGTTGTAGCTAGCCTTACATACTCGTTTAGAACCAGACTAGTTACAACTCACCAGCTTAGAATCTAATATTATGATGTAACAAGGTGACAAGTGTACTTATCATGTCATCTCGTCACATCAAATAATCAGATATCCGTCTTGACAGCTATGTTTTGACTCGATACACTATGTCTCTGATGTGTATGGTAAGGGGCACGCACACAGTACGCGAACAGTTGAGTAGGGTATAAGTATTCTAGACTCCGCTTGGCGGACTGTGAAAACAATACAATGCAAGAAGAAATAAGGAAGCATAATATCTTCAACGATGAAGTGGTGGAATTGCGGCTCACCAGAACCACGAAATCTCCTCACTCTATATGCTCTATGGGTACCCTTTTCCTGTACTCAGCTGCCACATGCCGTTTTTTCCGCGAGTCAACCCCAGAAACATGTACTTTTCTCGCAAAAAATCAACCTGCTTCACCCCTTCCATACGTTCTTTCTTGCTGCTACAACGCTTCTGCCACGTCTGCTTAAGCTCTTCCCTGTCATCGGCATCTAGCTCATCGTTGTAGTAATCCTCGTGGTGTATCGGTCGAGCGAGGGATTGGCATATATTCATGAACAAGTCTCCCAGCGTGACGTAGGAGCCATTACCTGACGGCACAACGTCGATGTACCACGGTAAGCGCGTGTGATAGAGACGCATGAACACTGTCGGTGGGTTTGTGCAGGGTCCCATCAAGTCGTTTGCGACTACTGGGCGCCCCAGCTCTCGAATTATAAGGGAATGTTGGCTGCGACGGAGATCAAGGATCACATCTTTGTCGTCTCGCAGGATCGGATCAAGTCTGAACCGGGCGCTATCGGTGGCTGCTGCTGCTAATCAGCATCGCTCGTAAAGTGGATAACTCAAGCATAACTTACCATCGGCTAGTCTTGATACAGACTTTCTTCGGAATAGCAGGGATGAAATACCCGACTTGAATTTGAAGCCATGTCTCCAGGTTCTTGGGCGCTCTCCTGGCCAATCTGGAGGCACATATGCTGTAGATAATGATCGTGTCATGGAGACCGCGGATGCGGGGGGGTATGAACTTGTGCTTGGGAATGTTTGAATGGGAGGTCTGACATTCCACATCCACGGCGCGGCTTGTTGCTCTACGTTAAAAGGAGCGTTGGAAGGACCAGCTGGGGGAGCGCTATTACTTCGCTTGCGGAAGTGGTCATATTGAGCGGTCTGAGGATTCAGGGGCAGGTGTGGTACATAAGGACTTGGTATAGGTAGCGCTGGTGGCGGATCCTGAGCTTGATAGTATTGAGCCCACCTCGCCCAGTCCGCTTGGGATGTTGCTTGGAATGGAGGATATGGCTGAGGCATAGGCGCATTCCACCCCTGGCCAGCGAATGCATTTTGTGGGGGTGGATGACCTGCCATAGTAAATGTCGCACCTGCTGGAGGGGGTATATTTTGCTGCGACCACATATTGGGGTCCGCGTCAACCAGGGGTGGCATGTCATTAAACATGTTGGCTGCTGGTGTTTAGAGTATGCAAGGACAATGTGAACAGGGGATAAATGGACCTCTCAAGGGCTTGATAAAGGTGAAGCAGTGTGCACTGCAATGATGAATGTACGTGAACGGAAACTGCTGTAGAATCTTGTACTGCCTCGTATTACGCGCCCGAGTGACTCGCTTGGGAGATCTACTTGGAAACCAGTACAATGCAAACGCTGGCGGTGGAAGATTGGGAGACCTTATTGCATGGATGTTGTCGAGTTTATATCTAGGGAGACGCGCTTCCCACAAGCAAATTGAGTCAGCTAGCAGGGAAAATGTGGCGTAGTACATGGGATCCCGTGATGATCGAGTCAAGTCAGGGGTATTCAATAGCCGCAACTGCCCGAGTTGCACGGAGTTTGAATTATCTTCTGACGGAACATAGCATCTGCTCCCGGAACATGGGCAGTTGGGTTTAGTGAGTGATTAGTTGCCCTACCATCATTGGCGATGACTTGGACTCGGAGGACATAATGACGACAATCCTGGAGATGGAAAGATTGGACACTCCGCGACAGTGGGACCTACGATGCATGAACCAGTCTAAGATGAGCACCATCGTTCAGTTGACATTTCCTTCCTCGCTTAGCCAATAGCTGGTCACTTTGACAGGTATCAATCCATTCGGGGCCGAGCTCGAGGCCGTTGTACATCGCTCGAATACAACTTATCATTCTCTCCACGGAACCTATTGTCAGGCCTGATACAACGACTTCCGATCTCTGTCACGGTCATGTCGTTGACAGCTGACTACATGTACGAAATGCATTGTGAAAAGTGCATCCTTCCGCGCGCAGCATTCGTGATGTCCAAAGTCATCATGCATGTCATGGACTGATAGGCAGTAGGCCTCTTTTCATCAAAAATCCAATCGCCGAACGGGGCCCGCACACCACATCGCATCCATAACGTAAAATGGTATCCCCCGGTCGATAATATAAATATATTCCCCGCACGTATGATTGTCCTCGATATTATTAAATCATACATTAATACTCCTAGCGCGAGAGCAAACTACGTCTGTTCCTTTGTCAGGCACCTCGTGAACGCGTGAACACCCAGTTCGCCTCCATGTGATACCCGCGACTTCGACACATATTTCCCTTTTTTCGTATCTTAAGTCGGATCTTGAAGATTTTCTTCCGCAAACCAGTGTCTGCGACCCGAGTCAGCCCCTCGGTTCCTAATGACAAGTAGATCAGCGAACGGTTACCGTCCTGACATATACTTGTTCCTCTTTTATCTTCACTTGGTTCAGCCATCACTAGGACCGAACATCCTTTGTTCCGTTTTGATCATGTTTCTGACCTTGTAATCCGAACTAGGTTGACAACCAAAGTGACCCTGGCATTGCGCGTCTTTAGTTGATATTGTCTTGAATCGGGGGTCCCTGAAATGTCGATGCAGGTCGTTTCCAAGCAAGTTGCACACTTCTCCAAAGCGTACATCATGATTCGACGTCTCTTCATGCCGAACGCCATCCACGTCGTTAGATTGAGATTGCACCATCAGATAATCACAGCGCAACTCACTTTTTCTCCTCGACCTAAATGTCGCCATGATGTGTATTCGGTCAGAATGAATGTACCAGACATGGCAGTCTCCGGGTAGGCTCACTTGAGGGATACGCAATCGGGTAGGCTATCGATATCTAGATACTCGACATCTAGATGCTTAGATCTAGATGACGGTCTGATCGAAGCTGTATTTTGAAACCGATAGCGATCAGGAGCATTTGCATTTGCATGACGATGATCACCGATTAGATCAGGATGAAAGGTACGGTAGGGTACGGTCCATGGTTTTCAAATTGCTTCCAGATTAATTTAGGCTCACCACAGAAGTACTTGTTGTGAAGATGCATAGGCACCGAGTATCACTGAAATCGTCACGACGAGCGACGAGTTCAGCGATGCTCGGTGCCTATGCATTTTCATCTGACTGAATAAGTGTAAAGTGCACGATAGCATCTTCCCAGGCGCGAGGGTGTATTCATATGAGTATCATAATCGTGCACACCCGAGTCGCCGTTTCCAGACTTGCGAGGTGCGTGCGGGAGTTCATCACTGTCTGGGCTTCCAGCGGATTGAAACAACGACAAAGTACTGAGAGGTTGAGAGAGTTGATGGCGATGGCAGGTCTCAGGTTCATCGGACTCTGCATCATGGGAATCGGTCTCGGCAGGTTAACGAACTACGTGGAGTCCTGGCATCGGTATTCAAAACACTCACTCGAATATTATAGCACCTTCATGTTCGGACCTGCGTCTGAGACGTTTCGGCGGGGGCTGATCAGCAGTGTCAGTTTCCTCACCCGAGCCCGAAAAACAAATTCTTTGACGGTTGTTCAAGGACGCGTGCCGTTTATTCTTTCGGCGCTTTATTATAGTCTTGCTGCGCAATTCATCCAAAGGTATATCGTCATCTGAATCTGAGCCCGAGGTTTGAGAGATATTTTGACTCCCGTGAAAGGGTAAGAGCGTTTCTGCCTGTGCGACAGATCCATCTAGATCACTGCTTTCTGTAGACTCAGAGTTAGTATGGTCTTCTTCGTCGTGCCTGTGACTGTCGTCATCTACTGCGAAATCGTGGGTGGTGTTGTCTGTTTCAAAATCACTACCATCCTCTTGGTAGATTTCCTTCTCGTCGTCGTCATCATCGTCGTCATCATCAACTACAAAATCATCGCGCTCGTGACCATCATCCGGCTCCACAGCGCCGCGGCCATCATCCCATCTTCTAAGAAGTTGCCCTGTCACATGTGCAGGTGCTCTGGGGTGGTATGACCATCGGTGAGTCTGGAGATATATCCAATACCTCCAAACTATGTCTTTGAACCTGTGATACTGGGAAAAGTAAACACCGAATGCCAGGCGCAACTGGGGAACTTCCGACTCACGGGCCATAGGCATTTGTCACGCTCTGGTTTCGGACAGAAGTACTTCTTCATATTGTTGATGGGCCTTTATGTGGGCAGAATACTGAATTGATTCTTAGTGTCAGCCGTAATTGCTGTGCGTAGTCCTGACCCAGGAGTTTCTTGCAAGCTGGGGTTGTGTTGCCCTGGGCCCACCGCCTCAAGCTATTCGAGGCAGAGTCGAGCCGTTTACCAGCAAATTGTCCACATGGAAATGGGTATGTTCTAGGATTGTCGTCACTGCGAGAAAGCTTATCGTTGTCCGCGATATCGTCATTGATATATGCCATGATACGGTAGTGTTTGTAACTTGGACGCGAGTATTTTGAATTGGACGCCGTGGGCACGTGATTCATCATGCCAGGACCAAAATTCAATATTCATTCATTCCACAGTAGTGTCCTGTAAATTTGGTGCATGCTAAAGAATTTGAGCTGGACATGTGCATGTTAATGCTCACCTCATTTGACATTTTTAAAAGATCCGCCATGCAGCCCACGACCTGTCAGTGCGTGGATGCAAGTAATCAGTAAACCAGTAAGTTCTTGCTGGGGATTATGTTGATTATAATGCTTTTACATAGTCATATATCACTTTATATTCCAACGTGATGAAAACCTTTCCTATATATTACAATATAACGATATCTTCTTCTCGCAGGTTCTCTGATGCGCCGCCACCGCCATGGTGCCACCAACACAGGAAATACATCTTGCAGGGCAAGTCCAACTCCGCTCAGAGTCGCGGCTGTGCTGTACGAAAATGACGATGACCTCAATGAGCTCGCCAACAATGATGATCTTGATGATGATTACCTGCCTGATTCTGCTGCATTGCTCCATCACCAAAAGTCCCAAACCTAGATAAGGTATGCTCAGGTCTTATCATCCGGTATCAGCTTCACCATAGCCACCATGGCCCATCAGCCCAGCCCAGCCCCAGGTCATCCGAGATGGTAAGATCATGAAACTGAATTTTTGCTCATTTAACCATCAGCTGATGGGTCATGCATCATGACTGACATATGATGGCTGCTGAGCAGGCCTGAACAATTTCCAGCACCTTATAGTGGCTTATTGCAGTGGTATGGTACTAGTATAAGCACATATTATTCTTGTAGTACATACTATATGACATCGGCTACGTCGCTCAGCAATTCTTTAGCTGTATCAACATCCATTTGAAATCTCCGTTTCGCGAACCGCGAGAGCAAAGCGATGGCAAGATAGAGCTATGTGACACTTCGGTCTGGATGATCAGTGGGGTGCAAGTCGAGGGCCCCTTGAAAAAGAGAGATGGGGATGTCGAGGTCGAAGTATCTTCCATCCGCTTGGCAACTAACAGACTTTGCCACGGCTAGATTGAACAGCACTGCAGGGCGGTAGGGATGATCCATGGGACAGAGATCCGAGGCCCGTTCAAAGTGCTTTATGGATTGTTTGAGATCCCCGCTGTTCTGCATCCTGCGGTATCGTGCGAGAAGACGATGTCCGGTGTCCGTCATCAGTGCTAACACTTTCATATCGCTGCATGTAACCTGCACATTGCAGCTGTCACGTGAACCTCGCAATAAACCCTGACGTGAATCGCCCTAAGCAATTGGATCCATTTAATATCACTAACTAGAGACTCTGTCAGCAGACGCCGCGGATGACTCGTGTATTGCTGGAACTCACAGAGTAAAACGAAAAATGAACACTGATACCGTGCTGGATAGAGTCTAGTTGAAAGAAGAATAACGGGTAGTAGAACCCGATCTGGAAAAGAAAGCCTCTGCAGAATGGTTATTTGGAGAAAGTCAGGAATGTACGTTGCAGGTCTCACCCTATTATTAGGAGCACAAACAGTACATCGTGAATACATCTTCTAGCCGCCACGATATAGTTCACCGGTATCGCCGGCGGATCAAGGTGAGTTCACATGCACAAACACGCAGTTAAGAGAAATAAGCTGATCAACCCTGCGCTTATACGGACGCTGTTGGAAAAACCAAGAGGACTGTTGAGGAGGTTATTGAGCATGATCGGATGGATGATAGCACCTAGCGATGAGCCTGTAACGACGAATGTCATGACCAGTATGGCTTGGGGTGAATCATCAATATCAGCCGAGCAGAGATAGATATCACATACCAGTGATGACGACTTGTTGCACTCCACCGAGTTGCATCTCTCCCGGGTGCTGGGTGGGTTTTCAATAGCCTGGCTCCTCACTAAACAATACGCACATTATCAGGCATGTGGATGATTGGTGTTTCATATACTAGGTAGCAGTATCACGAGGTAGACAATTGATAGCAAGCGGTGCACCAGCGAAGACTTGATAATGAATTAGAGATCATATAATACAAGACCAAATGATTTCTCACCATGCCGCGTCACATAAGCCGTGTCGGGTGACATCACTGAGGCTGCAGTGAGGCGTTGGAATAGAGGCAATGCGCATATACTCACCTTTAGGTATTAAATGCAGATACACTGTGTGGAGAGATAGTAAGTACACTGTACAAGAAGGGGTGGACAGTGTTACCTTGAACAGAAATTCAGGTCATAAACTATGACCAATAGCCGCAAGAGTGGTGGTGGTGGTGGTGGTGGGAAGAGCAGTGGGTACTAGTACCGGTTGAAGAGCGAGCCCAACCCCAACAGCGCAAAAGTGGCCAAGTGGCAAAGGGTACCAAATAAAGGACTTAAGAAAATCGAGCGTGCACAGAAGAGCAGTGATACGGATTCACACATTTGGCACCGATATGGTTTCAACTGACCTGTTTTGTTGTATTGCGCATACAACACTTATTGTGAGACCCAATCGACGGGGAGGCGTGCTTGGAAGTTGGCTGAGTCCACATCGTGAGGTAGTCTGGAGTTTGCTTGGGTACGTCTGGCATGGACATCGAAGCCGTAGCGGTAAAAGAACAGGAGTCCATGATGGACTCGACTGTGACAACTTGAAGCCTCTTCTGTTAACCGGGCATTCAAAGTGGAGTCTGGACTGTATGCATCGCCGATTCACAGAGAATATCAGGGAGGATCAAACTTACAGAAGTATATCAGGATGTTATCATAATGACAAAAGCATATCATTTGTGTAGCATACACAGGAACAACGGTAAGCTACGAACTACTCGACATCATAATGATCAAGCGCTGGCATCATCATCTCAGCAGCCATCACCCATGATCCAGTAAACCTCGTGACCATCAGCCTAATAAGGCAATACCGGTTTTCTGGACTTTTGGTGATGTCATGGCAGCTCTCGAATATCGATCCCTTGGGATGTCTATTACTGATGAAACGTTCACATGTACAAGGACCATACAATCAGATTCCTCGCTCTAAAGACCGTGCTGACCTAGTCTCGTGAACCAGCCGCCTTGTTTGAGAAGGAAATGTAAGGCATCTAGAAGAACTTACCTTAGCCTGAGAGTACACTTTCAACTTCTCCGAATATACCCCGTGTCGTGCTTCCAAGAAGTCCTGGCTTATGAACGCGTCGCATCTTCTCTGTCCTGCAAAACATACAAGAAATAAGGCAGGAGGACAGGCTGGTATGCGTGTTTTCAGATGACACATACATCTCAATAACCAACCAAACCGATATATTGGCCTGCTACACAGAATTTGAGAGTGCCCCCTTGTCTTCGAGTTCGCAGATTGCTTTCTCTGAGGTCCGAGAGTTGCAGCAGTTGACAGCCCACATATGCATCACATCGGGACGATGTTGGTGCATAAGCGCGAGAATTTCGCCTCCGTGTGCTCCGAGTATTCTTGATACACGAGCAGACTGCTGCTGGTCTGTTGTCAAGAGGAAAGCCTGAATAAAGGAGTGAAGAGTAGGAAAATGTGAATCTATAGCGAGCAAAACAGCTTGAAGGTGTCCTTCGGATGGCCCGCTTGCTTCTTCGGATTTGAGTTCTTCAGTTCTCTGTACCTCTGTTCTGCTACCAGTCCGCATCTGGCTTGCTCAACCTGCAATTCCTGAGTAGATACTAGCTTCGCTGAAACACGCCGGGATCTCTTCTGTGGGGGTGCGGATGTAGTATTTAGCATGATGTTGAAGACTAGATTTTCGTTGGTTCAGGTACGTTCTTGTTGCATCACTGTGATGGAGAGGACGCGACGCGTTCATGAGTGATTGTATATCAACTTGGATGTGACACCGATTGGTATTTTGAACACCATGTACACGTGATTCATCATATCAAATTAATATTCATCCATTCATTCCAGAGTCCTACTGTCATGACACAGGACACGATTATACGTTAATGCTACATCAATATACACTTGGTAACCTTGTGAGTAACACGAGTCTTCCTCAATGAGACGGGCACTGCCGACGGTCAAGTGGTTCGAAAATTTGACTCGATGAGCGATTTCGAATGGACGTGGATGTGTTCAAGTTGCATTATGAAGACTACCGCAAATTGAATGGCTATGGCCACAAAAACGATATCCTGCAGCAGGGCCCGGTTGTCAGTGAGAGTAAGCATGAATGATTCAGTCCATACTCACCAATGATAGCTCGCTCATCCTCGTACCACTCCTCATCGTCGCTCGACGGCATATCAGTGGCACCATTTGCTGTGTGTGCCATTTCTATGGTGGCCTCCACATACCCAGCAGGCTTGTTCAAAATCGACTTGATAAACCCCTTGGTTGGTTTGGACCAGAGAGTCGCCGAAAATGAAAATGGAGTATTGGTCTTTTTCTCCGTCAATTTGTTGACAATCTTCGGTAGTTTGATGGCCACTTTGCTGCATGATGCGGACGACAAAACGTCCTGAACCTTGAGTTGTTTGTTTTTGAACAACACAAGGGCATGCTTGATCTCAAAACAAATTCAGTGTGAATAAGCCATTTTAAATCAAACTCACCGCTACAGTAGAGAGGGCGAGAACTCGTGGCATCCCGCTCGTCACAAGCTCATGCATGTCAAAGGCAGGAACCTTCACATACCCTTTGATGGCGTTGAAGTGTGCCCTGCCAAGCAGCTGTAAGATGAAGGGAGAGCGGTAAGCTGTGAGAGGAGATGGACTATCAGGGTCCTTATATACGAAGACCCAATTGTGGACAAGAGATGCTGCTAGATCGCTAGGAGCACAGTCAGAAGTGCATGTCATGAAGTCCATGATAATGGCTATGGCTGTTGAGCCAAAATTACTGCGCCATTCTGAGATGCGCCGAGCAGTCTAATGATCAATATAGTATTAATAAATAAAATAAAATATAACAGGGGACTTACAAGCGAATGTACCACACCATTGTGAACGAGAACAATATGAAGATCTTTGTATACTGCATCGAAAATAAGCTGAGCGTGATGGAGAAGAACATCGTCTGGGATAACCCAGATGTCTTCATAACTTCCAGCCCACAGTAATATGGTAGGAAGATATTTCTTTGTCCAGCGCTGGTCTGCTTGCATGGCTGCAGGTAAGTCAACTGTACGATAGGCGTCACATGCTTTCATGTGCTCCAGCGTAGTGTCCACTGGCACATTTTGTTGGCGTTTGAGCTTGGCAGGTACACTGCGAACAGGTGCAGCAGAAGGCTCGATCTTGGCCTTTTTTTGAGCAGGCACCTCATCTAAGACAAGGATTTCGTTAGCTTTGCGCTTGGAGGATTTCCGATTCGGTGCCTGCATGAATGGAGCTGTAGGCTCCTGCAATAACTCAAGCTCAGAGTCATTGGCACCAATAAATCACTGCCACTAACCCTCGGTTTTCCTTTGTCTTGCTTCTTCCCCGCACAAGTAGCCTCATACTCTAATAAATCACCAATTTCGTCTGTTGTGCGAAAAGGTAGCCGAGGGATGCTCTTGAGTCGAAATGCTGGATGCACGGGATGATGGTTCCGACTTACTGGGCTTGACTCCTGAAACCCAGTTGGTCACTTGGCCACCTGGTGCAAGTTTATGAGTGGTCGCATTGATACTGGAAGTATGATTAAGGAAAAACAAAGTTGATTCTGTGAGAAGCAACATTACAGTGTGAGAGAAGAATCTTACAGTGATGGCATGTCTTTTCCCATCACCACGTGGTGCCTTACTATCACCTTCCACATTCGACGGATTGGCATCAACTCTCAGTACTCGAAATTAAGTGAAATCCCGATGAGTGTGACAAGGTGGTGAGTATGATCACAAGCAGATGCTGATTATAAATGAGATTTGTTGGCAGACGATGAGAGAGGAATAAGAGACAGTGCCAGATGTAGTTTCAACGAGATAGGCACTGTCAATAGGTCAAGTGGTTTGATTGAGGAGCGATTTCGGACGTGGACATTGACATCGCTGCTCTGGACTTGGCAGCTGATAGCGAATCCAAAACAGTCATTCAGCAATTTGTGACATCTTCGATCAATCGCAGATGGTCGAATGAGAGGTCAGCAGGAAGCTCTATAATACTCCAGATAGTATATACGCACGACACTAGTGCTAGGTACTTGTAAATCACTGCCCCGCAAAAGTCACCTGTAGCACGAACCTGACTAAGTCGTCACAATTTCTTCTGCGGGTTGCCAACGTAGCAACAACATAGGGTGCTGCTCTGACTGATCACTCTTTCGAACATTCTCGGACTCCCAGAGCTCGTAATGCATACGTGTTGCCAAGATTGCATGCATTATTATTTGGGGGCTGTTACACCTCAGGCATCAGTTTTCGGTATCAATAAAAGTCTATGAGACTGTATTATTATGTTAGGTACAACCCCATCTCTTAGACCCAACCTCCCGGATGTTCTAAAAATAGCACCTATGAAACCATCCCTAAAATGCTTGGCAGGACCTCGGCACATCCTCGTGGCACTGCCTGGATCATCGCGGCCCTTCTTGGATCATCGTGGCCCTTCTTGGATCATCGCGGCGATCCTCTTCTGCACGTCCTCTGAACACTGAAATAAATCCTCTTCGACACCCTGTCTGAACATCTGGGTAGAGTCCATGGTGCACCGACCAATTTTATTTTACTTGCTAAGTCCCTTTTCACTTGTCTTTTTTCTTCTACGCTACTACAGTCATTCATTATGGTGCCTGTCCGCTCGGCGCATGGCAGTCAGCCAACGTCTACAGGGCTAGGTCACCACTTTGTTAGCCCTAAGAAGGCTCGAAACCCCAAAAAAACTCAAACTATTGTTCATGTTCCAGGCGTTAGCTCTAAACGCGAGCGCCTCCTCGCCCAAATGGCCGCCCTAATGAATCCTCAAGGATTCCAAATTGATGCCCCCAGACCTAGTTCTGCAGCTCATTCCGAAACCCCAATGAGTGTTAACAATGCTATAAGTTACACTTACGATGAGCAAGACTACGACGCGACCAACGACGACCAGCATGACCAACAAGTACCCTGTCCTCCACCTGTGGTGCGTGAGGGTACAGGCCGCCGTCTCTTACCAGACAAGATGGCCTACAACCTCTATAGTGCTTGGAAAACTCTTATCCCCACTTTGGTGGATGCCCACCTCAAATATTCTGCACGAACCCATGGGCAACCTCTCACTTCACCCCATCCTGTCATATCTGCCTGTGCGAGCCAGGCTTGTGCACAACGGTGTTTCTCTGGTATTTGCATCTTTTTCGACTGTAGGTAGTTCATTCGTCATGTATCACTCCAACTGACAGTTACAGGTTTCAATTCTATCGATGTATTATCCTGCAAATGCTCCACACTCGCGCAAGTCCTTGTTCATCATGGGCTTTTCCCCACTGCACCTTCCCAACCACGTATGGCAGTTTCTGTCGATCTCCTTGCATTTTATCGTGCCTTATTTGAGCGCTCGTGTGATGCTGTGCATGCTCTCGCCTCTGCCCTCAAAACGCATTACACTCGCAGAGGTTTTCAGATGATCAACGCAGACGTGAGTTTCGTCTGCCTTTTTCAACCTTAACTCATTGCACTACAGGGACAAGTCATCCAAGAGCCATTCAGACGGGGCCTTGGCCAAGCTGTTCAATGGTTTGACATATTGCAGACCGAGGTCGAACGACAGACTGAGGCGATGGTAGAGATCTGTCGAGAGTGGTGACCTGCACCAAACTGGTTCGGTGCATGGATGACTAATGCTCTCCCATGAGCCTAATACCCTAGAAATCACTACGAAACCATTTCCCTCTATTCTAAAGCCAGAATGCAGCTCAGACAAATATTTCATTTCATCTTTTCAATGGAACTCAGACAGGCTGAATATTTTTGTATATTTAATTCTGCGATGAATTTTGCTTAGTCATCCTCAACAATGACTCAGGCTGAATCTCACACATGTCAGGTGACTGTGAAAAATAGTTCTCGCATGGGTTACCCTGGGAAAACTTCCTCAAAACCCTAAATACATGCCTCGCGTCATTTTCTCATTCAACAAAGTGACATCAGAACGGAACACCAATGATCATGAATATTTCTCTTGCAGTGCACAATCAGCCTGTCACATGACCCTTCAGTCACATGATGCTAAATCACATGATCTTAAGTCAGGTGATTTTTGATCCAAATCAAGTGATGACAGAACACTCAGCCCAAGCATGCTGACTAATGCTGACTAATTATGGTCTCATTTGGTGCAACATAAGCAACCCCTGCAAAATGATTTTTGGTACCGCTGACTAAGCTCACCCCTCATAGATGGCAGGAAAACATAGCACAGCCACCCTTTTTTTTGTATATAAGACCCAAATTTTTGCCCAAAGAAGAGAGCTTTTAAGCCCCACTTTCAGAATAAAATTGTGTGTGAAGTGTGATCATTGTCAACAACAGTGACCAGGGCTGTCAAGTACCTTCAGCAAAGTCATTGTAACCAGTAGTCAGCCAGCAACTTTCAGTAACCAGCAAGCCCCTAAGCTCATCAGCATCAGCATTCAGCAACACCCTTAGCTCATCACCACCAACGACGACCAAGACCTTGAGCTCACTGTGCTCAACGATCGACAGAACTTTTTTTTTGATTTTTCTTCTTTGATTTTCTAGTTTTCTTCTGTCTCTTTTTCTCTTTCTTTTCTTTTGTTCTTTCTTTCTTTCTTTCTTTGTCTTTCTTTTCTGTCACTCTTTTGTTTTTCTCTTTCTTTTTTTCGTTCTTTCGCTCTTTCTCTCTCTTCTCTCTCTCTGTGATCCTCTCTCTTTCTTCTCTTTCAAGTTTCGGTGCTAAGCTTTCATTCATATTTTCAGAAGCTTTTGTGTTGTCTCTTTCGTCCATCTAGACTCCGAATAGTTTAGTGGGGAGACTTTAGGGATTGACAGTAACACTTGACCTCACTCATCTGAGTAGTGATACTGAGCCAGGATCTTCCTTGTCTGCTAGACTTTAGTTGTTGAATAGGGGACTTGGTACTGAAACCAAGGACGTCCGTTCCTGATTCTGTTTAATACTCATCGTGAGTTCCTTGGCAGCAGGTTCAACAGTGAGCTAAGAGTTCTACTGAGCATTGATTAGTCTTGACCTTTGATTCTACCTGTTTGTGCTGAGGGGGTTGATTGCTGTAATTCCACACAACTCTTTCAAGATACGATTGTTACAAGGCATTGTTGTTGAAGGAAGGTTTGAAGAGGTGTCTTTTTTTTCTTTGTTTCTTTTTGTCATCACCATACCATTGGGTTGACTAGTTTTCTTTCGTCTTTCAACCACTGCCATACCGTTAGAGTGATTTCATTTCAGTTTCATTTTTGTTGGATTGACTGCATCATTGCTGACCTTACAGAAGTACTGTGGTCTGACATAGCTTGGGAAGTGTAAACAGCCACCCACGAATGACCACATTATCAGCCATTGGTATTTGTCTGAATCGCTGACCATGGAGATATTTGTTTTTATAGGTGTTTATCTATAGATCATCTATCTAAGAAGACAGCGGGTCTATGAGGCTCGGAGACATCGATATCAAGAGGACGGTAGCAATTCGACTCCCATGCCCTCCCTGCTCCTAGGACAATGTGCTTCTGTTCTCATGCAGCGCTGCCCTGCATGTTTTGGAGGTATCGTATTCGGCAGGCCACTCAGCGATGGCGGAGATATCCACATTGCAACAGATGGCAACTTCCATCATCGCCATCGACGATCTGCGGGTGATTTCCCGTGCTTTTACGAGCCTTCATATTTCCTTCCAAAGACCCAGGTTGACGAAGTTGGACGATGGATCGTCTCGAAGCGTAAGCATGCTCCCAAGAATCGTAAACATGTAGTTCCGGACGAAGCCATCGACCAATGCGAGCATTCATACGAAGCCGCAGATGGAAAGAAGCAAAAGGCAGCCATGGATTCGTTTGATGATACTGGTGTCATGGCCCTTATTTGCCGTCATGACATCCCACTCTTCTTCGCTAATATCGACTCACCTGGCGAGCAGCAGAAGTACGCAGTCGCACTAATCGAACATTTATTATCTCTGTTACCGCAGGAAGCTACTGTCGTCATACTGTACGATGTTGGTTGCGTCCTCTCACGCTCCTTATCTCAGGTAAGCGATCATTTAATCAATCCTATCTCAGTCTGATGTCTGACTATGTAGTATGACATCCTACCTGATTCTGTGACTTCCCGTCTTCAATTTGCGACCACCGCTATGCACGCATATGGCCACGAGTGGGCATGTCAGCTCGAATACAACCCTCGGTTGTGCACTGGCCTTGGTCTGTCCGATGGCGAGGGTACAGAGAGACTTTGGTCCAGGTTTGTTAAGTTGATCGGAATTCAACGTTCTTCATTGGTAAGAATTAACAGTATTTAAATGAACCTACATTGATAATAATCCACTACATAGCGACAAAGGCGCCTTTGGTTGATAGACCGACAAGCTAGTGCCATCGGTCTGGAGATGCGAGTAGATCTCGGTGATTGGATCAAGTGGAGGCTCAAACGTGGCATTAATGCTCAGGGTGCAGCAGCCAAGGAAGCGCTGACCAAATGCAGCATCGAAGCTGACGACCTCCAGGCTCAGTGGGAGGATCAGAAGAAATTGCAACTCTCTATTCGTGCACGTACGTCCGGGTCAGTCATTCAAAATCACAACTAACATTACACATCGCAATCTCAAGATGCTCCTGCACGATTGAAGAAAGAGCTTGATGTCGTCCTTGCTCTACAGTCTGATCTGGACACTTCAGACAAGGCCTTGCAAGCCACACGCACTGTAGTAGAGAAGGGCTCAGTCACCGAGGAGACACTTGATGCTCTGGAGAGCCTCGAGCGCAGCCATGACCGATTGATGAACAAGGTTGAAGTATTGTATTCTTCCCTAAACGTCCATGACAGGTTTCCAGAACTGCAAGGTGTCGACTTAGATTTCGTCTGAACACTACTCATGGCCCGCAACCTCAAAATAAATATCCACAAGCGAGCCATAGGCAGCTTCTTCGAGTGGGATAAACTCGACTGTGCTGTCGGCGGAGCAAATCAAGCCCTTGGTGATGTCGACTACTTCTGCATTGCCACATTCTGACTTATTCTAACAGGCACCAAGTTACATCAGCAAACACGTAAAGCTATTGCGAAGCGGCAGCCTGCTTTAATGACTGCGATCCGCAAATTTAATTCATATTGTGAGCGCCTGGAGAATCTCTATGACCCATCTTGGGGTGTCCCACTCCCTGCTGCTCTGCCTACCAAACTTGCTGACCTCCGAAATGATCAAACTTTGATGGAGGACGTATGGATTACTCCATCGGTAGGAGATGTCCCCCGTTGGATGCAAGATGCTGACGTCAGAGATGGTATACGAGCCTTGCTCAAATGAACATGTTGCCGAGAAGAACAGCGCCGCCTTGGGATCGAGGCAGATAACCTTTGTTGGTGGTTCGGAGATGAGCTGGCTGCACTAGAACTTGCCCTACGCTCTCCCGCAAGTGAGTTGTTTGATATACTAGTATATTGAAGAGTAGCACTGATCCTAGAAGATCACGCATTCATATTTTCCCTGCAGCAACGGCGGGATCACATTCTCCAGCTGCAAACTAAATGGGTCACGCCACTTGTATCCTCCATCCGCTTCGTCAGTAATGCCACAGCAGCGGTCAATCTTGCGATGAGTCTGTCTGACAGCGAGGGACCATTGGAAGATGGCCTCTATAGGCTTGTACCAACCTCGCTCACTGATCCCTCCCCTGAGGATGACGCTGATGAATATCTTGTACCTGCATTCGAAGAAGTTACTAAAGAAGCGGTACTCATGGACATTTTGCCCGATGGTACCATTAGCGATGACGAGGATGATGAAGCTGTGGAAGCACCTGAATTTGTGATTACCTGGACAATGCCAGAGGTATGTTCCTGTCTCTCGATATGTACCTGCATTTATCAAATGTCATAGAATATACACACAGATCCTTTCAAAGCTCCTCTCCCAGAGGATTATCCAATAGTATCAGTCGCATGTACTCCCATGACCCGAGTACGACCAGCAGTTGATGGGTTTCCAAGTCAAGTATTTGACCCAAGGGATCAGTCATTCCTGGCTCAGCCGACTGCCCGTCTCAACGACACATGTATTAATGGCTGCACGGCACTACTATACTCTGAAATACTCAGAACCTCATGTGTGCAGCCTTGTGCAGTTCTTTCCATGCATGACCTCCCACGTATCCGATACAATGCGTCGGATGAAGTACTGTGGCGAAATACTTCGTGGACATTGTTTTGGGAGAAAGACGTTTGGATCTTACCCATTCATCGCCCCTCACCAGTCGGACACTGGGTATTTTGTGCGATTTATATTCAAACGAAGGAGCTTCACCTCTTCGACAGCCATGGAAAAATGACGTGAAAGTGAGTGATAGTTTCAGTCATCCTCTGGTAAACTGACGATGATCTGATAACAGGACATTATGCATCTTATTGCACGTCTATCGTCCATCGCTTACCAAGGTCGCAGCTCGCGTAAAATTGATCTTCGAGGGTGGGTAGCCCGGCCACTAATAGTCAAACCACTGCAGACAAATGGCTATGACTGCGGTCTCTGGGTCCTAGCGGCAATTGCAGCCATCTTGCGGGGAGCTCATAGACCAGGGATGTGCGAGGAGGATATGATAGCTTTCAGACACTATCTACATACACTAGTAGATACAATACCTGCTCCGTGACATGCGATACACACAGTTGTCTACAACTCTCCCGACGACGTGTGCTGAACTGACTTGAGTACTGTGAAAACACAAAAAGGATTGAGTATTGCACCTGGTTGGCAGCATGCTAAGACAATAAGGACAGGCATTCCGACGCCCGTAGACATATACTACTTCAGTTGAGAAACCATTCATGAAGTCAAGCCAACCAACTGGTTAATAATGGTGTGTTTACTTACTATGATGTAGTTGAGGGCCCGCTAAGGTCAGGATTGTCAAAACTCACAAACAGGTCGACTTGACGTACGAACAACTTAGAGTCACTACAATCCTGTAGATATATACCAGTCAAGGACGGGAAAACATCCATGCTGACCTGGAAACCGGTTGATAATGGTGTTTACTTACAATCGTGTAGTTGAGGATAGCCCAAGGTCAGGCTCATGACCGCTAAGGTCAGGATTGTCAAAACTCACAAACAGGTCGACTTGAAGTACGAACAACTTAGAGTCACTGCAATCCTGTAGATATATACTACTAGTCAAGGGCAAACATCCATGCTGACCTGGATACCGGTTGATAATGGTGTGTTTACTTACAATCGAGTAGTTGAGGATAGCCCAAGGTCAGACTCACGAACAAGTCAAATTGCCATACAATGCCATACGAGCCACTTAAAATCACTTACAACTCGATGAAGCAATCCAACGTATACCAGTGTTACACGAAGTAAGGTGGCTCTGCATGATAAAGCACTCAAGATATGTATCTCATCCGAACCGGGGTGGTGAGGGCCTTAGTTCTGGCCTATTCATAGCCATAGATTGTTCCATATCATGCTCCAGAGATATGTTTTCTGTTTCATAGGAGTTTTATTCGCAACTTGATTGGTTATCATACCTCTCGGGAGGTGCGTCTACAAGCCTAAACAGGAGATCAGCATGATGGATCTAAGATCGTAACAAGGCACTCTCGTCTCTTCCTCTCCCTTAAGCTAAAAATTGTCAAATGTTTCCCTTTGAGTACAAATTCTTAATTCCCGCGAGGTACACATAGGTCGGTACAATCTGGTTGACTTTGTGACAATTTCTAGAGTACAAAGATACAGAACAAAAGACTCCCTTGATTATACTTCACATCCAGGAAAAACAACAAGCCCGGTATCTACTTATTCCTCATCGATGGTACCAACTGCAGTCACAGTCGCTGAAAGCTGTGTGAGTAGCCCATCAACTTTTCCCTCCTCATCGACAACATCCGTAGTAGCCGAAAGCTGAGTGAGGCAGCTAATCTGTGGGATGAGCGAGCTGGTTTCCGGTCTACTGACAGGCAAAGAGTGCTCCCATGCTGCTTGTGCTGCTTTCAACCTCCAGGACGGAGGGGCGACAGGTAACTCAACAAAAACCTGCAGTTTTGGGCGACATAAAGGCGCAGAAGACACCACAGGAGAATGGCAACCAGAAGGTACAGGAGACTCCACAGAAGAATGGTGACGAGAAGGTACGGGCAACACCACAGGAGAATCCTCGGGCGATAATACCTGTAGTTTTCGCCGATGAAGTCGACGAGAAGGTGCAGGTGGAGACAGCGGCTCTGGGGATGGCTCTGGAGATGGCTCTGGAGATGTCTCGGCCATTGGGAGACGAGGAAGTCCCTTCCTATCGATCCGACCATTCAGGAATGTGCGCCGGCCATGCGAGTTCTGTGAATCATTTTGAGGTGCCTCTCCAAAGATGATCGGTTCACGGGAAGCCATGATTTTCCGGCGGACTTGATCAGTGGTGACATGCTGAACGATGATGAAGTTTGTTTTCAGGGCATCAGCAAATATGAATAGGTCCCACTCACCTGAATGATGATGGTGTTTGTTTTCAGGGCATCAGCAAGTAGGTCCTGCTCACGGAGTGTAAGGTCGTTGATACCCTTGCTTTTGACGAGTGTTGGGCGTTTCTCGCCGGGCATGAGAACATTCTCAGGGTAGTGGTGGAGGGTGTATCCACGGTGGGCTAGAATGGCAGGTAGTCTCTTCCACGGAAATGTCCCCCCTCAACCATTGAGTGTGCCTGTGAAATCATCAGAAATCCTACAGATCAAATTCCTCATCAAAACTTACCAAGAAGTGCTGTCAGCCCACCGATAATGCAAGGGATCCCATCGAGCTGCCTCCAACACTCAGAATCTCCATTTTCCTGCCTTTCAAGCCACCCTGCTAATATCATATCTGCTGTTACACCACGCTGCAAAGCGATGCGATCCAGAACGGAGTCAAGTCTGGCAAAATCCATGGCGAAATCCATGTGGACAATTTTGTGTAAGAAGAAGCAGTACAGTTTGAGAAGGCGCCAGTCCAAGTGAAGGTGATAGTGCCAGGAGAACAACATTGATGACAGAAGCATCGATCCTTACAGGCTTCATCGATGTCATGCCCAGTCAGAATTTAGTGAATTCATTGAGAAGTCAAAATTCCCACGCACAATTAGTAATATCAGTGCCAATCTTGAACGTTTGAACATTCAACGTACAACTTGGTTCAGCATCATTAATCCTTAATTAATACTTATTACCACTCTTCAGGTTTTGATCTTTGGGAGGCTCTACTAGTACTTCTTTCGGCCATACTACTAGTCAACAATTGCAGCCGGTTCCCTCCGCGTTGTCGAGGAACCATTTCTTTGGCTATACCGGTGCACAGGCGCCTCCTGCAATCGTGCGAGGCTCATTAGTCCTTATTACCACACTGGAAAACATTCATTACTGTGCTGGAGGATCATCGATCCTCATCCATGCGAGATGATGAGATCTCTGGGTAAGTAAGTCTTAATTCTAATGAGTACTCTGAAAGAAGTAAATGCATCGCAACAGAGTTACATTATGCCATTATCTATTACCGCTGCTATGAAGGCCGCTCAAACACGAGAACCCTTCTGGTACATCAATTCGCCCATCCAGTGTGCAACACACAGCTCCGAAACTCCCTCCACGTGGATGTAAAACTCGATATCTTCTAAGTATGCAAGGGTGGTACTGAGGTAACGAGTGACTGTGTTAGCAGCACGAAACTCGGCCGAGACACCGCAAAAATTAAGGATTTTATCTTGAACGGGGATGGAGCGGTTGAGCAAGCCTTGGACCGTGACTATCATATTTGTAACAATGGTTCGGTCCCCATTATCGGCACGGTCATTCGTATACATGATGCTGTTGACAAATTGAAGCAAGGCGCCCTCAGCAAATGCACGAGGTTCAGTAATCAAAGATAACATTTCATCTTTGATCCCTTTGAGCATGAGTAGACATCCTGTAAGATCTGATCTGTGCAATATTCATTTTATGTTCATTTCATTGAAAAAAATGTACAGTGAGTCATCATTCTCCTCAATGTCGCTGGAATTGCCTGTCTCCGACTCATCACCATCTTCATCCGAGTCGTAGCCATGCAGAGCTCTTTCGATAGCTTTCTTGAGCTCCGACGGCCCTGTGTTCTTTTCAACATGAAGCTCCCTCCACCGGCTTAGAATTCTGTCTCTGTTTCTTCAAATGTTTGACCGGTCAGGAACCACCGGAGACAATTAATCAAGGCGGTGAGACTTACTTTTCATAATGGTGTCGTCGGTTTTCACGACCTGCTTGCAGGTTTTCCTGAAGTGTCTGATGAGAAGGACGACACAGCATGATTTTAGTGTAACGGTGTGGTGGAGGTTGGTTGAAAAGTTGCAAAGAAGCGGTGAAGTTTTAATCGGAACGGCAACAACGCCTGTCCATGAACATCCTGGATACCATAGCAAGCAGAACGATTCTTTCCTGGTCAATCACCTTCCTGACTTCTGTTTTGAAAGCAGCGGATCTTCAACATGGCAGTGGGGTCTGTTGCTCTTCGCGTTGTGCTCTCGGTGCAACTTCCTTTCTATTTTATATCAGCCAAAAGATTTTGGCGACCTCTCAAATGCGAAAAAGAGTTCCTTTCCGTACATCATATGCACTTTCCTGCGTTGATCTTTGACCTCTCCAAAACAAAAACAAAAGAACGGTTCCTCTCCTTACGTTTTCTTGTGAGTTTTTTTGCTCGTACCATGTGTGCGCAGTCCTGACAAACACTCCAGAAGGCTTCATCTCAACCTTTGCACGACATTTTACAGGTAAGACATTGACATACTTTGTTGGGACTACACTCACTTAATCCTCTAAGCTATGACCCAGAAAAAAGGCTCTCTGCCGCCTGACTATTCAAGGACCTCTCCCTTTCCCGAGTCTCTTTTGCCTGAGCCCATGCTGGATCGCAGCACAGGAGGCTACCTGCAAGAACAAGTGGGTGGTGGTAAACGCTATGCGGATCCCGTCATGGATCTGACTCCAACCCGTCTTCGAACACACATCAAACCCACAGCCCGTGACATGGGGCTTGTCAAGGAGGCGTCCATGCATCGTCAGGCCATGCCTGCTAACGACCAGCCCACTGGAGGCGACTCCCTTGTCAGTGAGCCCATCAATCAGGAAGTTGTGCACCCTCTGCAGCTTTCTGTGCCCGCTGGTACTATCCCTCCTAATATCCGCAGTAGTCCTGCGCTCGAGCCTGCACCAGTACACCGGGGTGTACCTCTTCAGCAGGATGTACCCCACAGTAGTCCTGTGCTTGAGCCTGCGCCAGCACACCAGAGCGTACTTCTTCAGGATCTTTTCTATGATCCCGTCATAGTCCCTCCCAAGGTACCTCCGCAACCAAATCTATCTACTAAGCCTGCTCGTGTGGAGTATGAGACATATGACTTTAGCGGCGACTTTGCTGGCTTTCAGAACGACTTACCTGGTCCTTCTACATCATCCACAACCACTGGTTTCAACGACTTCAATGGCCCTCCTGGTCCATCTACATTGCCTACCACCACTGCTCCCTCTACAATACCGTCCATTCCTGAGACACGTGTCATACCTCCGACCCCCATGTTTCAAATCGATCCAGCATTGGGAGGTTGTGATCTCGATGATGTTCTGATAGATGGTAATGAAGATATCATCCCTGCTGTGAAAGGACGGAGGCACGATGCGACGAACGACATCCTTCGCGAGGGTTTTGTGAAAATGGAACGCCTTGTGCATGAGCTCAGTCGTCACACCTCCATCCCCACCCATCAAGTCATCTCATTATGGCACAAGAGCCATGCTCGCGGCGTCAATAGTGTTAACCATTGGAACGCGTATAGCAGCTACTTCAAGGATAATCTTAAGCAGGAGCTTGACAGACTCGGTGGCAAGGCTCCGGATGTACCAGGAACACCAAGTGAGTGTTTCTCACTCTTGCTATGTTTTTTAAAAAAATCTTTTGTCCAGGCGCTACTGTACGCTGTAACTGCTATGAGCTATTTAAAGCAGCGTATCCGGACACCTGGCAGACTATCTTAGAGTACCACGGCCAGTCTGTACTTCTTAGTGGTGTCCCTCAGACCATTGCCATGCGTGCACAGGAGTTTCAAAAGTTTTTTAAGAAGATTGTTGCAGTGGTACGTACATCTCAACTGGTAGTATCATAATATTGAATAGATATAGATGGATGGAGGAGCTGCACGGTTCGGATTTGAAGCAGCTTTGGTGCATGTGGGAAAGTCGTTAATCAAGATGGTGGTCTTGGCATGGCTCATACAACTCCGGGAGCTGCTGGTGTAAGTTCACTGTTCTGGTTTGAATTTGACCTCAACGTCACATGCTCACACTCTCACAGTTCTGGCTCTCACGTTGTAAGGCTGATGATGATACAATCATCGGGCATCTCAAGGCACATGTATAGTAAGTTGCTCATATCCTTCGGAGAACTTGGTAGTGACTGAGCTCTGCATATTTAGTAATTTGACGTCACTCGTTGTTGTCGAGGAAGCCTTCCCAGGAGATAATATTGTAACCCAGCCAGACGTGCCCAGCGGCCATGAGGCTTCGATTGCCCTATCTGACACCATCGATATAGCCAAGGACGGGACCAGGTGGATCAAGGCAGAGATCTCTCGCCAACTCTGTATGTGTTAGTATATCTTCCTGCTCTTTCTTGCATTAATGAGGAGCGACAGCGAACCTGGGTGGCAAATTTCTTTCGTCAAAGAAGTTCCCATGGAATACACTTCCAGGAGAGCTCACACGCCAGGGAATGATGATAAAGGGCTACCCTGAGGATGTCATACTCCCCGGGGAATACCATGCTTCGAAGAGCAAGGGCATTGCCAATCTCACTCTGAAGGAAGCTAGTGAGGTCATCATGGCATTGAAGGCGGGCACCATGCAACTAATCAAGGTTCTGGAGGAAAAGCAAGGTACACCTTCGACTTATCTTATTCCTGTGTTCTGACATCTAGGCGCATTTTGATACAGCTAAAATTCTCATTTCTGAGTGCACAGTGGTGATGGGGGCACGTCCCCCAGTGGATTCCATCCATGCAGCAGGATGACGTCTTTTTGCGAACGGCACTTCTGACCACAAAGGCCTTGCTCGCGAGAAGCCTAGTAAGGCTGTCACCAAAAGGAAAGGCAAGACCTCTCAGGAGGCACCAACCTTGCGTCGTTCCCCACTCTCTCTTTCTGATGACTCTGGCAACTCCGACTCTGATGGTCCCCCCAACATACCCATTGGTAGACCTCCTGCTCGTGAATTCAAGGTCGTGCAGCTCCTGAAGCAACAGAAGGTCGTGAAGTCAAAGGAAGTGATCTCTCTCACATCTAGCGATGCCCAATCTGGTTCAGAGGATGAGACTACTAAGAAGGCTGACTCCGACTATGAGGACAAGGCTACGTCCAAGAAGCGGAAGGCAAAGTCAGAGGGTGGCTCACGAGCAGCCAAGAAGAGGGCTTCGTCTACTGAGACACCTGTGCCTAAGGTAAATAAAGACAAGGCGCCCACAAGGACTAAGGGAGGAACCGAGAAGGTAAGGAAGCCTAAAATCATTGAGTCGTCTGACGATGAAATGCTTGGTGATGCTGCCAAACACCTTCGCGATGGCCCACCCGAACTCAAAGGTGTCAAAGGTATTGTACTGATTTGCTATCCTCTCACTAGTAGATTAACCATATATTTAGAGCGCCCCAAGCCCCATCCAGTCAAGCCCCCTGTAGCATGCGAGGAGAATGACTCCACGAACAAGACTGTTTTAGATAACGGCGAGCTTGCTGCATGTGCTACTCCAGGCCACGCTGAGCTTGATGACAGGCTTCCTCCTCGGCCTAAGTCACCAGCATCACCCTCACCAATGCGTCGCCAGCCTTCCCACATGCTCACAGACCATGTTGTCCCTGCTGCAGGCGCCCCAGAGAGTGTTGCTCCCGCTTCAAGCGACAATGTTACTCCCACTCCAACCTCACCCAATGATGAGCAGAGCGGAGAAAATGTTGATGCGCTGGTTCAGCAGGGAGATCTAGCCACTGAGCGTGCCCATGATGCCAATGTGAGACAAGATCTCGTTCAGGCCAATGAAGGCATGTATGGTCCACGTCAGGGATTACGCATGGAGCCACGTTATCACTCGACATGGAACGATCCTCCGTATGGAGACAGTCATCCACACGGTCCTGGCCGTGGGTTCCCTCGCTATCTGCCATCCGATTACCAGCGCGGTTATTATGATCAACGTATGCAACATGGCCCTCCGCCCTCTCGTGGATCACAGCCTCCTCAGCCATCTCGCGGCTCTCAACCTCCTCCGAGTCGCAGTTCTCAACCTCCTCGTGGCTCTCAGCCCCCTCAGCAGTATGATGAAACCCACTATCGCGGCGGTGGATATCATGATGGTCACTACCGCGACCACGACCCTCGTGAGTACCGTGAAGATTATTGGCACCCCTCCAGCAACCCATATTATGGCTCTGGGGGGGGAGGGTATCATATGTACAGTCCTGATTATTCTGATGATCAGATGGACCTTTGATATGTCGCATTTATTGGACTGCCTCGGTCGCTCACATTTTTTTTGCATTGTTATATACGATCTTGACATTGAGCGTTGCATCTGACCCATCTTACCGTTTATGTCCTTTTCCTATCGTTGTATTTGCCATACTAGATACTAGTTAATGCATGGCCTTCTGTCTGATTCATGCCTCGTGACAAAAAACGGAAAGAAAAAAAAATGAATTGGAAGCATGTAGTCTAACATATAGGAACTCTGACATATCATCTGTCATCGTGGACGTACTCTGAAATATACATCCGACATCACACCAACATACGGAGATGTGAACATCCGAGTCAGACGCAGAGGATCTCCGGCAAGACTCGGAGGTCACCCTCACGGACATCGCACCAACAGAACATCAGGTGCGGAGGATCTGGAGATGATGAGGATGAACTCACCCTTTGCGAGAGGTTCCACATATAAGCTCTGGAGGGAGAATCAGACAGCCCTACGAAACTAGGGAGAGACATCCTAATGGAAGTAGTCTCTTAGACCTTTTGTTGGCAACGTAAAAATAGGGTCTCACATACCGTGAGAACATCGTCAAAGTGCTGCCAAGGGTGGGCTGTTAATTGCAATGAAGTCAGCATTTACTATGAACACTCGGAGAACGTAACACACCTGAAGAAAACTGCAGCATTTTCATACTATACATATAAGTGGAATGTTAGTTCATTCGTGTGAAGCTTGGAAGCAAACGGATCAAACTGACTTCGAACAATGCCAAACACAGGACATTGATAGTGCTGAAGACTAAGAAGAAAAGAGTTCATTGTGCTGTCATAGATGTAAAATGCACGCACGCAATCCGCAGCCATAGTAAAATATATGGTGCGTGAGGAGACGTGTAAGGAGTGGTATTGGTGTCGATCTGTAATTCTTTACAGCCCTTATAGTGGTAAAAATAACAAGGACTGACGATGGAAGTCAGAACTCCAGAGGAACTATGACAGAAGTTCTTCATACCAAATTCTAACATCAGGAGCGTTAGGAACACCGCCAATAGCCCTGGTGTTTTTGCAGTTTGAAATGGTTGGCATGTCGAAATATCAGGTACAACCACGTATTGCTTCGGGACAAAGCTGAATATGATCAACCCGGCAACTGCCATACCCTGTGAGTTCCCTGAGTAAAAATTAGCAGGCATTTCAATAAAGGATACATACAGATACGATCATGAACATAATCCAACGTAGAGGGCGCTTCACCTCCCACATAGTGCAGGTTCGGAGCACAAAGATGCCTAACAAACGGTGAGAAATTAGTGAAAGCTCCAGCGAGACTGGTGATGGAGGTCACAAACATTCTGCGCAGAATGCTACCATCATGCTGAAGGCTAGATATAATAGTTGTCAGCACAACGTTTAGATCACTTATCAATGAAGAAGCCCTACCTGCTGCAAGATCACCTAAAGTCTGGCAGTCCTATGAGAACAGTGAGAGACACGTATATGATGGTCAAGGTTGCCTATGCACGACATCCTTCATGTGACGGACTTGGTCAACTAGGACACGAGTGAGATCAAAAATATCATAGAGGATGAGCATACGCTGCAGGCTCACACATGAGATTAGGAATAGGCATCAACAATGGCATATAGCGAGCTCCAATATACAGGAATTTTGGAACATTCGTGTTGGCTTGGGCGAGAAAAGTTGCCTGTGAAAATGGGGGATGAGACCAATAACTGCGAGCAAGAACGGTGGCATCACATCTTGTTGGAATCTTAACAATGAATCATAAACCTTTCACCTGGTTAAGTAAAGGGGTTGGGCTGAAAATCCAAGGGGAAACTCACCAAAAGAGTAGCCACCACGACTGCAATGCCTTGATCAGAAATTTTCTGGTTCATAGTGCGAGAGGACATACCATCGGAATACTAGTAAGAGTAGTTTCTCAGTTGGAATCAGTGCTGCTTTGGTTCAGACAGACACTTACATTCAGCACCTGAATACTCCATACTGCCATAAGGAAATCATCCTGTGGTACGACGGAAGCGGTCATGAGGATAGGGCTGAAGGGCCGGGTAAAAGTGTAAATTCATCCCCTTAAATCGACAGGTAAATGGGCTAACAACCTGTGCCTCATCCGTGTGCATTCGTCGCGTAGTCAAAAAGTGACGTTGTCACCGCATTCCCGTTGAAAGTGATGAGATCGAGAACGTAGGTGCTTAATATTTAATCTGCGCGCTCTGTTTGAACGCATCTTGGGCTCAGCGCTCAACGTTCCCATCATGACATTTTTAAAAGATCCGCAACACTGCCGAGAGCGTGCCGATGACCTGTGATGCGGACGGCCGTGAATGCAAGCATCGTGCAACCAACACAGGCTGAACTTCAAGCACATCTCGCAGGGCAAGCCTAACACCTCACGGCCTCATGGGACTCGCGGCTGTTGCAGTGCTGGACGACAATGACAATGACCTCACTGAACTCGCCAACGATGATGATCTTGATGATGCTTACCTGTCTGATTCTGGTGCATTGCTAATGGCAACTATTGAACTCTTGCAATATCTATTACCGGTGCCGGTGATGGTTCAAACGTTCGCGAGGACCAGAAGTGCAAAGACCGTGCAGGTGCTGACTAGAGAAGTTCCATATATAGGAAGAAAAATAAGCACTCATCAGGGCCAGCAGTACGAACTTTTACTTTTGCCATCATCTAGTAGCGCAAGTCTGACCTTATGCTAACCACGGATGCTCAATCTCGTGCGAAAACCCAGTGGGTCGGCTCGACACTTGCAGACTTCTGCTCGGGCAGCTGCACTCGTTCAGAAGCAGAAGCCACATCATAACCATGTACAACCGCGACCTGTCATCGGCGGAGCTGACGTGAAACAAGGAAGAGAAAGAGAACGTGACGTAGTACGAAGAACAGTGAAGCACGGTGCGCTATATTGCCTCAATTCCATTCTCTCGCAACCAATTATATCGGACAGTCAAGCGCAATGAGCTCGGAGTTCAGCTCCTTTCTCGAGAACTGCATTCACAAATATTTCGCGACATCTCTTTTCCAGCACCGTCGAAAGCATTCGTTCGTATCGCACAGGAGCATCTGGAAATGCATGGCCTAGACCCCAAACAAGGTTCTGTTCTTCCTGATATCGGCTTCACCCTCCCACCCCTCCTAGGCTCAAATATCGACGAGCATTTCCATAGAATCGGCAGTCAGTCCGCTCAACCATGGCTAAACATCGCGAAAGATTTTGCATCCAACGAACTTCCTCCAAAACCCGATCATTGGGACATTCAATCGGGATGGACGAAATATCACTTCCTTGCTGATGGTTCGAGCTACAGCGAACATGTCGACTTCCCGCAACACGAAGGCAATGCGGAAGAAGTGCTCACATTCGACGTAGAAACCATGCCCACGTATCATCCTTATGCTATCATGGCATGTGCTGCCTCAAAGAATGCCTGGTACAGTTGGATATCGCCTTGGTTGCTAGGAGAATCGGTTGAGCAACAACACCTCATCCCCTTGGGGGATACGCTTTCCCCGCGCGTAGTCGTTGGTCATAACGTCTGCTACGACCGAGCGCGCATTTTAGAGGAGTATAGCTTGCATGGAACTCAGTCCCGCTTCCTCGATACCATGGCTCTGCATGTTGCAGTAAAGGGAATATCTTCGCACCAAAGACCTGCTTGGATGAAGCACCGCAAGTCCAAAGAGACTCAGAAAGTGCATCGTGCCGAAGCGGTCGAGGCCGTCGTGGATCTCATGCGTAATACGGAGTTCAAATACGACCAGGAGAATGATGAAACCAAACGAGAAGAGCTCCGCCGCCTCCGTGCTGACCTCGAGGAGAGCCTTCCGCAGCTCGAAGCTGCCGATGCCGATGCCGTAGAGGCTGATCTCTCAAGTAAGCGCTGGGAAGACCTGACGTCTGCCAATTCGCTGGCTGATGTGGCCAAGCTGCACTGCAATATCGATATGGACAAAGAAATTAGGAACGACTTTATGAAGTTGACCCCAGAAGAAATAAAGGACAATGTTCACGACTATCTCAACTACTGCGCGCAAGATGTTTTCGTTACTCATGCCGTCTTTTCCAAGGTCCTTCCAGCTTTCCTTGACCGCTGCCCGAGTCCCGTTTCATTCGCCGGCGTTCTCGCGATGGGTTCCAGTTTCTTGACGGTCAACGAGTCCTGGGAATCATATCTTGCAGATGCAGATAGAGTCTACAAGGAGTTAGATGGGAAAGTGAAAAAGCGCCTTGTCGAGCTTGCGGAGCAAGCCAAGGATAGGGCGAGGAACGACTCTTGGAAGGATGATCCTTGGCTCTCTCAACTAGATTGGTCACCCTAAAGTGGCCGGGAAATCTAGAGGTGTCGTGCCGGATGAACAGGTGCGTCTCCAGGTCGATGTACCGCACTTTCGTTGATTCCTTCCTTTTGCAGCTTGACTCCACGGCAGCGTGCCCATCTGTGCCCGCCTTCTTCCTCCCGACGTAAGAAGTCCTCTCCTAAGGAACCCAAACCAAAGGTATTTTGGCCGAAGTGGTACTGGGATCTCGCAAAACCCAAGAAAGACATGCCTCCCGGCACGCTAGATATCACAGTACGGAATCGCATTGCTCCCATTCTCCTTTGTTTGTCATGGCAAGGCTGGCCGCTCTTCTACTCCCGGGAACACGGCTGGACCTTCCGCGTCTCTGGCGAAGCTGATTTTCCTACCCGCTTTTCTCAGCTCGATTTCTATGATCCTGCGGACGACGCCCTACAAGACATGCGCCTGAAAGGAGGTTTTGTCTTCTACAAGTTACCACATAAAGATGGGGAGAAAGCGAACGTGGGCAGTCCGCTTGGGAAAACGTTCATGAAATATGCACAGGATGGGACGCTTACAAGCCCCGGAGACGAAGCGAAGGATGCACTGGACATGAACGCCCAGTGCAGCTATTGGATCAGCGCACGCGATCGCATCTTAAATCAGATGGTTGTCTGGCAGCGGGGAACGTTAGATCTACAGTTCAAACCACCTGGATCTTCGGACGAACCCCAGAAATGGGGTATCATCCTCCCCCAGGTGATTACAATGGGCACTGTGACGCGCCGCGCTATCGAGAGGACGTGGCTCACGGCGAGCAATGCGAAGAAAAACCGCGTTGGTTCAGAGCTCAAAGCCATGGTGCGCGCACCCAAGGGGTACGCCATCGTTGGCGCGGATGTGGATTCAGAAGAACTGTGGATTTCGAGCTGTATTGGCGACGCACAGTTTGGATTACACGGTGCTACGGCTCTTGGATGGATGACCCTCGAGGGCACCAAAGCCGCGGGAACTGATCTTCATTCAAAGACAGCGAGCATCCTCGGCATCTCTCGTGACCAAGCAAAAGTGTTCAACTATTCCCGAATCTATGGTGCTGGGATGCGTCATGCAGTCCTGCTCCTTCTACAGTCGAATGCCGGTATGCTGCCCGATCAAGCTCAGCGCCTCGCAGAAAACTTGTACGCATCAACTAAAGGCAAGAACACGCATCGCACGGATTTATTTGGGAGGAAATTCTGGTTTGGTGGAACGGAGAGTTTCGTGTTCAACAAGCTAGAAGAGATCGCGCTTTCTGATCAACCACGAACTCCAGCTCTCGGATGCGGAATCACAGCAGCCCTGTCAAAGGAGCTTCTTCCGGCAAAATTTGGTTCAGATTACATGACATCACGCATAAACTGGGTCGTGCAGTCCTCTGGTGTCGACTACTTGCATCTTCTCATTGTCGCAATGGACCATCTGGTCAGACAATATGGTATCAAGGCGCGTTATCTTATCTCTGTGCACGACGAGTTACGTTACTTGGTTGCCGAAGAAGATCGCTATCGAGCTGCACTCGCGCTGCAGATCGCCAACCTATGGACACGGAGCCTTTTTGCCTTTAAATTAGGAATGGATGACCTGCCTCAGGGGGTCGCGTTCTTCTCAGCCGTTGATATCGACAAGGTACTGAGAAAAGAGGTCGATATGCCATGTGTCACGCCTTCTCATCCTGATCCTATTCCCTCTGGAGAAAGTTTGGGTATTGCCGATATTTTAGATAAGACAAACAGCGGTTCATTGTGGAAAGATGGACGCCCCATAATCGCGGACTCTCTACCTTCCAAAGCGTCCTACCAGCATGACAATGGCTACGAGCCTCCTAGCTGCCTTATCCATCGCGCTGAGAGCGCGGCTTGGCTGCGCGCCCAAGCTACGTCCGAGTTCCCTGAAATTAAGCATCTTGCGCTTGCGCAGACATCAGGGCAGGTGACCGATACCAGGATCAGCGGTGCCCAGAATGGCAATGAAGGAAAAAAGCGCGGGCGTCCGGTGAAACATGCTTCCATGGAGCTGGGTGACTGGGAGGCGATGCAAGAAGTGCTGAAATCAGGGAACCTACGTTGAAGTCTAGCACCTGACGTACCCACGGATCATGCTCACACGGATATCTTATCATTGCTGTATATTTTAAATTAGACCTTGCATAATATTAGAGTAGCCTTTTTCGTGGCTGCGAGATCCGGTTCAACTGTTTACAGTATTAATTGCAGCGCAGAGACTTGGACCTGTGAGTCCAGGGTCCCGGTCATCAGTGGATGAATAGATTAACAGTTATCGCCTTATAACATCCATCAACGTGTTCCGTGAGACTCCCATCAGCGCGCATGTCCCGACGCCTGCCTTTTATGGGTGAGCGGTCCCGCCAGAATCCCGCCCCATCCATAATAAGAAGTCCCGCCCAGCGCCACATCAGAAATTAGGCGTCTGTTCTGAAGTTCTTGTTCGACTTCACCATATTCAACGATGTTCGCTGTCCCGCCCATGCCACTCGTGCACAGCGCTGCCCAATTAACTCCCGACACACGATGGGCGCGAGAAGTCAACAAGTAACTTCCCGATGTCCTCTGGCGGGCTATAAAAGACACGCAGCCGCATGACATGACAGTCGAGTCACCCAGCGTACTGCGCATCCCCAGGGCTAATAACGTCTGCCTATATATTTTCTGACTCGCACAATCTCTCTGACTCTAATCTGACACGATGAACTATCGGATCGGCACTCCTGCCTCTTCATCCCATCACAGGTCGTGGGCTGTGCACAGCGCACAATCTGGCTCCAGCGGCCAAGCCTTCCAAGGCCACTGGTCTGCGCTCCCGGGGTCATCCACGTCGCCGTCCCCGATCCCAAACGCACCACTTCTCCATCCAGTTTCACTCCCACACCCCAATGCAGCTTCGCATCAATCCCCTATGTCATGTATGAAATTCTCCTTTTCGTTCACACTTTACGCAGATCTCATATCTATCGTTGATAGACCAAAATTCATCTACATCCCACTCTTCATTCATAGTCTTGCACTCACTCTTGAGTTATGGTCCGAATTTGAGATTTAACATCACACAAGACCTTGCACATGTGCAACTGCGACCGGGGTGTTCACCTGCCATGCTTCAGGAGCTTGCGGTGCAACCGCCAGTCTCTCATATGATCATTACCATTCCTGGGCTTTGTGCTTGGACGATAGAGGTTGTGAACCCTCGGGGTATCACTGTGAACAATGTCCTTGCCATGATACGTGAAACGCTCAACCGGAGTGTTGCTTCGCATGAGATGCAAAGATCTTCTCGGGCAGTCAATGCTGCTGTTGATTCTTTCAGGGCCAGGTCCCGCGCTGACCCGCGCGAACATGCGCAGGGCGTGAAACGCGTTGACTTTTTAGGCCCCAAAGTTTTCTTTGCTGGGCTCGCTAGAGCTCGAGATGGGTCGGACAGCTGGGAAATCCACTTTGCCCAGAATGTTTGATCCTCGCCGAGCGCGGGATGCATAGGCTATTCCTTATCTTTCACCTAGCTCAGTTCCAATGGGCTTTGGTCGGATCTCATCACTCAGCTTGCACTGCCCGCTCTAACTTTACTTGGCAATTTGCCGTCACCGCTCTCTTCTTTGCATCTATATTCGACAGCCCCTAATTTGTTTTATCGCTATCTTTGCTCTATCTCTGTCCGCAATGTTTTTTCTTCTTCTTGATTCATGCACCGCAATAGTTTGCACTCATATCACTTGTACTTTTATTTACCACGTACTCAATCCTCCACGGCAATCCAGTGTATTCATATTTGACTTTTGATCTGTTACTGGGGTGGAACGGAAACATCAGAGTTCCCGTTACCATTGACGAGTGAGTACTAGCACAGTCATTCAACGTACAGCCAGGGGGCCGTTCGCAAATGAATACTTAACTTTAACCTGTTCATTTCGATGAAACGTTGCCCTCCTGTCAGGAGGCGAACGAATACGACCTTGGAATTAATTGAAGAATCTTATGGAAGCCGCGCACTTTTTGCAAGGCTAACCCATATATGTGTGACGTCAGCCCAATAGCAAATTAATTGGACGCTATGCACTGCCGCATCGTATCATGTGCTCAAGATAAGGTTAGATCATTGCATCGAAGTTTCGATCGAACGAGAACTTCATTTTATCGAATCCCGCACCCGTCTTGACACCGATATCAAGAATGGAAGAGGCTTTCATGAAAAAAATCATTTCACGTGACGTGGTTCGTACGGGTGTAAGCGCGTTTACGCCACGGCGTTTCAACCAACACCTCCTCTACATCACTACTTTGCCCACAAAATGTTTTTACCATTCAATCTTTTCATTGTACTCGCGCATGTCACCATGCTGGTAGTCGCCGGGCGATCTACGAACAGGTACCAAGATCTCACGGTCGATACGATACCTGCTCATCAACGGCACAACGAGACTCTCGCCACGCGACCGAGCTCACAGAACAAGAAACCTCACCGCTCTTTCAAAAAAGGCACGAAACAGGTCGCCCGCCTTCAAAGACGATCTCGCGTGACATCTAATAGTACTACTCCGACCCGCCATCCTCGAGTGAACGCTGCGCCAACGCCCCAGCCTACAGGTCCTTCGTCTGTCTCGACGACCGTGCATATCACCAGCGTGACAGATTTTGCACTTTTACTTCCCTCAAGAGACGGAGGTGCGTCTCTCTCTAGTATTTTCATCGCGTACTTGACCACGCTGTTCTCCCTTAGAGTATATCTCAGAGGCCGAGAGCGACGCGACGGCGTATTGTACCAACGGATCTAGCTGCCAGAACACATTTCCCGCAGGCTTCGTGACCGGTGCTACCATCTCGGAGGCAAGCGATGGGTCCTATATACAGGTCAGTGAAGTTTTTATTTAGCTGTCTGCGACCTCTTCCTCGGTACTAATGCAGGCATTAGATCACCGGCTGCTTGGATCCCGGCAAGTTCCAGTTTGCACAAGATGACGCGGGAGGCCAGATGGACGTCCGATTTCCCAACGGCGCGAAGTGTACTTTTGGTGGATACGGCGCAAGCTTCATTGAGCAGTCCGTTCCCGTTTTTCTCATCATTCTTGATTGACTCATCGGCTGTTTGCCAGGGTCGAGCCTTCTGCTAATCGTTTCTGCCTCCGCTGTTGTGCGTCCGCAAATGACCAGGTCAATTGCAATTCACATAACGACAAAGCTGGTTGTCCTGTTGCTGTTCCTGGTACATATGACTTTGATGGAGTGAGCTGCTCCTAACTCAGCAGCAGCGTCGACATTCTATTTCAACCTTTTTCATTCAGCGCATTTGTAGCCCGACCGACACTTTTGTAATGCCATTCCCAATGTACCACTATGCCCAAGCTGTTACAGCAGAATACAAAATCATAAAAAAAAGTCGTGTAATAAATTCATACGTATGCCTAATGCCCAAGTATGCTAGATAATCGTGAATTCCAGCAGGGATGTAGCGGCGTCTGTGGGTACGCCGCGGAAAGGTCTCGCAGGTATGAGGTAACGAGGACTAGCCTCGGTAGCTGTCGATCTCAAAAGTTGCAAACGTCGGCTTCAAGCCTTGCCAAAAACGAGTCTTCCGGAGCCGGCGCCGGGTCCATGCTTCTCCACTTCTATTCCGATCAAACGAGTTTTCCCATGCAGCCAATCCACCCGTCGGACTCCGCCTTCCCATCCGCCTCCCAATCTGGTACACCGCTGTTCGTATGCCTGCGTGACTTTCCGTTGAGCCCTGCTTCCATGACCAAGCGCCTCCCACTCTTGAGGCGTGACTCTCGTGAGAAGCGTCTCATGTAGTGAATGAAGAAGGTCGAGATTGGTGATATCAGGAGAGCGCCCATTTCTGCACGACCCGACGACCACGGGCCACGGGAACTTATCTGAACGAAGGAGGATACGAGATGATGCCGGAGTGGGAGGGTCTGTTGCTGGTTGAGATAATGTATGAGCGTCGACGGGTGAATGCGTGGTACGGTCTAGAACGGTTCGCGGCGAAGGGCCATAGATGACGTCGTAATTTATGGGCGCGGAGTGAAGGCGAGTGGAGGCAAAGAGTGGATGCATATGCAGTGCAGGTGCGCGTCTCCCATGTGGATCCATTGCAATATCTTTTTTTTTGCGCTGTTAGAAAGCTGATCCCACAGCTATTTTAAGAGACTTACATGAAGGAGCCGATCCATTCGCAGATGAGATACTGCTCTGCCAAGTATGACGCTGTTGCAAAGAAGGCCGTCTGTCGTAGGGAGATGGGGTGCCTGGATGCATGCCCGGGAAACCCGAAGAAGAACTTGAACTTGTACGGGAAGATGCGCCATACGAGACGGGTGGCGCATAATTATACAAAGGATACTGCCCGACTTGAGAGATATGTCAATTTGAAATGCGCTCATTGACCGCGGAACACAGAAGACGTACGATGTTCGGATGACTTGTAGCTGGCACGCCTGTAGAGCGGCACCTTCTCGACGTTCGACGGAGTACCGTATCTCATGTCTCTGGGATCATCAAACGTGGTATATCGTAGTGGAGAGGGAGCTGGTGCGGCACTGAAGCTATTGCTTCGTTTTGTCTTTAGGCGTGAAGAGGAACTCGGACCAGCTGGGGGCCCATAGAAGAAGTTTGCAGGGTTGGAACGTGAACGTAACTTGGAAGAGTGGTCGTGACTAGGAGATGGGCTTCCACCAAAGATGGAACGGAAGTAGGAGGTCATTATGACTTTTTGTTCGTGAAGGGAGTGACAAAGGATAGTCAACTGTGGTTGCTCGAGGTACTGAACCAAGAGGTGTGGTGGAATGAACTCGGTAAGAGAAGAGTGTAGCCGAGTTCTTATAAGCGCAGAGGATAGCCGTTATGCCTGGATCGGATCGCCTGTGAGTTCTAGACATATTTTAGCGAAAATACTTTCATGAAGTAAGAGGACCCCTAGAAAAGCCGTGGAGATGTTATTGGATGACAAAGATGGAATTTAATGCCGAGAGGGGAGATTGCAATAAAAGATCTGTTGACGAAAAGGGCACTGTTGGTGAATGCGGTGGATCAATGGATCACGTCTTAGGTGCTGTCCGGAAAGTCCGTGAGTAATGAAGCACAACCAATAGAGGGAAATAACAATATAACATGGCCTGGAGAGGAAAGAGTGCCTTCTTGTGAGAAGGTTGAGTAAAGTTCGGAACGAGTAGGAACAACGGTGGCGACGCGGTTGAATGTCCTATACTATCTTGATTGGAAATTGTATTAGCCACGAGGTTGGTTCACGCATGTAAACCGCGTGTTTTCCTTTTATGGAAAAGGCGCGGCGGTGCACCTTTATCGCTGTGGCTTCGAGAACACAGTAGCTGTGCGAACAGTGTGCGAACCCAGGAGCTATGCGAACCAAGTAGCTATGCTCACCAAAATGCGACATGTGTACTTACCCGGTCATATCAAAGGCTGCACCTTCATGGCGCATGGTCACCCTAATAAAGCCAAGCGGCGCGCAAGAAGTCTTACCAAACCCGCCATGAACTACATGCAGAGGGCACGCGAAATGTTCGGTTGAATCGTCAACCGAGAATCGGGTCTAGACCGTGATAATAAGCTTGTGGCGCTTTGAGTAAAAGAGTAAGGAAAAAGAAAAAGAGGCACAGACCGTCTCATCCGAGTCGCTAAGGAAATGAACTCGCCATCTTACCGAGATGAATTATTACCAAGTTACATTATCTGTGATGACTCGAGTGAAAACTGCACCTTCCGATACGTGGCGAGGCGGGTTGAAAAGTATGCACAAGCATGCGCCACCATCAGGCGACAGGAGGAGCAAACTGAAACGAGATTAAAGTTGAGTTCCGATGTTTTCTTGGAATATCCCACAGGGTCCAAGATTGGCGGTTGATGAGCAGAAATCGACAGAACAGACATGCATACCTCTGGCAACGCAGTTCCTGGAGATACCTGCGCAGAACATATGCCATCAACAACATACAAACGCGCGACGCAGCATATATTATGAATATTGTTGGTGTACCATACGGTGTTGCACCAGCAGTGACAATGAACTGAATGACTCGGATATCGATCAAGATCTCGTCAAATAATGTTTGGATCAGAAGCTTTTGCCAAACACGCATATTTAATATTTAGTCATTCTGCGAGTTGTGACCTGCATCTTCCAGCCCGAACATTCAAAATACAAATCCGGACCACGCTAGCATGCGGTCCTTTATCTCTAAGCTGAGACGTGGCACCAAGTCCGAATCAGCGCTTGGTCTTCAAGAAGCACCACAAGAAAGCCCTCAGCAACGCCTCTACCGATATCGCAAACAGCGCGGAGTTAATCTTGGTAAGCTTAAAATGAATTACCCGAGTCAAAAGCGTCGAAGCGAGCTAAGCATGCTCAGGATCGTGGTTCGTTTTAGAGCGGTGGGTATCAGGATCCCCATTTCAAGGCGCCGCCGGCAGCGGGCAAAGTGATCTCGACGTTGCCAAGGGTCTACATGCGAAGCACGTTCTAGAACATCACTGGGATTCCTGGATCACCTCCAGCGATTTCGAATGGCTCGCGGCAAGGGGAATCAACACTGGCGGATCCCAGTGCGCGTTTTCTTATAATAGTACAATAGCATCGTCTCATGCCGCCTTAAACAGATCGGATACTATCATATCTGTGCGCTGGACCCATCTATCCTTACTCGAACCGACTTCGATGGTCTTCAACATGTTTTTGAAGGAGCATGGAGTAGACTCGTTGCCGCGGTGGTCACAGCCCAGAGCTTTGGAATTGGGGTGTTGTTTGGTGTGTCGTTCGTTGAGTGGACATATCCTATTTCTCACTTACAAATTTCAGACCTCCATGCAGCTCCTGGCAAACAGAACAAAGATTCGCACTCCGGAACATCATCCCCGGTAATTTCGTTTTTCAACAGCAGATTTAATATGCAGCTGGCCATTCGCACTCTCCGGATACTGGTCACGCAGCTTATCGCTCTGCGGGCACATGGACCCGTATTCGACAATATAGTCGGTATACAGCTTCTCAACGAACCTCACCCCTCCTCGCACCAAACACTCTACGACTGGTACTGGGGAGGCAATCCAAGAGATAAGAAAGATAGATTCTGGTTTCCCAATCTACATATCAGACTGCTGGATGACTGATCAATATGCCGATTTCGTCGCACACTTACCGTCTTCCTTGGCGCTGACTTGCATCGACTATCACCTGTACCGGTGTTTCACGTCGAGCGACATATCAACATCAGCAGCACAGCATACTGCGTCCCTTGTTGATCGGAATGATCCCTTTTCGCAAATGTTCTCCCGCGTTTCAGAGAAACTCGCAGCATCAGGAAGTGGACTCATAGTTGGCGAGTGGTCTGGAGCTTTGAATCCAGGCTCTTTGCAAGGTACAACCGATGAACATCAGGAACGAGCGTCTTACATTCGGGCTCAGCTTGACCTGTTCGAGCTGTACTGCGCTGGATCTTTCTTTTGGACGTACAAGAAAGAGTGGCCTGGAGACCAAGGATGGTCTTTTCGAGACGCAGTCGAAAATGGCATCTTTCCAGAAGTTGTGGGCATGATTCCAGTAAAGGATCATGTTGGACTCAGTGCCGACATAAACGCTAGAAAGGTGACCGCTAGAAATGTAGCCTTGGGTGAGTCCAGCCACTCTACAGCCACCACATCGTCACTAATTTTGCTAAGGCCAACATGTATCCTACTGGGCCCGTTTTCCTAGTTATTATGAGCATTGGCGTTTTGAAGCCGGCTTTGACCAGGGCTGGGTCGTGGCTTACGACTTCTTCACCTTCGATCGCGCGGGCCAGGTCGCCGTCTCAGAACTGGGATTCAAGGGCTGCATTGCGAAGAGGAAGGCGCAAGACCATATTCGTGAATACGGGCGCAGCAACAACATTTGGGAGTTCGGTGAGTGTACTATTCAAAGTGGTTTCCCTTTCTGGGTTTTGCCGCTTTTCGGCCGGCAGCACGACATACCCGCTATCTCGATAAGTTCATCTGTGATATCGCAGATTTAGGTGACCCTATTTCTAACATATTTCAGAGCATGGATTTAGCCAAGGGGTAGATGTTGCGAAGCACGATTTTCAACATCACTACTGCTGATTTTCACGTGTCAGGCGTAAGATTTTCATGGTATATCTCTTCGCCAAATAGGGACTTTAGCTTTTAACGATTTGCTTCCAGAACAGACTATCCATATCTTTGCATGCCCATGTCCTCGTGTAAGATAGTGTCGATATATTCGATTGCTGACAATCATCGCAGACGTAAAGCTTTTCTGAAGTGGACAAGGCTATTGGCTTGGCTTGGATTAGTTCTTACCCTTTTCTATTAACTTGCGATGCAGCTGTCAAGGAAAGTGCTGGCAGAACTTAGAAGACGCTCTAAGCTTCTTTCTGTCCCTCCAGTTCTGCATCTAGCCTATCATGACCCTTCAACGAGGACAAGCGCGGTAATTACAAGCTTCCGTGAGTGCTCCTGTCCTCGCAAGAATCCGAAGGTTTAAATTTTCTCCTTAATGTCATAATATGTTTGAATCCATTTGTCGTTACAACATGACTTGCAGAAGACCGCTGTGATCTCCGAGGAGATGTTTTTTTCACTTTGATAAGTCATGATTTAACTTTTTTAAATATTGGGGCGGGAGGACACCACAAGCAGTAATGCAGTGAGATTACTTGGGTCGAGCAACGGATGTCTAATCATGGCATTCCTGTGCGAGACTCGTGGCCGCAGACTCGTGGTAGAGATGACAATTGCTGCTCAGGTAAGGGGTATCGATCATTGGTCGATAGTGGCGTGATGACCCTGATATCACTAGCACACTGCGCAGATGAATAGTTCCGATATGAAACCCATGTCGTCTCCCTGCTATGTAGTAACGCACCGCACGGGATATGATACACATCAACGAAAAGACATTGAACGTTAAATCTTCTCGCGGTAACTTCCCTACGTACGTTTCATTATCAGCGTTATTTTGGATTGGAAACAGGAACAAGGGGGGACTCTGCGGCCACGATACGAGCCTGTATTAAATCGACGCATGTGATGTGCCTACTGTGCATGCTGAATTTGTTATTGGCCTATGGCGCCCCGCATATCAGACACAAGACCTAGGCAAGGTTCATGACAATGATCATTCTGTGTTCTTCTTTCGAATTCGTTACAAATGCATGATGAAACAAAGCTCGAGTCGAATCGTAATCTCGATAAGTGGGCATACGCGTCTCGATCACAAGCTGACAAACATAGATTTGAATGGTGACTTTAGGAAAAGTTAGACCTTTGAGGCTGGGTATATATATGAGATCGTTACAACATAAATCAATGGGGAACCAAGACAATAGAGAACAAAGAATGTTTATGACAGATTTGGTACAAAGGGAGCGGGTTACAAGGGGCGGCCACATTCATGTCAACAACTTCCAATGGAACAAACCATCTTCGTCGTGAGCTCTGACAAGTCCTCTAAAGACATGTCTTTCCATCAAATAGTCAATCCGTTTGACTCCTTGACTTGCTTCGAGCTGAGCAGATGAAGGGATGCTTCTGTATCTGCGGGTGTAGGCCCGTGCGATTGCAGTTTCTTGACTCTGACTGAGCTGGGCCCAGTCAGAGTGAGATATTTGGCGGTGCAGGGAAGAATGGATCATCCACAAAACATCGCCAACTGTTATGGGCAGAGCGCCCGACGTATCGTACTCGCCATGAACGAGCTCCAAGTCAATGGGCCATTTCGGAATGGCATCATGAGTGATACGCATGCGGGTAATGGTTGGGAATGTAGCAGGTTCCCTTAGCTCTTCAACGGACACCATAGCCGTGTGGTTTGGACCAACTCTGCGCAATGGCGCGAAAGCTGGATTAGCAATGTCGAAGTAGAACTCCGATACATAAGCTTCTCCGTTAAGAAGCGGATGAATCTGGAATTGCTGCGACGACGTCTGGTATTGCCAAGGAGAGTGATTGCCATTGCCGAATGAATGTCGCCGGTTATGGGTTGGCAATGGAACCCCTAAAAAGGAGGGACTGGGAGGGAGCGCAGCCATCCCTCCATGCCAAGATGGAGGACGACGGGGACGGTATCCATCAGGGTAGTAAGAAGTGTGCGGCGTTCCAGGAAGTTCGGCGTAAGGTGATGAGGGAGAAGGTGGGAATAAACTAATGGGAGGAATGAAAGGTGATCGCTGGGGAGTGTGCGGGTGGGTATAATATGGAGGAGGTTCGTATATCGGTTGTGTATAGACGTATGGCCCAGACATTCAAGTTGATGCAGTATTGAAGTTGAGAGAAAAAGATGTCGGGGAGACCTCCGCTATTTATTCAATTGATAATGGTCAGCTTGCCCCTGGTACCATAAACACAGCCTGCATACCTATGTTATGACTCTGTGGATGACTTGTCTTCAAGCACAAGCGCCAGACCACTGCTTCAGGATGGACAGGCTATGGACGTCACGGTTATGCAAGAATGACACAGCACTTTCCAGAAGACTGCAAGAGTTGCGAGACTTTTGTCTGGCCAGGGCCCAGTGGTGCTTTTAAAGGCTGTCCGCAAAGTGTAACTCGGTAACCAATTACCAGAAGTTTAGAAATCCACTCACTGGCTTCCTGTCCTGGTTGGGCGGCTAGTGGGGATGGTCAATGTTCTGGGCAAGATAGGATTTGAATCGCACCCGTATGACTCATCTGCGCGTCCTTTTTGTCAGCGTCAGCACTTGTCATCCGATAGAATCTAGCCGCCAAGGATAACGCTAAGAGAACGGAATATTCTCATCATCAGACAGCGCTCGATCACGGTGATCAATTAAAACGGATACGGATCATCCATCATAAAATGCACCGTGATCTAATCATCATCCGACAGTCTCCACCTGCTCCGGCTCGCAGTCGGATTTCTGGCTATGTAGGCACTTATGTCCAGGATTCATGGAACCGTGCCTGATGTGATCGAAAACCAGTGCGTCAGCTGCCTCTCACCATGTGAAGTGAGCAAAATTGAAGCTCCGACAGTGACCTAATCCCGCCCGCACTGCATGTGGGTACGTACTCCCTTCCGAGAAACTACTTACTGCCCGGACATAACTTAGTTTGCAAACACCCTCGGATGCTAGTTCGATAGCTTTGTCACCGGTCCAGCGCGTCATCATGGAATGGCGTCACCCTGTGTAGTGAAAAAGATTGTATACGACTTCTCTCTCGGAGTTTGGCAGATGCTGTGAAATACCTTCTATTCAGGGTCTGCATATAATCATTAGAATTTTCAATACATCAACCGGCGTAGGTAAGTGCTGTGCTTTCGATTGTGTCGCGTTCCTATCTTTACGATCGAGCAAGCAGAACTCGTGACTCGGTACTCATTCTTGTTAGGTCAGATGATACTCATCATGCAAGCAAGTTCTTGCAGGTGGCATTGGGAAGCTCGCCACTGCTTCTTCAATTTACCTAGTACGGGGAATCTTAATACTACCCTTGTGCGAAGATCGCGGTCACCGTTTCTTTCAAATCTGCAGTGCATTACAAAGGTAGGTATCTCAAATCATATGAGTAAGTATCCATAAAGCTAACCATCGGTAGGATCGGACTATCAAAAGAATTATTATTATCAAGCATTTCCGAGTAGTCAAGTCTCCGCTTGCTTCATCGATCTTGGCACCCCTGAGGACCTCAGGAAACCGATGTGTGTTACCAAAATAAAGATATCATGCCCCTCGTATTACATCGGGAGACACCAAGACGTCGGTTGGAGTGAGCTATGACTTTTTCAGTTTGTGCTTTGTTCTTATATAGTAAATATCAATCAGATTGAAAGCGGTGGTCACGTAACCAACCCAGGTTTCTTGTCAAACCAAGGCAATGATTCAAATCGCGATGTATTCGTGCCAAGACAGCAACAGTTAGCACTGATCCGATCCAACACTGTAAGAATACGATGAGGCCAAAAGTCACTGGCATCAGAGTTGGCGACATCATACTTGATGAAGGTATAAATGTCGACAGAGTTTTAAAACGTACTGATACAACGTTTTTGGCATCTGACGAACATGTGTGGACTGACAATTTACAATGTCGTAGCATACGAACTTGTTTTGCTTAATACCACAGTCAACAACTTCAGCGACCCAGATTTTTTCTACGGCTCGCGAGTGAGTTTTATCATTTATATCGTCGAGGTTTTGAATTCTCATGCGGCTGTGAAGGGTGATTTTAATAACTTTTCTGGGTTCCCTGGAGAAGTACTCCATGTAATATTAAACTTACCCTATCATGGGGAATTGTTGCCCATGTCACTCTCAAAACGTGTCCTCGATCCCAAGTTTGGGTGAGACGATTGGACCACAGTGTATGATACAGCATCGTGACAATTATAAATAGGATGGGCGTGTCTCATACAACCAAAATAAATTCAGCCCTGTAAACGCTGTCATCGCTATTTTATCTGCAAACGTGCAATCCATGTCAAGGGCCAACAAACTGCTGGGTGGCCTGTTCTCTCGAGCATATATTGTTCTATGATGCGCCAACTTGTCAAGACGGTATCTTCGAGCAGTTCCACACCTCAATGATAATATTTCCGCCTGGTCCATCGTTTTCTTGGTCCAAGTTGTCCCGTCGAACGGTACCTTAGCCTTGGTATTTTTTTCGGTTTTTATACTCACCGCGAAACAGTGCTGTATTCAATCCCATAGCGATGGAGGAGTTGACGGAGTCCTTGTTAAGCAGTACTCCCAATGAGACCCTCATAAGCACTTGTAATGTTTTTATTTGGGTTGTCTACTGACGTGAGCGACTAATTTTAAGGCGATAACATGGCAAATACCAGCGTGCGTGCTATCTGGACTCCTGATCTTGATTCTATCCATAGCCACTATCTGCGTAGGCAGATTCACATAGAGCAAGAAACTCACTATAATTATGCAAGGGCGAATTCCGGCGACGACGACCTCATATATGAGATCGCTAGTGCTAGTTCCAAATATCTGTAACGGGCAGCAATTGCAACTGGGCAGAATGTTGGAAATATGGTCGTGTTTCCCAACCATGCATCTTCTTCTGCATCCTTAGAGGATATTCACGGAGAAAATCTTGTCCGTCTAGGGGATATCAAGAAGCTGCCGATCCAGACACCATGATGGAGCTTGCTGGAGGATGGCAATTGTAGATCACCGGAAATACATGGTACAAACTATGAGTAACCGTCCAGAAATTCGATGTCATACTTATCAAAATTATAAGTGGATATACAGACGCGATATCGGGTCCTCCAGATGGGCAGCTCAAGATAAAGTACAAGAAAATTCCGTGGGTGACTGACAAGCAAGTTTGATATCTTCATTTTGTCTGACTCACTCGTTTTGCGCATCTCAAAGTCCAGTTCGCGACTGCCCGTTGTCGAGCGTGTACGAATTTTTGGAATCTGCGACCAAGTCGATGAGAGCTGCGTTGTGTTAGTAAGTTTTATAATGCAAAAATATGACACGCACAAGCTCCGTGGTTTCAAGACGATCCTCATTGAGTATGCATCTTCACCATCACCATCTGATTGAAATAGTCAATGATAGTAGCTGGAAGACCCAAGTTGACAACTCACAGTATCCGACCTCTTTCCTGTGAATTTGAAAGCCAAGTTTATCGCGGTACAGAGTGAAGGCAGCTCGATTAGACTTGCGTACGTGAAGCTGGATGTACTCTATGTTGTATGAATCGATCATGGCCTTTTCTGGAGGTAGTTAAGATTAATGTTTTGCACTAAATCAGATGGTGCAAGTGAACCAACGCGAAAGCAGCATTAATCGCTTCGCAAGACCTAGCCTACGATATGTTCGGAGTACGGATAAAGAGTTGACATGACCGACTTGCAACCAAGGGAATTGTTCATCTGGCTCTCTGTAGGGGGTGATTGAATCAGTTGTAAATACATGTGCGTAACCTTCACCCACATCGACGAGAGTACATAGCCTACTACGCGGCCACTGCTGTCCTCTGCAAGATACGAGACTTCTGGCCAAGTTATAAAGGAGTAGGCCCCTACAAATCTGGCGATTGGAATGGCATTTTCACTGAACCAAAGGAGACCCACAATATTTCATGTGGTAGTTCTCAGGAAGATTGTGCAAGTTGCATTGCTGTATTTTGGTGAGATCCTTCGGCTAAGCGCCACACGTTCGAGGGAATAGTGTTGAATGCAATCTTCAGTTTGCGTGAAATCAAGGCAGGTAATCAATCGTACCTCTGCTCTTCGAATGTTCATCTAGGATCTGGAAAGTAAGAGGTGTGGTTGTAAGACGCGAACGCAGGAGCCCTGTACTAGTATGGAGAGGTGGAGGAGTGGCACGTGCTGATGCGGCAGGCTGTAAACAGGTGTTCTACACAGCTTAGCGCTTTAGCGCCCGTATTCGTAACTCCACTGACGCAGGCACTTCGTCGCCGGCGTTCATTTCCATTGCTGACTCGGAAGTCAAGGTTTGCGCATGTGTGGGATGATTATTACCTAATATATAACTACCTTTCCATCAGACTCCGACGCTAGCGCTTAGGCGAGAATCAGAATTTAAATTTGGCCGGTCTGAGCCGACACAACGGCACCGTCAGCGGAGTTTAGAACCTCACAGTGTTTCGAACGGCCATGCCACCAACGCGCCCGCTGCCGCCGCCCAACATCCACCATTAGATTGGAATGTTTCATGTTCATGCTCTATCCACCCATTCACCTTACCTGCCCAGGACCTTTCTTGCCCATCAAGGCCTCGCCCGCTGCCTGCCTGGTGATACCAAATGTGATATCTTCATTGCAACAAGTAGATGTTGTCTTTTTGCCAGCTTCTCTCAGTGTCCATCGGCAATTGGCGTCCTTGATTGTGCATAATGACAAATTGATGCATCAAACACATAACTACTGTATAAGTAGGTCCGTGCTTTTAAAAGGCCTCCGGCGTCCATGGAAGTCAGATACAGTGAGCAGGTGCGAGAACAGTCTGGGCGAGTTTTATACTCCGCTTGGAGCATGGGCCTGTCGAGTCCCAGACTTTGGCCTAGACTTCGCCTCAAACCGGCCATTTCAGAGATGTCCTCAAGAGAACGATAGACAGCATCTACATTCTACATCATCGGCATGGTCTTCAATACTCAGTGCATGAGGCCGACGTTATCAAGTTTACTACACCAACCCCGATAACGGTGAATTGGATGAATAGAAGCAAGGAAATCTGGCAGCACGCCTGTTGAATCCAAACATTGTCAAGCCCACTGGTGTTGTGTAAGAAACAACGACGACTGAGTTCATCTTGATGATTGAGAAACCCACGCTTGTAAAGAAAAATGTGCAGCTGCTCATTTGACATCGTCGTACAACACTATCACAGCAGAGGTAAGAGAATAACAACTCTATTTATCAAAAGTCCAAAAAATGATGACCCAGATTATCATCGATCGCCTGTCCTGTCGGGTGTAATCTTCGGCAAAAAAACAGGTTAAATCTTCACGCATAAGTATACCTACACTTTCGCATTCCTGTACTGCGATGGAGGCCCCCACTGTAGTTTAACACGCAAGTATTGGGCCACCCAGGTGAGTGCAAGAAGGACAGGAACCTCCACCAACGGTCCAATGGTCGCTGCCAATGCCTGATCTGACCCCACCCCATACACAGAGATTGCTACTGCAATCGCAAGCTCCTACGCAATCCACTTGCTCAGTGCATCATTCAATAAAGCGGCCTGGAGATACGCACGAAATTGTTGCTTCCTGCAGTAAAAGCCTGCACCACTGCCAGCTCATACGAGAAATTACCACTATCCGTGTTCCCTTTGCGAAATTCTCGGCGAGCGAGATAGAACACAAGCGCAAAGGCTGACGTCCACATGATAACAAAATATACGATCATTGGTACGAATACCCGGAAAACAGGACCGAGATTCTGCACGATGTGATGTCCTTGGTATGCAAACATAACGATGATGGTGTACAGGAGACCGATGAAGGAGAGAGGGGAAAACCGTGGTGCAAAAGCCGTGTCAAAGAATTCCTTCGACTTCAGTTGAATGACTGTGAAGCGTGTGATGACACCAGCAAGGAGAGGAATTCCAAGGTACTGTCGAATCGTTAAAATAGTAATCATTCTGATACTCAGGAAACTCACGATGAGAACTGAGATCGCCACCGAACCGTATGCAAGATGAACACCCTGCTCGGTGTGTCCAACGACATTCACAAACAAGACCGCGTAGGGTGAGTAGAGGATGATTTGGAGCACCGAGTTAACGACGACGAGAATCGCGCAGTATTCACTATCCCCGCCGGCTAACTGGTTCCACACCATGACCATGGCAATGCAACGAGCGAGCCCGACGAGGATCACACCTGTCCTGTACGTCGGGAGGTCGGGGAGCGTAGCCCATGCAATACCGAGCATAATAAGGGGGCCAATGATCCAGTTCAGAATCATGCTGATTCCCATATGTATCCACAGACGTCTCGACAACAATATTCGCGAAAGGGCTTCATATTTGACCTTGGTAAGAATAGGCCACATCATAACAATGAGCCCTATTGCAATCGCTTTAATTCTGTGAGCATGATCCATAACGTGCTGGATATAAGTACTTACGGACGGAGACACTGTAAAATTTGACGGTGTCGAACGCTTGCTGCACACCAGGTACAAACTCGCCTATGACTACCCCGACGATCATGCATACCAATATAGCTGGAGTGAGCAAGCGGTCTAGTATACTGAGCTTCTGAAATAGAGCTATACTGTTGTTAAAAGAGGGGCAGGATGGTGTACCAGTAAAGTTACTGTACCTTGGGGTGCTGCTGGATCATGATGGCTGTTATTCTCCGACAGCATGCGGTCCGTCAGAGAATCGACTGGCCTCAAGGTTTCCTCGTTTAATTTCCTGACGGAGTTGTTCTTCTTTTCCATGTTGGTTCAAGTAGGAAGGGTTGAAAATACATGAGAGAGAGACTTGACCAACTTTTGAGCGTTCTCGATTTTGAATATCATTTGAATATCGGGGACTTCAATTTTTTCCTTTTGAAAATCACGAGGACAGCTTCTGCCAAATTACACAAGTCTAATTGGTCGATACGTTGGGATTTCTTCTGCCTCACCTCCTACCTATATTAATGGAAACGTCCTGCACCAAAAGGTTCAGTAGAAATTCTCGTGAGACGACTTTCTAATGATTTTGATTTCCTTGTGACTTGAAAAGTGTGTGGGAATTTTAATTTTGATTTTGACTTTGACTTTGACTTTGATTTTGGATTAGTCAAGCATGCCGCAGGCCCGCATATATATCAAGGTGACTACGAATGTCGCCCCGGCAGAAGCTCGGACTAGTCACTGAGCACTATGCCTGCTGGAACAGTACCACTCACTGACGAAGGGATTGTCAACGCAGTATGCGATGCTTACACAGACATCGCTGGGAAAGGCGTGCAGACAGCATGTAAGTGCTCCATCATCATGTGGTCTAAAGACTCTAAATGCATTGTCTCAACGTGAAATTAGACGCTGAAGCAGTTGCGGAGGCATTCGGATACACCGCGGAACAGCTGAGCTCCGTCCCAGCAGAATCCTACTTGGGACTTGGCTGCGGAAATCCCGTGGCAGTGGCATCTGTCAAAGAGGTACATCGTTCGAGAACAAGTCCATTCACGTTGTGATTGTGATCATAGGGAGAAACCGTTCTTGACTTGGGCTCTGGTGCTGGCGTCGATGTCCTCCTTGCAGCCCAGAAAGTTGGTCCTAAGGGACAGGCCATCGGCATGGACATGTCGACAGTGAGTTTTGTCCGAGTCGTGCCTTTACGCGATGATAATCAGAGCAGGATATGATCGATCGAGCGCGTAAAAACGCTTTTAAGCAAGGGTATAGGCCACCTCAGGTGGTCTTCATCCAGACGAAGTTGACACAGCCCCTACCTCTGGAAACCGCCTCCGTAGATTGCATCTTGTCCAACTGTGTTATCAATTTGCTTCCTGATGCGGGAAAGGCAGCCCTCTTGAAAGAGTGCTATAGGATTCTCAAACCTGGTGGACGTCTCGTGGTTGACGATGTAAGCCTCTTGCGCAGCACGATCGGTCCCGGTGATTCTGAATTTTGAGTGCAGATCATCGCGAAGAAGCTGCTTCCGGATGCCATCCGATCCGACCTTTCGGCCTACATTGGATGCATATCCGGGGCGCTTCAGTTGGAGCAATACAAAGCTCTTATGAAGCTTGCTGGGTTCATAGGTGAGTTCTAGTGTATGTAGTAAATGCCTGTGGCCGATCGTATATCATATAGATGCGTTGTTTGTTGAGACCAGCGGAGATCTCGAGGCCTATAAATCCGCTGGACCCACATGTGGTGGCGTACCTTCATCTAGCCCCTCGCCTAAATGTTGTGCGGCCACCACTAGCATTCTCCCTCAGACTACCATCGGGAACCTCAACGAATTGGCTGGTAGGAAACTAATCATACTAAAAAGAAAATATCAAAATTCAATTCACAAAAGCTTCATACCAGATATACGCAAGGAAAGTCTCCTCAGATAATGGAGCTGCAGAAAAATCTCCTCCAGCACTTGCTCGATGGTGGGATGCATATCCGAAAGACCATTTAACTTCCAGTGAAGTTGCAAGTTTGCTTCGCGACCCCGATCGTTCAGACTATGCTATTATTGACGTTCGAGAGAATGACCGCGTTGTAAGTCGAAGACAATGCGTTGGTAGGCTGACTGATGTTGAATGACTACAGGGTGGTCATATTCTGAGAAGCATTCAGTGGCGAGCAGATACGTTTGCTGGTTCACTAGACAAGTTTTACGACGAGTACGGCAAGACAAAACAGATTATTTTTTACTGTGGGAGCTCCAGAGGACGCGGATCTCGATGCGCTGCTTGGTGAGTAGTACCTCTGCGGTGTCTGTCTTGTTAAGAGCAAGTCCAGGTATCAAGATTATCTAAATGGCAAAGGTAATACGGAGTCGAAAGCTTGTGTTCTAGAAGGCGGATACTATGGATGGAGATATCCTGATCTAGTGGATGGAGCAAGCAGTCTGTGAAAGGCTATTATAACACATGTACGGAATACAGGGCTCGATACTGAAGTAAAGTAAGGCATTCTCTGCAGATAGCATCTCGGTCTAAGAGTATATGGGGACGTTCTGACGCTACGAATGATTGATACGACATGTGAATGTGGCCTGAATTACGAACCCGTATTCGGTTCTGCAAAACGGAATGCCGATCAATGACACAACCGCGTATCACTTTTAAGTAACAGCAACGTTGACTCGCCACTGACTATTGAAGATAAGGAAATACTTGAAGATCAACTCAAAGTTATCTCCGAGCATCCCGGAGCGCAATACCACCGAACATAAGCCCAGCGCTTTGAAAATGTCTGCTGGCAGATGGGAATTTCGAATTGTAACATAAAGACACTTCCATTTCAAGATAACGCGATCGACTTCGAGGGAGTGGGTCCGACGTGGTGACTCCAACACTAGGTTCATCGAGTCAGATTTTGACAATCATTACCGTGATAAGCCAACTGACCTTTTTAAAATATCCCGATTCAGGCATTCCTCGTGCTGTGACTCCTTACAGGGGATGACTGCACCAACAGTTCACCCGATCCTGCCTCAGGGCTGCATATTGCATATAAGAGATGCGCAAGACAGGATAATCAATCCGTCGGATGGCACGACAGATGTTTATCAATCGCTTGATCTGATTGTCTCCCATACGGCATATAGATGCTAATTAATCGTACGAACCAAGATTACCGAACAATCAGGCCATCTGTGATTAATCTCTTTTTGAGCGCGAGAGTGTGTGCAGGAGTGTAAGGTGGCGGGCCGATCGCGAGATGATGGTATGGGATGAAACCACCGAAAAGCCACGGAACAGGTGTAATCCACAACCATTTTGGATAGAGCGTCGGTGCAACCCGAACATCGTTTGATCTACGATGATCGTCAAAATATGTTTCTCGTTGAAGGGTTTGAGTCTCCGGAAAAAGTACTAAATTAGATCTTCATGACACGTTTTACGTCCGCGAAGGTACACTCGATACGGCAAGTGAAGGCGCGTTAGCAAAACTCTCGTGAGCGACACGTCAAATAATGCAGTCACCAGACCGTATGTGATGATGAGAATAAGGGAAATGACGTTTCGCGGGAATGCTAAGTGCTAGCGGTATGAAGGGCGCTCTCTGTGCTTCAATAATTCTCCGAACTAGAGAAGATGAAGTCGGCGTACTTTCCATATGGATTTCCCATGCCAACGTGCCAAGCGGAAGAAGACTAGTTGAAAGAACCCCAAAGGGAGGAGCATCCAGCCTGATCCAGGCGATAGCTCAGGGAGTCCACCAACACGTATGATTGCAAGAATTATGCAGGTTCCACGTCCGGGTTGGGAGTAAGAGTAGGCGGCCCGGTTTTGGAGCAGTACTGCCAATAAGACTGCATGGAAGGCTGAATATTCTTGCAGTGCGTGCATGCAGTGAGGCAAGCCGCATTTTCCACTGTTTTCGCAGGGGCCACGAGGCAGTTTTGAGAGCTGCAACTGAAGCCAGCTGACAGAATATCGGAGCTAACCATGAGCCATGTGTCTGATCGGTGTCCTCACTCAATTGATGCGGCTAAAGTTCTCTCTTCCTCGACACGGAAAGTTCGAACCCAATTAACGTCCTTGGTCTTATAAATTTCGTTTATATTTCGTCCTAGAATTTTTTGATAATAAATCAGGGCTTCACGTTAGTGCTTATGTCTTCAATTGCGTGGTTTGTGGATAACGGTACCCTGTCCAGCGTTTATTGCATAAGAAGGCCGTCGGCGGCTGTGTGCAGGTCGAGCGTTCACGGTTAGTCGTGGGGTTAGCGAATGGTTTATCAGGACGCTGGTCACACAATTATAGGTGGGAAGAAGAATCAATTAAAACACCCATCTTCGCATCTCTTGCCAATCCCGGAATAAAGCACACTGACAGCGTGCTTGTCAGCAAGTACTAGACGCTCTAGGTCCGTCTCTTAGTTCCCACTAACAATTCATCAGAAAGCTTTACTCTTTGTCCTTTTTCAGCACCATCATTAGCTTTACCAGCGATATGCCTGCAATTCGTGCACATGATATTTACCCTAACGATGTCGAGGATGACGGTGAGTTTTCCTTTGCAGTCATGTTCAACCGTCCACTGGCATATGCTCATGTCAATGAATGCAGATGGGATGCCCCCACTCGTCGACAATCCAAACACATCAATGTCATACACGTTTTTCACTGATATGACACCCATTACTGCTTTCAGCGCTGATCCCACTGCTCTCTGCGAGAATGCATGGGACCACTCAACGTCCACATCTCTTGTGGAGTTCACAGACTCGCCTGACTGTCCTGCGACCCAAACCGCTGATCGTGTCTCTCATGGCAAGAAACGGGACGCTTCGTACATCCCCCGCCCACCCAACGCTTTCATCCTCTTCAGATCATCATTCATTCGGAGCCAACAAGTTCCGGAGAAGGTGGAGGGGAATCATAGCACCCTGTCGAAGATTATTGGTCTGTCCGTAGTCAACGGATCTACTCGTTACTAATGCGTTTACATATAGGCAAATACTGGAAGACTCTTCCTCGCGAGGAAAGAGAAGTCTGGGAGGCCAAGGCACTCGTTGCTCAGGCAGAACATAGAAAGCGCTATCCAGACTGGCGTTTTAGACCTGGGGCTAACGCACTTGCGAAGCTCAAGGTCAAGGATGGTCCCGGAATAGCCAACAGAAGACGAAGCACCAGTACCAAGAAAGGCCGCGGAAATGCCGAATCGAAGAAGAAAAATAAGAGTAAAGATGAAAGGTGTTCGATGATTGCGGATCTTCTGGTGGAAGGCAAGACAGGCGCTGAACTGGAAAGTGCGCTTAGAAATTGGGAGAATGGAATTAGTAAGGAAGTTGAGGTGGATAAAGGTGCTGTTGGCCTGCAAGGTGAACCCAATCATGAGGGAGGCGATCAAGGCAATTGGAGCGAAGCTTTCCCGACCACCAATCACTTTCAGATGGAGTCGGTCCAATTCTTGCCAGACCTCTATGATCCCGGTCTCGTTACACAGGTAAACACCGATGGTCTCGATCATCTCGCCACGAGTCAACCTCGCTGCAAGACTCCACATGACGATCGATTCAAAGTACCTCTCACTGCGATGTTCAGGCGTTCTCTGTCCGCACCTGCGAGGCGCTTCGCATCTCCCGCGGATGTTCTAGGCCACAGCGGCAACAGCTCCCTGACTGATGTCTTTTCCGATACTGCAAGTTCTCCTCCCAGCGTTTGTACCCCTTCTGTCTTTCCCTCAGAGCAATATGAAGACCCATCGGTCGCCGTATACGGTGATTCTATGGGTCATCTATCGCCTCTTGTTCTGCCATCAGGACTAGGCGATGATTCTCCTGCACGTTGGAATGACGTGAGTCCTGTCGCACTTCTCTTCTCCGTTGTCTGTGCTAATTTTATATCTTTGGCAGCCATACAATCTCCTCGGAGCTCAATCGCCCGTTGGATCGTTATCAGACTGCCCTGCTCTGTCATACGGACACAGTCCCTCCGTGTCGCCAGTCGACGTGAGCTTTGGGAATTATACGTTCCCTTCACCGACGCTGGCGGCACTTACTGCGACAAAGCCCGAGAATATCTCTGCTGGTCTTGACTACCCCATCTCATATGATAACCAGTGTTATTCCTCTTACTCTGCGCTCAAGGGGTGGTCAGATGGTCAATGCACATCTTTTGATGCCTCTCCAGAAGGTTTCGTGCCGCAGGTTTTTGTTAATCAATACGCCAGCGCACCAGCAATATACGAATGGTCCCCTCTCGATGATACCATACGTGCTGGTCATGCACCCCAGCTCCATAACACGTTCGAAAGCAACTACAACGATTTCAGATTCTGAAGCCCGGTCCTCCCCTGAACTTATGTATAACCCCTTCGTGCGCCACCTTTCTCCTTCATAGACTTCTTATGATAACGCGGAACTGAAACTGGAATGTACCAATGATTCGACTTGGAATGATTTTACCCTATGCATGTGTTTTACCCTCTCCATGAATGATCTTTTCCTTGTATTGACTACTATCGTTGTGCTTTCATTCATCCCGATGTTTTGTACTATGCGATCCCCTGTCTTATTTATGCGTGTTGTTTGCTTTGAAGTGGTGTCTGTACGATACTAGTGATGTGTTACGTGTTGCTGTCAATGTTATGTGCCCTGGCATCTGCCTGGGGGAAAATGTACAACTTGTCTCAAGGCGTAAGATCTGCTACATACTTGGCTCCTGACAACCGCAACTTAGTGACGGTGATCCTATTTCCTCCAAGCCATGAACATTGGACTGTCAGCCCTCTTCTTCAGTTTGGGTTTGCATACGGAGTGTGGGGCTCTTACGGCTGGATCTTAATCGTTATTTTTAGCAAGGGAATCGGAAGCAAACTATAAAGCACATGTATCACATGCCATCACGCCACAACGTATAGCTCCGGCTTTTAATTTTGAAGGCGTCCTTGACAATGAGACACTCCCTGACTACCATACAGAAGTTTTAATCCAAGGTCAGATAACGGTCTTTACCGTGCTGGTACGTACGCCTTGGAAACCAGTCCTCTTCAAGGAGCTTGTCCAAACTTTGATAGCTATCTTTACAAACATGTGAGTTCTTACCGGATAAGCTTTCAAGTCAGACTGTTGCCTTGCTACGGAGAGAATGTTGAGCCACAATTAGCTTGGCGCTTGCCGTCGGCCCGCTGGGTAGGCGTAATGTGGTGTGATGCCATGCAAAAATGATTAAACGGGTATCATGCAGTGTCAAATGTGACAGTGGATTAGAAAAAAAATGGAAGAATGTCTGCGTGTATAAGTGCGAGTCCATTGATGCTGTAGATGTTCACTCGGACCTCGAAGAGAAACGCTAAAATTGTAGAACGCCACAAGAGTGACAATATCTAGACGTGTTCTTCCGGCAGGCTCCGAACCGACATAGTCATGGAAAACGCCACATACCACGATGAATCCTCCTTATCGATTATCGATTATCTATCGAGCAGAAAACAAAGGTCCAGACATCAGGAACAGTCTGATGGAAACAACAAAACAGTATGTGGTTACACGGTTTGAGTTCACTGTTGTATACAATCAGTTGCCTTCCGTGTCCAGAAAGATGTGCCACGGTCGGATTCACGTTAACGAACCTTAGTTATCCTTGAATAAACTGCTGAATGATGGACTGCGATACGTCCGGTCCTGGCGACGTTTCATAATTTTCGCCCTCTTTTGCCGTAATAGCATTTTGGGAATACATACAAGAATGAAGCAGCTCAGTACGTCGCGCAGCTCGTCACAACAGAGCTGCCAGTGATAGAGGGAGATTTAAGCACTGAGACCTTGGCCCACATGTAATGTCAGAAAATAATGAAAGAAAGTTCACGATTTTCTGACATTCACTATCGTCGACCGAACCATTTAGCGAAGCGTCGACATTGATGGCTACTGGGAAAGCGAAGCTTGAAGTCCGTGCTAACCAGGAGATAAAGGTGTTTGTCAAAAACATCGATATCTGTGCTAATACCTGTAGTTTACTTAGCACGATGTAAACCTCAACAACACACTCTCGTACGGTCAACTAGTACTGCATCAAGACATACATACCACACTTGCCACATTGCTAGAAATGAGACCATGGCTGTCGAAAGAAATGATACGGATCTCTGAAGAAACAGACTAAAGAACCGGACGCGTCTCAGGGTGCACGATAGTCGGTGACTCACTGTTTTGACCACCCCATCCAGTTCTCGGGCACTTCTTTGGCGCGCCTATATTTAACTTGTGCGTGAAATCAGCCCAAATTATTTAGAGGGTGACGATAAAAACATACATCTGATTCCAAAGTTGTAGATGCGACAGGTAGGCTTCCGAGTAGGTGATCCTTGACCATTGTTGTGAGCTCCGTCAAACCTACACAGTCAGTGCCAAATACCCAGGATTGATATTGACGGAGTGACCGGACTACGAGGAAACATCCTTCGTGCAGCACCAGGATTTGCACTTGAAGAGGCTTTTCTAGCACCGGCTTGAGAACATAATCGAGGCTGCTTCACAAGTATAATGTTGAAACCAAGCCGAGGGTGAGGAAGTCGCGGAAATGGAAAAGACCTCTTTTAAATGGTGATTGATGGACTAGCAAAAGACACCAGCAATTCAAAGAGATAAAAAAAGAGCTATACACAACAAAAATCATGTGTTTACCGATGCTGCAATATTAATGGCCGTTGGCATTAGGGGATGCATGGCAGAGAAAGCACTAAATGAGTCCAAGATGAGAGGTCGTGACTGAGTGACTGCTGGATTCGGCGTGGCAGGTACTAGTAGTAGAAGCAGGTGATGCTGTGTACCTCGAGGCGGCAGCAGGCTAAGTTTGCGATGACGATTGGTGGGCTTGATTGTGATTGGCATTGCTGCTGCTACTTTTTTCGTCATGTTCCGGCCGTCGAAACAATGCCTAGATAGAAACCACCGAATCACAGTAAGGAAATGCACCTGTAGCTGTGTCATGTACTGCAGCAATGGCAACGTGAAAAAGGCCGCGACGAGAAGAGGTGATCGGTCTTTTGGGTTTCTGAGTTCGGTCGTATGGGAACGAGCGACAAAGTAACGAAAGTGACTAAGAAGCTTGGACTTGCCAAAGAGTGCGACGGCGATGTGCGGGGACTGTGATATGGAGGATTGCCTTTGTGCGTAGCAACTTTGCTAGAGCCGCAAAAACTCGGGCTCAGTGTGTACTGAGATGGGAGCAGTACCTCTTCGGAATTTATACCGTTGCATACTGATAATGCTTTGCCGGACAGATTCCAAGGATGAACATTGTTTTCGAAGGGTTTGACACTATTTGCGAACATTATGTAGATCGTATGTTGTAGCTTGCAGTTGCCACAAGTACCGTCAAGTTTTAGACCCTGGATTTGAATGCGAATGCGCGACTCCCTTCGGTTAAACCGGTTTGACCATCCAGAGCACATGTCAATCCTTTCAATTTGAGTTCGGTGCTCTACTCTCGTTTCACCCACACTGGGGAGAACGAAGATGTCAAGGAGGCGTTGATCTCTGCCAAGTATCATTGGCAGCTCTGTCATCACTACAGGCCGACAGCCAGGAGGGCATAGCTGAAATGGCCGGTCTGAGACAAAATATGGGACATCGGCAGGCCCATCGGCACCTCCAAGCGGAGTATGAATGTTCCAAGGAAGAGCGGGCAAGGAAATAGGCGGGCAAGGAGAGTGGCGGGTAAGGAGAGTGCTGGGCAAGGAGAGTGGTAGGTGAGGAGAGTACTGGGCAAGGAGAGTGGCGGGCAGTGATTAGGCGGAGCATGAACATGCAGGTCCCAGGATGTGAGGCGGCGTTGGCGGGATTGACATGGCCGTTCGAGACATCGAGCGAAGTTTAAACTCCATTCGGAGTGCCGATGTCCCAGACTGCACACTGTGACACGTGGCTAGTTTAGTCGTTACCGACTGCAGCTTTGATTTGTCACTTACTGTAGAACTTCAGACTGTCGGAATCATCAAGTCACCCACTCAAGGATCCTCACAACGCATCAGTCAGGCGTATAATTGGACCATTGCAACGGAACAACATGCTCCAACATTTTTCGAGTTTCTGGATGCTCATTTGGCAACACGATCATCAACAACTTCACAGCACGAAGCTGCCGCTACATTCCATTACGCCAGAACACCCTCCGTGGATGCAGCGTCATGTGCCATCTGCTGTGACAATCTACCACACGCAGTGGAACTCTTGGAACAATGGTCGCTAGCCTCTCGACTCCATTCGAAGACCTCAAGTCAGCCAATCCGCTACCAGCACACAATTACCTAGAGGCGGGCAAGTGCGTTTCCAATACTGTCCAGAGTTCTGAAAGCATCGCCGACAGATCTGCTGCTGACAGGGCAGCAACCAAGTATAGGAGACTTGCAAGGCAATGGGAAGCTGCGGCAGCTGAGATACGTGATCTTCGGGGGTTCTCGCACCTTCATACGAAGACCTGCAAGCGGCAGCACGCCAGGGCCCTGCCATCATCTCCATTGCCAGTGAATACTCGCGCAGTGCCACGATCGTCCTGAGGTCAGGAGACCCCTATCATGTTCCCTCGCCGTCTGTCACTCACAGATCTGAATAATCTCAAGGTCCACTTTTTCTTCCTTTTCCTGACACACGACTCGGACGAACCCAACAGAGTCGAGGACGGATCTAATAGTGCGTTGCGGATATTATGGGACGATATCATGCTACCCATCAATACACTTGAGCATGTCCTTAAAACAAATCGCCGCTCTCGAATCTGGCTGTGTCCAACTATAGCTTTCATGTCCATTCCTTTCCGTGCAGCCAACCTTTTTCAAACAATCCGTTACTGTTCTACGTCGTAGAGAACTTTTCTTGCATGATTCATGACAATCATGCCACTATCGCGCGGGCACATTTCATTCGCGTTCAGACATCTGATCGGAAAGACTGCTTACATGACATGCTACGAGTGCATGCAAGTGCCGTTGAGTGTGTCAATAATCTCATCGTGTTTATACTTTCAAGAACGCTTCTGCGATATCTCACGCATCAGATTATGTCTGTCTTTTCAAATCCATTTCGTGATCGTTGTGCCGCCCCGCAGCGCTTGAATCAGTCAGTTCGAATATCGACACGAACCAAGCCAAGCAGCGCCGCTGAGGTTACGAAGGCAATGCTGGTCGTAGTGATTAGGCTGGTCCTATCCCGATCTTATTATCATTGGGTGATAAGAAGGGCGCCATGACTGAATGGCAACAACAGATGAGCCCGGAGTTGTCGAGACACAGCCCGTGTGCATGTTGTGTTCAAATGTCCCAGCTGGAGAATTTGGTACTCGTTGACGTCCAAAAGGTACCGTTGTTTCCTTTGCAACGACTGTTTGCCTGAGCGCACTGTATCCCAAAGGTTTACAAGAAGATCCTGATGTAAACCAGATTTATGTTTATATCGATCCTATTGCTCAGCCTTAGCATCTAAATCGCTATAACAGTTCTCTAGCCAACTTTCAACATCATGGGCACGAGAGACTTCCAACGTCAATCTGAGTCCGTGCAGCTTTTTCAGAAGCCTCGGTTTACGATTTGATGTCGATGACCAGATTCAACAGCATAGAATGAGTTGTTCGTAGTTAAGAGGTTCAATTCACTGCCACTGTTCCTACTACTCAGATGGTGTAGGGAAGGAACTACTTGCCGAAGGTCAGCACTCAGTTTTGCCGGTTGTGTAACCGGAAGAACCGGCAAAACTGCATGTAGACTATCATGTGCACGATATCAAAGATAACAGTTGCCCGTCATTGATTCATCCTCGCCATTGATGTAACCATGGCACAACCTCGACCTCATCTACAGTGGTCTGGTATCATTCCTTGTTCAACCTGATCAAACTTGTCAAAGTCAAAACCATTTCCCTCGAGCACTTCAACTTCCAGTCAACGCTCTGGATTTATTCAGTCTTCAACTATTACACTATGTATATATGTAACTCGGGCAAGTCAGGCAAATCATTTTGCAGCTGACGAGGTTTCCGAGGTCTTGTCATTGCGCTCATAAGTCGTGCCGCACGTACCTCTGGGGAGCCGAATTAACTTAATATTTCACGGTGACTATGTTATCCGTGGAGAACCTACTTGTCGAAGGGTCAGTTTCGCCGGTTGTGTAACCGGCAGAATCAGTAAAACTCTTGGCTCAAACATTAAGATTCTTAATGATAAGATATTCACATCCTCGCCATTATGTAATTAACAACCTTCTCCGAGTTGACCTGATCCGATCAAACTTGTCAGAGTCGAAAGCATTTCCCCCGAGCACTTCAACTCATGCTCTGGACTTTTTCGAGAGCCGCAAATTCAGCAATAACGTCGCCAGGCGAGATACTCTCTGGACCAGCAAGAAGATTAACCACTATCATCGTGTAACTCGAGCAAATTGTTTTGCAGCTGACGAGGTTTTCGAGGTCTTGTCATTGCACTTATAAGTTACGCCGCATGTTGGACTTTTTGGGAGCCGAATTAAAGTATTTCGGAAGGCAAGGCTCGTCACTCCCGGGCCACTCCTCTTCGCGAGACTTCCTCGGCACCAACTTACTAGTGTAAGTAATCCAATCACGAATGCGACCTCCAGTTTTCAGACCGAATCTCGAATTGTCACGGTCAATTAACCTAGTAACTCAAGAAACTTTGATTCTAAAATCTATCCTTTTCGAACGCGCAGCCATTGTGGTCACCTGGTGTGCAGCTCATGACGTTAATTAATTTTTGCCACAGCAGTTGAGTAACGGTTCTTCCGTTAGCCTATTCGCCACGCCTCGAATTAACCGGAGATGGATAGTATGTCAAGATCACCGCTGTTCTTGTCATTAAGCAGTGCATACATGGCCAGCCTCACTGTAATTACATTCTTATAATGGCTAGTCTGAAGTTGATCAGGATTATATCAACAGAGCCGGCACATCCTGAGTTGTCCAGATAGCTCGCAGTCAACTTCCAATGCCGCTGCCAGTGATCCAATTCTGCGTAATCGGAAGCTTCTTTCTTGTTCTCTACGAAGCCCTCAGTTCGCTACTGCGACGACCACATGGCATTGATCTCGATGGACCCAATGGTGCGAATTGGCCACTAGGTTCCTGAACTCGTACTCATCATCATTCGGTCTCCTCCAACACAGGCAGCGTCATCAAATTATTTGAAGGTGGCCTGGACTATTGTGTGAACCTTTCAGAGCAATATGGTGGGGCGGTGAGGCTCAACGGGCCATATGGCGTAAGTCTGTTCATGATGTGCATCAGCGTGCTCCGAGTTGTCCTTGCTAATGCTCATTTCTTTAGGACACTGTCTATGTGTCCGACCCACGCGCATTGCATCACATTGTAGTCAAAGACCAGCACATATTTGAAGAGCTCGAAGACTTCATCGTGTTAGTTCCCTGCTACTTTTGTCGTACTGCATTGACTTGGAGCATCAAGGTCAAATAAACTCGTATTTGGCGAAGGCCTAATATCCACCATTGGTGCGGCGCATCTTATCAAGAATCAATTATCCTTCTTCTCACACCATGTACTTATCTCCAGGAGCGCAGCATCGCAGACAACGCAAGCTCATCAGCCCTGTGTTCTCAACGTCAAATATGCGACGAGTCCTCTCCACAGTACATCATATTGCTGACAGATTAGCATCCACCCTCACAGCTAAACTTCCTACTGATGGATGTACGTATCACTCTTACACTTAGAAAACCTCAGTTGATACCTGTGATGCAGCACATAGCGAGATTGACGTCCTCCCATGGTTCTCCCGTTGTGCGCTCGACAGCATCTGCAATGGTGTCCTTGGGTACTCCTCCAATAGCCTCTCAGCAGCAGAAGATGATGCGTACGCCGAAGCAGTCCGGTCGGTCGGGTATGTCCGCTCGATTTAATCACCTGTTCTTTCGAATTATAATAATACACTGCAGGTTCTTGATTGGAAAGTTCTGCCTGCTACGGCCATTCGTGGTAATCGTCGCGCATTATTGCTCGCCATACTGGGCAAGGAAAGTCCTTGATCTGGTCACGGCACCCTGGATCCCGACAAAGTTTATGAGAGACATCCGGGAGATGCGCCGCATGATAGAGACCATGGATTGTGTCAGTCGAAAAGTATTTGCAGAGAAAAAGGCGTCAATGGAGGCCGATGGTATGTTATGCAGAGATGGTGATTCAATACTGTCGATGATGGATCTCATGCGTGAGTTCCATGGACCAACATCTCGGGCATCATGGCTCAGGTATGTATAGTCAAAGCTAATACCGTGTCATCCAATGTAACAAGGCTCACGGATGCTGAACTGTTGGGACAAATGAAGTAGGTTTCTAATCATGCGCGCGTTATAAACATCGTCTGATCTCATTACAGCGTTATGATATTTGCTGGCGTCGACACGACCACTTCCGCGATAGCCCGCTGTGTCTACTTGCTTGCACAGAACCCTTGTGTTCAAGCAAGACTTAGGAGCGAAATTAGTGATGCCATGAAGTCCTCGGGATATCAGAAAGACGGTGACATCCCATCTGCTGAACTACCCTACGACGTCCTCATGAGCCTCCCCTTCCTCGACGGCATCGTAAAGGAGACTTTCCGTCTCTACCCATCCCTCCCACTCATGGTCCGAACGTACGTTCATTTTTCTCTTATTAATCCTCACAAACATCTCACTTCGTGCACGGCATACGGCATAGAGCGAACAAAGCAACCACCCTTCCTTTACACTTCCCCGTGCGCTCACGGTCTGGCGAGCCCACCTCCACCATCGCAATCCCGAAAGGGACCCAAGTAATTATTTCCATCCTTGCTGCGAACCGCCATCAAGGGATGTGGGGTGCCGATGCAAATGAGTGGCGACCCGAGCGATGGTTGTCATCACCTCGGGCTGTTCCTCCAGATATGGACACCCCAGTCGGTAGAGAAGACGTCACGTCCACGCCGAGATCTACACCTGTTCTAGGCGTCAAGGATGGTGTGCATTTTCCTAGTGTGTACTCCAACATGTGAGTACCAACAATGCTTCCTGTTCCTACCGAGTTTGATAATCTGGCATACGTACACAGGATGACGTTTCTCGCTGGCGGCCGCTCCTGCATGTCAGTCCCTTTCTTCTCGTGGTGTCCTTCTGACTAACCACCACAATCTGCGATTCCTAGTGGGTTCAAATTCGCTGAAATGCAAATGAGTACGTTCATACCTTTGTGTATGGGTGACAATTTGCGATCACAACTGACCCTCTCACCAGAACAAGTCCTCGCAACGCTTGTGCTGCGTCTGCACTTCTCGCTCCCGACGCAGCCGAATGCACGAGGTCACGTGAAGGAGATACAGTGGAAGTTCAAGGGGTTTCATATCCCTGTTGTGAAAACCCCTGCTGGGGATGGTGTGACGCCCCAGGTGCCTCTGAATGTGCGGCTGGTGAGGACTGATGATTTTGCGTGGTAGGTTATGATAGAACAAGAGATGATTCTCGGTCGTTGCTTTTTATTGGTTATTCCACTACATTTTACACTACATTTGCACTATCTTTTACACTATCTTTTACACTATCTTTTACACTACATTTGCACTATCTTTTTCCTCATTTCCTGCTGAAAATAAGCACAGCATGTCTCGACGGCTTTTGACACGGGACAATGACTATGAACAAAAGGATCAGTTCTGAGATTCAGAACTGTCCAAGAGAGCATGAGACCTTGGCAGGTAATGAAAGCAGCCGTTTTCAAGATTGTTGAGCAGTTGGACTTCGACGAACCAACGATGTAGAGCTCTTATCTCACCAATCCCTTTTCGACTGGGAGGTTGTGTTGTACGGCGCTCATGCAATTTATTTTTGGGTCCAGTCAATGGGGAGGAATCAACAGATACACCGACGGATGATAGAGAACTTAACGACTTGTAGTACTGTACTAGATAGCTAGGATGTTCGAAAGCAATATGAAATAGAACTACACACCGATATGAATGAAAACAATCCTCTGCTCGAGTGGCACTTCCTTCTTCACGGCAGCCGTAGCATAGTTTAGAGCTAATGCTGCCTTTGTACAGTCCATGACGCCCTCTTTGAACATCTTCTTGTAGAAAGCCTCGACGACGTGTTTTGCGACAGCGTCGTCGACCGCCCACAGCGTGCCAATCACGCTTTTGAAACCTGAAAACTGCAGACCAGCTGCAAGGTGGATGACCTCGTCGGGCGTCTCCTTATCACCAGCGGCGGTATGACACGCTGATAAGAATGCGAACTCAGCTCGTGGAGAGTTGTTCTCCATGATATCAAGCAATGTGAGAGGTTTGTCTCTCATGGCGAAACGTGAATTGTAAGGCTGATCCTGGTCCTGTTTGCCATGACAAGCGAGATGCACCCAGGTGTTGCATCGCAAAGCTTCGAGTGCACCTGCCTGTGTGGCTTCGTCGCCAGAAAGATTAGTGAACTTGACATTGGGGGGAACATGTTTATGGACTTCGTCAAGCTCGCTGTCAACAGTGGCAAGGACCGTGCCCTGTCCTGCGCCTGGTTGACTCTGTCCGATGGCCACGAAAGTTGGCGCCGCGCGCGTCTTCATCATCCGTCTTGCTCTGATCAAAGCCGAAAGTGTCGGCGTGTAAGAGCAGATATAGATATCTTCCAGGCATTCCTCCGGTCCGGGGCAGCCATCCTTCATCCCCATCCGAAAGGGGTTAGCTGCATGGAGGGGGATACCAGTAAAGGCTGCTGTTGGACACAACCATATTCGAGACCGTTTCTGCAATTTCAGGACATGTCGGAGGATGTTAACAATGGGTAGCATGATCTCTTTCCATACAGTACGCAGCAAAACTCGCAAGTCCTTCCTCGGATCTTCTTGGCGCATACCAGCCGCGCGGCGTAACGCCTTGGCGAAGTCATTTTTGAGCTTCTCCAGATCTGCAAGAGCGAGCCCCAGGAAGGCGACATGATGGGGCTCTCCTGCTGTGGGGACAATAACGGCACTGCATGAGTATTTACTCGCAATAAGGATGATGACTGGGCCCCGGCGTGCTGCCACTTGTAGTTCCTTGTACGAGGGGGAGAGCAGGAATCGCGAGAAACCCCGAATGTTACGGATTTCAGCTACGACAGCATTCCACTGCTTCGTAAGCGTCCTGTACTCCTTCTCTGCCCCAACTACTGTAGCTTGGTCTGTGTTGCCTGTAAAACCTTGAACGTTGGACAAGCGATTGCTAAGCTTCAAGAATTCTTTGGCTATGAGGGAATTCGTGGAGTTGAGGTCCTCAAGCGGAGTCCTGAGTCGGGAGGCCAGCGACCACTGTTGGCCACGGCCCTGTTCCACGAGTTCGACCGCCTTTGATAGATTTTTACGGCGCACGGCGCACGATGCTGCATCTGCAGGTAGTGACCTGGTATAATAAAAGGCAGCGGCAGCTTCGCGACGTGATGTAGTAGTTGATCGTGTTGCCAAATGACCATCAAGAAGCTCGAAACACATTGCATAGGCCTCGAGCGCAGATTCATGACAATAACTCTCGGCCGTTTCAACCCAGCTCGAAGCTGCTTGAATGCGCTGTGGAAAGCCTTGCGTTGGGTGCCTTGATGCCAGACTAAAGTTATCCACTGCGAGTGACAGATCAGCAGCATTGCGTAGAATCTGGTAGCGACAAAGATAAGCCGTCTGCAGTTGCATATAGCCGAGACATTTTTCGGGATGCAGTGAAGGTAAAGCATTCAATGATCGTTGGCAAAGATGAATGGCCTCCTCGATATCTTTCTTTATTCGAGTTTGCTTGAAACGACAGCAGAGCGCCAAGCTCAAACTGCGAGTTCTACGGCGCTCTGGCTCCGGTAAAAGAAGGGATTCACGGAACAGCCCGATGGCCTCGTCAAGATCATCGCCAGTATGCACGCTACGATATCTAACGATGAGCGCGCAGGCAAGATCATTGAGTGTGGTGTCCCGTCGTGGATGTCCAAGTGGTCGCAACATCAGTGTTTCACGATGGAGGTTGATTGCCCTGCTGACATCATTGATATCACTGATACCACTGCATTGTTGGAAGCGGTAGAGGATGGCACGTCCTAGGCTGCTCAGTGCTCTATCACGAGATTCATGTCCAACAGGGTGAAGGAGCAGCGCTTCTTCGTGCAAAGAAATGGCTTCATTGATGTCGTGAGATTTTCCTTCGTGATTGAAGCGGCAGTCGCTGAGTGCCACAGCCAAGCTTCTCAAGTAGGTACCACGATCAGGATGTCCCTCAGGGCACAGAGAAACGGCGTCACGATGGAGTTGTATACTCTCGTTTATATCATCAATGCTGCCGCGTTGTTCGAAGCGTACTTCTAGCGCTTTTGCAAGCTTAGTAAGGGCATCGAGACGGCATTGATGACCCAGTTGGCAGAGCTGAAGCACAATTCGTCGAAGGTGAATGCCTTCATCGGACACGTCTATTGGTAAATCATTGCATTCGCGGATGACATGACCGATGCAATTATCCCCTATTGCGATGCTCCAAAGGTATGTGCCCTCGCGACAGAGAGGTAGTAGCTCATGATAGAGCTGGGCGGATTCGCGGATGCTGGCAGCAGTAGTCGGGCGTCTAGTCAATGCTTCGGTGAGATGATAGATATAAAAAGGATAATTGGGGTGGTCCTGCGGGCACAATGCAAGGGCGTCGCGGAATAGAGATATAGTCAAGTCAATGTCTTGAAGGTCCTTGAGAATGTACCCTTGAAGGCGGGCCCACGCGAGATTAGTCAGAGCAGCAGCACGATGAGGATGATTGACTGGACATTGCTCCAGAACGAACTGGAAATGCTTCAAAACTTCGGTCAGTTCAGCTGCTCGGACGTTCAAATTCTCGCTTGCGATGTATTTGGCAAATCGCATGTGGCCTACGTATGTGTGATGATGAATTCCACTTCCATGCACAGCAGCGACCTTCAGCGTCAGAGAAGGCTGGACGTCACGAATGGGTGAAAAGTATAGATCTACAACTCCAACTCAATAGATATACACATTGCAAAACAGACTGCTCACCAAAGGGTTCGTCTCCATGCTTGCACAGCTCATGCCACGATATTTCAAGTTCACTGATGACTTCTCCTCGCCCCAGTACTGGGGGGCGCTCAAAGGATGCCATGATCTTCAATGATAATTTAGGTCCACGTGGTGATCTGCAAACGGACGATGAGTACTGGAAACACGTCCGCAAGTCTCTGTGGAAGTCTTTACAAGGTCACGGCATCGTTCCACGCTACAGAACTATTTGATAATAGTTCTCCGACAGTTGACTTCCAGCATCTCTTCGAGTCAATAAAGACAGACACGTAAATGCCTACAGGTATGCGAAAAGAGGGAACATCGAGATTTTTTCCTCTCATGACTGTAGGTAGAGTGAGAAGATAACAAAATGGGAATCACGGTCATATGAAGTTGCTCACCTTCAAGTTTGAAATATTGGTTACAGTCCGTCATGGTGCGTCGAAGAAAATGTCAAAAAGAATCGAGGATGGGTTGCTGGCAGTGGCGCAAAATGAATGATATTTAACGAGACGGGAATAGGGATAGACTTGAAATTCAGTTGAAAGGGGAGCCTGTCTAAAGAAGTGGGCCATGTCATGGTGAGTGACAAAGGCACACCCATGGCCAACGTTGGAGTGGACATGCAAGTACCCTTTGTCCGGGGCGCTCTCGTTGTTAGCTGGTTTGCATCATGCATACTACTGAAATAGCACACTCATGATAAGGCGAGGTGTAAAATCCAGTGTACGTGGCGCAGATAATACGCTGAAGATGACATCAAGCGTAAAGATATGTGCATTCTATGAGTCCAATTGAACTGATGTCGTGACAGTGGAGGACAGTCGAAAGTACTAGCGTCGTGGAAATGAAGGCGGCGCACCGAGGCTTACAAGACTCCAAGTCATTTTGCAGGTCGGATGTAAAACTCTTGAAGTTAACAATATTAATGAATCGGAGGATACGACGAGTGATGAACGGCCTTCAACGATTTCAAGTTGGTCAGTCAATTTGGAAAAGGTGGGAATTCGGATCGGATGTCTGCCGCCACAGCAGTGCAAGTTGTGCAACTTGAACTTGAAGCTTGAAGTACCCAGTCACCCATTGCCCTGGATCATTTTTTGGATCCGTGAACTCGGGCACAGCTGCCAATATGTTATGACTTGGATGGTTTCCGGGCATCGAACGTCGGGGACTTCGGTGTAAGTGAGTATCAAGTAGCCCTAATACTAGTATTAACAGGCACTGGCAAAGTTTGTTCCGGTCTTCCGAGTCCGAGACAGTTTTAACAGGAATGGTTCAAATTGGCTTGTTCAATTGAACCGGGCGATCCACATGTACTATGGACCTTTCATTGTGTACCGACTGCCACGGCGAGAACTGGCCGACTCCAGGGCTACTCTGGCTGGTTGAATTGAACCGGGCGATCCACATGTACCTTTCGTTGTGTACCGACCGCCACGGCCTGCCACAAATACTGGATCTTACTGAGACCTGCCTAGGCCGACGGTTGCAGAGTGTGGCCCGTCTCAGCGATGATCTTCCGCGGGTCTTGACTAAGTCTATCACACTAATAGTCGAGGCACAGCTTGCTCAGTGTTCGTCCTCTGGCAGAGCCAAATGCATGGTCCCTCCAACCCGTATACTTCTAGATCTCCGCCATCAGATCACACAAAGAACTTGGTTAAGTGTACACGTCCATCTCATCAGGAACATCTCATCCTCGTCGGTCTCATCATCAGCATTTGTTGATCTACATCTATAACGGGAGACCATCACGGATTCCTGGGAAAGCATATTTGCTACCTCACACTCGAACTTAAAGGAGGGATGGAAATATCTTAGTCTCCCATGTCGTCATAGTATACCTGTGGGACAGATGCCTATGTCTGCGTCTGATGCACTATGCCCCCTGAAACAGGGCAGCTTCAATATGAGTACATTCATTTGTCTTTGTTGTCTTCAGAATTATGAATTCTGCTGACATCACAGGGTATTTCAGGCTCGCTGTCTTCGGGCCGATTCCCCTGAACTGATCATACCAACTGGTGACTTATTGATTTGCCGCTTTTCTTCGACGTGCGGGGATCACAGTAATCGATGATCTTCTCTGGAGCGCGAAGTCGTTTCTAGGAACGCATATGTGCGTAGATCTTCACAAAAAGCTTGAAATGGGGCGTTGATTTTGATATACGAGTAACGAATTTAGCTATTTTGCTCTAGAAACGTGCTCACTTCAAGATTATACCGGGTTTTTTTTGAATGTCGCTGTAAGCTCCGTTTCGAGGGGTTCATGGGATTGCGTATAATTTGGCAACAACAATTGCGGCCTCCCCAGGATCAACCCTGAGCGCGGATATCTCGGCCCAGACATCTGAACCAGATCTGAACTTGCAAGCTGGTGCACGTCACGGAGTCACTGGTGCCTTGTCGGACTGAGTGATTTCCCGGTTGACACAACCATAGTGGTACGATCTATCACATCTGTTCCAATCATGCACCTTCCGTCCTGCGCAAGCAACTACACGCGTACTATGATCATGATCAAGGTAAGACCCTCCCTACCGTGCCCACGTGGAGCTGATGCCGTCAACCAGGCTCATGTCCGAACAGATGTCAGGTTCATCAGATGATGAGAACGTTGTGCTGTGCAGTCACCCGTGCCACCTGTGTACTGCTTCCCTTCACTTCTACCATTAAACTGACTGGAGCTGTCAATTTCAGCAGGAACGTTCTGGGTTTTAATGTACACTATGGTTTGCTAATTTTTATCGTATACGACGAACGTGCAACTGGTTCAAACGCGCGCAAAAACCACTTTCAACAAATTGGCAAACCCAATCGCCGCCAAAGCTAGCTGATGCTGATGCAGCCAATGCAATGCTCACTTCTGATTCCTTCTGAGGCTTATTGAATTACATCATGGTTAGCGTTCTGATCCCTAGTATGCACTATGCACCGCTAATATCCATCCAGTAGAGCGGAAAAAAGAATTGGGTTACGTGCGCGCCGAAAAAAAGTTTATCAGCTATACTTTTGAAACATGATCAAAACAAGCTGCTGCTGATGGTGTTATGCACAGCGAAACCCCCATCTTCAGCATCCCCGCGATGTGATATCAGATTTTCGAATAAGGTTTGAAAATTGATACTTGCTGTGTGTCTTGATTTTAGAGCTGCGGTCCATTAGGACGAGTGGGCAGTGCCTACATGGAACATGCGCGCGGAGCATCATCAATAGATGATTCCGAAAGTGAATTGTCTCATAATGGTGTAAAGCGCAGCGCGTGAGCACATTTCCTTGGTGATTTTGCGGTGTCCCTGAGGTCTTTTTGCTTGACATAGTTCCAAATATCATTCACACGGTGGTATCCTGTTAACAAGGTATCATGTTTTGATTCAGTTACCTGCAAGTCTCCACCTATTATTTCCTCGTTATATTCCTTGATTCGACCTGTCACATTTATATTTATCTCTGACTCGGTGTTAAACATATTTCTTAGTGACTGACATATCCATGTCAAACCGAGAAAATATTTCGACATGATGAGACTGCGGCCCAACAACAACATGCCATCAGTTATCGCATCGGTGTCAGCAATTCAGCGACTCTTGTAACAATGTAACAAACCTGTAGACAATGTATCCCCATCAGCACCCATCGACAAGCACCGAAGATCTCTAATCGCGATCTCCATGAGGACCAAGATGTTAATGTAAATCATCTTCGATCCGCCACCCTTCAACGTGTCCCATGATGAGCCACTTCCGCACGCACATCCACCAACACGAGGCGAACATTCAAGGTTTAAAACGTTTAAGTTGTGTCATTTGTAGATGTATTCATCTCCGCAGCGATCGCTCGCAGCACCTTATAATAAGGGCAAGATAGGGCAGGGTTGGAAATTTGGTGTCGGATATGAATGTGTATGATATGCGTAGTTCTCTTTTCTGTGAGTAGGAAGCTTCGGGAACGTTCAACGAATCACGAAGAAACATGGGTATCAAAGGCACTGCGATGTTTTGTTGTATTGATCATTATTCCTGTCGAGATGTTCCGAATCCGCAAACTCCGTCAAGGCACAGGAGGGAGATTGTCACCGGGGCGGTACTGGCAACATGTCATTTTAAGTGAAAACAATGAATTATTTTAAGATCGGCATTCTAGTTATATTACCGCTAGCGCTAGAAGGCGCCAGACCATTGAAATTGGTTTTGATGTCGGGCGTATAAAATCATTGAGCGCGTAAAGAAGCTTCAACCGGGTGTCGGGCAAGACTAGGGCGGAGGAACTGATGGAAAAAAGATTGGAATTGCAAAGTGGAGTATCACAGCCTGAGGAAGGAAGCGTGAAATTGTAAAGTGGGGCACCACAGCCCGAAGACAAGAGCGTGCCTCTCCAAGGTCCCAGGTCCATGCCGATGAATCAGCATGGAACACTTTGGGTTCAAGGAATAAATCATTTGAAGGATGTCAAATATTGTTGCTGCAGGGGCGAGGTATTACGGCGGGATAACACCTACAAACTGTTAATCATAGACACTAGGAAGCACATGCATACATTTCAAAACAATCAACTGCGGCGCAAGCCGAGACCCAAGGAGTCGCTTTCAGGACAAAGAACCTAGGAAAGCGACGGCATGATAAATTAGTAAGAGTTGAAGAACAGGGGTGAATAATACTAGGAAGTCAATGAAATATGCCCGAATGTGGAGAGGCGAGCTATCAAAACCCACAGCTCTGGCGCACTACGAACTGGTGCGCTTTCCTATAACGTCAATGATGCGTTAAATGGGAAATAATGAAAAGATAAACAGAGAACGTGCCCAGGTGGAGATTGTTTTGTCCCGTAGAACTATTTTCCACGCCCCGTTGCAATGTGCTTGAAGCGCGTACGGTACCTTTCGGTGCGTAGCCGTCCCCGACTCATTAAGACTCAGGGTTCGTAGAATGGTTCCATTCGAAAATAGGCAGTGTGATAACAGTGAAAAAGCTTCTTGACTGACATAACATACGCAGTGCCACGTAGCCTGTGTCGTGGAGCCCGGACGAGGCCGTACGAGGCCGGTGCTTACAGAAGCGAACAGACTTACGTGATGTGGAGCGGGACAAGCGCTGTTCCCAAATTGACAAGTTTAATGCAGATAGAACCTCAATTGAGCCGACGGAGTATAGTTGTTTTCATGAGACAATCTGAAGTGAAAAGAGATGGGGCCCCACCAGTTCCGATGGGAACAGGTATTCTCCTCGGGCAAGGGGGTTATGCCACCGTTATGGTGAAAGTGGAAGACCCCGCATGCATTTTTAGCACTTACCATTACATTCCCCCGACCGACGGGCAGTGGGACGCCGATGATATGTCCTTATCAGTGATTTGCTAGTAAATTTTTTGGCTCATGATCAGATCAATTACGGAATTTTCCTAGTGAGGCGCCTACGATGTTGAGCGCTATACTGCGGATGAAGAGGCGGAGCACAATAGTGCCACGTCGACTGGTTGCCGTCTTGAATGCTGTGGAACAAAAGTAAGCTGAGTACCATTGAATTTATTTTGGTCGATGGTGATTGAGATTCCCCAAGTGCCTTGGACTGCCTCATCGCGGGGGATCTGCTTGGAACGATTGGCAACGCTGGCGAAAGCTGTGCGATTATATCCTGACGTCAATCGTGATGAGTGTATACAACAATTGACTCGACTCAAGGACACTTACCGCGGTGGCCAAGAGAAGGTTACGGTCACGGTTGCAAAAGGCAATGACTCGGGCTACGACGGAATAGGAAAGTTAACCTTGTCACAGGATTATTCATGCGTGAGTTAACTATCGATGGGAGTTTACTGATCTAAAACATGACTTGTTGTAGATAACCTCAATCATTCAGCCGATGCGGTCGGGACGAAAGCAATAGATTCAGAGCAGACAAGCGCTCCAAATAGATTGGGAAAGGACTTCGGCTGCCGTAAGAACGCGAACCGTAGGCTGTAAGCGGGCAACGAGCACATGACCCGCTTGGAAACGGCTGTGTTGTTTGAACCAGTCCATTTCCCAAGTGCTTAGTGCCTGGTTCGTTGTCTTTTTTCCCTCGAAATTCAAGTAACGCTTCAAGTCATCATTTCTGTCTCCTGTTGGTAGCGGGCTATGCGTTAACCCTTTCCGAACTGCGCCAAGGAACTATAACTATAAAAGTCGCGACATGAATATGGATGCATTCGTTTTATCACCCATCTACAGTCCTACAGTCCTCTTCACGGGCAACTACAGTCCGCATCCAGCTATAATAGAACTGACAAGCGTCAGACCTCAATCACCTACCCCCACTACCACAGAAATCATCACTATGCCGGGCAGACACGTCCACTTCAACGAGGAGAACATCTTCTACTCTCCTGCTCCTTCAGAATCGAGCACCTCGCCGACTCTCTCAGAGTCGTCACTACCATCCTCAACTGGGCCAACTACGCCCCCTCAGCTGAGGGAGTTCATCCCCTTGGGCCCCGTTACTATTAACCCAATTCTTGCCTACCACCCCTTCGTTTTCCCCATCAACTATGATGTCTCATATCCACCCAATACCGCCTCCGCTAACATTCGCGCCTCACCTTTCAACCTTGATTCCTACCGCCTCGCAGAGGCTGCCACCAGCCCACCCATTCCCGTTCTCTCGCTCCAAAACGACCTCCTCCCATGGCGCTGCGAAATCCGCGCGTCGACATGCTTCTATGTCACCGTCGGGGACGTTCTCACTCAACTCTACAGCTTCCTCCGTACTCCGGGGACGCGTGAGGAGTTCAAAGCGACTCCCAGTCAGAGCATCCGGGACACCATATCAGCAGTATACCGCAAACGGTGTTCGCGTGCCTCCTCGGCTGAGGCGTACGCCGAAGAGCAGCGGAAGGGCTTGAAGCGGGTAGACTTCTTAATGGGGCGCACTACGTTCATGGGGCTATCCAGCACAAAATTGGGTCCAGAAGCGTGGGTGCTAAACCTACAATGAGCAATCGCCGCTATACTAGCAGGGAAGCGAGAACGGGAGGAGTCAGCAGCAGAATCATTCATTATCCACATCCACATCCACATCCACATCCAACCACCACGCATATGACACGGACACATTCCAAAAACAGATATCGACGACGATTGGAGCTCAACTATAACTTTATCATATATAACAAACTCTACTCGTCACCGTTTTTCTTATTCTTACACTTATATCCCATATACATTACGCACACACTTCGTCTTCGCAGTTTTTTTTCCAGCTGGTTTTTATTGTTGTTGTAGAATTAGTGTACCCCGGCTTGGAGGCTCAATTTCTTGGTCGTCGCTCGTCGATATCCCTACGTTTGTTGTAATGTAGAGCCTCATCCATACTTGTCATAATATTGACGTATCAGGATTTTTTCACAAGATATCCTTGGATACCTTTTCTTGTTAAGTCTCGGTGAATGCCTTGATTCGGACAAGACCTTCGCTTAATCAAACGGACCTCATGGAGCAAGACATTGTGAGAGAGAAAACAATCAAAATCGTGGGAGTTCCTAGGGTCGGCACCGTCACCTCCATGACAATCACCCCACTGGATTGTTACGTCCGGATTCACTTGGCACTGACGTCGCAGCAATTGATCATGACATCTGCTGCGGTATTACAACATAAATTTGCATAGTATCCAAACAGCGATCTCCAAGAAGATAGTCTCTATGCTCTGCCCATCAGCGCGCATCCCTCTCGAGCTTGGATCTGATGCCCAGGAGACGACCTAACAGAGCCTAACAGTAACTTTCCCATCGCACATATGATCGGCACGTGCCACTCGATCATACATTAGAACCTAAATCGGGATTCATCTCTTCATTATGTCCGATCCTTTGCGTCCTCCGCGATATAGCTGTGGTGACCGCATACTTGCGTCATAGATTCTGGGAGACAATATAAGAAGGGTTGGAGATGTGTTTCTTTTCTTTTATGAACTATGACCACGGACAACACAAACACTACTACTAGTACTACGAAGAGTGAAAGTGGGAGTGGAGGGGGGTTTGGGAGTAAGCTCAAGTACGTTCCGTGTCTTGATTTCATTGTTCGAGTCGGGTCGTTGAATAAATCCGCAGAGGAGCCGCTCAAGTCATCCACGGTCATTCATACTCGCTTCAGAACCAATAACGATTATAACCCTCTGATTTATTTAGGATTTGGCGATAATATTCGAGGCTCAGCACTTGGAGCTGCCGATCGTGCTACGAGCTCTACAGCTGGCGTGCAGAAGAACGTGGACCTTGCTACGAAGGGCCGGGCTGAGATTGCCGAGGGTATGGCAATGATGAAAGGTCATGCGCCCGCGGCTCAAGGTGCCTCTACCGAAACGACACCGGCTGGAACGGCACCCCCTGCAACGGCGCCTGCTGGTCAAGGTACGACTGCGGAATCTGGGACTGGAGCAGGTACTGGCACCACAACTGGGACTGGCGCAGGTACTGGCGCCGCAGTCGGCGGTGCTGCTGCAGGGGTGACGGATCAAGATCGACAACGGGGAACAGGTGACGAAAAATCAAGTGCAGTTGGGAGAAAGACTGGCCCTGAGCCAACAGGTTAGTGCTTTTCCACTTTACTTCCACGATTGACAGGATAATTATTTTTAATCAAGGTTCGGGTGCTGCTCAGACTGGTCGTGAGGCTGCTGTAGGCGCAGGGGCAGTACAGGGCCAAGCTGGGACTGGAGCAGGTACTGGGGCCACAACGGGGACTGGCGCAGGTACTGGGGCCGTAACTGGGGCCGCAACTGGGGGTGCTGCTGCAGGGGTGACGGATCAAGGTCGGCAACAGGGAACGGGTGATGAAAAATCAAGTGCAACGGTTGCCGGAAAGACTGTACCTGAGTCAACAGGTTAGTGTTCTTCACCTTTACTTACCCGGTCAACGGGATAATTATTTCCATCAAGGTCCGGGTGCTACTCAGACTGGTCGTGAGGCTGCTGTAGGCGCAGGGGCATTGCAGGGCCCTGGTGAGGCTGCTGCAGGTACAGGCGCAGCGCCCGAGCAGAAACAGCAATACCCGAGTGCTGTAAGTCAAGAAGAAGAGAAACACGACGAGCGGAATGTCCCAGAGCGTTCACAGAGCGGCGATACCGGCCAGACTCCTGCACAAGGGACCACAGAGGACCGCCCTCAGCAGAAGGCAGAAGTTTCACAGAAGGGTGTCCAGCAGGAAGGTGAACCGTCCAGATGGGTGGACCACGGAAAAGAGAAGATTCATTTCCTGGGCATCTCGACGGACGACGAAGGAGGTGAACAACCGTCTCAACAAACGACAGAAAAAACGCGTGAGGTCTCCCACGAAGGTACACAACAGGAAGACGGACAACAGTGAGCGCACGTGCCGCTCAAGAGGGAGGAAAGATACGTTTTTAGGATCTGCAGGGTTGCGGTATCTAATTGACAGTGAAATAAATCTGCGGCTTCCAAGCTTGGTTCCGGCTCAGTGACCCTGACGGTAGGAGTCATGAGAGTCTAGGTACCGCGATGTAAAAATGTAGTCTGTTAGGCTGTTCTTTAAACCATAATGCACTCGGGAATTCGGAACGTTGCTTATTCCGATTTCAAAATTAGAAACTCATTTGGATCAGTCTGATAGCCTACTTGCCTTTTGTACTTGTGCGCTCACCACGCATCACGGTATTCCCAACATGTGGACATATTGCGCCATTATCAGGCGCCCTTCTTATATGATTTCCTGTTCCCTTCATTCCAGTAGCGGCATTACGCCATTATCAGGCGCCCACCATATACCCTGATATCCTGTGTCCACATCTCCCACCTCATCTACAGGAATGTCTACTCGTTGGTGGTCGCGATCGAGCAAGAAGCAGGAAGAGGACCATACTTCTGAGCTCAGCGAAAATGATCAGAGAATTCAGAAGAAACCAAACGATGATACTGACCTCAATCCTGGAGAACTGACTTTTGAAGAAGGTGTGGTTGCTCACTTCCTTCAACTTGCTCGTCTGACGCCATCCAGATACCGCTGGAGGCCTCGGTCGTCACCTTGGTGTAACATCTTGCACTCTCCTTATCGTTGGACGGATCATCGGCACCGGTATATTCTCAACGCCATCCTCCATCCTCTCCAGCGTGGGGTCAGTTGGCGCCTCTCTCATGCTCTGGGTCCTTGGTTTCTTGCTTAGCTTCTGTGGCCTCTTCATATGGCTCGAGTTCGGCACTATGTTCCCTCGTAGTGGTGGAGAAAAAGTATACCTTGAAGCTGTCTACAGAAAGCCCAAATACCTCGCCACCGTAGTCTTCGCTGCCAACGCTATATTGCTTGGATTCACTGCGAGTGGCTGTATCGTGAGTCATCTCTTGTTTTGGATGGATATTCGGTGTTGAAACTTAACTGCTTCATCAAGGTCTTTGCCAGCAAGTGCGTGCTTCGGATCTCAATGAAACGACTCGGCTGATATGATGTAGCATTTTGGTTGCTGCTAACCAAATCGCAGGTCAATGGAATGAGCGTGGAATTGCACTTGGAGGTATGGTCTCCTACCTAACTGATATGTTACGGTCGTTTCATGGACTTTAGTCATCTTCTTCGTAACCCTTCTACACGGATTGACCCCAAAGACCGGCGTATTTATCATGAACGTATGCAAGCTTCCATCTTTACACCATCATCATATTCAACATCTTCCTTCCAGTTGCTCTCGATATTCAAGATTGTGATTCTGGTGTTCGTCGTGGTTACAGGCTGGGTAGTCCTCTCGGGCAAGACCCGCGTCACGGATCCGCACTATAATTTTAGAAACGCGTTCGCGGGGAGCTCCACGAGCAGTTACGAGGTGCGTTTAGTGATATCCCAAGATGTCCATATGTTGAGTGTAGTCTTCACAGTATGCTACCGCCACCTTCAAAGTCCTGAACGCATATGCGGGATGGTCTAACGTGAATTACGTGATGAACAACGTCCGTAATCCAGTGAGGACGCTCAAGATCGCAGGCCCGCTCGGTCTTGGTATATGCGCCGTTTTGTATTTGCTTGCAAATGTGGCTTATTTCGCGGCTGCAACCAAGGTAAGAACTTGTTTTGTGTGTGTACCACGAATGAAATACTGAATGGTATCGACAGACGGAGATCGACAAGTCTGGCGTTACTGTCGCTGCTTTGTTTTTCGGGAATGTCTTTGGTTCCACTGCGGAGCGTGCGCTATCGGTTTTCATTGCTCTCAGGTGAGTTCGACATCCTGGGTTTGAGGGTTTCCTGACTTATTGTCTTCGTATCAGTGCTCTCGGAGTGAGTCCTATATATTTTATATCATGATCTCTGTCTGATGATGGCCCATAGAACGTTATTACTGTGGTAAGTTGAGGGATACTATTGAAATGTATTGGCACAAGAACTTTTCATCTAGACTTTTGCTGCGTCGCGAGTAAATCAAGGTCCGTCATACCGAACATCGTAGTCCTACATAACTTATGCTTCAATCACAGAGCTCGCAAAGGAAGGGATACCCTTACCATTCGGGAACAAATTCTGGGCTTCAAATTGGCCCACAGGAAAGTCCCCACTTCCGGGATTGATTATCCACTTGATACCATCGGTAAGTACTACAGTAGAGTCTACATGATATCAATCTGAGATTGGTTTTCTAGGTCATCATCATCGTCGCTCCTCCCCCAAACATTGTTTACCCTTTCATTTTGGACGTCGAAGGATACCCACAGCAGATTATTAATCTCTTTATTGTCATTGTACGTCTTTCGACTCTTTCTCGAGCAATTCTTACCTCTTGATGCTGCCAGGGTCTGTTCTATCTGAGATGGAAGAAGCCAGATGCTGTTCGGCCATTCAAAGGTGAGCAAATATGTCACTCTTCCTGTGTGGTACCTTCATGCGTATGATGTAGTATGGTGGCCTCTCGCTGTATTCTTTTTGGCTGCTGCCGTCTTCCGTGAGTCACCCATCTACAGCTTCGACGTTTCTTTCCCTAACCAAACCTCTACACAGTCCTCGTCGCTCCGTTCCTGAGACCACCGGGCGGCGTTGGCGACACCCCACCATTACCATATTACCTGTACGCCTCTTCCACTAATGCATCTATTATCCTCATTCATCGCTTGTTCTATAGGTACTGCCTCGTTGGAATCGCGATCATGCTCGCAGGCGTGCTGTACTGGGCCGTATGGCGAATCCTCCTGCCCAAGGTATTTGGGTATAAGCTTGTACCGAGGAAGGAGAAGTTAGACGATGGGACTATCGTCGCCGTAGTGAGTGTTTGCGTTTTGATTCTATGTTTGGTAGTTTTGCTCACGGAACCTATTTTCAAGCTTTCGAATCAGAAGATCCAGCGATCTGAGGACTAATTGGAAGTGCTGATAAGTCGGTCTGTTGTTGTTGTAGTGCTCGTTTGATACACAATTTATTTATGCGGTATCATACTACGGTGTACTAGTCGAAGTCTAGATCGGATCCTCGGACAGCTGTGCTTTCTACCCAGTGCCGTGACTTTTCCTAAGCTTCTGCCGACAGCACAGTCACCAATCCCGTTGAAAGTCTTGTTCCTCATGATATCTTCTGCCTGAATTGATGAATGCGATATATAATGCTGGTGGTACTGACATGTCATGTGTAAGTTTGACGGTCTTGAGATGCCGGCTTGCTGCACACCCGAACCTCTGCTAAATGCAGCCCATAATGCTATATTAATACATCTGAGATGGACAGTCATCCATAAACACCGATACATGGGAGACTCGGATGCATTGACATACACCGACACCATCAAGTTCTAAAACAGTTTCTGCATCTGGAGTGACAGTAATCACACGAGCATTGATGAAATCCTCAGGGTAGTATGTTTTTGCCGCCCAAGATGAAGATGCGAGACAGGAGGATCTCCGGCGCTGTCTTCTGGATCAAGATGTACTAGCACAAACCCTCAGGCAGAGCGATATAGCTGTCGTTTTTCCAGTAGCTTTTATTACTGTATTAATACTATCCAGATGCATTTTAAATACCAACCAATCTATGAAGGAACAGGTTGTCGCCATATAATAGTGCTAGAAGTCCAGCTTCATCTGGTTCTAGAGTCAATGCTACAATCTGTGAGGTTGGGCTGGACCGAGCGTTAGTTCGGGGTGGGACGCAAGCAGGTGGGAGGGCGGGAACGAGTTTAATCGTGTGCTGACTTATGAACACTCATATGCGACAATTGAATATATTCTAGTTGGCAAATAACCAATGACGCTCGAGATAATCCGCGAAAGAAACGAATTACGACTAGTACTAAGGGAGTGGTGGGTGGGGTCAAAGAACGAAAGTAACGACCAGTGAGTGTGCGAGAGCTATACCGAGCTCGTTGTTGACGATGGGTGGAAGAAAAACGAATGTGGGAGACTGCGCTGCCGGGAAGTCATGATACCCGGCACCTGGAATGAAAGGATGAAAAGCAAGAATGAGAGGTAGCGCTCGGATCAGAACGTGTGTCAGTGCTAGACGGCATGACGGGTTCACGGTGGCACCGAGCAGCTTGGTTATATATATCAGGAGTGTGCATTCTCTTGAGCCTGCAAAGAACATCAGCTTCAATATCGCTACAAGAAATAAGCACTGCATAGCAGGTGCAGGCCTTACCAACATGAGAAGAAATCAACGACAGATTTGGCCATTTAAACCTGTCTACTCGACTCTAGTATATCTTTCAAGGAGATGTTGCTCCTCTCGCACATTTGGCGGAAAAGTCCACCCTCTGTTTTGAAAAGATTGGATGGAGTATCAAATTCCTTTGATAGAGTGTGAGTTTCGACCGACAAAAGGTGTTCAAATCATCCTACAGCAACAAGGCCGGCATCAAGGACCAGAATCCGGTCATATGAAATGATAGTACGAAGTCGGTCTGAAGTATCATTGCGTCTCAGCATTTGACTGAGAGGACAACAGATAAAACGCACGGGCAATACAAAGTAGCGTCCGATCCTGGAATTCCGTTTGGATAGTGTGCTGGATCTTACTGTCAGTATCAAGATCGACAGAGGCTCTGGAAAAAATTCAACATCAGGCATCCAGGAGAAGAACACATGACTAACGTGGCCTCATCAAGCACAACAACTTTGCAGTCTTTCACAAGCGCACGAGCTAGACTGAGCAGAGATCTCTCCCCAACACTGAGGTTCGCTCCCTCGCTCTCAATGGTACTGTCAAGGTGGTGGCGGCTGGTGGGAGCTTGCTCGATTCCGGCGCCATCACTGGAAAATGACTGTTTCGAAGTGGTGCTGGAATCAAGCAGACAAGATCGACGCAGTGCATCCCATAGCTCCGTGTCACTGTATTGCGAGAATGGATCTAGGTTGGAGCGTATGGTCCCTGGTAATGATTCAGCGCTTCACACAAGAGCACGTAGAACGATGCTCACCGCTAAATAGAATGGGCTATCGGGTTCATACATCAGTCCTGTGTTACATGGTATATGGAGACTTTACAGACGTCTTGTGGGATAATAGAAATCTTGGAGCGGAGATCTTGAAGACCAATTGTAGATATATCGATACTAGAAGGGGTGAACCAACCAATATTAGTCACGAGCGATGATCCACGCACCCATCAATAGTGATTGAACCACCAGACATCTCAACAATCCGAAACAGTGCAAGCATCAATGAAGATTTTCCAGCACCAGTCCTGAGAAGACACCGCATTAGCATACGGGTGTAGATCCAACAAAGCGGCTGACCTTCCAACAACGCCTATCTTTTCGCCTCCCCTAACCTTGATGGAGATACCTCTCAATACGTTGGGAAGGCCCGGCCTATATGCCATTTTAACGTGGCTGAATTCGATGGTGCCATGTTCAGGCCATTGGGCCGGGGGCTTTTGTTCTTGAAGTTCATACGGAGCCTCTTGAGGTATCGTGTCGCCTGCGACGTACTGTGCCACTGCGAGATGTAAGCGAGAGTTAAGGTAAGATAGATTTGGTAGCTCACCTCGCTCCACTGCATTCATGTGATTCTGAGACAAATAAACGATTCAATAGCCTGTAATGTGGGATACTAAGGGAAGCCTTACCTCGACATCTGCTGTTTGTCTGGTTAACAGACCACACATTTGTGACAGCGAGGCTGTGACACAGAGGTTAGTCGCATGTACTTCGGTAGCGGCATTGGGAAACTTACTGGTATACGACAGTACCAACCCTATCTGGGCGGCGTTTATCCCGGAGACGTCGATCACCACGAGAAGAGTGACCTATTGAGATCGTAGCATTGCGTAAGTATGAGGTGTCAGTCGTTAAGTAGACGCCTACAATGAAGACTAATATGGCTCCTATGAAGTCCAACCTTATTGCAAGCCATCTGAGGGAAGATAATAAACCAATAACTGCCAAGACATGTAAAAGGTTACTTGCCTCTGGTTCGCAACCACGAGGAATAGTGCTCTATCTTCCAGATCAACGTAGTATCTATTGGCAGCAATAAATCGCTTCGTTTCTCCGTAGCTTCGGATTGTGGGAAGTCCTGTCAAGGTCTCCGAAAAGTGGGCATACAGAAGAGAGCGAAGCATTGAGTCTGATGACCAATTTCAACGGAGGCTTTCCAAGTCAAAAATACAAGAACAAACCCAGACGTTTGACTTCGCGAGCACCAGCTCGATACAAGGCAGTAAAGTAGCTGTAACTGAGAACGATGAAAAACATAGCAATAACTAGACAAGCATGAGCCGTATGACGGTAGATGATATCTATATACTGACCAAAGTACGGTTCAAGGACAGAAATGATGATAATAGAGCCCATCACGCTGGACAGCGTAATGATAACTGGATTTCCAGTCAGTTTCCGTAAAACGAAGCATGCGGCTAACGTACCCAATGTCAACGATTCTTGACGATGGATCAGCAACGTTTCATCATGCAGTGACAGATGACTCACGTGGTAGTTGATTGTCAATACCTGAGTGAGAGGTTTCAGCAAGCATAGCATAGCATACATCATCGAGATACTGACTGTCGATATCTTTCCCAAAAATACTCAGGATTCGGCCCATAGGCTACAGGTACACAATAAGCATCAGTTTTAATGCTTTCATACACGATCACTTACTGTAGTGTCGAAAAAGGACATGGATGCATGAACGACGTTGCGTACGGACTTGTGGTGCAGGCTTTGAGACACATAATAGGACATGAAATCCATTCCAGCACCACTGCAGCAAGTTATGTTGAGTGAGCGTGCCGCCATCTGCGAAAGGAACTGACTTACAGCAAGAATGTGAAAATTGCTTGACCAGCCCCTAGGCAGCCGTACAGTGTCTGATAGAACGAGTTTGGTCGGTTGAATTTGCTGCGCCAAAATTTAGAAGAGAAATAAAAAAAGTCAATAAAAAGATACTGACTTGGTCTCCCACCAAACTAGCGTGTACGAGTTGAAGATCAGGCACCCCTGCATCGCAAGCATGATGAGAAGAAGTAAGGGACCTGTTATTGAACCGCGGCCCGCAACAAGGTAGGTCCAGTACACTTCAATACTGTTTCAATCAAGGGAAACATCTCAGACGAACATGATCGCACCTTTCCAGGACACGGAGCCTGTCGACCGCTTCTCTTTGACGATCAAGCGACCTTCAAGTTTACCACTGCCAGTAGCCTGCTTTTGGGCTCTTTTTGACTTCAACTTCACATCCTCGATGGTAATGCATGTCTGCGGAGTGACTTCCTCTTCCTGGTTTTCATCTCCCCCCTCCGGCGCATGGCCACCGAACTCTAGGTCGAAACGTGCAAAATCACCACCGCGAGAGACCAGATCCTCATAGGTCCCACTCTCCGTGATGATGCCGTTGTTCATGGTATAGATGTAATCTACTTGAGAGAGGAAATGGATCGCATGCGTGACCAGAATGACAGTAACGCCACGATTTCGCAGCGCACCCACGATGGCATCTTGGAATAAGGACTTTCCAACATTAGCATCCACTGAAGGCATTCTTCAGTATGATAGACATAATATAAATGACATAGCTCACCTGCCGAGAGCGGGTCATCAAATATAACAATTTCAGGTTCGAAGTACAGAGCACGAGCAATGTTGACCTGGGTGGAAGATAAACATCGATCCTTAACAGATACAAGCCACGAACTCACTCTCTGCTTTTGGCCTCCGCTGAGGTTGATTCCCTTTTCTCCAATCTGAAATATAATATAAGCGGCGATATCAAGTTGGCTTCACCCACGTACCTCAGTTAAATCCCCATCTGGGAGCAGTTGGAGGTCTGGAAGTAGACAAGCGGTTTCGATAATGCGCCAATACCTATCCTCCTCGAATGGTTGGCCAAAAGTGATATTATCACGCTATGGTAAGATGTTAGATGTACTTGCCCTTGAAGTTAGGGCAGAAACCATGCTGACCAACGTAGCATTCTGAATCCACGCGGTCTGTGGACAATAACCAACGCGACCGCCAAATGAGACATGCCCGGAGACCTTCCTCATCTCACCTAACAGTCCTTGCAATAAACTGGACTGTTCATGGGTCAGTGGTCGCTTCGAGAATTTCATTCGACAAAATTACCTTGCCGCTCCCGACGGGCCCAACTACAGCGACAAGTTGACCTCGTGGAATGGTCATGGTCACATTCTTTACCTGAAAGATAGGTGTATCCTTTCCAGGAACGGGCTTTTCCTTTTCCTTTGCCATGTCTTCCTTCACATCTCTGTTCTTGCCCCTCGGTGGACCGCCGCCGCGTGCACCCTTCGAGCTGAAAGCCTCACCAGAATCTTTTGCATACGACTCCCACTCAAATGTCGCGTCCTTGGTCAGAAGCGCGGGTTCTTGGTCCTTATCAATCACGAGTGTATCTTCAGAAATAAGTTCCGCGCGGAACACGTGCGTAAGCCGCTGAATTGCGTTGGATGCATCGGGGATAGCCGATAGAGCGCGAGGCATGAACGTCATTGGTTGCCGGAGAAGCTAAAATTTATCTCTCGGGTAAGTGCGTGTCTATGTCCGCCGTAATAAACAATTTCACTTGGAATAAACTGAACGAACTGAATATGACAGCAACGTTGAAGTTGTGTGCTGTCAGGGTGTATGTGACGAAAGCTAGTGTGGCAGCGAGGACTGGCATCGAAGCCGCGAGGGCCAAGCTGTGTGAATTGAATTAGGAGGCGTTGCTATGCTATACACATTTGGACTTACTTCCCCGAAGTTACATGAAGAATCCTTCGAATACCATGCAGTTCCTTCTTTCGAAGGTCGAAGATTCCTAAGTAACATTCGTGAGTGTGTTGTTGATATTCCTCGATATCGTGCTTACTTTGAAGGAAAGGAACTTCGTATGTGAAGTATTTGACAACTCGTATAGCTCCTGCGTACTCTTTAGTATCATTGCATGTCCAAGCAGCTCCAAGGTTACGTACCGAGTACCTCTAGCAGAATTTTAGCTCTTTGATCAGTCCATTTCATCGATACTGAGCGAATACGGCGCTGCACTGCCATTAACCGCTGTTGAATCGGAATCATGAGGACAAATAGCGAGAAACCAGCGAGTGCAGACGGCCCGAGCTAGTTTCCAAGTTAGAGCAAATCGAACTCTTTACAGTGTACGACCAACCTCAGTTAAAAGAATGATTAAACAAACTGTGACCTGAATAGGCGCGGTCCAGGCTTGAGGACAGTAAGTCATCTCTAAATCTGAATGTCAGAGATCCCATATACTGACCTGCATGCTAGTAGCGAGGGACAGGCAACAAGTCAGTCGACAGGATGAGTGCAACGCTTAAGTTTGCAACTCACAAACCACTGCGCACACGCGTCAATCCTGCTCACGTCGGTAGAAATATGGTTAACAAGTGTGGCATTGTTAAGTTTAATGCGCGCTTTGCCCGTGAGATTCACTCCACGCTCGTAGATGCATGTTATCAGCGCGGCTCTAGCCAGTACGCCTGTAGCCATTGAATGCCAAAAGAACTTGAAAACATTAGGTGAGCCGAGTGTAATTCATAAGGTCTTACAAACCTGGTGGGAGCAGACTCTGCACACCATAGTTATCGCAAAGAGCCCAAGAGCCATGGCAATACCGCGGCCGACATTAGGGGCAGGTGTTCCTGCAATGGTCGCAGCGGAACGCTCCTGCGCAAAGATAATGATGTGCTGCGGGGGACATCAGAGGTTACTACAACCCAACACAAGTTGTTATTTACCCGAAGGACGATAGGAACCATGAGCTGTGCCATGTCAGCGACGACCTGCCAAGTGATGTTGTACATTGAATATGAAAGCGACAATCTATGAAGAAAACCCATGCCTTGAATACACCTCCAATCCAGAACATACCACAAAAGACATCGTTCAAAGCCCAAGCAAGGCTGGCCTCTTTCCGCCCTCCGCATTCTCGCCAATGGTTGTGAAACGCTGCATATCGCTCAGACAAAGTCGCGCCTTGTTTTTGATTAATCCTTGAAATTGCACGCATGGTCCAGCCGATACGTTTGAAGAGAGACGGCCTGAGCTCTCCACTCTCAAGTCGTGCATTCCAGTCGGCTGCTGCCTTGATACGTTGTTGCCATGCAGCTTCAAGTTTAGCGGCAAGGACGGTCGACTCTCGGGATGGGTCCATTTTGTATAGATCAGATGCTTGTAATGTGCGTTGATATCCGAGAATCTGGGTGTATGCGTTATAACAGTATACGCTTGATCAGGATTCAATGACTGACTATTATATCAGTGACCCAGGAGTAGGTGAGCCGAGAGAAAATAGAAGCATTGACCAAAGGCGTCAACTGTAGGATACCATGTTATTAGAAGGGCTCTTCAGAAAAGGAGCGTAGGTGGTTTACGCACCACTGCATCCTCCAGAGACGAGGGCGCTGGAGGTGGTGGGTCCCTAGGTAACCTGCTCGCAGCTCGATGAACTTCGAAGGACATTGTTTATAAAATAGCTTCACTTACCACAACTGCCAGCATTTATGACGAAAGTTGGTATACTCATTACCGGTATCGAGCTGAAGGTTTAAAGGTTGAAGGTTAGTTGCGCTGACCTCCTCGACCTTTTCCTTGTCCCCCTTCACAGATTCTTCTGACCGTTGGGAGTTCATAGTACGAAAGAAAGCGGGGACAGAAAATGCTGCGCCAGGTGGATAGCAGCTCTGAGGAAGAATTGGAGCGCGACATCGGCCTTCAAGTTATTATATTATAAATACACAATAAGTATGAAGATAAGCGTGAGTCAATTGCTTCAAGAAGCAACGTTTAGATGAGTGTGTAGTGAAGTGACCTGTTACAATTTCAAAATAGATCGCTTTCAGAATGACGTGACAGTGGGACCCGGTGAACTCCTTCACAAGCTGAGAATTTGTTCCTTCTCTACGCAGAACTTTGGGTCTGACTTGGGTAGAAGAAAAGATATCCGAGTCCGCAACCTGGGTGAAAAACGTGAGCTGTGAAGCATGTGAAGGGTGGGTGGGCCCGAACGGGTTACGTATCACGAGTGTACAGTATACGAGTATGAGCTTCCTTTGACTACCTGAGAGAGGGAGTGGTGGTGGGTGGTGGTGCTCGTCTACGAAGTTCGAGCAGCATACGTAAATTAGCGCCCATATAAAAAGTCAACGGATACATACAGACTAGAAGTTCCAAATTCCGTTCTCACGGTGCGGCACCCTCAATAAGTATTTCCAATTTGCAAGTGTTACCAATCTAAATCAAATGTTGTGTCTGTCGTCGAGACAGGAATCTCAACGTTGCAACTATCTGAGCAGGTTGGGATGCAAGCCAGCAGTGCGCTCGCTGCGAAATGCAGCGAACGTCTGCCAGCAGGCTGGCAGCATCTTAGCTAGACTCTTCAGTAAGCTATCATATTCACGCTATTTCAAACTTTTTCAACAGATTGCGGCGCCACCACGTCAGAGTCTCGAAATTCAATATTCAGCTGCAGATTTTCCCATGATTCAGACGTCCGTAGGACCGTACTTGATGATCGTGACAATGGCAACCACTACTTAACGACTACCCATCTATCGACGGCTTTCCACTTTGACTGAACACACAGTGTACCCAGTGACAAAGCTGGGTGGATACAATTGTACATTGCTCGATCTCTGCGCTGGATGGACTGCGTAGCGAAGGAGCATGCAAACGCAGATGTTAATTATGAGCAGGTGCGTTCGTTCGTTTCATACTTTGTCCAAGTATGTTTAATCCGATGAACTCATCATACTCGTGAGTCCTGCACCCATACATCTAGACATCTCATTTAACGCCCACAGCGGCCGATCAAGCATCCGCAACCGCCTCTCCAGCATGCTCCAACCAGGCAACCCCATCTAGGTTCATGACTACCATCTCCTCTTACTAGTCCCGTGCATGGTCAGAAGTGCAATGTATGCCAGTACTGTGAGTAGCGTAGGTTGGGAGAGTAGTGAGGATGTGCAAATGCTTTTTGAACAATGACGGCAAGAGTACTGGTACGAACGACACTTGGTCAAGTGCTCCGTCACCCGGAGTACGCAAGACCCGGTGTGAATATTTTGAATTGTGGTTGAACCTGGTTTGAACGCGAACTAGACTTCGGCCGCACTACTCATTTTCATCGACATTCTCAGTAGTACTGCTATAACTGTCCTCACTCCTGTTGCTGTCACTTTCGTCATCTGGACGATCAGAGTCGAGAATGAAACACCACCCTCAAGCCCGCACCTCAGTGATGCAATTTGCATGGACCCACCCACGTAATGAGATCTGATTTGGCATCAACTCGACACCCCCCTCTGTTCGTAGACTTACTCGGTTCCCACCCGCTCCATTCCTCCATCGGATCTCAAAGCAAATGAGGTATAACTCCCTCGGCAGAGGTCAAGACCTCAGTCACTGCTCGTCAAGCACATCTTCTAGTCATTGATAAGTAAGGATCCGATTTTGAATTTATTTATAACCCACTGTCACTCATTAACGCTACTTCGTTCAGGTTTTTCAACAAGTCGCCGTACGGAAAGTCACGCTGTACCATATGGTTCGGCAACAAGATATACCTCGTTGTGGTCTAGTTTATGTCTAAGTCTTTGACAAACTGGTTTTTGGCAATATGGGTGAACTCGGTCTAGGCTAGACCGCCAAACTCGGTCTTATACCGCCGAGCTCGATCAAATACCGCTGCAATCCATGATGCGGAGCGCAAATCTCTGCATATGGAAATCTAGTGCCAAGCCACTGCTACACCTTGCTCTCGTTGGCAAGCTCACACTGGCAGTATCCGTCATGGCCACCATCTGTTATTATTCTTGCAGACGGTGTTGACAATGGGATTGGGGTAGAGAATTCAATTGTATCGTACCGAGCGTTTCTGCATAACTACCCAATGTGATTTCCTGGCCAATCAGGTATGTCGCATGATGTCGATGAAGCAATTGTCTGTATGATGGACGCGAGAATTTGTATTTCTTTTGGGGAGAGCCTCTGCGCTACTAATCACACGAGTCATTTTATAAGGTAACTTGTATAAGGACACGCCTTCGGTCTTCTCTTCGACGACAAAATGTGTTTACAGTAGCAAGTGAAGAAACACGATATAGGTCAAATGCTGTGCACGCCAGCGTGAGTTCTTGGCAACCATTGAATGTGGTTGCATACGCAGCGCGCAGCGGAAATTGCCTTCGGTTTACTGTCCACAATGAACGGTGTGAGAAGTTGATGCGTAGGGTGTGGCAGCTTCGCGTGTATAGAGAAGTCCGATATGTTCCGTTAAATGGCGCAAACGCAATTTGGTTTCAGATCTAGGCGATTCGGAGGAGGTACTCCAGGGTGAGTCGACATCGCGAGCATCACTTACTAGCCTTCTCACCCAAAGTCTAGTCTGCAAGTCTTCCACATTCCTTTCATCATCCTGCAAGCGTGCTCGTCACGTCATCCTCTTCTCTGACTAAGTTCACTTGGTTCGGCAAATTTGAAACATCTACAAAGCCATCATTTATGTAAAGCAGCTTTTTAGGAAACCATGTCCTTAGTGCGCCGATTCAAAAGTTACAAACTCAATTAGAAATCATTACAACAGCCTAATCCATTCGACTTGTCTTCTGTACGGTATAGTGCCTCAAGGCCTCACCACTGGTCCACGGTGTCATAGTGTTCACCACATGTGAACCTATTGCGCAATTTTCGAGCACCTTAACTCAGGATGGTGATAGTATCTACTCAAATTTCGTGGAGACGCCGATGGCGAGGATTTAGCCAGCAAAAAAGGACCCTGTTGCGAGAACACATTATCACATTAGGACGCGTTATGTGCTGCTATGTACGTAGTAAGATTTATTTATTTCCTATTCTTTCTCTTCCTCCCGATTTTGAAATTAGGAATTCAATTGGAGATCACCACTGGTCCACATCATGGTGTTTACAACATGTGCACTTATTGCGCACATATCGAGCACCCTTAAAGTATCTGCCTTCAAGGTGCTGATATCTCGTGTTCACTATTTCCCTCCTTCATCTACAGGAATGTCTACTACCTGGTGGTCGCGGTTAAGCAAGAAACAGGAACAGGACTGTGCTTTTGAGTCACAGTCCAGCGAAAAGGATCAGAGGATTCAAAAGGAACCAGACGACGATCCTGAGCTTAGTCCTGGAGAACTGACCTTTGAAGAATGTGAGGTTGCTAGCTATCTTTTCAACTTGCTCATCTGACGTCATTCAGATACCGCTGGAGGCCTCGGTCGTCACCTTGGTGTAACATCTTGCACTCTCCTTATCGTTGGACGGATCATCGGCACCGGTATATTCTCAACACCATCCTCTATCCTCTCCAGCGTGGGGTCAGTTGGCGCCTCCCTCGTGCTCTGGGTCCTTGGGTTCTTGCTTAGCTTCTGTGGCCTCTTCATATGGCTCGAGTTCGGCACCATGTTCCCTCGCAGTGGTGGAGAGAAAGTATACCTTGAGGCCGTCTACAAAAAGCCCAAGTACCTCGCCACCGCAGTATTTGCTGTCAACTCTATATTACTTGGATTCACTCCAAGCAGTTGTATTGTCAGTGATTTCTTGTTTCGCATAGATATTCGGTGTTAAAACTTAACTGCTTATTTAAGGTTTTTGCCAGCCAGTGCGCATTTTGGATCTTAATGAAAAGGCTCGGCTGATATGATGTAGCATCTTGGTTGCCGCTGATCAAACCGTGGATCGCTGGAATGAACGTGCTATTGCACTTGGGGGTATGATCTCCTACACAACCGGCATGTTGCGGTCATTTACATGGCCTTTAGTCATATTCTTCGTAATTCTTATACACGGATTGGCTCCAAAGACCGGCGTGCTGATAATGGACGTATGAAACTTTCATTTTTACACCATCATATTCAACTTGATCTTCATTTTAGCTGCTTTCGATATTCAAGATCGCAATTCTGATGTTCGTCGTGATCACAGGCTGGGTAGTCTTCTCTGGAAAAACCAGCGTCGCGGACCCGCACTATAATTTCAGAAACGCGTTCGTGGGGAGCTCCACGAGCAGCAACAACGTGCATTTAACGATATTCCTAGATGTCCATCTACTGACTATGGTCTTCACAGTATGCTACCGCCACCTTCAAAGTCCTGATCGCATACGGGGGATGGTCTAGCGTGAACTACGTGATGAACAACGTCCGTGATCCGGTGAGGACGCTCAAGATCGCAGGCCCACTCGGTCTTGGTATATGCGCCGTTTTGTACTTGCTTGCAAATGTAGCTTACTTCGCGGCTGCAACCAAGGTAAGAACTTGTTTTGTGTGCGCATCACGAATGACATACTGAATGGTATCAATAGACGGAGATCGACGAGTCTGGTGTTGCTGTTACCTCTTTGTTTTTCGGAAATGTCTTTGGTCCTGCTGCGGAGCGTGCGCTGGCAGTTTTCATTGCTCTCAGGTGAGTTCGACATCCTGGCTTCGAGGGTTTCCTGATTTATTGTTATTATGACAGTGCTCTTGGAGTGAGTCTTATTTATTTTATATCATGATCTCTGTCTGATGGTGGGCCATAGAACGTTGTTACTGTGGTAAGTTGAGGGATGCTATTGAAATGTATTGGCACAAGAACTTTTCATTTAGACTTTTGCTGCGGCACGAGTAAACCAGGGTCCGTCATACCAAATATCGTAGTCCTACATAGCTTATACTTCGATCACAGAGCTTGCAAAGGAAGGGATACCCATACCATTCGGAAATAAATTCTGGGCTTCAAATTGGCCCACGGGGAAGTCCCCGCTTCCGGGATTGATCATCCACTTGATACCTTCTGTAAGTGCTACCATGGAACTGCACGGTATCCATGATATTGATTTGAGAATGATTTTCTAGGCAATTACTATCATCGCGCCTCCCCCAAACATTGCTTTCCCCTTCATTTTGGATATCGAAGGATACCCACAGCAGATTATCAATTTATTTATTGTCATCGTAAGTCTTTCGACTCTTGATTGCTTCTTACTTCTTGATGTCGCCAGGGTCTGTTCTATCTGAGATGGAAGAAGCCAGATGCTGTTCGGCCATTCAAAGGTGAGCAAATATGTCACTCTTTCTGTTTGGTACATTAATGCATATGATGCAGTATGGTGGCCTCTCGCCGTATTCTTCTTGGCTGCTTCTGCCTTCCGTGAGTCGCCCATCTGCGGCTTCAACACTTTCTTTCTCTAACCAAACCTGTGCATAGTCCTCATCGCTCCCTTCCTGAGACCAGCCAACGGCGTTGGCGACACCCCACCATTACCATATTACCTGTACGCTTCCTTCAGCAGCGCTTCCCTTATTCTTATTCCTCACTTATTCTCTAGGTACTGCCTGGTCGGGATCTCCATCATATTAGCAGGCGGGCTGTACTGGGTTGTATGGCGAATCGTTCTGCCCAAGGTATTTGGGTATGCTCTCGTACCGCGGAAGGAGACGTTGGACGATGGGACTGTTGTCACTGTGGTGAGTGTTTGTGTTTTTGATTCTATGTTTGGTGGTTTTGCTCACGGAACTTACTTCAAAGTTTTCGAATAAAAAAATCGACTGATTTGAGGATTGATTGAAAGTGCTGATAAGTTGAAGTCGGTCTGTTGTTGGTGTGGTGTTCATGTAATGCACGGTTTAAGTATGCGGTATCATACTACCGTATACTAGTACAAGACGCAGATAGGTCGCTCAAATGTCGAAGCACGTATGATTCCAGGAGCCATTGCGGCCTACCAGCTCAACAATCACAAGCGGCAAGAGAGGGCTTGATGCCATCATGATGACCATGCCTTGCATCACCATAGTTGGGACGCGCCCCACCTTCTACTTGGTGCCCGTCACCAAAGCGTTGAGCGATGCAGTCATTTCCTGTCAATATCCGTCAATTAGGACTGAGGTGTTGAAATGCGAGGTCGCCAGTGACTACAAAGGTGGCATGGAGGCACCGAAATACAGGGTCGTCGCCTTGCAGTGTTATGTGGCATTCAAATCCCTTGCGAGAAGCCACTGGGAGAAGTGTATTCGTTAACAGAGCCTTTGGAAAAACTGCTTTTTAGTAATTATGGTGGTTTCAAATTTGGGCATGATAAAATTCAAGTTTGCAGTTTATTCAAAAGTCTATCATGATCGTGCAGTTGCACGTGCGCACTGCGCACAGCTTGATCGACGCAACAAACATTACTATATCGCATAAAGACCGAGTCCAACTTAGCCACGATCCATCACCATCATGTTAGTAAGTAAGGGAGACTAGTCGCGACTGGTAGCGCTCACAAGCACTCTCGGCGTCAACGCTCGTGGCAAGCACGTGTTCATCATGGTCGTAGCCGCCCAACCGACTTGCGCGGCTGTGCACCACACTGCTCTGTCTGTGCACTTCAGACCCTTCCCAATTCCGCTAGCTTTACTTGGGATCTAATATAGGTATAACTTCATGTCACAAGCATCAGGCATCGACGACACCGAGGATCAGCTCACTCACAACGATGAGCAGCCTCCCCCGCAAATTGACGCTGTAGGACCCATCGAAGAGTAAGTTGCAGCTTCATGGACATTGTCTTGATCTTCGTAAGTTTAGCGTTCTTATCTTCGGCGCATTGAGACTGATGTTTGATCAGTCTGGTCTTTTCTCGGCTGTCAGCACGGGTTTCATCGTCGCGATGGAGTCCAATCTCAGTCCCGACCCCAGCGACACTACGAATTATCTTTTGAAGCAACTCGTGCAGATCGGACTCGGCAACCTCGCTGAGGCAGGCACCGCTCCCGCAGACCCAGCATCTACGTGGTCGCCATCTGCGTCTGCTGTGAGGATCCAGTTGGTCGCATACGCAAGCTTGTCCATGAGCTTGCTCGCTGCATTCGGGGCCGTACTAGGCAAGCAGTGGCTCGTGTACTATAAGTCGAACAGGTATGGCCGCGGCTCGGAGGAGGAACGAGGCAAGCGCAGGCAAGAGAAGTTCGACGGTCTCGTCACATGGTATTTTGATGCTGTCGTGCAATCCTTTCCGGTCTTGCTTCAGATCTCCCTTCTTTTATTTGGAATTGCCCTTGGTGCCAATATGTGGCACAACCAGCTGAGCATCGCTTGGGTCATCATCGCAACGACAGTCTTTGGATTTCTGTTCTATTCCCTGACGGTGATGGCATGTTTGATATCTCCTGCTTGTCCCGTTTCAGACACCAACATCGACGATGTTGCGCATGTTGCGCATTGACAGTAAGATCAATTTTACTAAATTCTAGTGGTCGTTCCCCGTCTGAATCAACATGGTAGGGGTTCTATGCCTGGTATTCAAACGAACCTCCAGTTATTTCCAGCAGCTCACAAAGTCGCTGCACGGTGAGTTGAGTGTTCTTCCATGTGGACAGGTTTTGACCGTTCCATATTAGGCGTGCTGGAACGATTGCTTGACATTTTCAGGCCAGGATGGACCCGATTGTCTGCGGTATTTAGAGGTGACGATCCATCTACTATCACAAAGATACCCAATGCTCATTTCACTCCTCAGGCCCTGTATGTGTGATCGGCGCATTCGCACAGCGATCTCTCCAGCAGTTAATCACTAGTCTTCATAGCTGGCTGCATTTTGTCCTGCGCTTTTCCACAAAGGTCGTGGACTCAGAAGCACAATTGCTTGGAGCGACATTAGATGTTTCGTCGGGCAAAGACCACACCTTCGCCGTTCCTGACATACCTACCAGCAATCTGGAAGCACCTAGCGTCAAGTGGCTGCTCGAGACATCTACGGATCCTGAAGTATTTCTTGCCGCCGCCAGCCTTGTTCCGCAGGTCGAATGGCCCCTAGATCTCGACGTCTCAGGCATACTGCATCAGCTGTATGATATTTATATGAGCTGCGTCGGCTTCCATGGACAAATTATGCCGTCGTTGGAGGAAAAGGCCTCAGCTTGTTTAATGGCTATGAGTCATTTATACTGTGGCCGCGTTCTTCAGTCACATCCTGCCCGTGGCGAACTTCTTGGTTTCAGGGAAAGAGATTATGACACGTTTGACCGGATGACTCTGAGGGACATGGATCGAACCGACATGATGGTGCTTAACACGACTAAGAATCTTTGTCCTCTGCAAGATGAAGATAGCATATTTCTGTGGTTTCCGTTGTATGATTGTCCTGACTCTGTGGCGGAGTGGCTGTCACATGCTCTTCCTTACCACTTTGTCACTGGGCGAGCGAATGAAGAAGTGGAAATATTCGCCATAGAGGTGATATCAAAACTGCTATCATCTCCATCCTCTCCATCGAATCAAATCATAGCCAATTGCGCTCTTCTTGCTTGCGTCATGGCTGGGGTTCAGTTTGACAAGAAGGACTTAATTCGGATTGATAAAAGGTGCCATCGACTCATTTGGTGCTTCTGCTATGGCTAACGAAGATATTGTGTAGTTCTGCCCTGCCTCGATTTGCGAATACCCTTTTGGAGCAGTTCCAAATTACTCTCTGGACACGTTATGGAGGTGATCTCAGTGACGATAGCACAGGTACAACATATAGGGAATTCAACCTCATTAAAGCCATTTGTCTTGTGCTCGAGTCTGCCAAACATTACTATAATTCTTCATTCCTCGCCATGCGGAACCTGGACATGTGCAGGAAGATTTACTCACGAGTGAGATCATTCGAAAAAAATCCTCCCTGGGAACTGTTGGGCGTCCTGAAAAATGTACTGCGCTTCACGCTCACTGCTGCCAGAGTATCTCGAGACCCTGCCAACTTGTGGAATCCCAGTATGTTTGGACAGGGGATTCCCATTCGCCAGAAGACTTCGACTGGCTGGTCAACTACCTCGAGTACTTGGATCTCGACGACCAGGAAGCAGTATTCGACATCCTTTTACTCCTGGTTGTCATAAAAGTACGCTGCAGCCCTGCTAAACGGCATCAGTTCTTCAAGAGCCTCATCGCCTGCATGGGTAGTCACATGCCTGCACACTTACGTCATGCTGCTCTTCGCCTTGCCCACCATGCCCGAGAAGAAATGGTCTCGATCGATGCCATTGATAATGCAGGACTGCGGGACATGATCTTGACAGAGTTCTCCCCCGCTATCCTGACTGCAGTTTGTCCACAACCAGGCGTAACACTCTCCGATGATGATCCTGACCGCTTCTTCCATGATAAGCGCGACTTGTGCTATCTCAAACTGCTCTTTGCCCTCGCGAGGAATTCTACTGGCACCCCCATTTGGTTGAGGATCACCATATAGATCGATGCATTAGCATTGCTGCACAGCGCTACAGTCTCAGTCTACATGCATTTTACCTCGCTGGCATCCTCCTCCGGATCGCACCTGAACAGTCGTCGGTTGAAATCCTCAATTCTATTACAGGGCAGCAGTGGTGGGACACGATCAGCAATGCATGGTTCTATGCCCCCCATATCGTCGACGACATACACTGTTTCGAGTTCCTTCCCGTCCTTGTGGAAGGCACGAAGAGGTACATGCACACTGCTAAGGAATTGGATCTCAGGCCCTTCATCGTATATGTGGATCATGTTCTTAATGCACTAGAGATGCGAGATTCACAGCAGGGAGAGGGTGAGAGTGTCGCCGTTGTTGTGAAAGAGCTGAGGACTGCTGCCAGCGATATGCTTGAGAAGTTGGTTAGCAGTCAAGGAGTTGTCGGTCCTTGATTATCACAGTATTTGCGTGTTGTGCTAGCGTCCTGGGACCAGAGGAAGGGATGGAGCAATACAACTGGAAGGGAATAAGTATCGCAACTGAAACAATATTGATATCCAATACAAGGCCTCAAGGACTCGCCTTCTATCGTTGATCATATTCCTCTCACGATCGAACATGCTGCTCTAGCGGGACAACTTTCGCAGATCTGAGCCTTCTCACGAGCTTATTGAGTGACCTTGCGTCTGGGCCTGACTTTTCTGAGCGTACTATGAACGAGTTGGTCAGCGAAGATTCGTCTATCACTCAGAAACGCATATGGACATTCGCCGGAGACCCGTGACCTTCAGCAAAAGTACTTGATCCCAGGATCTGGAGGAAGTCACGATGTTATATTTGTTTGCTGGACTTTCCAAATTTCTACAGCCACATGACGTTCTATTCAATGACCTCTTTTGTCGTATAAAGTGCTATTTTTGTTTGTGCAATTGTTGATGCAGATGTACTGTTCAGTTACGTGCTCGCCTATTCCGCGAATGCAGGAATCTGATTGTTTATTCGTATTGGTACATTGCTGCCTAAACATCGTGATGACAAGGAGGCATCTCTAAGATGGTTTGTCCACTGCCACATCAACTGGATTCCAGGTGACTGTGTCCTCCTTCCCATGGTTTAGCGCATCGAGCTTCAGTACAGTGCCATGCCCGTAGGTTCGATATTCCGACCAAATGGTAGGTTGTTGAATATGATGCGGCGGGGCTACGAGAATTTGGGTCAAGGAACAAACCTGAGCGGAGTCATGTAAGAACATAAGTGAAGGTAGGCCACGTCTGTCGCGTCACCTTCATCCTTACCGCACTGAAAGACCACTTGATATGAATTGGAGCAGGATATTGGAAGTCCTGTGATATATTAGCGTTATGACGCAAGTATATACAACATACAGTCACCTTTGCAACTAGCTCCTGCATGGCTGGGTCGTCAAAAGCACCGCGCACAAGACTGATACGTACAGATGCGATGTGCTCACCTTGAACCATTAGGGGATGAACGGAAGGTCGTCAAATGCGCCACCGTGCGTGCGCGTTGATAAGGCCAAGCGATTCGATCCAGAAGAGATGTCGTTCATTGTCAAAAAACAATTTTACTTCCTTCTGCGAGCTTCGCGTCAAAAATTATTGTTCGTATGTGCGCAGGCCAAAATCGACAGGAGCAGGATGAATTCTGTCAGAATGAGGTTATACATATCGCATAGCAGCATGCTGCGATCGACAGGATCGCGGGGCACTACAAGGTCAAAGTAATACACCAGGAAGCGATCTATGACGAATTCACAAGCAAGATGGGCTCATTGGAACAGGCCATCAGCTTCATTAGCTAGGGCTGCAAATTCCCTGTCCCCCAAATGCGATAGCCCCTCCAGTCCCCTCAATATGTAATCTCCCCAACTTCTGATGAAATGTCTTCCATAGACATCCGTCGATATGCCGAGTTCGTCATTGATGTTGCGAAGCGGGCAAGAAGTAACAATGGTACAATTGTTTTTGGAAGGTCCGTAATTTGAGAAACAGCCAGGTTACCAGCAAGAATACGGAGAAGGTGTCTGGTCCAATGCATCTATCACGACCATGACGGACCCTGAATTTGACGCTGAAAGCTTCCCTCCGTCAGAAGGCTCCGCCACTGCCGGGTAACATCCACTGTGCTCTTAAGTATACGGTCGTTCTGAACTGCACCCGCCAATGCTCTCCTCATCTCCGGAGGATGGAAATCAGCCAGGTCGTGCGCGATGGTGGAAAAAACCTTTTCATGACAGCAGTGGGCTTCTCGATGAGGGTCGAAACAATAAATGAACCAACCCTCTCTCTCACGTCGTGGAACCATTTAGCAATAGTGTAAGTGATGCTGATATCCCTTGCCTGCAGGGCCACTGGGCCAGATAGCTACGAGCCTTGACTAGCAATTGCTTCTTGGGATGTGCGAATTGCTGCAAGAGGAAATGGCCTCGAATATGTCAATGAATTGTGAGTGCTTATGGAGGGGAGTCTCGGTGAGAAGTGGGTGGACCCCATGTCGTTTAAATAACAGGCCACCCACCCTTGACCCAAGCCTCGAGGCAATATTTGCTTCAACGCACGCAGCCTGAGTACTAGTGCCAGTGAGCGCCCTGGAAACCCTGCTGATCGTAGCATGCGAGATATTAAATCATATAGGTGGAATTTGGCCCTGGAACGTTGGGCCCTTGGACACGAACAGATGTGAGGCGGATATAGTGCTTTGTGAGGCTTTGTGTCAATCGGACGGTTTGAGCTGAATGTACGAACTGTCTTCACGTGACCACGCCTGTGCACGCAGTGGCTGTGTCTTTGCGCGCATAACTTAGTTTCTTTGCAGTCTCAGCGTTTGCTCTAGTATCTCTGTACATGGCTGGTAAGTCCATATTTCCCCCCGAAAATGTGTATCCATGCCAACTGAGGACATATGTAGATCAAGTGGAACTCTCATCACCTCCGTTCGACAGCGTATCCCAGGTACGCTTCTCCCCGACAAACCCTGATCATCTCCTGGTATCTGCTTGGGACACTGTGAGCTTTCATCTGTCTTTTTCGTCTGCCAAGATTTAACCACACATTATCAGACTGTACGGTTTTATGATGTAGCCACGAACGAACAAAAAGCCAAATTTGACCATCGCGCAGCCGTCCTTTCCTGCCTGTTCGGCGACTCGACCCATGCCTACAGCGGATGCTTGGATACTGGAGTGCGGGAGTGTGTATCCCCATCTTATTTCCTTGAGAAAGATGTTGACGTTTCTTACAGGCTTGATCTCACAACAGAAAGGGTGACTTCTCTGGGTCAACATTCCAACTCGGTCTCTGCGCTCTCCTACGCACGTGAAATCAGTGCGTCTATCCCTATATTTCTCTGATTCTTTTCTAACTATTACCTAAAAGATACGCTCATCTCGGGCTCATGGGACCAATCCCTTCGTTTCTGGGATCCCCGCGCACCAAAAGCAGAAGTATCGAATCATACGCTTCCCGAACGCGTTTACCACATGGACGTAGTGAACAATACGCTCGTCGTCTCCATGGCCTCGCGCTTGTTCCACATATATGACGTACGGCGAATGTCCGAGCCCGCGCAGACAAGAGAGAGCAGTTTGAAATTCATGACGAGAAGTTTAGCATGCATGGCTGATGGACAGGGTGAGTCTATATTTATTGCTTTCGTGTTCAGGGGTAACGTGCTTTATGTTAGGTTATGCGATCGGCTCCGTGGAAGGCCGTATCGGCGTGGAGTACTTTGACCCAAGTCCAGAAATCCAGGATAAGAAATATGCGTTCAAGTGTCACAGACAAAATATCGAAGATGTGGATCACGTCTGGCCGGTCAATGCACTCGCATTTCATCCAGTGTATGTGTCTTCTCGTTCATTTGCCGTAATTAATCAACTTACCCTGATGACTCATACCATGCGATCAGACATAATACATTCGCATCTGCAGGGTCAGACGGCACCGTCTCCATCTGGGACCATAAGGTCAAAAAACGCCTTAGACAGTACCCGAAATATGCCTCTGCGATCCCCAGCATCGCGTTCAACTGCGACGGCACACGTCTAGCAGTGGGTGTCAGTTATACATGGGATGAGGGGGAGGAAGGTTTGAAAAAAGAAGGCGGTACGGTCAGAGCAGTCTGGGTGCGCAAGGTTGGCGATGAGGTCAAGGTGCGTGATTTCTTTCTTGCTTGATTTTTTCGTCCGTATACGAATTGATGATCTCTTTTCTTGTACAGCCTAGGGCAGCTGGCTAATGGAGAGAACACTATTGAACGCCATGATGTATTACATTTTTGTGCTAATGAAATTTGCCCCACACAACTTCAGCCCGCCAGCATGGTTCAACCACGTGAACGTAAGTTAGCAAGCCTGATACCTGCAATGTACACAGCGCAGTGCAAAGCAGGCCATCGACGAGCTGGATGCTTATTTGATCAGATTTCCTTCTCGAGCTTAGTTGTAAGTGGTTAGACTGCCACCTGCGCATAACTTTACACCAAAAGGTAGAGCTTAGCGGTGTCAGCGACAGTATATGTACTGATTATGGGAAACTCGGGTAAGCTGGCGTTCTTACATTAGTGCTACCTGATGCCTTCTAGTTCGAGGAAACCTCAACTTGCCAGAATGCACTGTTCAGTTTGTTCTAGGCCCTCGGCTGTCAACCATCTAATGTGTTGCTCAGACCGAGAACAGCTGACTATTACAGGAGACATACTCGCATCATGATACTGCAGATCCGTCATCTTAGAATGCAAGGATCATGATATACCCTAGCAACCAAACACCGAGCACCGCCGTCTCTCTCGAAGATCATAACAAACTGACAATACGGCTTGGCTGGTCTTGGGCGCTAATCATGTGCCCCTCGGTCTCCGTTTCAAGTTATTGTGACCCGACATTGTGGTACCCATCAATGAAGGATCGGACTCTCAAAATCAAACCTTATCGATCTCTTCCCTTCCCTTCTTCCAGGTGGTTCCGTTGATCTAGATTTCTCCACCCCTGGCGGGTTGTCGTGATACTTGGACATATGGAACGACTCGTGAAATAACTAGCCATTTGTGAACTGCGTCCAAGAATTCGATATCTGCCTTGTGATTCAGGCAAAAATCCAAATAGCAGACGGAAATTTACGTTGGTCAAATATCTCGTTTGCAAACCACTATCAGCCCGATTCTTGAAACATTGTCAGCCACCTGAATACAATTAAAACAGATGAGCAAGTAATCCGCGGCAACCATCGTTTGTCTATTTTAATATTTATGACACCATATGAGAGTTGCGGACTGTCGCGGCCAATAGTATTCCAGCTTGCGGGTGATCACATTTCGCCTGGTGAAAGCGACTATCATCAGTAAGAAGTCGATACGAGCCGTCCGAATTCCCCTGGATCGCGTCAGAAAGATAGCGCGCATGCCACTGCATGTGTCATATTCGACCTGTAGACGCCTACAAAGCCATTCGGAACCGTAAACGACAGCCCGGGAAACACCTAGTCACCGCGATCCTCGGTGAGGGATAGTGAGAAGAGGCCGCCATCCTCATAACATAAAGAAGGCGGCGATGTTACACGTGTTTTCGCGACCGGCTAGAACTTCGCCGCGCTAACTCGTTATGGTGCTCCCTTTGAATGTCCATTAATGGACGTTTATGAAAACGAAATAGGCCTCGGCTGCTCCATCAACCAACTTGCTGGGCTCTGTCTGGTTTCGAGATGGTCGCTCTTGGTGATAACAGTTATCATTTGCTTCAGTACCGATGAAAGCCGGACGCATCGCAGGTTGCGTTGGGAATATGTAGATCGGACAGCAGTAAAGTTGAGCCCGATGTCGTGTTTTGATGTTCTGATGAGGTGTTCGTCGTGGAAAAAAACGCGTAGCCCACCACGGTTGTCAATCTCGTATATGTGCACTGCCGATGCCGATTGAATCAAGTACAGAATATCGAGACGCGTAAGAGGGTGAGTCGTACGCTATACATAGAACTGTTCGCATCCTATGACCGGCGAGTTACGTTATGCTTCGAGAAGTGGTCGGCCAGGCTCCAAAGCGTCCATAGTGTTTTCTCGACCAATGAGCGATCGCTGGAATTGTTCGGCCAATAGAAAATGCAGTGATTGATTTCAGAACAAGTTCTGGTCTGAAGAAGCCTCCGTGGACACCGTAATCATTGGGTAGCTTTGAGTCTGGACGCATGATCGTAGTAATCAGGCCTGTCTTGGAAGATATATAGGAACATTTCACAGGTCTAGTGGCGAGAATGCAAGAAATAGGTTCATGAATGGTTAGGCTAGCAGACAAACAGCAAATATTTAATCTCAGCATACGTGTGCCAGTCGGCTTAGTCATCTAATGGAGTTCCGTTCAGCTCGTAATCCCAAGCTAATAACCCTCAGAATGCCATCATTCTCATTCACAGCGCTGATTGGAACAGATCGGGCACTGATGAGCGCTTGAGCCTTTGAAGCAGCCGCTTTTG